ACCCACAACCGAATCCTCCACCAACAACAGACACCACAGACGACGAAGACGAAATGTCGGACAGAGGAAATAAACCAAAGGACTTCGATGGCACAAGGTCGAAATATAGGGAATGGATATACGAATGTCACATGTATATCCTCGCCAACCCAACCAAATATGACACCGACAAGGATAAAACCCTGATGGTGCTATCATACATGAGGGAAGGAACGGCATCACTTTTTGCACAGAAATATTATTTCGACAGGGAACTTCGGGAGTACAAACCGACGGAGACAAGAAAAGCATGGGGAACGTTCAAGGACTTCTTGAAAGAACTGGCCGCCGCATTCAAAGATGAAAGTCTCAAACAGAAGGCAAGACAAAAATTGTTCACAATGAGAATGGGAAAGCGGTCAGCAGACGAATTCGTCACGGACTATCTTATGACGGCAGGAGAAAGCGGGTTCGATCTCGAATCCACCGTCGACTATTTCCGCCGGGCCATACACCCGGAAATCCTCAAACAAATTTACAGACTTCCTGACATGCCGACGACCATGGACGATTGGGTAAAGTACACCCGAAGGTTCGATAACCAGTGGAGAGAGCTACAGAGTATAAAAAGCTCCGTACCCTCAGCTACCGTTCGGTCCAGCAACCCATTCCGCTACAACTCCTCCAACGCTCCCTCCTCCATGAACAACTCCGTCGTACCCATGGCCGTAGACTCGGTCAGAACAACCCTCACCGACGAAGAGCGCAACCGCCTCAGGATGGAGGGTGGGTGCTTCTACTGTCACCAGAAAGGACATATGGCAAACCAATGCCCTGTCAGGGGTTCGTCTAGGTTATATGAAGGGTCAGCTAGATATGTTCAACAGAGTAGTGGAACGATGGGGAACCGCTCGGCTCAGACCGGCGGCAGGATGGGAGGCGGAGGAAGCGGCTATGGCCGAGCGTTCTCGGCAGGAACTTCAGGCAGTGCTCAGGGAGGCGCTGCGACGCAAGGTAGAGGCGTGGCGACGACTAACCCGTTCCAAGCCCGACTCGCAGCTCGCCAAGCCCATGCACCCGGACCGGATGCGCCTGTACGTGAGACGGAGCATGAGATTAGCCGAGAAGAGGTCCAAAGGGTTATCGGGAAGATGAGGTGGGACGAACAGGAAGCACTCCTACAGGAGTTAAGTGAGATGAGCAAGAAGAAAGAATCGGATTTTTAAATAGGCCTGTGGCTCCGGTGTACCGTAGACCTATTTCAAACCCTCCTGTAAAAACATTCGTACGGCTTACCAAATCAAACCAGAAATCGTCTATGAGAATAAACGTGCATCTAAAACACAGAAGAGGAACCACCGAAGCCCGAATATTGATCGATTCGGGAGCAGAAGGACTCCTCATCGATAAACAATTCTGCCTAAACAATAATATACCAACGCAGAAAATCGACAAACCCATCCCTGTGTTTAACGTAGATGGAACGGCCAACGATGGAGGGAAAATCACCGACAAAGCCTGTGTACTTATGAGAATGACAAACGAGGAAGGAGACTATCACGACGAACAATGCGAGCTACTAGCCGCTAACCTAGGAGGCGAGAATGTGATCCTAGGAACAGACTGGCTACATGAACATAACCCACAAATTAACTGGGTAAAAAACAACCTCACATTTTCAAACTGCGCTACCACGTGTCTAGTCAGCCGACCTAAGTTTACCATACAAGCACTGACGTCCGTACGGCAAAGAAAAAACAGAACAATTGGGTATTCCAGAATAGAAGACGACTTGGAAGGCGACGAAGTCGAAGATACCTTCTTTTCCGAATTCTATGAGGAATGGTACTACCAAAACCCGCTAGAAGTACACCCCCTCGAAGCAATTCATATCAGTTCCATCGGAAACAAGTCACAGCAACTGGCAGAAAAGGCAAACAAAGCAAAAACAGAACGACCTATCGAAGAAATAGTTCCGGCATACGTCCTTAAACGATTCACCAAAATCTTCAGCCAAGAAGCTTCACAACGACTCCCAGAACACTCACAATGGGACCATAAAATCGATATGAAACCAGGATGGGAACCAACAGGATGTAAACTGTACCTGCTGATGGAAGAAGAAGAAGACCAGCTACATGAGATGCTCCAAGAACACCTGAAGCGAGGAACTATCAGGATATCTAAATCCCCGCAAGCATCACCCTTTTTCTTCGTAAAAAAGAAGGAAGGAAGTTTACGACCAGTTCAAGATTATCGAAGGCTGAATGAATGGACCATAAAGAACAAATACCCGTTACCCCTAATTGACGACGTAATTCGAACCATCGCCAAATCAAAGGCAAAGATCTTCTCCAAGTTTGACGTAAAATGGGGATACAACAACATCCGCATAGCGAAGGGTGACGAATGGAAAACGGCCTTCATGACCAAATTCGGCCTGTTCGAATGTCTCGTGATGTTCTTCGGTCTCTGTAACTCGCCTGCAACCTTCCAAACAATGATGAACATCATCTTCCATGATCTCATCGTGGCACAGGTCCTAGCAGTCTACATGGACGACATTCTGGTATTCACAAAAACCATCGAAGAACACCGACGCGTAACGACCCAAGTTATGCAAATACTTTTGGATAATGACCTTTTCCTGAAACCCTCCAAGTGCACCTTTGAGACGGACACAGTTGAATACCTCGGATTCATCATCTCCGCGGACAATATCTCTATGGACCCCGTCAAGGTTGATGGGATTGCCGCCTGGCCAACTCCGAAGAACTTGAAGGAAGTACAATCCTTCCTAGGCTTTGGAAACTTCTATCGCAGGTTCATCAAGGACTTCGCCGCTACGGCCCGACCCCTCAACGACCTTACAAAGAAAGATGTTCCATTCGAATGGACTCCCGAACGGGACAAAGCATTTGAACGGCTAAAGCATTGTTTTACGTCAACTCCGGTCCTTGTCTATCCGGACGGTAACCGCCCATTCCGTCTTGAAACCGACGCCTCGGACTTCGCCTCGGGAGCCATCTTGTCACAAGAAACGCCCAATGACGGATGGCACCCCGTCGCTTACCTGTCCAAGTCATTCAATGCGGCCGAACGGAACTACGATATCTTCGATAAGGAGCTACTTGCGGTCATACACGCCCTTGATCACTGGCGCGTGTACCTCGAAGGCGCGCAACACCCATTCGAAATCTGGTCCGATCACAAGAACCTCCTGTACTTCTCCACCGCAAGAACTCTTTCCCGCCGACAAGCACGTTGGTCGCTCTTCCTCTCTCGCTTTGACTTCACCCTCGTCCATAAACCGGGTATTACCCACCGACCAGATGCTCTGTCCAGGCGTCCAGACCTGAAAGAGGGGGTGAAATTTGACAACAAAAACCGGGTACTACTACAACCCCAAATATTTGTCAAAAGTGCAACAGGACGAGGAACAGTCGAAATGCTCGATAGCCAGCTGAGACGAAAGCTAAAAGAAGTTACAGCCAAAGACAAAGAAGTATCAGACGCAATGGAGCTCATTAAAACATCAGGACCTAGAGCCCTCTCGAAAGGTCTACAAGAATGGAACTACGAAGACGATCTCATCTGGCACAGAGGAAAGATATATGTTCCACCAGACGATGAACTCAAAAGGCAGATCACAAAAATGTACCACGATTCACCAGCCACGGGACATCCAGGGAGATGGAAGACTTACGTCCTAGTGTCAGACAACTTCTGGTGGCCAGGAATGTCCACGTTTATAAAGGAATACGTAACAGGATGTGCAACGTGTCAATACACCAAGAATATCACACACCCCACACGTACTCCGCTCATTCCTAACGAAATACCGGAAGGACCCTGGCAGACAGTCACCATGGACTTCATTACAGATCTTCCACAAGTCGGACCATATAACGCGATACACGTAACAGTGGACAGAAGCACTAAAGGAGTCGTCTACACTCCATGCGACAAAACCATAAACGCCGAGGGAACGGCCGACCTCTACATGAAAAACGTCTGGAGACGATTTGGACTCCCGCAGAAGATCATCTCCGACAGAGGCCCGCAATTCGCCGCTCGATTCACAAGAGAACTATGGAAGAAGCTAGGAGTCACAACAGCGTTATCGACCGCCTATCATCCCGAAACAGACGGAGAAACGGAAAGGGTAAATCAAGAACTAGAACAATATTTGCGAGCATTCTGCAACTACGAACAGACGAACTGGCCTGAGCTACTACCGTACGCCGAATTTGCACACAACATAAGAGAACATTCGGCCACACACCAGTCGCCGTTTGAACTCATGTACGGCTACAACCCGACCTTCGTACCCCAAATCACACCAAGGTCTGACATCCCCGGGGTAGAACTACGACTGGAAAGGCTAGAACAGCTTCGAAAGGAAACGAAGGCCAGCTTGGAAATTGCGGCAGAATTAATGAAAAGAAAAACCGCCGAGAACGAAGTCAAACTAGAAGCAGGACAGAAAGTTTGGCTCTCGGGAAAAAACATTACCACGACACACCCAAAAGACAAACTAGCCCCTAAGCTACATGGACCATTCCAAATAGAAGAAAAGCTAGGACCAATTACATATCGGTTGAAACTTCCGCCAACGTGGAAGATACACCCCGTGTTTCACGCCTCTCTGCTCACACCATACAAAGAAACAACGGCTCACGGCCCCAACTTCGAACAGCCACCACCTGACCTTATCGAAGGACAGGAAGAGTACGAAGTGGAAGACATTCTCGATAAGAGGAAACGAGGACGGGGATACCAATACTTGGTACACTGGAAAGGATACCCGAGCTCCGCGGACGAATGGATCACAAGGGCAAACCTGGGGAACGCCAAAGAACTTTTGGAAGCCTTTGATCGAAGGCGTAATGCTCTGCCCTTACGAGAGGCCCTCGTAAACACGGAACCACTAAAGCGCGAAACATATAAAAACCCCAATTCGATCCTTACGATCCCTCCAGCACTCCAATCACTTATTTCCAACCCACCCTCGAACAAACATGTCCTCCGACAACTCCCCCTCATCTGCTGAAAACACCCTCGTCAACGAACCAGCCTCGCTCCCTAGTTACCTCCGCTCTCCCACCATATCAGAAGCAGGAGACTTCGAAGCCATACTCTATAACCAAGACGTCCCCATGCTCAGCGCAAGGGGGCAAGAGTATCGAAGGTATCAGGCGCAACTCGACGCTGACGAGGCAGAAGAAGCAGCTGCGGCGCAAACCCCCGGATCCCCCGTCATAGATATATCCACATCATCGTCGTCTTCCCCCTCACCACCCCCTTTGATTCATGAAACTAACGAAGGCGTCATCTTCCCGGACAGGGAAACTTACCTTACTACCCCCGTCGCGTACATGATGGGACTTATTGAGGGGACGCCTAACACAGAGTTTGTGTCAGGACCGACTAGGCCGGAGATTCAGAGGGCGTTAGAGATCTTAGAAGAGGAAAGAAGTTTCGTTCGACACGCACAGCGAGCCCTACAGATCCGAGAGGGCACGATCATCGCCCGTATTAATGCTGGAGAACGAAAACTCATGGGCTTGCAGAATCTTCAAGACTCCTTTCATCCTGCCGACGACCCCATCCCCTCTACCGAGTATCACATGCCTACCACGGCTGTGGTATCTCGTGCCTCGTCTTCGGCCTCAAATGGCGCTCCGCTTCGCCCAATGCCGGGGACTTACCCTACGAGGACTGACAGGGAACGAGACGTCTATCGGTTCGCACAAGTTTCCCCCCGTTATCACATCATCCCCGCGCGTCTCGGCCTCATCCGCTCCTCGACACGAACCCGACCTCCTCTCCCCTTCACCGAATACGACTCTAGCGAGTCCGACACCGCGCCCGTTATACTCCGCCCTCGTGGAGCTTAAAGAACGACAGGCATCCTCGTCCGGTACGACGTAAAACTGCCGGGGCAGACGACGGTTCGAATCCGTTGGGCCGGTACCCACTGCCATGATGAGAAGAGGGACTCGGCTCTAAGACGCAGTCCCCGCATGGTTGGTAACGAGGTGGGGTATCATGACGTCCGTACTCAAGGGCTATCACGTCATGACTCGACTGTGGGCAGCGAGAATTTGTGCCCTAAGTATTATTTTGTACGACTCGGATTACGTGCATTACCTATGTTTTTCTTGGACTTTTTACTTACCGTCTCTGGCACTGACGGCCTAGAGGGGGGGGTAATGTTACGAAACGTCTCACCTATGCTTACTTATTTCTTCCCACCTTCTTGATAAGGACTCGTAGGACCTTTCTCCCGACTATACCTCGCATTCCTAATCCACTGATACTTGGTCCGTGCGTCTGCTTGTACATATTTATAGATACCGCGGCGCAGTGTGAAAGCCTTAGGCTATCCACTTCTGTCCAAATCTAAGAACTGCTGTTCACACAGTCTTCTCTGATTACAAGACATTAGTCTGATCAGTCCCGATCATCCTCCCAAATCCTCTTGTGTTATTTGTGGCCTAGGATCCTCTCGTCCCGAACAGCCGTTCGTGACAAGAGCCCCAAGTGCAACTCAGTAAATTTCATGATGTCACGCACTCGCATTACTAATGATCTAAATCTCGTGAGCAGCCAGTCTTCTGTGGCTGACGCCGGTGAATCATCCGGGTGGCACGTGTTTGTATATGTTTTGTGCCAGCCGCCGATGGAGAGGGCTTGGGATTGCTTAAGGAATAAGGTTCAAAATATTGCTTCATTATGTCATTTATTTGTCATATGTTTTCTCATATGTTTTTCATTATTTCCTCATAGTAATAGACCCTTGCCCTCGACATGGTGGTGGGTAGGAGCCTGGATAAGAGGGTGTGTCTTGTGTGTCAAGTTCTTTGTGGATTGACATACGGCGCATCCGTCCATGTATTCATGGATGAATTTGGTCATGTTTTGCCACCAGTAGTGTCGTTGTACCATTTCCAGAGTTTTGGCTCTACCCGGGTGTCCTACCGCGGGTGTATTGTGATGCGTTTTGACAATGAGCCTTCGGATAACATCATCCTTTGGGACACATATGTGGCCGTTACGTCTGGTGATTCCGTCTTCATGTGTCCAATGTCCCAGTAGTCCCCTTATTCCTTGTGGCCCTACTCGCAATAATTTTGCGAGAGCTACCCTTGTCAGGGTGTCATGTTCCAATTTTGAGAGTCAGATGAGGGAGATGAGGTCTGAGGATACGATTTCCGTGGACTTTATATGCCGTGTTGGGGACGGTTTCACCAATGTTTTGTCGGATTTGTTAAAAAGATTTGCCGGGAGCAAAATTTGAGCCGTGTTGTTAGATTCTACCCCCTCACTTAGGTTTGGACGCCTAGACAGACCATCGGAATAGTTTGTTGATCCTGCTTTATAGCTGAGTGTAAAGTCGAATCTGCTCAAATAAAGGCTCCAACGAGCATGTTGTCGTGACAGATCTTGCACCGTTTGGAAATGTTCCAGGTTCTTGTGATCTGTCCAGATCTTAAAGGGATGTCGTGCACCTTCAAGGTAATGGTTCCAGTGTTCCAACGCTTTTATGGTAGCCAAGAGTTCCCAATCGTGGACATCGTAATTCCGTTCTGCTGGTGAGAACGACCCGGAAAGGAAAGCAACTGGGTGCTAGTCACCGTCTTTTCCTTCTTGCAGGAGGGTAGCTCCATAAGCAATTAGTGATGCGTCTGTTACTAATCGGTATGGATGCATGGGATCCAGGTAATTCAAGACGGGTTTGCTGATAAAAGCTTTCTTTAAGCATTCAAAAGCTTCTTGGCATTTTGGAGTCCAGTTCCATTTTTCGTCCTTTTTGGTGAGGTCATGTAGAGGGTGCGCAATGAGTGAGAACTTGTCAATGAAGCGCCTGTAAAAATTTCCTAGACCTAAAAATGAATGAATGTCTCGGATTGTGCGTGGAATTGGACAATCTTGTATCACGTCCACCTTAGAGTCTTCCGTAGCGACATGGTCTTTTGAAATTGTGTATCCCAGATATTGGAGTTTTTCCTTGTAAAACTTGCATTTTTCTGGTTTCAAGTAGAGGTTGTTGTCGCGTAAGATTTGGAAAACTTGGTTTAGGACTTGAATGTGTTCTGCCATAGACTTGGAAAAGATGAGGATATCATCCATATATATGGTTATTTTCCGAGCTGTGATGAGTTCTCTGAAGATCATGTTCATCATGGCCTGGAAGGTGGCCGGTGAGTTGGTTAAGCCAAAGAACATCACTGTGGGTTTGTAGGAGCCCAACGGGGTGATGAAAGCTGCTTTCCACTCATCTCCCTCTTTGATTCATATATTGTTATATCCCCACTGCACATCCAGTTTGCTAAAAATGGTGGCCCCTGTGATCACGTCCAATAGTTCTTGGATTAATGGAAGAGGGCACACATTTGGAATGGTGTGCGAGTTCAAATGGCGGTAGTCCTGTACTGGGCGCAGTTTTCCATCTTTCTTTCCTATAAAGAAAAATGGGGCTGCTGTTTGCAAAGTGGATCGACGGATGGTCCTTCTGGTAAGATGTTCCTTGATGAATTTTCCTAATTTGTCATGTTTTTCTGGGCTCAAGGCGTAGATTTTGGGCACTTGAGGTTTGAAAGTCGGTTTCAAGTCAATGGCGTGGTCCCAATAAGTATGTTCCGGGAGTCACTGTGACTTTTGTTTGCTGAAGATGTCCAAAAATTCGTGATGCGCCTTGGGGACTCTCTTCTTTAGATTGGTGACGACGATTTTGTCTTCCAAATCCTGGTCGAAGCTGGCAGATCCTGACGGTTTGGGGGCCAGTTTCCAAATAACTGGTTCCCCTGTGGCCTGTTTTCCTGAGGGTTTATCTGGGAGGTCAGGTTCTTCCATGTTTGGTGAAAGAGATGGCTCGATTTGAGCTTTTCATTTCTCTTCTACATATTTCTTTATGTTCTGTAAGAGCCATTTCCTTTTGATGTAGGCCTGTAATTGGACACCAAACATTCCGCTATGATCGCAGAGTCCGACATCTTCCGATAGTCTTCGGAGATGTTCTAGGCGCTGTTTTTTGTGCTCGCTGATGCGTAGTTTGTGCCGTGGCTCCATGTTCAATAACCGCTCATTATTCTGTGGTTCTTCCCTTGCCCTAGTAAACCCGTGTGGTTGGTGGCATTTCTGGGGGCACCGATCAAAGTGCACTTTACATCGCCTCCACTTGATGGAGGGATCATGGTATTTCAGCCAATCTGTTCCTAGGATAAGATTGTCTTTTCCTAGATTGGAAATCAATATCTGGACACGCTCGGTGTGCGTTCGCCCATGGATGTCCCAAATGGTGAGGTTTACATCCAAGGCGGACCGGATAAGACCTGCTTTATTAATGGTGTCATTGACGTTCCGGACGCGAATGGGTTTGTTGAGTGCATAGGTAGGGAAACGGTGTTTCCTGACCCAAGTCTCATTTACTATGACCCCTTCACATGCCAAGTCGATGGTCGCTTTTGCTCCAGTGTAATGATCCTGGTTTGATACTCTCACGTTCAAGCATATGGGGTCAATGATGCGGTCATTTATTGCTCCAATGCAAATACACTTGTTTGCGTCAAACTCGGGTCTTCCTTGACCTCTCTCCTTCGCTGGTGAGGGAGAGGTCAGGAAAAACGCTCCGCGTGTCCCAAGATCACTTCTCTTGCTTCATCCTCTCCTAACTCTCTTAGTACTGCTCCAATTCGAGCAGAATGACTGACGCCTCCATTTCCCCGTCGTCCGTCAGGCGACATGGCGTGTTGCTGATGGTTCGCTTGGGGTCATCCGGATGGGGCAGAGTGCAGATGTTCCATCGAAGGACCAGGTTGTGGTACCCACTGGTCATTGCAATGAGTATTCTCCATCTCCACTCCTCGATATATTCCCGCTTGGTTTCCCATAGCGGGTGCGTTGTCTTCTCCTTCCAAATCAACCGCGCGGTTTCTTCTCCCTGTCATACCCAAGCGTCTCTTTGAGTTTCCTCGAACTGGTTGAATGCCTCTACGGGCTGACCAGCAGTTAGCACCAGAGTGCCCTAACTTTCCACAATTTGAATAAGAGGTGGTTCGCTTGCCATCAAATTTTCTCTTTTGGCTTTCAGCGTTACGCTTCCTGGTAGCGTCGATGTCCATGTCGACCACCTGGTTGTTCATTCTGTGAGGGGCGTTTGTGGAGTTATAGCGAAAGGCGGGTTGGGTATGAAAGCGGTTTAAGTAATCGCTGCGAAAGGAGGTGGAGTTTGTGAGGATGGCTTTTTGAGCAGATCTAGCTCTGAGTCGTCCGTCTATTTCGTAGGCTGTATTAATCCAATCCTGAATGGTGTCCTTTGGTTGAACTTCCTTGTCATATATTTTGTCCATGACGTGTGGGTCTGACCCTCGTTGGAAGTAAGGGACTTGCTCTTTGTCGGAGATATCGGCATTGGCAGCAATAAGGATGAACTGGTTGAATTATTCATCAACCATCATTCATCCTTGGGAAAAGGCCATGAGTGTGCTTCGCACTTTGTCAGTCTTGCCCGTCTCCCTGAACTGTAGTTTGAACTTTGCTAAAAAGTTTTCCCAGGTGCCTAGATCAGTGGGAGGGTTTGCTCCCACCGATTTAAGGAGAAAGTTTTCTACCCAGGCTCCTGCCGTGCCATATCTCATGCATGAGAGCACAAGGGATATCTTGTCTTGATCGGTCTTGTACCAGTCGGATTCTGCTGTGAAAAGAAGGAGGCATTGGAGCATGAATTTCTGGGATTCAATGTGATTGCCTGTGTAGTTGTCTGGGAGTTTGACCTTTCCCCTCCCGGGTTGTGCTATCGCGGAAGGGGTGTTTGTAGAAGTCGAAGCTTGTCCCGACATTTCGGCGAGCGGTTCGTTTTGGGTGTTGATCGGTGTTTGGTCTAGTGATGAGTCAGAGTCTGACTGTGATATTGGCTTTTCTTGCTCCGAGTCTTCAGGGATTACTGGTGCTGGTTCCCTATATTGGGGTGGTAGATCCCAACGGTTCTCTACTTCATTCCAAAGTCTCTCTTCTTTGGTTCCGTCATTAAATGCAAAAAAGCAACGCCCATTTTGGAATGAGCAGTTATCGTAGTTCGGTGGGGCGATGTGATTGGTATCGTTATAGAGCCAATGGATCCCCTCATGCTGGATAGGGCGATTGTTATGATGGAGTTGGTTATCAATGTGTCTAGTGCCGGGAGGATAGTCTTGGCCTAGGTCTTGCTCCAGAGTGTGTGTAGTAACGCTTTCTTAATGGGGGTCTATTATCCCCACTAAGGAAGGTTATAAGAGAGAGTGTGGTAGCAAGCTAGTGCAAGCAAGGTAGGGGCAGAAGAGTCTATTCTAGTGTTACAAACTGCTCGTTCAGTAACCCCAAGAGTAGGAGGTTCTTCCCTAGGTTACTCATGGAAGAGGGGTGGAATGATGGTCTCGACTGTACACGTAGCACAAGAGCCAGAGATGTATTGCAATGTAGCAATGTGGGTAGACAGTATGAGGACTGCCTAAGAATGAAGGCTGCAGTAGGAAGACTGCAGTATAATGAGGAGAATAGACTAAAGATCCTCAGCCTACTCTATGGGCCTTTTATACTACTTTAGGAAATAGGGCATGAAAATACCATATATGTATCTGTAGGTATTCTCTAAGTTGTCTCTCTCAATAACAACTACTCTTGTGCTTCTCCGTTTGTCTCCTTCCAGCCAGGAAAGACTAGGAGCTTGATGCCCAGTGTGTGAGTAGTTTGTAAGGCAGCATTCCATGCCCGCCGCAATATGGCTCATGATACTCGACCAACAATAGGTGATCCGTTGGGAGTGGATGACCAAGGTTATTATCTGTACCTTGTTGTACGCCTCACCTTGTGAGGCCGCTTGATATTTGTGATGATTGTATTGGAATAGACCGCCATTAAGTCCCGATAGAATGTGATCATAACAGTGAAAAGGAGGAGGCAGTTCACAATAAATTTCTGCGACCGTGTTCTATCTCTGTCAAAATTATTGGGGAGTCTAAGCTTGCCCCTTCCAGATGATACTGTCGTAGGGGAAGCTGCAATGTCTGTCATATTGTTATTTCTTTCAATGGTTTGGGTATTGATTGGTGTTTGAATATCCAAGGATTCGGACTTGGATGTTCCTTCTTCTTCCTCCGAGGTGTCCGGGATTTCCGGTTCGGGGTTCCTATACTGGGGTGGCTCTACCTAGTCTTCTGTTATTTTGTCCCAAGCCCACTCAGCTTCAGTTCTGTCTTCTCTTGTGAAGAAGTATTGTCCTTCTTGGTATGAGCAGTTATCAAAGTTTGAAGGGGCTAATTAATTAGTGTCGGAGTAATACCAATGGTTTCCCCTTTGATGGATAGGACAATTATCTTGTCGGAATTGGTTGTGGGTTTGTCTAGTGCCTGGTGGGTATCCTAGGCCTAGGTATTGCTCCAGGGTGTGTGAAGTAACACTCTTTGGTGAGGGTCTATGCCACCAATGAGGGTTGTGAAAAAGAGTGTCGCAGCAAGCAAGGTGTGGTGCAAGGTAGGGGCAAAAGTGAGTCTATTCTAGTGTTACGAACTGCTTGTTTTGTACCCCAAGAGTAACAGGTTCTTCCCTAGGTTACACGATGGGCCGAGTGGTGAGGACGGTCTTGACTGTATCAGGTAATGATACAGGAAGAATGAATGATTATTCTACCATAGGAAGATGGTAGGGAATGAAGGTTCCACTGTAGGAAGACAGTGGCAAATGAAGGTAGCAGTAGGAAGACTGCTACTGAATGAGGAGAATAGACTGAAGATTCTCAGCCTATTCTATGGGCCTTATATACTGTATAAGGTCTATAGTAAGAGTCTGTGTGCTTCTCCGGGTACCCATCCCAGGAGAGCTGTGGTCACCGTCTTTCTCAGCTGGTGCCTACTCTTGTACTTCTCCAGTCGCACCTATCCATCCTAGTGCGACGAGGTGCTTACCCATAAGCCCTAAGCCCATGGCATGTGAATGCCTATCTTATCTTCTGCTGTACCCATGATCCTTCCTATATATCCTTTACCGATGTCTTGAGGAACCATTGGTATGGTCGGACCATAAGGACTTGCCAAATACCTTGATATATGCTCCGTAGTAGAGCCACCTAGCATGTGATGCTTAAACCATCGGATAGACCAGCCCCAACGGGCTCCGATTGGTCAAGTCATAACAAAATATACCATGGATATACTTGAAATATACTGTGAATATGCCCAGCCCTGAATATCCCCTGGGGATATTCATGGTGTATTCCTAATATACCATGGATATCCCCAGGGGATATTCAAGGCAATGTCTAGTGAGTGGTTGGTCAAGATCGTGGCGGCTCACGGCGGTGCTCACCGTAGCTCTGATACTAGCCACTAGGGTTCTGTGAGTAATCCCTGAATTGCTAACATGTTAATAACATAAGTTATTAACATTGTTATTAACAGGCCCCCTCCAGAGGGGCACAATGTTGATGTTAATAATGTTAATAATGTTTAAAATTGTATATAATGATCAGCAATTAAATTTACATTGAAATGTACATATTTGGGCAAGGACCAGGTGGAAATATTGAAGGTTGTGGCTGTACAATTATGTCTTCCCTGCAAAATAATAATTTTGTCCAGGAGTGCAGAGTCTTGGACTGCATTGGTTCCCGCTCTAGACATTCCGTTACCCATTCCCCCTGCTCGTGCCATGTCCACCAAGTCAAACAACGTCAGCTTTGAGACTGTTCTCACGGAACTACATCACCTGCTATTGGAAATACCTCTGGAATCAAATCTGCCTTTTGTGGAAAATTCTCAGGACTCACATTATGCATGCTTCCTCAACTTCTCTCTAGACCCTGATCTGATGGAGAAGATCGAAGATGAGGTTGGGGTATTCAGTAAACAATTTAAGTTAGTTTTCAGCTGGCAAACACGGTCGACCGGAGATGGAATCATACTGATCGTGGAACACGGCCAAGCGATATGTGCTGTCGTCGATGTGCTTTGGGAGTATCATGATCGGTACCCCTCAAATGAGGTCATCATGAAGTGGGGAAGGGATGTGCTGAGAGGTGTCAGACAAATCTATGCAAAGAAGGGGCTGGATTACCCTTTGGTATGAGATCGATCGCCTAGACAGATTCCACTTTAATTGATTGACAGCACAGGTATCAATGGATCCCAAGCCAAACACTTCAAAGCGCAAGAGGTCAGCTTTCATGGAATCTGCCGGCACAGAAGTCAAAGTAGTTGCTTCTTCGAGATCTGACTTCCTCGGTAGAACACCAGACCCTCCAAAAATGGTAAGCAATATTTCTGAGTGGATTGACATGAGCTTATTTATTGTGAAAAGGTGTCTGCCGAGGTCGACCCCCTGATGAGCTTATGTTAAAGCTTGCAGTGATAGGTACCGATTCCAAGGGTGTGAGAAGCTACTAGTGTGTTGCTAAAGGATGCCAATGGACCAAGTGGGGCAACAGAGTAGAGGCCCAAGTGTATGGCCATGCTACCAGCTGTGAGCACCTCCAGCACTCTAAGTCCATGGAGCACAGAACCCTGTGGGAACAGGCCTGTCTAGCCCAGAAAAGAAGTTCTTTGGGAGCCAAGATCACGGAACATGATGACACTGCTTCTGAGTCTGGAAGGGGTTTGCTTTCCCAAGAACTGTCTGTCAGCAGAACCACTCCCAACCTAAAACAGTCATCAGTTATCCATGCTGCTAGGGATGCCAGAAAGAAGATTCTTACCAAGAAGTGATTAAAGATGAAGGCAGACCTCCAGTGCTGGGTCGACCACTGCATCATGCGCTTGATCTGTATGCGTGGTCTTGTCCCCAATGTCATTGATTCCTCGGAGTGGAAGAAATTGCTGACCACTCTAAATCCCGACATTCATCCCACCTTCTCAAGCACCTTTGTTGACAAGCACATCCCAAAAAAAGCTGTGCTGGTTCGCAGCCTGCAAGAAGATCATATCAAGAACTCTGCATATACCACCATCAGCTTTGACGGAAACAACACAAGGCGTGATTCAATATATTTCATGCATGCAATGACCGATGCACACAAATCCTATTTCATCAATGCATATATTGGCTCAGATGCTCGGCACATCTCCACATAGATCTCATCAAGGGTTTTAAAGGTAAGCAGATAAGTTGATCTGAATTCAATTAGCTGACACTTGTGCAGGGCTTCGCAGACAATCCAGTGGGTTGGTCCAGAAAAGATTGCTGCATTAATTTCTGACAATGCTTCCACCTGTGCCACCGCTCGTTGAGAAGTCACTGCTAAGATCAGTACTGTATTAAATCTCCGGGATGTATGCCATCACATCCACAACATCATCAAGGCCATAACCAAGCTGCCTCAATCTAAATGGGTACCATGTGCCTGTGCTTTTTTGAATTGAACTTCTCTCATGTTACCTTCTAGATGATCAAGATCTTGAAAGCAATTTTGGCATACTTTGGCAGTTCAACATATGCCAAAGTGCATCTTTGCATGCAATTCAAGGAAGGTGACAACGGTGAACATGTCAGTGCACTCCAGAATATTGGGAAGACTCGATTTGGCACCCACTGGTCTGGTGCCTATTTACTTGAGATGAGTTTACCTCAAGTTCGGCACCTGGTGCAATCTGGCACCATCAAATTGAAGGTGTGCTCAAACTAAAAATAGTTATATTACTATTCATTGACAATTCCAATAGCACAAGAAAGTCCAGAACTTATTTGCCTATTGGGTGTCCAAAGATTACCACCGGCTCGAACTTGGGCTGCTACAATACATCATGATCATCCAGCCCCTGATCCGGTCCCTTTGGGCACTTAAATCAATGCAGGCCAATGCTTCTGATGTGTATGTATTCTACCTAGCGATGGGTGCCGCGCTGCGCGAGCTCTTCAATCTTGGACAGCAGAAGACAGGCATTATACTGGAGCTTGCCGAGGAAGTCATGGGCATAATCAACGAGTGCTTTGACACCTTCTTTGAAGACTGCAAGGACTTCCATGTCACAGCTTTCACATTGGATCCTCATTTGTGCCTTTTTCCTGATTCAACTGAGTGGATTCTCATGTCACATTTATTTTTGGTGACAGGATACCCATGGTCAGACTTCTTGATCAACTCTGCAGCTGCCAATCCTGTCATTGTGATTTCCGAATGGGGATCTGACCTCAACATTCCGCATCCTTGTCTATTCAACCACATGAAAGCATTCCTTTGGGATGAGATGTTCAAGCCAATGGTGGAGCGTATGGATACCCATCTAGAAGGCACACACCCTGTACTCAAAAGGCTCGGTGGTGCCATGGCCATCACAAAATTCTGGTTGCAGCTTGATGCATATTGGCAGGAGAAGGCCCCCTTTGACAGGGCCAAGCCCATCCAAGATGGCGATGTTCTGGGCTGGTGGTGGCAATTCACAAATGATCCAGAAGCGGTTGTTCTTGCGGTGCGCTGCAGCTCCTCACTTCCTTCTGCCTACAACTAACCATTCCTATTCGTTTTTAGATGCTTGCCGAGAGAGTCTTCTCCATTCTCGTGAACTCAATGCTGGATGAGTGGACCGGTTCAAGATTCACTTGGTTCAATTCGGCGCTGCGGGGATGCCAGTGCACACAGTTGCTCATGGATATGACTATCATTGGACAGTGGTATAGCACCCAGGCGGTATGTACATCCCTCTCTTTCCCATGCTGCAGCTCATCCATTCTATAGACCAAAGACAAAGTGCCAAAAAAGCGCCTGACAGTCAAGTTCTGTGATCTTGAAGACGATCTCAAGGCTGCCGTCTCTCGTTCATCACCTGAGGGCACCGCTGACATGGCGGACACTGCCACCTTGGATGGCTCCGATTCTGACGACGACTCAGACGACTCAGACGACGATACGGATGGCCAACAGAGAGGACCCCCGTGCTGGGATTCTGCACTCAATATTGTGCAGGAGTTCGCAATCCGTGAGGAGGCCTTCGTGGATCTGCTATCTGATACTCCTAGGTACACTGCCACGAGCCCCCCCCCCCCCCCCCCCCCCCCTGAAGCTCCCCCTTCCATTCCCAGCTCCGAGATTGACTGGAGCTGGTGACTTCTTGTTATTAACACCACTTTCTTTATTAGCATGTAAATAAATCGGTTTTTAACATGTTAATAACACTTTATATACAATTGTTATTAATCTGTTATTAACATTTGTTAACAACTGTCCGTGAATTACTCACGGAACCCTACCAGCCACACGGTCTTTTCTTCCGCACAACTCATGAGAACTTATACGTGCGGTCTATCTTTTGCGAGCCTGTCAAAAATCACAGATGCAGAATGACGCCTTCGCATCGCCATGTGCATTGCCTGTTTTATGGTGAGTCAGAAACGTCTATCATGCACCAGGTTTGAATGATATCAGTTGTCAGCAGGCATATTGCCACCAAACTAATGCCCGATCAGACTCGGGAGTCGAATAATCTCGAAATTACGAGGCCGGGACGTGGAGGTGGATGATGGACTGCACTTGGGATCCCGTACGCAATTGAATCGGATTGGTGCGTAGAATTTTACTAAACACCTCAATTATGCCCCAGTCTTTTTCTCCACTCCAGGGCAACTCTATCTAAATTCAGCGCTAGGTCGCTACATTGATGGGCTCTAGGATTAGTGTCAAATGCAGCCCACTTCGCTGCGTGCCCCATGCAAGCATTATATGTACGACGGGCTCCGCAATGAACCCTTCGTTGTGGCAAAGGGGACCTGCACGTGAGGCCATATCAGTTTCTGATTCACTCCATGAAAGGTACACAACCCATCGACCGAGGAACGCTTTGCACAAGATGCAGCTGCAGGATGAAAAGTTCGCCTCGTACGAGCGTAGACGACGCTTGAGCAGCTCAGGTAACATGGACGCTGTCTTACTGGTGCATGTGTGGTGCGTGTTGGTATATCAGTTGAAAGGGCCACTGAATTTCCTGGCTTGTTTACTCATTTGTCGATGTGAGAGTTCGTTTTGATTGTGTTTGTCTCTCTTCTCTCACGAGTCAAGATCTAATTCTCACTACAGCTCGTTCCTCCAATCCAGAAGCAACTCGACATGTATCATCTACCATTAGTAAAATGTTGAGACAATCCTCTCTATGTTACCACACGATCACGCATGCATATATTACTTGCGAGGCATACTTGTGATGCAGCTGGAGATTCCTCAAAGATATCAAGGCCATGCACTGGCCATGCAATACATATATCATGCTCATGTAACGTACAAAAGACATAACTGGACCATATCATGATCTACGGAGATCTTCGACTACCTATTCAATTTCCAACGTCATCCCTGTGTTCGACATCCGTAGCCCATCTGTACGGAGGCAGATGAGCACGAGGACCTGTTGAAGCGAGCGTCTCCCAATGAATGGTACATCCAGCCTCAAACATACGAGCGATTAGCACATCCAAACAGTTTCCATGCCCCGATATGCACCTATCCTTGAGGGAGTGAGCTATATCATCCATTGAGCCGAGGTTGACAACGAGGTCACTTTCAGACGCAAGAGTCTGCCAAGCGACATGACTGCGTATGGTGCGCTCTTGTACACGGTTCCAATAGTCGTAACTGGTGGCCAACTCGTCATTGAGGACACTGCCAAGATGACCAGACACGATAGGGAATTGCGGCGGTTGTATACGAGCAAGGGGCCGTAGGATGGTGCGCTGTGGGAAACAATCTCTTTTGAGGACCACGATTTCGGCTTCTTGGTCGAGCGCCGCTATTGACTCAGCAGATCCACCTAAAGTGAACAGGTCAATCCCGTGCTGACCACTGATATACAGCTCGTCTGATCTCCAGGATGTCAGACACTCTTTCAAGGCAGGTTTTGCAGCTCGAATACAGGCAGAGGATATGTTGGCTGCGGGGTAAGAACACAATTGGAATACGGCACTGTCTGGAATGGCCTCCGCGAAAACGGCAGCTGCGTACTCGGCTATTCCTTCACCACCCACGACGGACACGTTGCAACCCAGGGCTTTCAAGCAATTTGCGAGAGCCAACTGCTCCTCGAAAAAAGCATATTCACGAACCCATCCTGCGGCACGACATTTGGAACGAATAGAACAGTAGAAGGGATGGTCGTTGTCGATCCGAATCTGGTCAGAGAGGGGAAGGCCGAACCATAGACCAACTCTGGGCCGATAGTGTACTTCACTGGGTAATGAAGCAGACTCTGACAGAGCCTGTCGCAGAGCATCCAGCAGAGCTCTCCATCCAGTGACAACCCAGGCGCGACGATGTGTGAAATGATCTCGCCCAGTCTGCAATGTTCTACACACAGCTTCGAGAGACTCTCGTGGATGCTTTTGACAGAAGAATTCTAGATATCGCCTGATGATTGCAAGTAGCTCGGCACGGTTTCGTGCGGTGAGTAGAAATATGCTTGTTGCGTATCCCGAATTCATAGGATTTGGTGGTTCCGAAGGAGGCTCCTCAAGGATCAAATGGGCTAGGGTTCCAGAAAGGCCGAATGAAGACACGCTGCAAAGACGAGGCTGCTTCCCGCGAAAAAAAGGGGTGACCTTGTTTGTGACGATAATATTTGAAGCATCGAAGTCGATGGATTCATTGAGTGGACCTGTTCGAGGCTGGGGAGGTATGACGTTGTGACTAAAACACGTCATTGATTTCAAGACGCCTGAAGTTTATCAGATTTCTGCATACATGAGAGATGAAAGGAAGGATGCTCACCTGCTAGCCCTGCACATTCCTCGACATGCCCTATGACAGCTTTGGACGAACCTATGTACAATGGCTTTGTCCGCGTGGCTCCAAAGACCGTCTGGATAGCATCCAGCTCAATCGCATCGCCAAGTTGAGTACCTGTTCCATGAGCTGTATCGGTTCCCCAAGATATTAGATTGATTAAACATACAGTAGAGTCAGAGCACGCATACCCTCGTAGAAACATATATCGTCGGGTGAGCATGCTGCTTTTTCCAATGCAGAATTTAGCAACCGCGTCTGAGCCTGCGGGTTTGGAGCAAGAAATCCTCGAGATCTTCCGTCCTGAGTGACAGATGTAGCTCGCAGTGAACAATAGGTAGGTACTTGAGCGTCAGGATATTTTTGAAGGACAATAGCAGCCGCTCCCTCGCTGGAGACGAAACCGTTTGCTAGATCAGAGAACGGTGCACATCTCCCATTTTTTGATACTATTCCCTTCTGGGAACGAAAGATAGAGCCCGCAGGATGGAATTGAGTGGTAGCGGCAATGACAACAGCCGCCTCGCAGTCACCGTTGCGGATGGCCAAACACGCTTTCAGAAGGATGACTATGTGTAATCAATGAAATGTACATTTCAACACTCACCTTGATGGATGGCAACAGCACTGCTTGAACAAGCCGTCTTGATCTCTACCGCAGGACCAGTCAGGTTGAGGAAATAAGACAGACGTGCTCCCGCAGCGTCATCCGCAGATCCTTGAAGTCCCTGTGAGTATTCTGTAATCGATTGGTGAGACAAAGTGGCAGAGAGCATAATATTGTGATCACCCACCTTGTAGATCTAGTTCGGTACATCTACGCTCCCGCCACCCGGAGTCGTTGACACTGGTGAATACCCCCCAACATTTTCCATTCAATGACATAGGCGCGATGCCTGCATCCTCGATGGCTTCATACCCAAGCTGCAAAATCAACCTAGCATTGGGGCTCATGGCCTGAGCGTCGGCCAAGGAAAGCCCGAAGAACTCAGCAAAAGAACTGACATCGTTGATTGTTGAGTCACTGATCCACCCAGACGGAAACATTAAGTGCTCTTCAGTTGGACACATTTCCCAGCGAGAGCTTGGTCGCTCGCGAGAAAGATGATCGAGGAATGAGTCGGGCGATATGAGAGCTGACCAAAAAGAGGACAAGTCATCAATCCCTCCAACAAACCGACATGCCGCCCCCGTTATGTAAATCTCGTTCATCGGGAGTAAGTCTAGGCCTGCAGAGGGCGTGCTTTGATGGAAAGGCTTTGAGGCTTTCTGAGTGTGATGACTGCGTCTTTCTTCTTCATTCGTGATGATAGAAGCCAAGTCACCAACCGTGTGCAAGCCGAATAGCTGGGCAGCTGTGATTTTGACAGAGAAGTGATCCGCGAGAGCCTTTGCCAGTCGCACCGATGCCATGGATGAAAGCGTATGAGAAAAAAGTGAGGTGTCACTACTTTCAAAAAGATCTTCTGGAGAATCGAAGATATCGGCCAAAATGACAGCGATGCGATGGATCAAATCGGAAGTGGGAGGCAGAACTTCCAGCGTCTTTGTATTGATATGAGGCGGCGGACCCGAAATTTCGACCGAAGAAAGTGGGGGAGGAAAAACCCTGGAGACTTGGCTATCATCTACCATTTCGAAGACCATCTGATTCACCTTCTTTCTGTGGAGAGTAGATTTTGTTGTCAGAGGGAGATCCTGAACGATAAAAATATTTTCTCTTCGAATACGTGTCTCGAGCGGCAGAGTTGAGTTAAGGCCCAGGACTGCATCAACAAGAGTACGCCAACAGACTGCTAGAGTATCGGCTTCTTCGGGTTGGATCAAGGCCAAAAGTTCATCACCCGGTCTGTTCCCTATGATGGCGGATCGACGAATTCCTTTCTGGGTATCAAGAACACGTTCTAAGGCTAGAGCGTTGACTTTTAAACCGGCGTTCAAGACCACAACGTCGTCGCTACGTCCAATGTAAGTGAGACCTAGATGCAGAGATGATTACAATCGCCTAGCACGAGGATATTTATTTTGCTCACATGCTAATGGCTCCATGTCCGCATTGTAAGGTGGGATGGCTTCGCCGCGGAGAAAGGTAACAGCATGGCCATGATCTTCTCGAAGACTATACAAGTCACCGGTACGGTATGTCGTTACGCGCGTGGTAGTGTCAAAATGAAAAGCGTCACTTTCGCCAGTGTCATAGCCAACTGGGAGGAACTGCAGAAGGTGTGTAAGCCGAGATTGGCACTGATCTGCAAATCACGCACGGTGCCACTAATGATAAGCTCTCCAAAGTCGTCTGAAGCATTGTTTTTTTCCAACGCGCCCATCAAGCCTTGAATAACTTGTAGTCCATTATGCCTTTGGCGACTGTCGAGAGCACGGCGAATACATATCGTGCCCACGGCTTCTGTGGCCCCTGAGCAATCAAAATATGCCATCCCTTGAGATGCCGCCCATTGAAAATGAGCCTCTGAAGTATGTGCACCTCCTACGCCCAAACTGGCGAGAGTACGAAGCCGTCGCACATCCTCGTTTGTACAGGCTTCGACCAAAGAGGCGAACATTGCCGGTATTGCCGTGAAAGCTGTCACAGGAGAATGATACTCGAGGGCAGCGAGAAGAGCAGGAGCTAGGGGGGTCGATGGTTCCAAAGATGGGGATGAAACTGAACGATCGAAAAAAATATATGCACCACCAGTCCGTAGCACAACTCCGCTATGTTTTCAATTAATCTCCCATTGGATTTGAAACCGAAGATAGCTCACCAAAAAGTGATACAAAACTCGAAACAATGGGAAAGTGGAAGCCAGCCAAGGTGTCGTTTGGGTTTTGACGAATATGAAGTTCCTCCAAGCATAAGCATTGCGCGAGTAGATGATACAGCGAGCATCTCATGTGTGTAGGAAACACACTTGAGAGTGGCCCAATCGACGGCTGAACTTGTAAACAGAGTTACAGCGCAACCTTCTTTTGGTATGACGGTGATTGGCAAGTCGGCGACAACATGCTGCAGGCTGACCTGACCAGGATATGCGGACTTGAGCCAACGAAGACACGATGGAACGAAATGTGATGTGCGGAGGGTGCTGGCATTTGATCCCATGGAAAATTCCTGAGGAATGACATCATTGAGGTTGATTATGGCAATGTTTGCTCCAACGGATGCTTTAAACAGAGATTCTTCCAAAGAGTCCAGAAGGCTCGTTGCCACAATAATGGCCTGAGGCGCGATCAGTGAAATCATCCCTGCCCAGAGGTGAGGGTCGGCACTAAGGGCTATGGGAACGACGGCTATGGATTTGCTCCAAAGAGCGAGACAACATAAAATGAACAGAGTGTTGTTAGGACTGAGAAGAATGATTTTCCCCTTGGACTGTGTAGCCAAGAGATGAAGCAGAGTGTCCAAGCGTGCAGGTATTAACTGCGTCGCAAGAATGTAGGCCTCCGAATAAGACAGAGAGATGCCTCTATCTTCAACCAGGAATTCGTTGTCATGGTTGTGAAGAGCGGTGTACTGAAGCACAGACAGTAGAGAATCAGGATCGGAAAGATGATTCATATTCAGTGCGGGATTTCGTATGGTTCGAGGGGACAAGACTGACGTGTTCGTTGACCGGGTATTACTATTTCTATGAAGGTAAGGCTCGCTCCGACCATGATTGGACCCTGTTGTATCGTGGATTGTTGGACGTTAGGGACCGTCGTGAGGGAATCAGAGATCAAGATCTAGGTGCCATGCTCAAGTCTGACCCGAGGCGCCTCGAGACGCTCACATCTGAGAAATCCATCAAGCTGTCGAAGCCCTGTGCTCGGCGAGCTTGACCGGTGTGATTGGTCAAATCATGCGACTATCACGCAGCCTGTTTTTGGCGAGTGTTTCAAAAAAATTGAGCCCATTACCGGTTAGACAGCTCTTGTCACACCGTGTCGGAGGAATCTGATTCGCGAGATCAAACGCTCGACCCGCCTCTCCGTGCAGCCAGCCCGGATAAGTCAACAAGGTTCGGGCGGAGCTCGAAAAAGCGCTTACAATGATGAATCTAAACTGGAAAGGGGGTGACCGGTGAACCCCACGTCCCAGTTCAAAAATATCGAAGGGGGGTCGCGAGAAATGAAAAAAAAGGCTTCGCTCGTGCCGACGCGGCAACCAAGCTAAAGGCCTGTGGAAAGGCATCCAGTGCTCTTGAGACTGAGCCCGTTTTGGATCAGATGCATCAATCTGAGAGAATGATGCTTGACGCCTGACGCTCAGTTATTAACATTCTAGTCAGGCAAGGTTCGGTCACTAAAAAAAGGCTACGCGCAAAAAAAGGCTACGTGCCAAAGGTTTGATGGTCACATGACCCTTCTCACTGAGCACGGTCAGCTCGACCTGAATCAAGTACGCGTGTACACTGATTCATGGAAGGCCCTGTGGTTCTGAAAGATTTCTAGTTTTACATCTCAATTAATGTTCGACTCTGATTAGTTGATTTAGGATTGCTCTAAATCCTGTAGAAAGGCACCCTGTTTCTCTGAAGAGAGCGTCGACATCAGAAGCAGAGGGTCATTAGCGGACGATTATATAGAAATCGAAATAATCTAAGTGTTTGGATAGGTGGTGCCTGAACGCACGCTAATAGCCTTGATAGTAGCAAGAAATTCATGCAATCCTGAGCACGAGGCGGCCTGGGGTCTTCGTCTCTCATAACGGATCCTGAAAGCGATGCAATCGCAGACTGGTTATAAAGCGTCTTCCCAGTGCTACTACGTGAGATACAACACTCCATAACTGTTTGAGATGGATCTGTCAGAGGACTCACCGTGCATTATCGGCTCAGCTTGTCGTTTACCGGGCGGGGTAACTCGTACTGACACTTTATGGTCTATATTTCACCAAGGCGATTGGACAGCTTCCAGTACATACCCGCCAGCATCTCGCGGCTTTGCTCGATACTCTAACGAGAGCGACGCTCCCGCTGTTCCAAGTGGACGTGGAGGTTGGCTGGGCGAGGAAGGTATCGAGCAGTTTGATGCGCATTTCTTCCACGTTTCACCCTCGGAGGCGCAGACATTGAGGCCGAATATTCGGCTTGCCCTCGAGCTAACCTGGGAGGCTCTCGAGAACGCTGGTATTCCGCCCTCTACACTACGCGGAAAAAATGTTTCAGTCTCGGTTGGAGTTGGTACCGAGGATGGTTGGGATATGAAGCGATGGTCGGATGACGGCGTGGGAGCCTTTGACCAAAATTGGGCCACGAGCAGTGACCCGAGTGGTGTGGCTGGATACGTTGCTCATTCATTCGACTTTCGCGGGTCTTGCAACACGGTGTCCAATGCTTGCGCCAGTGGTGCATTCGCTCTCAAAGATGGTCCAATCATATCCCTTTTTTTCGCTCGCAAGCCATTAACTTTGGTTCTATTGCAGGAATCAATTCATTACGTCATGAGTCTGCAGAACTAGCAATAATCGGCTCCATCACCACTCACTTCAGCCCGGCTCCTTTCGCCTGGGCAACTGCCTCAGGTGTAGCATCGCGAAACGGTCGCTCTTCCGCTTTTTCATCGGATGCGGACGGCTACTCTCCTTCCGTGTGTAGCTTTATCTCTACTTCTCTATCTGTGACGATAACGTATTCTTCATTTTCAGGAGGGCGCCATCTTCTTCGTTTTGAGAAGACGTAGCATGGCAGAATCTCTGGGCGAGCACATCCATGGAATGATACGCGCTCTGGCAACAGGACATAATGGCGCAACGCGGACGCTCATCACCCCCAACCCTGATGCCCAGGCTAATCTTACACAAAGGGCTCTTGTCGCAGCGCATCTCAAACCTGACGATATATCTCTTTTGGAAGGTATACATATATCTATATTTGAATACCTTGCACTTATTTCTGATGCATCTTTGATAAAGCGCATGGTACAGGCACACTGGTAGGGGATGCTTTGGAAGCGGAGAGCATTCAGTCAGTTTATGGATCCCGATGTGGCGAACCCTTGTTGCTCTCGTCATCCAAGACAGTTTTGGGCCATTGTCATGGCTCTGCAGCACTTGTTGGTACGTGTTATTTGATCTCTGCCTCTGATAGTGTGTACTCATATGGTCGTACGCCAGGAATTCTCAAGGTACTCACTTGCATGAAGCATCGCGCTGTGCCCCCACATCATGTCACGCCCCATTCACAGTTTAGTACCGGACACATAATCATCCCCGTCATTCCCACCCCCTTGAAGGCCGAACGAATATATGCAATGGTGAATGCCTTCGGCTTTACAGGTTCAATTTCGAGCATTGTTCTCGAAGATTTGCCGCAGAAACAAGAAGGGTGCCTTCTCTCATCCCAAGACTCACCTCCAATTAGTTCCCAGTTCTATTTTTTGCCCTTTTCTGGACATTCCTCAAAGACCCTCGCATCCCAGATACGTTGCATTTCTGCATGGGCTGTGGAATGTAAATGTAGCTTGCGTGAGCTTGCTACCATTCTTGGGCTTTGTCGAGATCATCATGATTACCGCCGCGCCATTGTCGTCAGCTCACTCGAGACCCTTTCAAGTCTTACCGCCGCGACCGAACTCCATGTTCTTGACTTCCCCTCAAAGTCTGCTTCTCGTACCTTCCAGCCAGAGCATAGGATCACTGCCGAACTTCTTGATATACAGAACACAGATTCAAGTGTGTTTGATGACCACTTTCAAAGACGGGATCTATCAAATCTATTGGAAACAGGGGATATTTTGGAGGCCGCCCAGGTGCTGTACGAACGTGGTCATCGTTTGGCATTCTCCTCTGTTTACGACAAACGTGAGATCAACCGGGAGATGTTACACTCTTTCCCGCTCTACCAATTTGATAGAAAGCGACATTGGAAGGAAGTCGCCACTCCGTATCGCGAAGAGTTTTGGGCCCTATCTTCCGAGACAAACTCCGAACCTTTATCGACAATCACACTCACACCAACGATACCTCTTCCCCAAACTCACGGTACCCGCATCAATCAAGACGTTTTTGAAGAACTCGTCAGAACGTTTGGAAGGCCTATTGACTTGGTAGTGGAACCAAAAGCTCCCAAAAGTGAATCAGGGGCTCACGTGCTTTTAACCGGTGGCAACGGCATGTTCGGTGTCAACGTACTCAGCCGGCTGCTTAAGGACTCGTCTTCGACTGTATATTGCATCATACGCGGAGATCCTTGGGGACGTTTGCGCGAGTCTTTCGCGAAGCATAATCTCGACCTTCAATTGCTGCAAAGTTCGAAAGATCGCGGTTCACTCCATCTGTTACGCACTACAGATATCTCAGGGCCAAAGCTCGGATTATCAGATACTGATTACGAGCTTTTAGTTGAAACCATTGACGAAATCATCCACGCTGCTTGGATGGTTAATTTCAACCTCCCTCTAGGCGAATTTCACCCTTTCATTCAAGCCACTAGGAATCTTGCCGAGCTTTGTGTCTGTTCGCGAAAGCTTGTAAGATACCACTTCATCGGGTCATACGCTAGCACCTTCAACTATCCCGAAGGCTTGGTTCCAGAAAGTATAACAAAGCCATTGTTGAAGCATTCGTTAAAACAAGTAAGCAACTAGTCAATGGCTCATATTGCAACCGCGTTCGTTGACTAGATAGCTATACAGGGCTACGCCATCTCTAAGCTGGTGGCCGAGCATTGTCTGCTCAGCATCCATCGAACGTCACCCTCAGCATTTCAGCTTGTTATCGTTCGAGTGGGACAAATTTGTGGCAACAGCAAGACAGGTTCTTGGTCCCCAGATGAGATGATGCCTATGATGATCGCATCTCTTCCAGAACTGCGAGCACTACCGTCTTGCTTTCCTGACGTCTCATGGATTCCGTCTGATATCTGCGCCGACGCGTTGCTTGACTTTGTCTTCTCATCGCGGGATAAAATCAACAACCCTCACATTTTCCACCTTGCCAATCCACGCATCGTTCCATGGACCGAAATAATAACCGAAATCGGAGAGTTTGCGGGAGTAGGATGTCTCCAGCTTCTTTCACTTCAAGACTACACAAATCTACTTCGGAGCGTCCAACATCCCCTCCCTGTGATGCGACTACTTCCGTACTTCTTGAGTTCATTGGAAGAGGGCACCATACCGCAGAAATTTGCATCTTTAGAGGTTTCTCATTCTCTCAGATTTAGCAATTCACTTGCATCTTGCCCACCTATCGGCTCTGAGTTGCTGAAGAACATTGTACGATCTGCCTTATCGAACAGGCCTCTGGCTCCTACGCTAGCAAATATATCTCCTGTCTTCGTGTTTGGCCCTTGGTCTTCTTACTCAGCAAACTCCGATCAATTGAAGATGTCAGACCCTATAGAGACCCGAATTATAGCTCTCGCAGAACAGATCCAAAGGAGCCTTGGTGACAATCTGATTAGACTCGAGTAAGCTTCATTCTGCTGATGCTACGCGTGCATGCAGCTAACATCTTATTAGTGCGTCCTTAGAGCAACAGCTCAAGACATTGGCATCGCAATTACGCATCGTAAAGCAGCTTGCGGATCGAGGCATCCTTCCCCGTGCAGTTCTTGGATACTGTTTCGGAGAGTATGCAGCTGCAGTCGCTGCCGAGATTATTTCTGAGGAAGTAGCCGTCGAGATTATTGTCCGTCGAGCCATGGTCCTTCGTACCATCAAGGGCGCCATGATCAACGTCTTTTGCAAACGCACAGTCACTGAACACTATTTGGCAGAGCTTTCTGACCCTCCCACTATCGCTATCATCGCTGGACCTGAACATCTCATCCTCTCGGGTTCTTATCTGCAAATCAAGCAAGCCGAAACTCATTTGCACATTCGTGGAGTGAAGACAATCGCAGTGCCCACCAGTCTTCCGTTTCATTCATCACTCATGGACGATGCCACCATTCTTTTAACCCCATACGAATTTCTTCCGAAGGACACGAGCATCTCCTACGTGTCAGGGATAACAGGTACAGCTATTCGAGGTCGGCGGCTGGGCTTCAAGTATTGGCTCAGGCACATGCGCGAAGCGGTCGAATTCTACGATTCGATGGACTACGTCCGGTCAAATTTTCCTGGAGAGCTCATCATAGATATTGGTCCCGGGGCCTTGATATCCAAAATCATCTCCAGGTATCAATGGGACGACATGAAAGTTCTGTCCCCTGTGGATGAAGCTTTAGATCTCACTATTCCGCCATCAAAGCCCACAAATTCAGTTCAACTTCCGACCACTGTTAGAACTATCAGCTCTACGCACGGGTATACGGCCGATCCAACGCACATGGCCTTAGATATTCTTTGGAAAATGTTTGGATACGAGCCTTCCAATGCGCTGTTGGCTCGCTCCTTACACTCCATAGGTTTGCAGTCGATGGACTTTATTCGGTTTTCTGATGCCTTCCACAAGCAGACGGGTATCTACGTTTCTATATCCGCTTTCGTTTCTGATTCTACCTTGAGCGAGATCGTCCGTAAAGCTCAACTCACGTCATTGAAGAAATGATCCTATCAAGTCTGTACGAGTTTTCGCAGTACTATATTATATCCTCTGGCGTCAAGTGTATGATCGACATTGTCGGAATATCAGTATAATATGATCCAACAGGCGAAGGTTTGGGTACGTTAGGCTTAGAGCATTGAGCACATGGCAGCACTTCATAACCACGGATCAGTAAGCGCTACACTCATATCAGCTGGAAGAAACGCTACTCGCGCTAATGACATGACATTCAAATCTTGTAGGCCAGGTGTCTGTCAAACAAAGCGAATCTTTGCGGAGAACAACCCACAAAGGTACATTCGAAAAGTGTCAAGAATACAAAGCGTAACTTCTGACGTAATCGTAATCGTGATTCACGTCTTCACTAACCCGAGGTGGCCCCTTTCCAGCCGTACTACATAACCATTCACCGCATCTGACGTAAAGCTCTCGGGACTAGTGTCGTTCCTCAAGATCTTGAGCGAGTTGATCCTCTTCAAGACCGCTTTAGCATCACTGTCTTCGGTATCAAGCACCTTGTCCAGATCATCCGGGCCCATAACAGGACCTGATAAATCTAACAGGCCACCAACACGTTTGTTCACTTCGGCGTATTGCTGATGCGTAGTTGGGGTGAAGAGGTTCCTAGTGAAATCGATCATTTTCGAGAATGAATCGTTCGTCAGCTTTACGGAAGTGTCATGTTCTCCCTGGTAGACTGGAAGGATAGAAATTGAATGTCCATGAAGCTGTCAAGTGGTGAACGAATGTCACTTACTTGGCCTGAAAAGAGCAAAAGCGGCCTCAAAATTGTCAGCGTTCATATCTTCGAGAACAGCCTCGTTCCCTTGATGTTGCATCTGCCGATAGGCACTGAGAACTATCATGAGGAAACTTGAACAACATGATTTCGCGGTTAGTAGTGGTCGATGTTATGATCGAGCCAATTCAATACCGTGTTTGGCATATGCCGATCTTCGCGTCGTGCCAGTTCTGCCCTTCTATCTCCGTGACTTGACCCTTCATCGAACCAAGGATAGTACTGGCAGCGGATAGGGCTCCAGTCATCGCAACGTGAACTCCGGAAGAGAAGAGAGGGTCAACAAAAGCTGAGATGAATAGAAATGTGAGCAGTCGATGCATGACGCGTTGATGTTAATCTCTCACCAGCAGCATCCCCAACGAGACGAAAGTGATCGCCGGAGTAGCAGCCTGCATGATAGCTATAGTCGGCAGTACTCTTCACACTGCTCTTAACGTAGGATCCCCTCTCTCCAATTAAACCTTGCACCCCGGGGGCCAGCTTGAGTTGTTCAAGATAATGCTCTTCAAGCCCCCCTGCATTCTCGGACTTCTTTCTGTTCGAATTATCTTGGTGCATTACCAAACCAATAGACGTTGTCCCGTCATGGAGAGGTATCAACCAAGCCCAGCCTTGCTTGTCTGCAAATGAAGGGAGCACATGATGATTTAGTATTGAGAAACAAATCGATGGAAAGGATTCACCTGTGAGGCACTCGAACCAAGGTGCGTTCGATCGAGGACCCCCTCGATCGAAAACCGACACATCCTTCCAATACCCGTATGCAGCAACATTTCGCAAGCCTTCACGATAGATCCTGTTCTTCAAATATCTGGTAGACATAATCCCCTGGCGTCCAGATGCATCAATAAGCCAATCAAACTTGATCACGCCACTATCTCCGGCTTTATTCTTCCAGTTGATCAAAATTGGACGTGCGGTAGATGGATCTCTATCGCTTTCAAACCCGATCGACTCCACGCGAGTCTCCTCATAAACTTTGACTCCCTGACGAGATGCGTGACGCAACATCAGTTCGTCAGATTCAGCTCTGACCTACAACAGCAATGAAGTGTGAGACAAGACCATTATTAGAATACAGACTACCCACAACGTTCCAAGTCGTCCTGCTTGGGCCAAGAATGGAGAAATCCGTATCTGTTATAAGAATTTTATGAGACCGAAACCGCTGCACTGCGGGTATATAGCTCGGGACTGACAGCATTCTCCCATACCGTGCACAAACTTGAACGCTGCCCCAGGCTACCATGATCTCTCGGTAAGAAAGCCAAGAGAGGAGCAGACGCATCGAGTTCCTCGTACCTTGTGCATGAATCCTCGAGCGTCGAATTCGTCTTCCAGGTCAATGAATCTTAGATAGTGCCTCATGGACGGCAGCATACTTTCACCGACATGTTCCCTTTCAGAGCAATGAGTATTAGTATCATAAAGGAGTGATGTCACGTAACATGCGACTATACAGACCTAGGATGCTTAACCGCTTCGAGGAGGACAACGTCGACTCCCTCACGCGCAAGTAACGTAGCCGAATAGCTCCCTCCTGGCCCCCCGCCAATTACCACGACGGTCGCTCTCTCTGGCTGAATATAAGAAGACGGTCAATAACGAGTGTATTGAATGAAGTGGGTCATTTGGAGTGTATATTGCACATACCACTTTACTCATTCTCGAATCGATGATAGTATGAGGAATATGAACGCGGAAGCATTGGATCTAGATTTATATAAAGCATGCCAATATCAGGGTTCCGTGAGTAATCCCTGAATTGCTAACATGTTAATAACTTATGTTATTAATATTGTTATTAACACTGTTATTAACAGGCCCCCTCCAGGGGGGCACAATGTTGATGTTAATAATGTTCATAATGTTCGAAATTGTATATAATGATCAGCAATTGTATTTACATTGAAATGTACATATTTGGGCAAGGGCCAGGTGGAAATATTGAAGGTTGTGGCTGTACAATTATGTCTTCCCTGCAAAATAATAATTTTGTCTCGGACTGCATCGGTTCCCGCTCTGGACATTCCATTACCCATTTCCCCCGCTCGCGCCATGTCCACCGAGTCAAACGACGTCAGCTTTGAGACTGTTCTCGCGGAACTGCATCACCTGCTATTGGGCATACCCCCGGAATCAAATCTGCCTTTCGTGGAAAATTCTCAGGACTCACATTATGCATGCTTCCTCAACTTCTCTCTGGACCCTGATCTGATGGAGAAGATCGAAGATGAGGTCGGGGTATTCAGTGAACAATTCAAGTCAGTTTTTGGCTGGCAAACACGGTCGACTGGAGATAGAATCATACCGGAGCTGGTGACTTCTTGTTATTAACACCACTTTCTTTATTAACATGTAAATAAATCGGGTTTTAACATGTTAATAACGCTTTATATACAATTGTTATTAATCTGTTATTAACTCATGTTAGAAATTCCTCGGAGAGGTAAATGTTATTAACATTTGTTAACAACTGTCCGTGAATTACTCACGGAACCCTAGCCAATATCCAGTGTCAGGGATGCGTCCCGGAACTGTCCATGTGAGTGGCGTAGTGCCCTCGGCCCGGATGACTAAAATCAGTATTTCCGAATCTGATATCTGCACCGTATACCGGCACGCGGCGTTGCGAGAAGGCAGGTGTAAGATTCTCAATTCTTACATAAAGGCCGATAACGATGCATGATGCATGAGGCCTTGAGGCATGAGGCATTTCTCAGGCTGTCGGACCATCTCAATCATCGGGATTCTCAATGCTGCCAAATCGCTTAGCGCTGGACGAGGGCCATAACATCATGACACCAATAGCTTCCGCCATCAGAGTCCGTCGAATTCGAACGCTCGTTTCTGGGCGTCATGATCATGATGGTGATTGAAAAGGGATATATGTAGGTTTGGCGGACAAATGATGGAAGACCGTCGTCAGCGCGTAGTTCTAAAACCGCATCATAATGTTGCGATGTAGCGCTTGGTTCCAATTGGTTCAGACAATGATTGATGAACACATAGGGGCAGGAAACTCCAATGATTCTTCGAGAGGGGGCTTGGCGTTGAAAGACGTCTGGTTGTACAGGGGGCCGTCCTCAGGCCTCAGGCCTCAGCAGCAGTAGTAGTTCGTGATTCGCTCTTAGCAAGCCATCTTTACCCAAACTAGTTGCTGCCAGGACTTTATAAATAGTAGCGACCGCCACTAGTGACACTGACCAACCATTTGCGATAATCGATCGTCTCCCGGCACTTGAGTGCTAACCAGGAGCCTGCCAGCAGCCGATGTATCGGATGTAAAGGAGTCGTAAAAGGAAGATAACAGAGAAGCTCATGATCTGCGAAGAATGGCTGGAATTGTGTGCCGAGTGACCATTCCTGAGGCCTGAAGCTTGAAGGCCTAAACCGCCAGAGTCAGGAAGGGTTGAGTAGGAGGCTTTCCAATAAATATTAGAATCCATAGACATCGGCTCTTCTCGTTCAACACTGTATATTAAGCGAAGAGTGGTTTGACATGTAAGCACATGTACAAGAATGGGGAGCATGCTTCAAAACAGTCCACATTGCACAGACAATCCTCAAGACATAAGGATTCAAGACACAGTTCCCACCGCCTCAATCTGTCTCTCCTTCTCCATCTGTTGCACAACGGGAGGAACAGTGTTTCGCATAAAAAAGAGTACACCGAGCGTCTCGACGGCAGTGAAGGCGAACAAAAACCAAAAACCAGCCGACCTCCCCTGAAATCCATTGGAACCGCCATGACTTTCCTGAACGCTGGTCTGAATGGAAGTGACGATCGCTGCTCCAGCAGCAGAACCTAATTGAAGTGCGCAGGTAAAGACGGCACCGACTATGCCTGCCACCTCAGGAGGAGTGATGGCAAAAAGCGCAATGCTGCACACGTAAGCAGACATTTAATCGTTGAGAACATGCCTCATGGGAGCGACTCACTTAGTTGTTGCAAATACCATTGTCATACCCGCTGTGCCAAGGCAGAATCCTGGAAACGCAAACCGCCAATAATGCTCCTTGGAGTCTGCAAACGGGAACAGGACAGTCCCAGCAAGGACGATGATTTCTCCACATAAGATCACCCATTTCAACGAGAACTTCTGCTGAAGAACGGACGCTAGGCCCATGGTGGGAAACGACACAAGTCCCAATGGAAGGCTGTTGTGACGAAGATGAGATGAGTGATTTACGAAAGGACGAGCCGGAAAGTTATAATTACAAATGCACCGCAGTGTTTATTGTGGACCACTCAAAAACTTCTTGATAGTACCACGAAAACAGGAGCTGCACAGCTGCCCACCACATGAAGGGCTGCAACCCCACAGCGATCAATATAGTGAAGTTCCGATACTTCCACATCGATGGAGGCCTAAAAGAGCGAGCAGATTGTCAGCAGCGAGGTCGGAAAACCCGATAACAAGATAAATCACACCGCAGCAAGCGATTCCGGTAAATACAGCTCCCAGAGGAAAAAAATGACTGCTAGGAAGACAGAAAGAACAAGAGGAGCTATGACCCTGGCTGATCCCCAGCCATCAATTGATCCAGACGTGACGGCGAAGATGAATAAAACGAGCGCAGCTAGGTGCGCCAAGAGCCTCAGCTTTCTACAATCGTATATTATAGATTTTGTACCCACCAGTCAGTAGGGATACACCAATCAGATCAAGGCGCTTCAAACGACTATATTGGCGAGCTTGTCCAACAAGTGACGGTGAAGGTGAGTAACTCGTGGACGGAAGTAAGACAAATGAGAGTATCGCTAGAACAAAGCTCAGGATAGAAACAAAATAGAAAACCCATGGCCATGACGCAAAGGAAACCAAGCATGCACCAATGATCAGCCCGATCACTTGAGAATTTGAACACGTGTTATTGCCTGATTGGAAGCACGACCTGGTTGAATCAGAGCGCACCATTTCCGATAGCTGCTGCCCCGGCAAATGCAGCAAGGGCTCTCGACTGTGCAGCAGGATTCGGGAAGAGTCGGATAATGAGAGCCATTGCAGAAGGTATATTGAGTGCCGCACCTGAAGTGAGCGACGAGAACGGTAATGCGAATCAAAGCGAAAATCCATAGGTCCAAAATGACTCACCAACTCCCATGAGGGCACGAAGAACAATAAGCGGGACCTCAACACGTACGAACCCAGCACCGAGGGCGCAGAATGACATGAGTAGCATTCCAGCGACAAAGACATATTCTGAACGAACGGTCAAGGATGCTTCATTGTAGGCACTGCTTGACACGCACTAGGATCATATAAGTCACTTAAGCGGCCACTCTGTATGAAGCTCAAGTCAATAACACATCTCACGGTTAAATTTCCGCTGAAGGATACGCACACTGAGTAAAAGGGCTGCGAACGTGAGTTGATATGCACTGATGAGCCAAACAGATGTGCTATTGACAATGTGCAGGTCGACAGATATGGGTGGAATGGCCGCAAAAAGAGAGGAATTGTTGAACGCATCGAGGAACTGAGCAAAGCAGAAAATGATGAGCAAGATGTACTTGAGCACGGCCGGGAGCGAGCTGTGGTCGACAAGTGCATCGCTCCTGGCACGGTCTTCGACGACGGAAGCCATGGCGTACAGGATGTGAGGATGTATACGACTTGCGATACTCCGCTCTGCGAGTGCAAGGTGTATACCTAGGGGAGGTGGCTGGGCAGCGGGCTTGACACGCCCAATCATATCGAAGCCTGAGGCTAGCTAACCTGTGTGAAAGCATTCCCATTTCAGCTTCCGGAAAAGATAACGCACCAACCTGCAACAGTCCGCAAGGCTTTTTTTAGCTACATAATTGCATAGACGGCGTCTCAGACATACAAGAAGCCATCTGTAATAATGTGACAAGAAGCCTCCCTCCATGCGTCAAACCGGTACATCCTGATCAGATATTTCAACAATATCACCCTGTCCTTTCATCAAGAGCTGAGCGCTGAGCGCTGAGTCCTGACAGCTACAGTGTTGGCTTCAGCTCCCCTTCATGCTCAGGCTCTCTGGTCGCGGAGTCATCGCTCCACCGTATACTCCTCTATGATCTCAGCTCGAGTCGTTCTCCATTGACTTACTAGATGGGAAATTTGGGTCACCAAAAATCGAGACTGACACGGAGACACATGTACCTTACCTTGGATTTACATGTTAAGGGCTGTTGAGCGCCTTCCAAATCCGCATTTACAACCCTCGCATTCTTGGTGGATCTCGAACAGAAGGTAGCTGTCAGGAAGCATGCAGGACCCTGCTGGCTTGACAGCCTGAGACCTGGAGGCGATGGGCCATACGGACGGGTCTGATCGGTACACCCGGTGGCCGGTATACCCGAGGGCGCCGGCTGAGCGCTGGCCTGCGCTGGCGCCTACCATAAAATCCTAATGCGGACAAAAATCTACAGAAATGGTCCACATGTCTCAGTAGAAGGGCCTGATTTTGCAGAAGGTCCGATTAAAACCGCATCAAAACAGGGCCCGTCAAAACAGAGGTCACCCGCGGGCCACGTCGCATCCAACAACTCCAACAATTCGAGCCTTCTAACAACTAGATTTATCACGAATGTCATCCTTTGTTACCACTTATCTGACAACTGACAACAGCACACAACAGCGTGGCGTGATGACAGAAAAAATATTAACCTTGTCCAAGACACATGACATAATAACTAATACTATCAATAATATAGTGCTCGGTAATTTAGGTGTGTTCGGTAATAGCTCGAGGAGAGATAGTTCAAGGAATACCTGTTTGGTAATATCTGTTTGCTCACTTGAACTAGCTAATCTTGTCTGATTTGCATGGAAATATTTGACTGAGGTAGCATAAGATATGTCTACACTGTAAAACTTTCTCCGGGGACAGATACAGTGTCATCGCTGAACTGCAGAACATCGTCCTCGTCGAGCGCGACAGTAAAGTCACGCTTGACGAATTAGGAACTTGGTTCAATCTCCGCCAGCGGCCCGTTTGGAAATATCCAGAGAATGAAAGCAACATGTAATGGACAAGCGGAGAGGTCGGCAGCTACTGGTTCACTGCTGAAATAGTCCAGCGCCTGCTAAGCAGATTTCTTTTTTGAGGCCCATCGTTATGAATCCGGCTATAACGCAACAGTCAGGGAGACTGGACATGCTTGAGTGCGGCATCTACGTAGGACCGTGGATGTCCTTCGATCTAGGGCCCATCTAGCTGATGCCGTTACACGGTTTGATGTAGAGGACAAGCAGGAGGCAGAAGTAGATGCGATAACACCTGATCCAGGCGTGCCATGCTGATGATATCGCATAGCATTCGCATAGATTCGCATAGCCTGTGAATTGATGTACGTAACACTCACTCTGACTGGACATTCCGCCGAGTCTATCATCCCCGCTAAACGGCCCGGATCCAATGGCAGGCATCTATGAACCGACCTCCAGAGTACATGAAAGGACTGTTTGGCACTTGTAAAGTTGAGCTCCTTCCACGGCCTTCATACATCACACATTTTTTCGAGATGAACTCTTCGACTTCAGGGAGTATTGCTCTGCCTAACCCGGAAACTCCTCTGGCCTTCCTCCCCCCTACTCTAGCAGGCCAGTTCGAGGTTTCTAGATATCTTTTGGTTGCAACGTGTGGGGTAGGTGCCAAGAATATCCTCTTAAGATGGTTCAGCGATCAACGTGATATCTTTCAGATATTTTCTTGGGACGTCCTGACCAATGTCGGAAACGACTTGAAGCTCCTGACATAATATCGATTTTCCTTGCCTACATTCGTCTACTTTGTGTCAAGGTAAGTATCGTCGATTTAATGGCACGCTGTCATGCCCTAAGCGCAACCATAGAATAGCCGCATTTGCCTATATTGTCACTGGAACAGTGTTTACAAGTGAGAAAAGTCTTTGCATTTGGAGTGAATTCTATACAATTTATATCCTATATAGTTGGTGCAGTCGGCGACTGCCAAGCCCTGCAAGTTGCCATTGGTTGCTGCTTTGCAGTAGCAGTTCCTGCAACCTCGCTTCTTTTTTTCTTTCGTATTCGGGCAATATTCAACAGCGACAGGTTCATCGTTGCTTTCTTCACCTTCATGTGGTTGGCAACCCTCGCTGGGTCGATAACTGTTCCATTTGCCATTACCGGAGGTCACATTGCTCCTACCAATTACTGCATTAATACGGGTGTCAAACCCTTCAGCTCCATTGGCATCAGTATCTCTACCGTCAACGACACGTTGGTTTTTTTCTCTATCTCATGGCATTTGCTTCAAACGACATCGTACGACGAGACCTTTCAAGGTCGTATGAAAACATTCTTCGGTGGGAAGGGGCTTCCCGCTTTCTCGCAATCACTCCTTCAAAGTGGACAAGAGTATTACTTGTGGGTTTACTCATGCCGACATCGCATTGCTGTTGTTGATGCCTTTGTAGGATCACTGTTGGCGGCAATATCCTGACCATGGGTATGATCCTGGCCCCGCCTTCTCTTCGTCTTCCATGCCATGTTCACTGTGCCGAATGTTGCCATTGGGGACTCCATGGCATGCCACATCTTTCGCGATATCAAATTTGGTCGCATCAGCTTTAGTACCACCATTGGCAATACAACTCTTCCCATGTTCGCGGCGAAGAAAAATCTAAGAGCCAATACTCTTTATGATACTATCCAAACGCAACCAGAATCACAGTCGACTTCAGGTACAGAGACTACACCACATATTGGCGTTCACATATCTAAGACTGTCCACCAAACGTCAGACATACCGATGGCGGTTATGTTCCCTTCCAATAGCATGTCTGAGGAGCTGGATGACAAAGTAATGCCTGCAGAGCAGTGAGTTATATACGCCATTACCTATCGTTTCACTTGATTGATCGAGCCCCTCTGCAAGGAATTGACAGTGGTGCTTCAGATTGATTTGATAAATAGCTCGTTTTTTTTTCTTGTTTCTGACGGATTTCTCATTATCGGATATCTATTCATGTATACATCGAGAGGTAGTCTGCTATGGGTAGTGAAGTACACTGTATCTATGAACCTCTTCTTGAATTGCGTTATTCGAATGAGCATCACAAGTCAACATTGAAATTGCACGTCTTCAATGTTGCTATTCAGCGACAGTCGTTTAGTGCAGATCAAGGCAAGATAGCGATCGGCTCGGGCATGAGATATTTGTAGATATTCAGTATGCCCGGATGATCTGATAATTCATGTTCAATCAGCGTCCGCCCAATAGTGCAGCATTGTGATTGCTAGGTAGCTTTCTTTGAAGGCGGCACCGAATTCATCAGCAAACTGGGAGGCGTCTGTCCGAAGCTGGACAGACAATGCCAGAGCCCCAGACACCTTCAGCGAGTCCCCAATTATACAGACACAGTGTCTGCTGGACTGATGCTTGCCGGAGCTGCCTAGACACTGTCCAGCTGCTAATATTTTGGTGCTCCGAACAAAAAAAGTATCTTGACAGCCTCTGAGCAGCTCTGACTAGTTTAGAGGCTCTTGTCAGATGTTTCCGGTAGCAGATACTACACCCCGACAGAATTTGTAGAATATGAAAAATCTCGTGAAATTTGACCAAAAACTGTATATATTTGTCGCATTTGAACACCGAACAATGAGATCAAAACGGCAGTAATCAACAGTCTAGAATTAGTGAAGTAATTGTGAGGTGGTATTACGGAAGGAGAGAGGTTATAAAATGAATGATATGGGACAGCGAGTGACATTAGGCAGGGCGGAAGGATGATGTCATAGAGAAGAAAGAATTAATCATTGATATGGTCTAAAACGGAGCATCGTTAGACAGGAACAAAACGGAAATAAGGAGTACAGACAGCGGTGGCCCAGGGATGCCAAAGTCTAGCTTGAGTCCATAGTCGGTTCGGCCAGACTTCCGTTGAGCCGCTGCAACAACTTCTGGGCTTTTGAAAAATCAGAATAAGAATAATGATTAGCTCCACACTCACAGTCCCTTTGTTGCCCATCGCTGACACATGCACTGGTATGTGGGTCCGAATGTTGGGTGGGCCTTCAAAGTTTGAATGAGTCCTACGATTGCACCGAAGTCTTTTTCATATGCTTCTTTCGAGAAGTCGATAGTCTTGTGTATGCCGCCCTCCCATTCCTCCAGACAGTTCTTGATCTATTTGCATAGATATTAGTACATTAGTGATACAGACATGGGAGGAGACCTTACGACACAGATTAGTAGAGCCATTGTCCTATCCGGAACAACATCTTTGTATGTTTCTGGAAACAGGATACCCAAAGATTTCTTGTCGAAGTAGAAGAATGTGTGGCACAACAACATAATTGCTGGATGCCCGAGGTTTAGGATCATGCCCTGAAAATACATTTAGCTTATGGTGTACGACACAAACGTCACTCATATTTGTGTCGCAAGGGCCATGCATGAACTTCCCATCAGTAAGTAACTCAACAACCCGCGCACGAATGCGAGCTTGATATCCGGCAGCGTCCAAGTTCTCAGCAAGGTCGGAGGCAGAGAGGAGATTGTAGGATGTCTGTACAATCAAGCGTGCAATACGCTTGAGCTCACCTCGGAATGTTGACCCATCCTCATGAACCTGACAAACTATAAGAATCAGTAGTATAGCGTATGTGACCAAAACATACTCCTTTAATCATATCGTGATCCAGCAGCTGACCTGCAATGTCGAATATGATAAGCAAATAAGAGATTCACGAGACTACACTAACCTGGTGGCAATAGCTGTACCCTGAAGTTCTGGGTATACTCTGCGACCGCTTCATATATAGATGCCGTCGAATGCCTTAGAGAAGTCTCGTATTCAGGGAATGGGTCGATGGATGCCAGCCATTTACGGTGCCTTAGGCGAGCCTGAACAATTACGTAGCGCCAGTGCGATGGAAGGGATCCGAGTTTCTTCAAGTCTCTAGGGTCAATATCTATGGCCGATTTTTTGCGTGGGTGATTGCGCTGGCGCGTGTTAATTTGAAGTGATGAATGAGCTCAATGAAAAGATCATTAGCAAGCAGTTACATAGAAACAAAGGAACATATAAATTCTGCCTGCGACAGGCATTACCGATGGTGTCGACATCCTTGTAGCGACTTGGGTAAGTTGATTGACATCTGGCGCTCTTGGTGTGCCATTCCGGCGCTGATGCTCGTGAAGTATATCGGTGGGCTGCAGCTGTCATGTCTGAGGTGCCTAAAGCAAAGTAATCAGCACAAAAAAGAATCAAATAAACAAAATTGCAGACCAGTTGGGATGTAATTATCTCACGCAAAACCCCACCGCCACGTTCTGTGACCACAGCATCAGTATGTGAAGCTTGATGAGAGTGCTGGGGGCTGCGTTGCGATCCACACGTCTGCTGGTTATCTGCATCATAATTATCATGGCCATAGTTTCAAGATAGTTATAGCCAAAGAAACTCACTATTAGTGTTCGTTTTCCGACCATCATCCTCAGACTCTGAACCCTCCATTTCCTGCTGGTTCTCCTCAATATCTTGAAGGTGATCTTCGGTATCCTCATCCTCGATCTCGTCCTCATCCTCAATTTCATCCTTACCCTCAATTTCGTCCTCACCCTCAATCTTGTCCTCGTCATCCTTGTCATCCTCATTAAACTCTTCAATACTATCATCCGAGGCTTCACTGTCTTTGTCTGTATGCCTAGAGTTCACAGGTTGCACCGGTAGATTTGGCGGCCTCTGAATCGGAACAGGTATGGAGCACGGTGCAGGAACAAATGCACCGGCATTATATGCCGGAGTTCTTGCAGCGTAGGTCGAAGGAAGTGAGTCAACGTCGCTAGAAATTGCACCATGAGTATGCTATTATGATAGAAACAACGACAGACCTCTGTGCCTCTTTGCCATTACTTGAATAGGCTGGTTGAGGTTGAGGTTGAGGTTGAGGTTGAGATTGAGGCTGAAGTGTTGTAGAAGGGGAAGGTCCTCTAGATGTGGCAAGTTGACGATGATGAGGCATTGCTTGAAGACCTATCAAATAGGGATCAATCTGTGACATATGAACTGAGCTCGAAGAGAGGGCGCTTCACAAGGCAGGAAATTTGGGAGGAAATCCAAACCCGGGCGGAGGGCCAAGCGCTCTGTCATCAGCAGGGATCCGAATGGGAACTGGTGCTGGTACAGTATGGGTAACTAGAGGGTTTGGAATCTCCTGGCCTGTAACAGGTCCCAGAATAGACTGAAATACAGCATTTATCACAAATTTGTGAACGATAGATGACAAGCTTACTTTTTTCTGGCGGCGCTTTCGCTTTGCTAGTGGTGGAGCCATTGGATTTTCGGCAATCCTCTCTGTGTCGTCTAGGCCTTCGGGAAATGTATGACGGCTCACTCAACGATGCTTTGGCACAAGGAGAGCTTCTTCAATATGTTCTCGTTGGAGATTCTGTCCACCTTGACCTCGGTTGGCCCTAGTGGATTGACGTTGGGCCTCCATGATTGGAATTGCATCTGCTGCCGGCCGCTTCTTTTGCCTTCGACTTGGTTGAGAGGCAGATACTAGAGAATCAAGGGTAGTCAGAGATGCACGAAAGGGTAATACATAGAGTAGTCAGCACCTGCGTCAATGTCCATTGACCAATCCATCGTAGAATTCACTGTGCGATCTGAGAACGATAAATAGCAATATAAGGACGGACTGAAAAGCAGATGGAAGGACAAGAGATGATTGTGAGTCTTAAATATTAGATAGAACTACAGTACTGCTGCACGCGACATGAAACAGAAGAATGGCAACAGCCTGTCGATTGAACACTGCAGTGCGGTTTCTTACTATACATTGACAACATGGCGGAGAACAGCATGTGAAAATGACTAAGTCAGCAGGTTGTAGATCTCCCAGTTAGCATACTTATTAACAAAAAATTCGCGAGTGAAATGGAAGCTATTCTGGGCAGTCAAGCGAGGATCAGCCTTGGCTCCATAACGAGGAATCAGTTGAACCGGTGTACGTATCTGAGACAGTGGAATAACATCACCAAGCAGCGAGCTGTCCGCACGAACGGCACGCTTCACAATGTACATTCCCGAGCTCGCCTCAGGTGACAGGTGGCTTGTCCCAGAAGCTGCAAATGACGTTTGTGGAACAATATCAAAGCGGTGGCCGTACATGAGGTATGGGTGTGGGTGTGGCTGCGACTGCCCCGTGGAGAAGATCAGATGGAAGATAAGGCAAATTGACACAATAGAATGACCTTGAAGGAGTCATCAGCACCAAGTTTTATGACGTGAGCAGAAACCAACCTTTCATTGTGGATAAAGGAGGCCAAATGGCATCACTTGTGTTGGCAATAAGCGCGGTGTCATGCCTGCCGAATGGCCAGTCTGCCGATCTTGGACTCGCTTGAATATTGTAAGGATTTGACATCTCATGCCCTCGCAAGGGCTTGACCTGCACATAAGCGTGTGTCCAAACGTCAACATGCGAGAAAGGAAGCAGGCAATTTGGTTGTGAAATTCGACGTCCACCGATAGCATGCACTTGCTGTCCAGCCTGGAGCCGCAGCACATAGTCTGCAAGGGCAGGTCGAAGGTCTGGAAGCTGGAAGGAACTGGTGAGATCATCCACGGAGACTGCAGACAAGCATGGTGTACGATTAAGGTGAAATGCGGTAAATGGCGTCATGAAGGTGCGAGGAGAGCTGCTGGTGGTGTCGATCCGAGATTTCCACATAAGAATGATTGCTGCCTTTGCAAACAGGTCCGTACAATGTCGACGAGGGCCGGTCAAGTTCTCTACAGGATTAATCACTGATTTCCAAAGGTTTTCATCATCATCGAGCTTGTCGTCATCAGAGTCATGACCAGAATCCTCTGACACATAGCTGCTACTGAAAACAGCGGCAAGGTCAATTCCCGCGGACTTGATAGAAGTTGCAAGATCAAAATGACGACGCCGCTCTGCGCGATCCATAGCACGACAAATCTGCGAGTCAAAATCACGATAGTTGCTTGCGCGAAATGGCTCCTTCACAACTTCAATGTGCGCGTGCTCTGTGACATCGGCAGTCCATTGCATTAGCGCTCCCATCGCTCTGATACTCGGTACAACACTCTACATTAGCTCAAGTTTAGGGATGTTCCAGTGCATGATCGCCTTCCGCTTGCCACGTCTTGCGCCGGCATCAACGATAGCATGTTTATGATAGTGAAATTCAGCTAGCGCATCCGAGATTCGACGTATGATTACCTCGTCAATCTAGGGGGCTTGAGCAAGGTACCGAAAGTCCATCAGAGCACGGATTGCGACAAGAAAGCTAGGTAGAACAGCTCCTGCGATACAAGCAACAAAATAACGCTGTATATCACGCTGTTCTCTGCCAGTGACCTGTTTTAATGTAGAGATACCATTTTCGAAATGTCGAAATCCGACTTGTAGCTAGATGATAGAAAAGCGAAAGTCCAATTCGGAATCACCAATGGTATTTCGGCACCAATGAACGTCATGATCAAGGAACTGTTTGTGCCATTGATAGAGCAGCTCCGGCGTGAGAAACAGAGAGGGGTCAGACCGTGCCCAGTCCGACCAAAAAGGGGAGTCTACGCCATTCAATTTTGCAGCCTTCGCAGCTGGTACATATGCCTCAAGATCCTGTGGATTAACACGGCTATTCAAGTCTTGAATCTGAGCCAGCGTAACTGACGCAGTCCGAGAAAGGTGACGGAAGGGATCGCCGAGCTGTTTTGATGACGCAATCGTGACCGGTGAAGACTTTCCGCCCACAGCAGCAAGTAGCTGACCTTCTGGGTTATCAATGATATATGCAGCTAAAGGAGTAAAACAAAAACACGAATAGCCACGAGGATCTGTCATCATACGGCCATATCTTGCGGCTATCTTCAAGTCCTCAGTGACAATGCTCAGACACTGATGAACTACTCGGCTCTCCAACGTCCCGCGAAGATTTTTGGCACATAGAAATTTTGGAATGGGAAGGAGGGCAAGGAGTAAGAATGCATGATTTGACGCTTTCATGCGAGTGCCGGCAAAGAGATTCGCAAGCGAAAGAAGGAGCGGGTGAGCCGATCGATTGCCTGTTCCAGCAGTGAGCGTTGTCTTATCTGACGAGAGAATAACGCCAAGTAACGTAGCACCCTCGGGCAGTGTCGACTGTCGAAAGTTTGAGTAAACGGAGTACCACAGGTAGAAGATCACATACCTGAACATCCCAAGCACAGTCACCAGTCATGTACTCGCTGAAAACACAAACAAGCCTCTCTACGCTCTGGTAGACGTGTCGAGGCACATAGTCAATGCTATTTGAAAAGGGGGGGTTTGAGAACAGCGCTTCAAGACAGAGAACACTGTTCCTCCGAAACAATGTCATCGGCTGCTTTGTAGGGTATCCGGGCTGAGATATGGGCTCAGAAGTCCAACGAGGAGCTTCCGGTAGCAGCTCGATCTTTGCACGGAGATCTTTCATTGTGCGAAACGAAAATGGTCGAGTTTTGACCTAATGAGTTGATCAGCTTCATATTAAACCAGAAGAGGTGAGACGTTGATGAGCATGCACCCGCGCTAGGGTCCGAGGGAGGTATTCGCAAAGCTTTGGGGAGATACCGAACAGCGCTAGACAAGTACCGAAGACGCCGACTTTTACCGAACACGGTCGGTCCCTACCCGACCGACGACAAGCCACCGAAGGATGTTCGGCAGCACTTGGGTCAGTTTGCCCACACTTCACGTACTTACCATGACCGCATAGGAGTGTTACGATAAGTGTTTACGAGATCGGAGCCAGTATTCCGTATCGGCCGATGTCCTCCGTGAGTCGGTCGGTCCTTATCGCTTATCTTCCTGACTTCCGCATGGTCGGTCAAATGCGATCTTGCACCATTGCTTGGCCACCCTGGTCGTACGATACCTCTTCTTTATTTTTCATTGGTTCTCCAACGCCTGTTCCGTCTACCTACGCTCGGGCGATGGATCCCGAACGTTCGGGATTTCGCCATCGCTGATTAACTTTTACCTTATCACCTTCGGAACCCATATGGACATCTCACCTACCTTCTTATCTTCTCTGATCGCTAAGGCTTGGCGCCCATTCGACATCTACTCTCATTTCTTGTTTAATATTTTACTTAGAGGCTCTGTTTACTATAAAAACCTACATACAACTCTGGAATAAACCAGCTTTCGCACCCCACAGTTCAGAGCTCATTCGCACTCGTCTCAACCATCGAAATCGTCTTCATCGACTCCCGAAAACTTGTCATCCTCGTCGTTCGGCCTCATTCGCGTTCGTACTCGTCACTTCACTCGTACCCCCATCCTCCCTTGTATATTGTCAGAGTCCCGTGTGGCTCTTGAAGCGCGTAGTTGTCGGTCGCGACACTACCTTCTCGTTACCGACCGAATCCCTGACTCGACCGACCGAACGTTCGGTCGGTGTTCGGCGCAGTCCCGAAACCGTGCGGGCGCTATAATCTCATACTCCCCATTGCTTCTCAGTATGCCATCGATTTCTAAAGTCATCACTAACAATTCCTTGTGTATTAGATACTAGCTCCAGCACCCCCTGCATTAGAGGTTGTTTTGGTGTTGTGCTCGGCACTTAGAGCCACCTCTAGCGTATCATTTTGGAGCCCACCGCGAGGGGTTAGTATTCAAAATTACCTCAAGGAATCTACGTCGCTTGTCCCGACCAACAGCGGAGCGCGAAGAACGACAAACAGTTATCGACAGCTTCAATACTCAGGAAACATCTGCCGACCGAAGTTTGTTCGGAGACGCCGATATAGTCCCGGAGCATCTATCCCACCATCACTATCTTGATCTTGAATCCTCGCCATCGCTCTCGCCGCCACCCGACTCCACTTTCTTCTTAACCCCACCTTCGTCGCCAAACCGATCGCTACTCCCGCTGATTTCCCCCATCCTCAACCTTGCGCTCTTAGAACAATCACCCCCGTCTCCTAGCCCATCTCTCCACGACTCCATCTCTCCGTTAATCCCACGCAGCCCCGTCTTCTGGACGCCGACCATCCGACCGACTTCGCTAGAACGCTCCTTCGAACCAGCGACTCCATCCCCGATCACCTTAGCAAACAATACCTTCTCCCCCACCTTTGACTTTCTCACTATGGCGACCCCATCCATGCCCGCTCGTGGAGATCGAACGGCTCCGACCTTTGACCCCCATCAACCCCGCGAATTGAGACGATATTTCGCCGATCTGGACTTCCACTTCGTTCGGTCTGCGGTAGCAGACGAGCAGGAAAGGAAGAAACACGCTTGCCGATTCCTGGACGTCGACACCTGTGAGCTTTGGGAATCGCTCACCACTTTCACCGACGCCACGAAGACATTCAAGGAGTTCGGCGAAGAGGTCTACAGACTATACCCCGGATCGGAGGAAGAGCGCAAATGGTCGGTATCAGATATGGACAAGCTCGTCGGCGAAACGAGCAGGGTCGGCATCTTGTCTCTCAGCGAACTCGGCGACTATCATCGGCGATTCCTGGCGATCACGGTATTCCTCCTCAGCAAGGCACGAATCTCGGTCGCCGAACAGGGACGCGCCTTCGCTAGAGGATTCCAACCGGAGCTATGGGCAAGAATCTCTCAACGTCTACAACTCAAGTTCCCCGATCATTTCCCAGACGACCCGTACAACCTCCAGGACATCCACGACGCGGCCCGATTCGTCTTGCACGGCACCACATCCGCCTACAGCACTACGTCTACCGACATCTCTTGAGCAGCCCCCGCTACGCCGCCCACCAACACGATCAAGGCCGAAGACCTGGCGACCATGTTCGAAAGACTCACCGACACCTTTGTCAAAGCCATTGCAGCTCAGGGGACGTCCAGGCCAGCCGATCGACCATCCCGACAACCAGGACAAGGCGGCGACAACTGCATGTTCTGCGGCAGTCCCGAACACTTCATGCGCGCCTGTCCCGAGGTCACCGAATACATTCGGATCGGCAAATGCAAGAGGAATATCGAGGGGAAGGTTGTATTGTCAAGTGGGGCATTCGTACCCAGAGAAATCACGGGTAGTAATCTGAAGGACCGAGTTGACGAATGGCACCGCAAGAATCCAGGCCAGTTGGCGACCGGACAGATGATGTTTACGGTAAACGCGGCGCCGACTCACCCGATGACGATAGCCTCCCGTCACGATTCACCCTCATTGCTGGATGTCACCCCAACTTACCAACTCACCGACATCCAGCGAATTGCGAGCCTCGAACGCGAACTATTCGCGCTCCGAACACGGGGCGCAAGGGCACGCGAAATGGCGCAGACAGGACGTTCGGCGCCTACCCCTTCACCGGCTCCCGAACGACGAGCGAGGACCGAAATTCCCGAACCCGAACCCCGACCAACCACCCCGACTCAGCGACCGCCCCCGGTACCAGCCAAGGACGATGCTCCGATCCACCCATACGCCAAAGCCCAGGACGCCACCTATGCACCACCGCACGAACGCAACATGGGAGCCCCGGCGAAGATACCATCGGCTAAGAAGGACGCTCCGGCCTACAAGACTACGGCGCCGATCTACGACGAGAAGGTAGCAGCCGAGGTCTACAACAGGGCGATGGCCACTCAGGTGACGCTTACCCAGCGCGAACTACTCTCCCTCTCCGCCGAAGTCCGTTCGCAGGTCAGGGAAGCCACGTCGGCACGCCGATCGCCTACCAAAGACGCCAGCAATGTTCGGACCTTCTACCAAGATGCCGATCTACCCTATGCCATCGACGATCTCGAACCACCGACTCGACCGACCGTCTCCTCCTTCGTCAATGTCCTGCACCAACCTGAAACACCTCCACCTGGCGCGATCATCATCCCCGATACGTACGAAACATATCTGAAGAGTCTACAGCCCGGTCAGGTTCCTCTGCCGTTGATAGTTGCTAAAGAATCTTCAGCCCTAAGGTCCATTGTTCCCCTCGTCGATCACCAACAGGAAGTCGAATGCATCATCGATCTGGGTTCACAAGTCATCGCCATGTCGGAAGGCATTTGCAATGAACTGGCGCTCATCTACGACCCCGAAATCGTCCTCAATATGCAGTCGGCGAATGGCGAAATCGACCGATCCTTGGGCCTCGCACGCAACGTCCCATTCCTCATCGGCGATATCACCTTGTACTTCCAAGTCCACATCATTCGTAACCCAGCCTACGACGTTCTCCTCGGTCGGCCCTTCGACATCCTCACTGAAAGTATTGTCAAGAATTATTCAAACGAAGACCAGACGATCACCATCAGTGACCCAAACACGGGACGACGAGCCACCATTCCGACGATTAGATGAGGACCCCCTCGAGTCCTTCACCGAAGACAAGCGGGTTTTCGCGACTCGATGAATTGATCCGAGATCAAGGAGAAGTTGCACTGATCATTTCCACCGATCATGATACCCCCAATTTCCCACTTATTGAAGCGTCCTCAGATTTCCATTCTCCATCTCCCTCTCGTCGCGATCTTTGTCTCAAGTACATTATGGCCTCCGATTTGGGGCCCGAAAATCATCTCAAAAACAATCTCGATTCCAATATGTCGTCCTTATTTTCCTCAGTTGTCCCCGGTTTTTTCCATTCCACTAATATCGCCGACCCGGTCGCCATCTTCGCCGCCAAGCGCAAGTACAAACCGGTTGCACAGAAAACACGACCAGTCTTGGCCGACCTCCCCGAAAAGTTCCGAATCGTTCGGAACATCTTTGGTGACCCTCTCGCTACCCTTCCGACGCTGACACCGAACCCCCCACCCTTCACGCCGACCGGCAGATACACAGCCGAACGACGCGACCTCATCGACAAAGTCCACTCAGACGACTTCCTTTGGCCCGCCGAACGACAGCTCATGCACCATTTCATGTGTCTACAAGAGATGGGATTTGCCTGGGACGATTCGGAACGCGGACGTTTCCGCAAGGACTTCTTCCCACCAGTCAATATGCCAGTAGTCGAGCACAAGCCCTGGGTTCAGCGCAACATTCCGATTCCACCAGGCATCTACGACGAAGTGTGCCGACTTATCAAAACCAAGATCGCCGCTAGAGTCTATGAGCCGTCGAATTCGTCCTACCAATCGCGCTGGTTTACAGTCGTCAAGAAGACGAATAGCACCTCCACTGGCACCAAACTCCGAATCGTTCACAGCCTCGAACCCCTGAACGCCGTCACCATCCAGCATTCAGGTGTGCCCCCATATACCGATCAGATCGCTGAACAGTTTGCAGCTCGCGCTTGTGGCGGCATTCTGGATCTCTATGTCGGCTATGACGAATGAGGGCTCGCCGAATCATCTCGCGACTTCACCACGTTCCAGACCCCATTCGGCGCCCACCGACTCGTCACCCTGCCCATGGGATGGACAAATTCGGTCCCGATCTTCCACGACGACGTCACCCACATCCTCCAGCCAGAAATCCCAGACACCACCATTCCTTTCATCGACGATGTTCCGATTCGGGGCCCACCGACCCGATACGAACTTCCGAACGGCGGGTTCGAGACGCACCCCGACAACCACGGCATACGACGATTTGTGTGGGAACACTTTCAAGGCCTCAATCGGGTGGTTCAGCGGATGAAGTACAGCGGAGGAACATTTTCGGGACACAAGGCGACACTCTGCGCAGCCGAAATCACGGTGGTCGGCCATCGCTGCACGTACGAAGGAAGATTGCCCGACGAGTCTAGGGTAGAGTCAATTATGAAGTGGGGACCTTGCAGGGATCTCTCAGATGTTCGGGCATTTTTGGGGACGATCGGTGTCGTTCGGATCTTCATTCGGAATTTTGCACACAGGGCGCATGCACTGACAATGTTAACGCGCAAAGATTTTCCATTCGTGTTCGGCCCAGACCAGATAGCGGCCCAGGACGACCTCCGGTCGGCGCTTCTCGAATCGCCAGCCCTTCGGCCGATCGACTATGGGTCGGCAGCCAACGTCATCCTCGCCGTCGATACCTCACAAATCGCGGTCGGCTTCCACCTCTGTCAATGTGCGCTCGACAATCCCCGGGTTCGGTACTATGCCCGATTCGGCTCCATCACCCTTAACGACCGCGAATCGCGATTCTCCCAACCCAAGCTCGAACTCTACGGCCTCTTCCGCGCCCTCCGGTCGCTCAAAATGTACCTCATCGGCGTTCGGAACCTGATAGTCGAAGTAGACGCACGCTACATCAAGGGCATGCTCACTAACCCGGATCTCGAACCCAGCGCTAGCATCAATCGGTGGATCGTCTCCATCCTCACCTTCCATTTCACACTCGTCCACGTCCCCGGCACCTCTCACGGCCCCGATGGTCTCTCCCGACGACCACCACAACCCGCCGACCGACCCGAACCCGAAGACGACTTTGACAACTGGATCGACAATCTCTATGGCTTCCTCCATCAGATCAACAACACGTTCCCCACCTCCAACTCAACTTCGACCACCGCCATCTTCACCTCCTCGCTCGTAGGCGACCCCTCGACCGATACCGACTCCGACGACGAAGGCCCGACCATCGACTATTCGGATATCCCAAGATCGCAGAAAGCTTTGGAAGCCGAGGAACGCCTATGGTTGGTCCGCGACTGGCACCGAACATTGGTTCGGCCCCCTTCTCTCTCCGGCTCCGAATACGCCACCTTCCTGCGATATTGCACTGAGTTCTTCATTGCAGCCGACAAGCTATGGTGAAAAGACTCGCACGGTCGACACAAGATCGTTGCAGCCCCCTCTAGTCGGATCACAATTCTCACTGCCGCCCACGACGACGTTGCTCACAAGGGATTCTACGCCACGACCGCCTTGGTCACCGAACGCTTCTGGTGGCCGCACATGAGGCAAGACATTTCCTGGTTTGTTCGGACATGTCACCTTTGCCAGATTCGCCAGACTCGCAATGTCCTCATTCCCCCGACCGTCGCCACGCCTGCACCACTTTTCGCAAAGATGTATATGGACACTATGCATATGCCGACCGCTGGTGGTTTCAAATATCTCGTTCAAGGCCGCTGTTCGGTATCGCACTACCCTGAATTCCGAATGCTCCGACGCGAAACAAGCTCAGCCCTCGCCGACTGGATCTTCGAGGATATCATGTGCCGATGGGGAACACTGGTAGAGATCGTCTCCGACAACGGACCAGCATTCGTCAAGGCGCTCGACCAGTTAGCGAAAAAGTACCACGTTCGGCACATCCGTATTTCGGGCTACAATTCCCATGCCAACGGTATCGCCGAACGACCTCACTTCAACGTTCGGCAGGCTCTGTTCAAAACCGTTGATGGAGATCAGGCCAAGTGGAATCGTGCAGCTCATTTCATATTCTGGGCTGATTGCATTACCGTTCGGCGCCGAATGGGTTGCTCGCCATACTTCGCAGCGACTGGAACCCATCCCCTTCTCCCCCTCGACATTGCTGAAGCCACCTACCTCCTGCCACCGCCGACCACAACCCTCAGCACCACCGACCTCATCGCCCGACATGCCATAGCCTTGCAGAAACGCCAATCAGACCTCGCCCACCTTCGCAGCTCAGTAGTCAGCGCCCGTGTCCAGGCCGCCATCCGATTCGAACAACAGCATTCGGCCACCCTTCGCGACTTCAATTTCCACCGAGGCTCGCTTGTCCTTATGCGCAACACAGCCATAGAGAAGGCACTCAATCGGAAGATGCGTCCACGGTATTTAGGGCCTTTACTAGTAATTTCTAGGAATCGGGGAGGAGCGTATATTTTGGCCGAACTCGATGGATCGGTCTTTGATCGGCCAGTTGCAGCATTCCGCGTTATTCCTTATTTTGCTCGCAGGTCTCTGAAGCTCGCCGACCTTGAAGCCCTCTTCGACATCTCGCAGGAACGCCTTCAGGCCATGGAAGATTCCCGATCGAGCGACGACGACGCCGAAGACGATAGTGCCAATGAAGATACCGACACCAGCTCAGTCCGATCGGCGGAGGACGACGACGCGGCTTCGGCGACCTCCGACTAGAATCCCACCCTCCCACCCTTCGCTCTCTTCGGTCGGTGACTGGGGACAGTCACGATTTCAGTAGGGAGGAGGATTCACAGATATACCCATTCTTTATCTTCGTTTATTCGTCACAGACATGGACTGATGCCCAATCATTTCCACATCTCTTAGTACTTTTACCACCGACCGATCGCCGACCGAATAGTTGGCACTCATTTTCCCATCACTCCTTCAAGTACCAAGCCGCATTGAAGACTTCTTCCGATTTGCGCAAAACCATAGGGTTTTATGCCTGTGATGACATACTGAGGCTTCCCCTAAATATTCCAATTTATTTTCTTCATTTCTGCCGAACGCTTCGCTTACAACTACATTCACATGCAGTCATTTCGCCGACCGATTTCTCGAACGACACCTCTAGTCTTCGCCAAAAACGTCTCATTCAAATCAGGACAGTCCTTTCACTATTATGTTACATTTTACTGTACTACAGAAACCGCCGAAACTATTCTACTCATCGGGTACGAAATCGCCCGACACAGACATATCCGAATCCTCGACCAAGACGACGTCCGAAGACGTAGACGGACCCGCCTGCACCTCGAGCGGCTCCAACTCCGCCTGCCACATCTTGATCGACCGCGCCAACGAAGCCCGCGTACCCTCCGCCACAGCGATCCGGTACCGAAGATCGAACGCAATGCCTTGCGCAACGATCGGCGACAAACGAGACGAGTCGGACAGGGCGGGGACGGTGACAGAACGGGAGCGGGAGGAGGAGGGAACGGCACGGGTGGTGGTGGGAAGGCGTTGGACAGGCTTCCGAGCCCGCACACCTGAGACAACCCGATGAGCTCCCATCCCAGCACTAATCAAACCGGTACTCACCTCTGGTCTGCGCTATGCTCTCACCGACAGAACGTTCGGGCATGAGGACCTCGACCTTGCGTTTTTTTGACGGGCGCAACAGCTCATTCGCTTCCAACTTGTCGGAAACCTTCCCCTTCGACTTCCCCTTACCCGTCGACTTTCCTTTCCCCGTCGACTTTCCTTTCCCCATCGGTGTCCACCCGGGCTGGAAACTGCACCCCTTTTGCTGGTCGGCGCACTTGATACACGACACCTGACCAGGCCGGGTGTAGCAACGAAACGCCACGGTCGAGAAATCAGAGGAGCACCGACTACAGGCGTACTCGGCCTAGAAAAGAAGAAGGTCAGTCTCAGGAGGCGGCAAAAGGGAAGGGACGCACCAGGCGATCACCAGATACTAGCCCAGGGGGGTCCTTGAAGACCTTACCGGCACCATTCCGTTCCTCTGGGGCCCGAACCGTCGACATCCGGCCGTGACCAGGGCCTAGCGAAAGTACGACGTGGCCGGAAGATGGCGTCCGTTGACGCGCGAACTCGACAACAACAGCAGCCGCTGACGGCTTGCCGTTCACATTGGTCGGGGCGGCCGAAGCGACCGGGTCGACGCTCATGCGATGCAAGGCGGCGGTTGCGGATGCGAGGTCGGACTCGGTGACCGAGGGATGAGGTTGAGAAGGCGAAGGGGCGAAGGAGGGCTCGGGACGAGAGGAGGACGCGGCAGGAACGGATGGAGAAGGAGAACGAAGAAAGAGAGGGAGGGGAAGAACGGACTCGGCTTCTAGGGCGGCCATCTGACGATCTCCCTCTTCCGCATCGAGCAACCCACTGAACATCGCCTCCACCAGTGCCTCCCGGCGACGCTGACGACCTTCTTCGGCCACCCGAAGGATAGAAGCAGCGCGCGCCGCCTCAGCCTCCTCAGCCTCGCGTTCGGCAGCGGCTACCCGCGCAGCTTCCTCCTCCAGGGCCCGTGCCTCGACCGCTTGTTGCTGCGCGGCAAAGCGCACCGCACGCTGCGGCAAGATTCGCGTTCCCCAGGCTAGCCAGTGGTCGGTGGCCATATGATCGAGGCCGCACTCGGCCTCGGCGATCCAGTCGGCGAGTTCGGGCACTTCCTGCCCACGCGCCGATCGGTCGAACACAGCCTACGAAGGTGTCAGCATCTAAGCACAAACAAGAGGAAGAACCGACTTACCACTCGTTTGGCAAACCCCTGCGCCCAGGCCTCGTAATCTTCTTACTCGGCGGCGCCATCGGGAAGGGCGAGCATGTACTCCCCGAGCTTGGTTTTGAGGACAGAGAGGAGGGAAGACATGGTGGGAAGGCCGAAAGGAGTCGGACGAGGAGACGAAGTGGCGGGAAGAGGGCGATAAAAGACTTCGTCGCTGGAGAATCAACGATCATCAGGTGATTGTGGTCACCTGACAAAGCCCCGTGCCGCTGCGTTCGGCAGAAGCCGCGATACGCGCCACCGCTCTTTGCCGACACGACTCTCACGCCAGCGTCTAGTTGGGGCACTCTAGGTCTCAGCCACTGCCTCACCTAATCAGTTGCCACGCCACAGGACTTTGCCAACTCAGCCCCGGTCTCTCTTGCGCGCCGACCCGGTCCTTTCTACGACATCTCCTTGCCGATTATTCACCTGTGCCACATCTCTCCCACGCACCCACCCCTTTCCACGCCACCGCTCATAGCCGATCTTTTCCCACGAAACTTGCCACACCGCTCCAGTTTCCACGCCACCGCTATTCTTTCCACGCTATCGCTTGTTACCAACTCTTTCCCACATTTTCCACACTACTTTTTTTTCCGCTCCGACTCATAGTCGCCGACCACTGACTGAGGACAGTCAGGATTTCAGTAGGGAGGAGATGATGAGCATGCACCCGCGCTAGGGTCCGAGGGAGGTATTCGCAAAGCTTTGGGGAGATACCGAACAGCGCTAGACAAGTACCGAAGACGCCGACTTTTACCGAACACGGTCGGTCCCTACCCGACCGACGACAAGCCACCGAAGGATGTTCGGCAGCACTTGGGTCAGTTTGCCCACACTTCACGTACTTACCATGACCGCATAGGAGTGTTACAATAAGTGTTTACGAGATCGGAGCCAGTATTCCGTATCGGCCGATGTCCTCCGTGAGTCGGTCGGTCCTTATCGCTTATCTTCCTGACTTCCGCATGGTCGGTCAAATGCGATCTTGCACCATTGCTTGGCCACCCTGGTCGTACGATACCTCTTCTTTATTTTTCATTGGTTCTCCAACGCCTGTTCCGTCTACCTACGCTCGGGCGATGGATCCCGAACGTTCGGGATTTCGCCATCGCTGATTAACTTTTACCTTATCACCTTCGGAACCCATATGGACATCTCACCTACCTTCTTATCTTCTCTGATCGCTAAGGCTTGGCGCCCATTCGACATCTACTCTCATTTCTTGTTTAATATTTTACTTAGAGGCTCTGTTTACTATAAAAACCTACATACAACTCTGGAATAAACCAGCTTTCGCACCCCACAGTTCAGAGCTCATTCGCACTCGTCTCAACCATCGAAATCGTCTTCATCGACTCCCGAAAACTTGTCATCCTCGTCGTTCGGCCTCATTCGCGTTCGTACTCGTCACTTCACTCGTACCCCCATCCTCCCTTGTATATTGTCAGAGTCCCGTGTGGCTCTTGAAGCGCGTAGTTGTCGGTCGCGACACTACCTTCTCGTTACCGACCGAATCCCTGACTCGACCGACCGAACGTTCGGTCGGTGTTCGGCGCAGTCCCGAAACCGTGCGGGCGCTATAATCTCATACTCCCCATTGCTTCTCAGTACGCCATCGATTTCTAAAGTCATCACTAACAATTCCTTGTGTATTAGATACTAGCTCCAGCACCCCCTGCATTAGAGGTTGTTTTGGTGTTGTGCTCGGCACTTAGAGCCACCTCTAGCGTATCAACGTACATAATTTAATGAGAGAAACTCGTCCGTTTTTGCAACAGACAGACCAGATTGGAGGAGAAAAGAGGCCATCTCCCAGTCGTCCTTGTTCGCAAAAGGGTAGAATATGTTGTCAACTCGCTTTTCGGCATGGATGTCGGCATCAAAAGTGTCCATAAATGTGGGTGCTTGACCGTATGTTTTTCCGGCACCTGGAAACAAGTCCTCGGCTAGAAGTAATGGGTTTGTTCGGGCGGTGTCTGGACATGAGGACACCTCGGGGTACTTGTCCCAATCAGCAGCCCAATCAATATCCATATCATCTCCGATCCCTGCAAGTGTCGGTCCATCTTGAGTCTGCCCAGTAGCGCGATCAGCAACATCCGTGGCAGCAACCATACTGGCAAGCTCTGAGAGCCAACCGCTGCAAGGGGATTGTCGACCATTGAGATGTTTGACGACCCGCACCTCAGAGACAAATGTCTTGCCGCATTTTGGACAAAAGGCAGGCATCAACGAGCGTTGAACGTGAATGTTTGAACGTTGAACGTTGAACGTTTGAACTTGCAGGTGAGTAACGTGGCAAGTTGAAATTAGTAAGCGCATCAATCTTTCTGTCCATCCTCATCCTCTCGCGCTCAATAACGATCAACTCACAGTACTCTCACAGTGCTACGAAGACTTACTGGACAAAGATAATACATTCGACGCCTTCCCCAGAGTTCTCCGTATGCGATGCACGCATGTGCGATGCCTGCTACGACATCATCTACGCCTGCCCCACCACATGCTCACTCGCTCTGTGTCCGTACACCTCTCCCTGAAGCTATATTGGTTTCTACTTTCCCTGTTCGTTTCTGCAGCAGCTCTGGACTCACTCCCCCTGATAGACAGGCTATGTTGTCACCGCCACCGCCGCCCTGATGACAATAGATCAGCAGCTCAGCTACCGCTGCAAGCGCAACGATGACTACGACGACGCCCTCCTCTGCAAGTGGAATATAATGTAAGTGTTGATTCGGCTTGGTATTGTCACCTAACTGGCTCAACGACAATCGCACTAGTAAACAGCCTGCCCTTATGTCACTCTCGGAGATTTCTACCTACAGTCACACTAGTGAACAACTTCAACTGGCCCTTGTTATTCTTTCGAAGACTTCTACTTACAGTCGCATGGAGGCCATGTTGGAGGTCTGCGACATTCCCTTATCTCTCTTTTTGTTTGTCGACACAGCTACTCTAAATTGTTTGTACTTCTCCGAGAGTGCCTCATGTGAAAGCTCCCTCTATAATACTGCTCAACCTATCTCTCGACCCTACACAAACAAAGATAAGATTGATGTCAAGTATGACAAAGATGATAAGAATCACACCAATGTATGCTTAACTAGACAGACCCGCAAGGAGACCTGAACTGGCTAGCTGCTTTGGGGAAGACATCATAAAAAGCGACTATCTGACCAGACCCACCTTTCTGTACAGACGCCTCGAATGACATAAGCATTTAGGAGTAGCTAGGGCAGCTGGGGCAGCTGGGGCTCGGCTACCAGTTTGCTGATGTTTCTGTTGTCGAAGTGGCAATTTGGGAAGATTCAATCCGCTCTGTTTAAAATTACCCCCAACATACCACGAGATATATGATATTGCAGTCTGTATTTTTTCTTCTCAGTGTCATGTATTTACGCATAGGCTACGTAGTACATGAACAGTCGTGCCCTACTACATCAGCAAATCGGCAGATCTCTTAGGTGGTCTGAGATGTCTGATCTCTGTCTGAGAGTTCTGAGGGCTTCTGTTGCCTCTGGGCATTCTGAACTCAGACATTACTCAGAACTATCCAGAATGATAAACAGGAATTGAGAACTGGCAGTAGCATACTTGTAAAGTACTAGAATGCAAGCCAGTGATCTTATCATAAAGATGCTAATTACACATGAGCCTGCACTTGTCTTGTACGAGCGTGGGCACAGGTGGGCGGCGGCATTGAAAGAAGACGAGCCCGAGCTTGTCTTGTGCAAGCGTGGGCAGGGATCGGCGGCAGCAGTGAGAGGATCCGAGTTGGTAGATGGCGAGATCAGACGAGATAAGGCCGCGCTCGTCTCGTACGAACGCGGGCAGAGATGGTAGGCGGCAGCGGCGGTGAGACAAGAGGAGGCATGCGCTCGTCGTACAAAGGGAGGCGTGCGCTCATCGTATAAGAGGAGGCATGCACTCGTCTAACAGGACGAGCGTGGGCAGAGGTGGTGGTGGTGGGCGGCGGCGGCAAGACCAAACGAGGCGAGGCCGTGCTTGTCTTGCACGAGAACAGGCAGAGATGTTAGGCGGTGATGGCAGCAAGACAAGATGAGGTGTGCCCACACTCGTCATACAAGATGAGCGCGGGCGGAGATGGTGGGAGAAGGACAGGCATGTGCTTGTCTTGAACGAGTACAGACAGAGGCGGTGTTGGACGGCGGCGGTGGCGAGACAAGAGGAGGCATGCACATGCTCGTCGTAAAAGACAAGCACGGGCAAAGGGGGTGGCGCTGGACGGCATCGGCGGCGAGATAAGACGAGCGCGAGCAGAGGCGGTGGTGGACGGCGGCGGGGAGAGCAAGCAGGGCAGCAAAGATGTGGTAGCGGCACGTGCCATCGCCACGTCAATGCGTTGTTGTTGCGCACGCTGCGCTCTGCCTCTTGCTCTCACCACCGCCCACTCCCCCCGCCCGCACTCATTTTGTCTCATTTTCTCTCAATGCCGCCACCCACCTGCGACCGCGCCCATACCCTCTCGCTACCGCTGCCGATCCCCCGCTCGCGCTCGCACAAGATGAGAGCTCTCGATGCCCTGCACCCACGCTCACACAAGACAAGTGTGAGCTTGTATCCTCTCGCTGCCGCCGCCCACCCCTTCCCGCACTCGTATCCTCTCGCTGCCGCTGCTGATCTCCGCCTGCGCTCGCCAAGACGAGTGCAGGTGTGGCCTCTTTCAATGCCGCCGCCCACCTTGCCTGCGCTCGTATCCTCTCGCTGCTGTCGCCCACCCTGTCCGCACTCGTACCCTCTCGCTGCTGACGCTAATCCCACCTGCGCTTGCACAAGATGAGTGCAGGCTTGTCTTCTTTTAATACCGCCACCCACCTGCGCCCGCAAGTGTGGGCCTGTATCCTCTTGCTGCCGCCGCCCACCTTGCCTGTGCTCATGCTCTCTCGCTGCCGCCGCCGATCCTCACCGCCCGCGCTCGCACAGGACGAGTGCGTGCTCGTATTCTTTTGCTGTCGCCGCCCACCTTACCTGCGCTCATATCCTCTTGCTGCCGCTGCCCACCTCGCTTGCGCTCGTACCCTCTCGCTGCCGCTGCCAATCCTAGCCGCCCATGCTTGCACAAGACGAGTACGGGCTCGTGTTCTCTTGCTGCTGCCGCCCACCTTGCCTGCGCTCGTGCTCTCTCGCTGCTGCTGCCAATGCTAGCCACCCACGCTTGCACAAGACGAGTGCGGGCTCATGTTCTCTTGCTGCCGCTTCCCCCCCTGCCCACACCCGTACCCTTTTATTGACCCTCTCGTTGCCGTGCGCAGACTGTCAAGCCTCAAACAGAGTCCAAGATGGAGGACTATGTGCCACTCACAATCCGGTGTGCTCATTTTAGATGCCGGGCTGTCCTTTGTTCGTAGTATTTTGCATACAGTAGAATGATAATATTTTGATGGTAATAATGTTGTATGAAATACCTGTGTGAGGCTGCAGACGGGGTCTGAGCTAATGACCAAATCTCTGACTATTGTTCTGGATGAGCTCTGACTGGTCTGAACTAAGACAGATGCAGAAAGGTAACCTCCTGACGGCAGAGTCTTGTTCTGACCTCTGATTGGTCTGAGCCATCTGAGTTCAGAACAATCAGAAGCTCTCAGACCTGGATCAGACATTGGCCGATTTCCTGATGTAGACTGTACTGCCATTTGAGAATCCTCTCCATTGATCTCTTTTACATGTCATCTATTGTCAGGCTCTCATACCCGGCGTTTGCACCTTGATACGGTCCTAAGTGCCCTGAGCATGGAATTATTGTTCGATGCTTCCTGCTTATGCATAACACGGCGCTTGAGTAGCAGCGATGGTGACGATAGTGATAGGGCTGTAGCTGTCGAGGGAGATATGTACACCTTGGAAGACCACTCAAGCGCTTCAGCCGGACGCTAGCATTTCTCTGTCTTTCCGGTTCCCTGTACAGAGTATGTATTACCAGCACCTACCTGCATCCAGTTGATCATCAAGCATGGATCATCAGAACAAGGGCGAATCACGGGTCTGATTAATCGGCCATGAGGCCTTGAGCACTTGAGCTTGAGGCCCTAAGGTCAAGAATGATGTTGATGCAAGAATCAGTTGTAGAAGATAGATGAACAATGGAAGTAGATAATGGCTGCGCTGCATCCCAAAGTGTAGGTGTCAGATCTGCCGCCAGTCACATTCAGCGAGGAGCCCGTTTTCAGATGGAACGTGTATCAAGTTGGGAAGCGATCGACTTGCTCGGTTCTTTTGGGGTGCTTACTGATAGTACTTAGAGCGGTCAATCGGCACTGCATGCATCGCAGGGGTTTTCCCAGGATAAACTGTGAGTAAAACCCTGATTATAGATAAAGTTTCTGTTTTAGTGGATAAACTGGGACAAAACTTTATCTATATCCAGGGTTTGTCCACGGTTTATCCCGGGAAAAACTCTGCGGTGCACGCAGTGCAGATACAGTCCAGCAGAGGAGCACCCACCGTGTTGATACTTACCAGTGCAGATATGCGTAAACAAGGCCAGATTGAGATATGTTCACAACTTCCATCATTCCAGAATGAGAACCTCACAAGAGTTCGACATTCCTCTGCCTCATCTGTCTTCATCTGTGCGGCTACACCGGGTGACCTTTCAAAGGGAACGAGAGTCCAGATTCTTTCAAGGACCTATTTGCCATATTTGCATGGGCCAGGCCTTTGTGTGGTTACTTCAGACTTCCCTTCCAAATTCAAAAACTGGAAGGGAGTTATGCCCTCTTTTCCAGTACAAAATTTGAGCTCTGAACGGCTTATTTGGGACTCTGCTCCAAAATTCTGTATGGATGGTGCAACGGTATGGTTTAAATTGCTCCCAGTTCCGCTCAGTTCAGCATTGAGATGCCACGGTTTGATTGTTTCCATGGGCTACGAATAATAGGTTCACTAATCTAAGATTGCTCTAAATCCTGTGGAAACTTGTATATCCTCGTCACAATCCTCCGCATTTCTCATCTCAGTTGGGTTACAAGATATCCAAGATTTCTATTTTTGATTTTTGTCATGATTCCTACTACTATTTTAGGGCAAGTACATTCTTTCACCTTCACTTGGAAAGCCTCTATCCATTACATATTTCCCTTTTCATTCTCAGCTGTGAAACACAAGGTTCGATGTTTTGTACGACATCCATACCCTCTAGTATGGCATGACCCACATGAGTTGATGCTAGTTCGATATGTCCTCTTCCATCCCCATACTCGTTGTAAGCTTGATTGTCCTCATCCATTGTCTATGCCTGAACCTTTTGTTGGAAAACTGAACCTTGATTGTAAAGCATGATAAGGCCTTATAAGGACTTAATGGACTCGCTACCTCAGAAGGCCTTATAGAAAAAGACAGACATCCTTATAACAAAGTTTCGATGCCACCTCATACCATTACAATATACCCTATCAGAACTAGCCCTGTCATTGTAACATCAATTATAATGATGACCATGAACCTTACAATGACAGCTGCAATCCAAGTTGTCACCATTGCAATGTGCCTTGCACGTGCCATTATAACGATGCTATAATGGTTGCAAAGAAAATATCATTTATTATAAAATCAAACCATCCCTGCATACAGTGGTGCATCTCTTCAGATTGTTTAGCTATTGTCTGTTGTATCTATCTTATCTCAATCACCTATTCTCTCTTGTATTTATCTTATCTTGTATTTTAATTGTCATTTACTGCTTAACTATTATAATCACTTAGGGTCCATGTTTTACTATTACACTACTACTATAGTAATGTTTATACCAGGATTCGAACCAGCATCACTTGCAGTACTCTAGTCTAACTATACATAAACATAATTACCACTCTACCAGAGAGCCATACATAGTATAGCAACTCGGCTCTACCTATACAGCATATGACAGCACTAATAACCGTAGGATAGGGATGTTCTCCTTAAGTATTTGAGTCCAAGAGTATTGGATGAAAGCCCTAATATTTTCAGGGCTCTGAAAAAAGCACTGGATCTGCTGATCAAGGCTTAGGGGCTCCAGTCACCACTAGCCAACTCCAAGCAATAGACGGTATAAGATATGCTATGACAGAGGATTTCGAGATAGAGAATACTCTGTACAATTGCTGAGATTTGGCAAGCTCCTCAGGATATTTCTACCAGGTGTTTGAAAGCCTGTCATATTTGGAATCACCCATTAATCTATTGAACAGCACAAATGCAACAACAAGTTTGAGAGTCTGTGGGGGTTGTAACATATAGCAAGAAGTGTTGATGACAGAAACAGAACCATGAGACCGAGCTATGACAGAAATCAAGAAATCAAGAAAGCAAGTCACAACAATCAAAAGCTGAACAAAATAACATGACAAGACAGTGATCAAGATGGTATGTAGAATTTGTCTGAGCACATCAAGCCTTCAAGCGCTGATGCTGAGAGCGAGTATTCCTTACTTTCAGAGCCTCAACAGGTTCTACAGCAGTAATCACCTTCTTCCTTCTCTCACTAATCATTGGAGCTTGAGTGCTTGTAGCAGGTGTGGCCGCCGCAGAGATGACATTTGAAGTTGTTGAAAAAGTTGAAATGGGCAGGGATGCTACTATCGCCATTGCTGCATTAATAAAAGCAGTGTTTGACACAGCTGGAGGAGTCATAGAAACAGTGGTAAAGACAGGTGCTCATGTGGAATTGTCAAGACCAAGAGAGCTGAGAATATTAGTCGTGTCTGAGATTTCTACACCCATGTTGTCATCATCGTTATCAACATCCTTGGCATCCATGCCTGCTAAAATTGCTGAAGCATCAAACTCATCTCTCTCCTCATTGTTATCATTGTGCATCAAGTTGGATGGAAGCTTGGTTGAGAAGAGTCAGTCATTGAAAAAGGAAAAGATAGCCTTGACATTGGGACGCTGAGCACCTTTGATTAGAATCTCTTTGTATCTGTTGAAATCCTTCTGGTAATTGATCCTCGAGTGAGCACCTTGCTGCTCAAATCTGATATTAGGGGACACAATGAATCTTGCCTAAAGAATCAAGAATGTCAGTCTACCATTTCTGAGTTTCCACATCATACAACTTTACCGTGATCACTGCAAATGCAATGGCCCCGGAGGACACATGCATAACTCCCCACAGCTGAGAAACTGTTGGTGCACTGCCCTTAGAAACTGGGGCCAGATTGCCTGCAGCCGTTACTGATCCTGGGCCGAAAAGAGTGAGTCATAAGATCTAAGACATGCAGATGAGTTTGCGGAGACCATCTAACAGTAAAAATTGAGACTTACATGGACGAGAATCATACTCTGAAACAGCTTCTTGTCATTCTTTTTCAGATTTGGATACAATATAGGGGCAAATGTTGGATAACTGCTTTTTGTTGCATCAAACTTGAGATATGCTTGGAATTCAGGAAGGTCTTCGTATCCCTTGAAATCAATTTGAAAATAGTCCGCCTTAGATGAAGGGAAAATTTTTGTTATAGAGCCACGCAAATGATGGATGATTGAGGAGCATGAACCACTTAGAGCAGCTCTGAACTACATCGGCCTCGATGTTAGAAGACAATTGTACATGAAAAATTGTGTACTCACTTTTTGGGCAAAAGGCGAGTATTTCTGCATCATTTTGTGCAGTTTTGGAGGAACAAGATCATGCAGATCTGCGACAACCCCTTGCTTGGTGCTCATTTCCGAAAGATATCGATTGGGACTATTTGCCTCTATGACAGGATGAGGAACCTAGAATGCCGAGAGGTCAACAAAGGGCTCCACCATGACACTACATTTATGGCCAAGCATTGAGATTTCTTCGTCGTGCTTTTTGACTGTCTTCGGTCCTTTGCGGTGAGACTGTTGATTGCTTTGCAAGGTGCCAACAAGAGTGCAGATTTTTTGCAGTGCAGTCTGATGCTTTCCGACGACTTGAAGCTGAGCAATTTTGAGTGCCTAGATACAGAGTTCAATGTTGGACACACAATGATCATGATCCTGTAGAATTACTTCTTGATAGTCTTCAAGGGTTGCATTTTTGCCAGGCACCGGGATTGCCTGGATGTCTTTATCATCTGAATGAGACAAGTCAGTCATAGATGAGACAGATGAAGGCTTGCTGTTGCTCTCATCTGGAAAACCACCCCTTTGTATTAAGCTCTAATTAATTCTATTTATGCATAATGAAGAATGATTAGGATTAGACATTTTTAACTTACCCCCCCTCTAAACCTGTTCTAATTAGACATAATTTTCCTAAATTAGGAATTATTAGGATTGATTATAACTTGAAATTTCGGAAAAATAATGATAAATCAAGCATCACAGTTCTCATAGCCTTCTTATAGAGTCATGTCTATTAGAGCACTAGTTCAATACCTAAACACAGAATATACCTTATAACAAACTTGTCTTCTGCCAGAGTTAAACCAACAACCTCATGTATGCAAGCACCCAGGACAGATGCTCTAAGCCACTAAGCCACAAGGTCTAAGATATAAACTTGGTAATCTAAATAAGTAGACATAATATAGGCAACCTCAACATCTCTGATTTTATTTAACATTTATCTTTCCTCTCTCTTATAAATAAATAGGTCAATAAATACTTAAAAAGTCAGGTCTTTCAGGATTTATTTTAAACACCAGCTAAGAAGATAATAAACCAATGGAAAATCGATAATACACTTTATATAGGATAAAAATAAATTATGGCACTTATACAATTTGGACTGAGAATGTGTAAAACTATGATTGAGTGTAATATTCAATGGGACTTTACTAATATAGACAATGCTACCTGAATTTGCAAATTTGATCAAAAACATAATTATGAATAATCAAGATCCAATAAGGGAGAGGGGCTTTCCAAATAGCCGCTAGTGAGATAGAGGATGGGGACAAGAGTATATGTATGGCATGCCTATATATAAATAAGCACAAGATTGTTGGAGGTGATCTTAATATGCTTAATGCATATATTTCCTATATGGCAGGCAAATATATCATTCTGGCACCACATACCAATATGACTGTCTTTTCCACAGCCTAATAGCTAGAGGAAAACACCAAGTTTGAGCATCTTCTGTATAACAAGGCAATAAACAATATAAATAGTGCTAAAAATTATAGTATCAATAGTGATGATGATTGTGTGCTGCACAAGACAGTATTAGCCACTATACTAATAGACAAGGTCTATAAGGCTGCATATAGCATATCCCTAAGTCCAACCCACATGTTGTGTCCTATAATGACCAGTAGCAGGCATTGGCTAACAATGACAACTTTAATGATCCTGTGTGCAAGGACAAGGTACCTAGGTTTTTATAGCCTTTTGTGGCAGCTGCCAAGCTGCCAACAAAGTGGCTGGGGGCATTAATGCACATTTCTCTCTTTCTGTATCCCTTATAAAAGCAGCTGGAAAGTCAGCAAAAGAGCTACAAGATAATGGTATAGGCATATATGAAGGAGAGTAATATGCTGAAATAGTATAGAATGTGCCACATCTTTACCTTCTCACTGATAGAGCAGCAGTACTTACTATTTCCTACTAATAATTAAAGACTTCTTAGTATAGAATTAGTGCTAATATCATGAAATTAGAAACCAATCCAATGCTCATAGTATCTTGCTCCCAATTAGGAAATTAGACACTTTTAGATACTATTAACACTTTTAGATACTTTTAGACACTATTAGATATAATCTGGAGCTAATATAAGAGGGTGTTTTTCCAGATATAGTCGGATCACAATTCTCACTACCGCCCACGATGACGTTGCTCACAAGGGATTCTACGCCACGACTGCCTTGGTTGCCGAATGCTTCTAGTGGCCACACATAAGGCAAGATATTTCCTAGTTTGTTTGGACCTGTCACCTTTGCCAGATTTGCCAGACTCGCAATGTCCTCATTCCCCTAACCGTCGCCACTCCAGCACCACTCTTCACGAAGATGTGTATGGACACCATGCACATGCCGACCGCTGGTGGTTTCAAGTATCTCATTCAAGGTTGCTGTTTGATATTGCACTACCCCAAATTCTGAATGCTGCAACGCAAAACAAGCTCAGCCCTTGCCGACTGGATCTTTGAGGATATCCTGTGCCGATGGGGAACATTGGTAGAGATCGTCTCCAACAATGGACCAGCATTTGTCAAGGCACTCAACCAGTTAGCAAAAAAGTACCATGTTTGGCACATCCGGATTTCGGGCTACAATTCTCGTGCCAACGGCATTGCCGAACGACCTTACTTCAATGTTCGGCAGGCTCTGTTCAAAGCCGTTGATGGAGATCAGGCCAAGTGGAATCATGCAGCTCATTTCGTATTTTGGGCTGATCACATTACTGTTCAGCACCGAATGGGTTGCTTGCCATACTTTGCAGTGACCAGAACCCATCCCCTTCTCCCCCTCAACATCGCCAAAGCCACCTACCTCCTGCCGCCGCTGACCACAACCCTCAGCACCACTGACTTCATCGCCCAATGGGCCATAGCCTTGCAAAACACCGATCAGACCTTGCCCACCTTTGCAGCTCAGTTGTTGGCGCCCATGTCCAGGCTGCCATCCGATTCGAACAACAGCATTTGGCCACCCTTTGCGGCTTCAATTTCCACTGAGGCTCGCTTGTCCTAATGCACAACACAGCCATAGAAAAGGCGCTCAATCGGAAAATGCGTCCACGGTATTTAGGACCTTTGCTAGTAATTTCTAGGAATCAGGGAGGGGTGTATATTCTGGCCGAACTCAACGGATCAGTCTTTGATTGGCCAGTTGCAGCATTCCATATTATTCCTTATTTTGCTCACAGGTTGCTGAAGCTCACCAACCTTGAAGCCCTCCTCAACATCTCGCAGGAACGCCTCTGGGCCATGGAAGATTCCCAATTGAGCAACAACGACACCAAAAACGATAGTGCCGATGAAGATACCAACACCAGCTCAGTCTGATCGGTGGAAGACGACGATGCAGCTTTGGTGACATCTGGAAAAACACCCTCTTATATTAGCTCCAGATTATATCTAATAGTGTCTAAAAGTATCTAAAAGTGTTAATAGTATCTAAAAGTGTCTAATTTCCTAATTGGGAGCAAGATACTATGAGCATTGGATTGGTTTCTAATTTCATGATATTAGCACTAATTCTATACTAAGAAGTCTTTAATTATTAGTAGGAAATAGTAAGTACTGCTGCTCTATCAGTGAGAAGGTAAAGATGTGGCACATTCTATACTATTTCAGCATATTACTCTCCTTCATATATGCCTATACCATTATCTTGTAGCTCTTTTGCTGACTTTCCAGCTGCTTTTATAAGGGATACAGAAAGAGAGAAATGTGCATTAATGCCCCCAGCCACTTTGTTGGCAGCTTGGCAGCTGCCACAAAAGGCTATAAAAACCTAGGTACCTTGTCCTTGCACACAGGATCATTAAAGTTGTCATTGTTAGCCAATGCCTGCTACTGGTCATTATAGGACACAACATGTGGGTTGGACTTAGGGATATGCTATATGCAGCCTTATAGACCTTGTCTATTAGTATAGTGGCTAATACTGTCTTGTGCAGCACACAATCATCATCACTATTGATACTATAATTTTTAGCACTATTTATATTGTTTATTGCCTTGTTATACAGAAGATGCTCAAACTTGGTGTTTTCCTCTAGCTATTAGGCTGTGGAAAAGACAGTCATATTGGTATGTGGTGCCAGAATGATATATTTGCCTGCCATATAGGAAATATATGCATTAAGCATATTAAGATCACCTCCAACAATCTTGTGCTTATTTATATATAGGCATGCCATACATATACTCTTGTCCCCATCCTCTATCTCACTAGCGGCTATTTGGAAAGCCCCTCTCCCTTATTGGATCTTGATTATTCATAATTATGTTTTTGATCAAATTTGCAAATTCAGGTAGCATTGTCTATATTAGTAAAGTCCCATTGAATATTACACTCAATCATAGTTTTACACATTCTCAGTCCAAATTGTATAAGTGCCATAATTTATTTTTATCCTATATAAAGTGTATTATCGATTTTCCATTGGTTTATTATCTTCTTAGCTGGTGTTTAAAATAAATCCTGAAAGACCTGACTTTTTAAGTATTTATTGACCTATTTATTTATAAGAGAGAGGAAAGATAAATGTTAAATAAAATCAGAGATGTTGAGGTTGCCTATATTATGTCTACTTATTTAGATTACCAAGTTTATATCTTAGACCTTGTGGCTTAGTGGCTTAGAGCATCTGTCCTGGGTGCTTGCATACATGAGGTTGTTGGTTTAACTCTGGCAGAAGACAAGTTTGTTATAAGGTATATTCTGTGTTTAGGTATTGAACTAGTGCTCTAATAGACATGACTCTATAAGAAGGCTATGAGAACTGTGATGCTTGATTTATCATTATTTTTCCGAAATTTCAAGTTATAATCAATCCTAATAATTCCTAATTTAGGAAAATTATGTCTAATTAGAACAGGTTTAGAGGGGGGGTAAGTTAAAAATGTCTAATCCTAATCATTCTTCATTATGCATAAATAGAATTAATTAGAGCTTAATACAAAGGGGTGGTTTTCCAGATGTAGAGGGGGCTGCAACAATCTTGTGTCAACCGTGCGAGTCTTTTCTCCATAGCTTGTTGGCTGCGATAAAGAACTCAGTGCAATATTGTAGGAAGGTGGCATATTCGGAGTTGGAGAGAGAAGGGGGCCGAACCAATGTTTGGTGCCAGTCACGGACCAACCATAGGCGTTCCTCGGCTTCCAAAGCTTTCTGCGAACTTGGGATATCTGAATAGTCGACGGTCGGGCCTTCATCGTCGGAGTCAGCCTCAGTTGGGAGGTCGCCTATGAGTGAGGAGGTAAAGATGGTGGTTGTCGAGGTTGAGTTGGAGGTGGGGAATGTGTTGTTGATCTGATGGAGGAAGCCGTAGAGATTGTCGATCCAGTCATCAAAGTCGTCTTCAGATTCGGGTTGGTTGGCAGGTTGTGGTGGTCATCGGGACAGTCCATCAGAGCCGTGAGAGGTGCCGGGGATGTGGACAAGTGTGAAATAGAAGGTGAGGATGGAGATGATCCATCAATTGATGCTAGTGCTAGGTTCGAGATCCGGGCTAGTGAGCATACCCTTGATATAATGTGCATCTACTTCGAGTATCAGGTTCTGAACGCCAATGAGATACATTTTGAGTGATTGGAGGGCACGGAAGAGGCCGTAAAGTTTGAGCTTGGGTTGGGAGAATTGCGATTCATGGTCGTTAAGGGTAATAGAGCCAAATTGGGCATAGTACCGAACCCGCGGATTATTGAGTGCGCATTGACAGAGGTGGAAGCCAACCGCAATTTGTGAGGTATTGATGGTGAGGATGACATTGGCTGCCGACCCATAGTCAATTGGCCGAAGGGCTGGCAATTCAAGAAGCGCTGACCAGAGGTCGTCCTGGGCCGCTATCTGGTCTGGGCCAAACATGAATGGAAAATCTTTGCATGTTAACATTGTCAGTGCATGTGCTCTGTGTGCAAAATTCTGAATGAAGATCCAAACGACACCGATCATCCCCAGAAATGCCCAAACGTCAGAGAGATCCCTGCAAGGTCCCCACTTCATAATTGACTCTACCCTAGACTCATCGGGTAATTGTCCTTTGTATGTGCACCAATGGCCAACCACCGTGATTTCGGCTGCACAGAGTGTCACCTTCTGTCCCAAAAAGGTCCCTCCGCTATATTTCATCCACTGAACCACTCGATTGAGGCCTTGAAAGTGTTCCCACACAAACCATCATATGCCAGGGTTGTTGGGATGCGTCTCAAAGCCGCCGTTCGGAAGTTTGTATTGGGTTGGCAGGCCCCAAATTGGAACATTGTCAATGAAAGGAATGGTGGTGTCTGGGATTTCTAGCTAGAGGATGTGGGTGATGTAGTCGTGGAAGATCGGGACCAAATTTGTCCATCCCATGGGCAGGGTGATGAGTCGGTGGGCACCAAATAGGGTCTGGAATGTGGTGAAGTCACAAGATGATTCGGCGAGCCCTCATTCATTGTATCTGACATAGAGATCCAGAATGCCACCGCAAGCGCGAGCTGCAAACTGTTCAGCAATCTGATTGGTATATGGGAGCACATCTGAATGCTGAATGGTGACTGCATTCAGGGGTTTGAGGCTGTGAATGATTTGGAGTTTGGTGCCAGTGGAGGTGCTATTCGTCTTTTTGATGACCATAAACCAGCACAATTGGTAGGACGAATTCAACGGCTCATAGACTCCAGCGGCAATCTTGGTTTTGATAAGTCAGCACACTTTGTTGTAGATGCCTGGTGGAATCAGAATGTTGCGTTGAACCCAGGGCTTGTGTCCGACCACCGGCATATTGACTGGAGGAAAGAATTCCTCGCAGAAACGTCCGTGTTCCGAATCGTCCTAGGCAAATCCCATCTCTTGTAAACACATGAAATGGTGCATGAGCTGTCATTTGGCGGGCCAAAGGAAGTCATCTGAGTGGACTTTATTGATGAGGTCATGTCATTCAGCTGTGTATCTGCCAGTCAGCATGAAGGGCGGCAGGTTCAGTGTCAGTGGTGGAAGGGTAGCGAGAGGGTCACCAAGGATGTTCTGAACGATTCGGAACTTTTCGGGGAGGTCAGCCAAGACTGGTTGTGTTTTCTGAGCAACTAGTTTGTACTTGCGCTTGGTGGCAAAGATAGTGACCGGGTCAGTGATATTAGTGGAATGGAGCAAACTGGGGACAACTGAGGAGAATAGGGACAACATATTGGAATCGAGATTGTTTTTGAGATGATTTTTGGGCCCCAAATTGGAGGCCATAATGTACTTGAGACAAAGATTGCGACAAGAGGGAGATAGAGAATGGAAATCTGAGGATGCTTTGATAAGTGGGAAATTGAGGGTATCATGATCGGTGGAAATGATCAGTGCAACTTCTCCTTGATCTTGGATCAATTCATCGAGTCGCAAAAACTCACTTGTCTCTGGTGAAGAACTCGAGGGGGTCCTCATCTGATTGTCAGAATGGTGGCTTGTTGTCCTGTGTTTGGGTCACTGATGGTGATCATCTGGTCTTTATTTGAATAATTCTTGACAATACTTTCAGTGAGGATGTTGAAGGGCTGACTGAGGAGAACATCATAGGCTGGGTTCCAAATGATGTGGACTTGGAGGTACAGGGTAATATTGCCAATGAGGAATGGGACGTTGCGTGCGAGGCCCAAGGATCGGTTGATTTTGCCATTTGCCGACTGCATATTAAGAACAATTTCGGGGTCGTAGATGAGCACTAGTTTGTTGCAAATGCCTTCCAACATAGCAATGACTTGTGAACCTGGGTCGATGATGCATTCGACTTCCTGCTAATGATCAACAAGGGAAACGATGGACCTTAGGGCAGACGATACTTTAGCAACTATCAACCGCTGAGGGACCTGACTGGGCTGTAGATTCTTCAGGTACGTTTTGTACATGTCAGGGATAATGGTCGTGCCCGGCAGGGGTGTTTCTGGTTGGTGCAGGACATTGACAAAGGAGGAGATAGTCGGTCGAGTTGGTGGTTCGAGATTGTCAATGGCGTAGGGTAGATCAGCATCTTGGTAGAAGGTCCGAACATTGCTAGCATCTCTGGCAGGCAATTGGCTTGCCAACGTGACTTCTCTGACCTGTAAATGGACTTTGGTGGAGAGAGAGAGTAGTTCGCACTAGGTAAGCATCACCTGAGTGGCCATTGCCCTGTTGTAGACCTTGGCTGCTACCTTCTTGTTGTAGATCGGTGCCGTAGTCTTATAGGCTGGCGCATTCTTCTTTGCTGATGGTATCTTTGCTGGGGCCCCCATGTTGCGTTCGTGCGGTGGTGCATAGGTGGCGTCCTGGGCTTTGGCATATGGGTGGATCGGAGCATTGTCCTTGGCTGGTACTGGGGGTGGTCGCTGAGTCGGGGTGGTCGGTTGGGGTTTGGGTTCAGGAGTTTCAGTCCTTGCTCGTCGTTTGGGAGCTGGTGAAAGAGAAAGTGTTGAATGTCCTGTCTGGGCCATTTCACGTGCCCTCGTGCCCTGTGTTCGGAGTGCAAATAGTTTGCGTTCATGGCTTGCAATTCGCTGGACGTTGGTGAGTTGGTAAGTCGGGGTGACATCCAGCAGTGAGGGTGAATTGTGACGGGAGGCTATCATCATCAGGTGAGTTGGTGCCGCATTTACCATGAACATCATCTGTCTAGTCGCCAACTGTCCTGGATTCCTGCGATGCCATTTGTCAACTCGGTCCTTCAGGTTACTATCTGTGATTTCTCTGGGTACAAATGCCCCACTTGACAATACAATCTTCCCCTCAATATTCTGCTTGCATTTGCTGATCCAAATGTATTTGGTGACCTCGGGACAGGCGCGCATGAAGTGTTTGGGACTGCCGTAGAACATGCAGTTGTCACCACCTTGTCCTGGTTGCTAGGATGGTCGATTGGCTGGCCTAGACGTCCCTTGAGCTGTGATGGCCTTGACAAAGGTGTCGGTGAGCTGTTCAAACATGGTTGCCAGGTCTTCAGCTTTGATTGCATTGGTGGGCAGTGCGGCAGGGGCTGCTCGAGAGATGTTGGTAGAGGTCGTGCTGTAGGCAGACGTGGTGCCATGCAAGATGAATCGGGCCGCGTCGTGGATGTCTTGGAGGTTGTAGGGGTCGTCTGGGAAATAATCGGGGAACTTGAGTTATAGACGTTGAGAGATTCTTGCCCATAGCTCCGGTTGGAATCCTTTAGCAAAGGCACATCCTTGTTCAGCGACCGAGATTTGTGCCTTGCTGAGGAGGAATACCGTGATCACCAGGAAGCGCCAATGATAGTCGCCGAGTTCACTAAGAGACAAGATGCCGACCCTGCTCGTTTTGCTGACTAGTTTGTCCATATCTGATACCAACCATTTGCGCTCTTCCTCTGATCCGGGGTACAGTCTGTAGACTTCTTCACAGAACTCCTTGAATGTCTTTGTGGCATCGGTGAAAGTGGTGAGTGATTCCCAAAGCTCGTAGGTGTCGATGTCCAGGAATCGGCAAGTGTGTTTCTTCTTTTCCTGCTTGTCTTCTATCGCTGACCGACCAAAGTGGAAGTCCAGATCGGCAAAATATTGTCTCAATTTGTGGGGTTGATGGGGGTCAAAGGTTGGGGCCGTTCGATCTCCACAAGCAGGCATGGATGGGGTCACCATAGTGAGAAAGTCAAAGGTGGGAGAAAAGATATTGTTTGCTAAAGTGATCAGGGATGGAGTTGCTGGTTCAAAGGAGCATTCTAGCAATGTTGGTCGGATGGTTGGTGTCCAGAAGATGGGGCTGCGTGGGATTAATGGAGAGATGGAGTCGTGGAGAGATGGTATAGGAGACAGGGGTTGTTGTTCCAAAAGCGCAAGATCAAGGATGGGGGAAATCGGCAGGAGTAGCAATTGGTTCTGCGAAAAAGGTGGGGTTAAGAAGAAAGTGGAGTTGGGTGGCAGCGATGTTAGAAGTTAGCCCATCAGCACTGTACTTACGATACGGTATTTTCCGGATTTCGTTACTTATGTGACCGTACCGTTACCGTGACACCTCAGCGTCTTCTGTTCATACGCTGAGGTGAGTATCCTGCGCGCTCTGGTAGCCTTATTGTATCCTAACGTATCATCCTAGGATTATCGTGCAGGTACATAAATACATACATAGCGTCTTCTGTTCATACGCTGAGGATTATCGTGCAGACTTCTGACAGGTTATGGGCCCTGCATTTGCCTAACGAATCCCCAGAAGCACGCTCACTGATCTTACAAGATCTTCCCACATCGAAGCTGATCCAAGATGGCCACAACTACGAACTCAGTCATCCCCATCGAGCCAAAGTTGAAGGACCGAAAGAGTTACGGCCTTTGGGCTTTTAAGATGGAGAGAGTACTAGAGGCACGCGGAATTTGGAACGTCGTTGGTGGCGATACCGTCACGACGCCATCTACCGACGACCCAGCCTTACCATCGTGGAAGGAGAGAGATGCGAAGGCGAGGGCGCAGATCGCTCTCTACGTCGAGGATGCACTGGTAATTTCAATCATGAAGGCAAAGTCGGCGCACTCGATGTGGGAGATTCTCCGCACGCTCTTCGCCGAGCAGAATTCCCTCAATCAGTCACTGGTCGAATCACAGTTCTACTCAGTCCGTATGTCCCCCGGCCAGGACGTGAAGCTCCACCTGGACCTACTACAGGACCTCTACAACGAAGCCGTCGCCGTCGGCTCCCCACTCGAGGACAAAATCCTCGTTCACCGGATTATCACCTCCCTTACCTCCGATTACGACTCCCTCATCAGTTCCATCACCGACACGTCCAAGGTCACGTCCGAGCAATTGATCGCTCGTATCATGCTGGAAGACCAACGCCGCCGAGTCCGCGATGGCACCGAAGCAAACAGTGGCAACGTCGCCCTGCGGATGGGCGATAACGTACGTGGAAGAGGGAGAGACAGGGGAAAAGGATACGGAAAGCATCGCGGCGGGGGCCGAGGCAAAAGTAAAGGCGGCAGCAGCGGGAGACAAGTCGAGTGCTACAACTGCCACCAGCTAGGGCATTACGCACGCGACTGCCCCACAGGCAGCAGTAGGGGAAGACCTGTAAACAAAGACCAGTCAAATCTAGCGAGCGAGCGCGAAGCGTCGCTCTTTAACTTCTCTTCGCCGCCCGAACAAGCCCTCACGACGAACGCCAAGCCAAACACCTGGGTCGTTGACTCGGGATCATCATCCCATGTTGCAAAACGGGAGGAGATGTTCGCCGAATACTCGCCAGGTGAGCGCACAATTGAAACGGCCAAGAAGGGCCACACAATGCGCGCCGCCGGCACAGGCTCCGTCACCATTTCGACCGGGCAAGCCGGCAAGCGGGTAGACTCGGTGCGGCTGCGTAATGTGCTGCACACGCCCGACGCGACAGAGAATCTACTTAGCGTGAGCAAGCTCGACCGCGCCGGGGGATCAGCTGTTTTCGGAGGGGGCAAAGTCATCCTGCTGAACAAGGATCACAAACGAATCGGATCCGGGTCTCTCGTCGGAAGTCTCTATTACCTGGATACGATCGGCCGCCCAACGACAAACGATCAGCCTCCTACACCACCACCCATCACCCCCGAGACCGCTTTCGCCGCCACCTCACTAACGCGAGCCTTATGGCACCGGCGTTACGGCCACCTAGGGCAAGGGAACGTGGACCTTGTCATTTCGAAGGGTCTCGTCGACGGGATCAAGCTCACATCAAATGAAAAGGCGCCGACGTGTGAGGACTGCGTCTACGGAAAGCAACACCGTAAGCCTTTCCCGAAGCAGGCAGACCACCGGGCAAACAACTTACTGGAATTGGTCCACACGGACGTATGTGGCCCAATGGACAAGAACGGGATCGGGGGCGAGCGGTACTTTGTCACCTTTACCGACGACAAGGCCCGTTTCTCCACCGAATACCGCATGCGGCAGAAGAGCGAGGTGCTCGACCGCATGAAGCAGTTTAAGGCCATGGCGGAGAAGCAGACCGGCCAGCCGTGGAAACGCATCCGGTGCGACAACGGCACGGAGTACCTCAACAAAGAGGCTCTTGACTGGTTGAAAGCAGCGGGCATCGCCTTGGAGACGACGGCGCCATACACCCCATCACAGAACGGCGTCGCGGAACGCCTGAACAAAACGATCGTGGAACGCGGCCGCGCAATGATGCACGAAACCGGCCTTCCACGATTCCTGTGGCCGGAGGTGGTGTCAACATCGACCTATTTAAAGAACCTCGGCCCGACCGTCGCACTCGAGGGCAAGACGCCCCACGAGGTATGGACCGGCCGGAAACCGAACGTCAAACACCTTCGCGCATTTGGCTGCAAGGCGCTCGTGAAGATACCTGACGAAAAGCGCCGCAAGTGGGACGTCAAGTCAACCGAGTGCGTGCTGATAGGGTACTACAGTGACGCAGCCTACCGTTGCTACGAGCCGCGGACCCACAGGATCGTGAAGTCGCGCGACGTCGTCTTCTTGGAGGACGACTTGCCGCTGGCGCCGCGGAAGCTGCCCGTGGCCGAGAGGGGGGAGAACGACTTCCATGTCGCCCAGGAGCCGCCCACGGACGCTCCCCCACCTCCCAAAGCGAGCCCTGACAACCCTAAAACGAAGTCGCCATCAGCCCAACAACCACCATCACCCGTCCATCCTCCCGACCACCCACCTTCAGAGGGGGCACCAGGAACGCTGAAAACGCGCCCAGGAGCCGCCCAGCAAGCGCCGCCCGAGCCGCCTGAGCTCAGAACGAGCACACAAACAACGGCACCCGCCCAGTTCACTCTGAGAAGGAGTGAAAGGGCACGAGAGCCCTCGTCATTGAGGAAAGCCGCAGACCTGCAGGAGGCGACCGAGCGAGCTCGCAAAGACGCGAATAGAGAGGCGAGGGAGCGACGGAAGGACCGGGAAAAGAAACGAGACGAGGCAGCGCGCGACGAGAGGGAGGAGGCAGAGGCAGAGGAAGACGAGGCAGCCGTCGAGCGCTCGTTGTTCACAGCGGCCGTCGAGGCAGCGCTGTTGACGGCGGGTGAGGAGCCCCGCAGCTACCAGGAAGCCATCCGAAGCGCAGAGCGCGACGACTGGCAGAGGGCGATGGAGGAGGAGTACGACGCCTTGTTGAAGAACAAGACGTGGGAACTCGTCGAGCCGGCGAAAGGCCGCAAGCCGATTGGCTCGAAGTGGACCTACAAGGCCAAACAAGACGGGCGCTTCAAAGCCCGACTCGTCGCCCAGGGTTTCACGCAACGCCCCGGCGTCGATTTCCACGATACTCACTCCCCAGTCGCTCGTTTCGAGTCATTTCGACTTGTTTTCTCACTTGCTGCCAAGGAGAACTGGCTCCTCGAGCAGATTGATGTCAAATCCGCCTACCTTAACGGGAAACTCGACGAAGAGATATTCATGAGGCAACCCGAAGGTTTCCAGGTCCTCGGGAAAGAGGACTGGCTGCTCCGCTTGCTCAAATCTCTCTACGGCCTAAAGCAATCTGGTCGAATCTGGAACAGGATGCTTAATGCCGAGCTCCTGAAGCTCGGATTCACCCGCTGCCGCTCAGACTCCTGCGTCTACCTCCGGGTTTCAAACAAAGGCCGTACCATCATCGTCATTCACGTCGACGACATGATCCTGGCTGCGAGCACAAAGAGGGCGATGACGGAACTCAAGGAAGACTTCCGCGGGCTCCCATTCGAGACTACGGAACTGGGGGAACCGCGCACACTGCTCGGTATGACAGTCTTCCGGAACCGAGACAAGGGCATCATCTCGCTCTCGCAGACGCACTACCTCCATAACGTCCTGGAGCGTTTCGCGATGATGGACTGCAAGCCCGTCTCGACGCCCATGGACCCTAGCACCCACTTGTCAAACGAGCAGTCACCCCGGCTCTACTCCGCGGAATGGGAAGAGATGCGGAAATATCCGTACGCCGCCCTGGTGGGGGCGTTGATGTACGCGGCGCTCGCCACGCGCCCCGACCTTGCCTACACGGTCAACACTCTGGCACAGTACATGTCAAACCCCGGAATGGAACACTGGCACGCCGCAAAACGTGTCCTGCGGTACGTGAAGGGGACGTTGGACTTAGCTCTGACATATGGGGGAGACGAGAACGACTGGATCCCCGTTGGCTACACGGACGCCGATTTCGCAGAGAGCCGAGATAACCACCGCTCGATCTCCGGATACGCTTTCTTCCTTGCCGGAGCAGCGATTTCTTGGAGCTCGAAGAAACAACCTACCGTCGCTTACGCGACCGCCGAGGCAGAATACATTGCCATCTCGCACGCCACAAAAGAGGCACTTTGGCTTCGCTCACTGCTCTCGGAACTCGGATTTCCCCAGTCTTCCCCCACCCTTATCCGCTGCGACAACCAGGCTAGTATAGCCATGTCGAAGGACCATGTCTACCACGCTCGAACGAAGCACATTGACATCAAGTACCACATCATCCGAGAGAGGGTCGAGATGGGGGAAATCCGTCTGGAATATGTGCGGACGGACGAGAACGTGGCGGACGTTTTGACGAAGGGTTTAGCAAAAGGAAAGCACGCCTCATTCTCCACTAATCTAGGCCTACTGCCGGGCTAAGGGGGAATGTTAGAAGTTAGCCCATCAGCACTGTACTTACGATACGGTATTTTCCGGATTTCGTTACTTATGTGACCGTACCGTTACCGTGACACCTCAGCGTCTTCTGTTCATACGCTGAGGTGAGTATCCTGCGCGCTCTGGTAGCCTTATTGTATCCTAACGTATCATCCTAGGATTATCGTGCAGGTACATAAATACATACATAGCGTCTTCTGTTCATACGCTGAGGATTATCGTGCAGACTTCTGACAAGCGAGAGCGATGGCAAGGATTCAAGATCAAGATAGTGATGGTAGGATAGATGTTCCAGATATCTGCGTCTCCAAACAAACTTTGGTCGGCAAATGTTTCCTGAGTATTGAAGCTATCGATAACTGTTTACCATTCTTCACACTCTACTGTTGGTCGGGACGAGCGATGTAGATTCCTTGAGGTAATTTTGAATACTAACCCCTCGTGGTGGGCTCCAAAATGATATGCTAGAGGTGGCTCTAAGTGCCAAGCACAACACCAAAACAACATCTAATGCAGGGGTGCTGGAGCTAGTATCTGATATACAAGGAATCATTAGTGAGGACTTTAGAAATAGATGGCGCACTTGAGAAGCAGCGAGGAGTGTGAGATTATAGTGCCTGAACGGTTTCGGGACTGCACCAAACACCGACTGAATGTTTGGTCGGTTGTGTCAGCAATTCGGTTGGTAACAAGGAGGTAGTGTCGCGACTGACAACTACGTGCTTCAAGAGCCACACGGGACTCTGACAATATACGAGGGAGGACGAGGGGTACAAGCGAAGAGACGAGTATGAATGTGAACAAGGCCGAACGACAAAGATGACAAGTTTTTGGGAGTCAATGAAGATGATTTACAATGGTTGAGACGAGTGCAAATGAGCTTTGAACTGTGGGGTGTGAAAGCTGGTTTATTCCAGAGTTGTATGTAGGTTTTTATAGTAAATAGAGCCCCTAGGTAAAATATTAAACAAGAAATGAGAGTAGATGTCGAATGGGTGCCAAGCCCTAGTGATCAGAGAAGATAAGAAGGTAGGTGAGATGTCCATATGGGTTCCAAAGGTGATATGGTAAAAGTTAATCAGTGATGGCGAAATCCCGATCGTTTGGGATCTGTCACCCGAGCATAGGTAGCAGGAACAGGCGTTGGAGAACCAATGAGAATCAAGAAGATGTAATGTACAACCAGGGTAGCCAAGTAATGGTGCAAGATTGTGTTTGACCAATCATGTGGGAGTCGGGAAGATAAGCAATAAGGACCGGCCGACTCATGGAGGACATCGGCTGATACAGAATACTAGCTCTGATCTCATAAACACTTATTGTAACACTCCTGTGCGGTCATGGTAAGTACGTGAAGTATGGGTGAACTGACCCAAGTGCTGCTGAACGTCCTTTAGTGGCTTGCTGTTAGTCGGGTAGGGACTGACCATGTTCGGTGCAAGTTGGCATCTTCGGTCCTTGTCTAGCGCTGTTTGGTGTCTCCCCAAAGCTTCCTGAATACCTCTCTTGGACCCTAGCGCGGGTGCATGCTTATCAACGTTAAACTGCCAGGGCAGATGACAGTTCAAATCTGTTGGGCTGGCACTCACTGCTATGATGAGAAGAGGGACTCAGTTCTAGGATGCAGTCCCCGTGTGGTTCCAACAAAGTGAGGTACCATGGTGTCTGTACTCAAGAGCTATTGCACCATGGCTTAACAGTGGGCAGCAAGAATCGGTGCCCTAGGTATTATTTCCCTATGATTGTAACAGACTTTACATGCATTGCTTATGTTTTTCTTGAACTCTTTTACTTACCATCTCTGGCACTGATGGCCTAGAGGGGGGGGGGTAATGTTATGAACTGCCTACTGTATCTTTCTTGCCTTTCCCACAATCCGTATAAGGACACATAAGACCTTTCTCCCAACTATACTTTATGTTCCTGATCCACTGCTAGTTGGTCCATGCTCTTGCTTGTACATATTTATAGCAGCTGTGGCATAGTAGGGAAGCCTTAGGCTATCCACCTCTGTCCAATCTAGGAACTGCTGTTTATCAGTCTTCCCTGATTCTCAAGCATTGGTCTGATCAGCTTCGCCTCTTCACATCCATTAACCTTGCCATCATCCTCTTTGTGTATGTACTAATTTGTGGGCTAGGAATCTCTTGTCCCAAACAGCCGTTCATGACAGACTGTACATGCAGCACAGGAGCCAGATAATATTGCAACTTCTGTATGCAGGGATACAGTAAGAGCAAAGTGTACTGTAGGAAGACAGTACTAGACAAAGAGAATAGACTAAAGATCCTTAGCCTATTCTATGGGCCTTTTATATTATTTTAGGAAAGGGTGTGAGAATACCATATATATACCCCTAGGTATTTTCTAAGTCATTTCCCTCTTATAATGACTACTTTTGCTTCTCCGTTTGCCTCTTTCTGACCAAGAGGTCAAAGAGCTCCATGCTTATGTGTGAGTAGTTTGTAAGGTGGGAAAGGATGCCCATTGCAATAGGCTCGGGATATTCAACCAGTGACAGATGGTGCACTGGGAGTGGATGACCAAGGGTTATATCTGTACCTTCATATATGCCTTAGAGTATGAGGCTGCCTGGTAGTTGTGATGATCATATCGGCATAGACCACCGTGAAGTCCCAATAAGTTGTGATCATAACAGATGGGATATCATATGCTTGAAAAAGATGAAGATCAACTCACTAGGATGCATGCCAGAATATCTCAATTGTCTTATAGGAGGGGTATTCTCTAGTTTATTAATTTTCTTAGATAGGACAGGTTGAGCAAAGGGCAGATCCCACAGCCTGATTATGTGGTCATGTGAACCTGACACAATCTGCTTGCCATCTGGAGAGAATGTAGCAAATATCATACAATCCACATGTCCTTAGAGAGGGGGGCCCACTATAGCATGCTAATGAGCATGGGTCCACTTTAGGTATTAATACCTTACTTTTGGAAGCTTTTGAGTATTCTTTGACCATCTGTCAAACTTAGGTCTAACTGATCCCAATCTGTTTGAAGCTCTTAGCTATTAATTAGGTACTGACTTTGCATTTAGACCTTTGCACAGATATTCAGTGCAACCCATAGTCATTCTATGGATCTATTAGCCCTCCTAGTGTTCAGAGCTTCTTACAGATTGTTGTATCCAATCACCAATCAGTTTAGTACATTTCACATCTTCAGCACATCCAATCATCTTCTATGTCCTGAATTGGAGGCAGCTGAATAGTTTGTTGACTTAGAATAGATCTGCCTTTCTACCTCTTGTTGTTCTTGTGCCTTCTGTTGACCTTTCTTTCCTTATCTTCAAAGCTCCCAAGTTTCTAATTGGTTTACCTATATGGTATGTGGTTCTTATCTCCAGGTCCATATATATTCACCTTGGCAATCTCTCCATTTATTTAGACTTTAGAGCTATTGCTTTTTATCTTACACCACTCACACTACCACCCCTTTATTATCTTCACCCCCGATAGCTCTTGGCATGTATTTCTGAGTACTCTATGTCCCTGCCAATCTCCCTATCTTCGTGGACAAACCTTGAGCACTGCCTTGAATTATCGAAGGACGGATGGCTGAGAGTTGTTCCGATATGAAGCCGATGTACTGCGCCTTGCGCATCTTCCGGTGAGCAAAGATCTCGATCCTGAGAGTCGAGTTTGGATCGGTATCACTACGACGAGCAAAGCACACAGTCAGTAACGAGGACACAAAAGATTATGAAATAACATCCGTACAAGGAGAAGAGTTGGTTCCACTCCGGGGTGCTGCTTCGGCGAGCGACCTTCGTCTCTTTCCTCTCCTCGCCAATCATCACGACACAATAAAATCTCCCATTTATTTGTCGAGTAAAATGGACGCCCTCGACCTTGGGCAGACCGGTAGCGTGGACAACTGTGGGATGCTAGCCATGAGGAGACCGCATGTCAATCAGGCATTCGCACACACCTGTGACTTTCAGTTTAATCTTCTGCCGAAGTTCAGAGGGCTCTCCGTGGTTAAACAACGAAGAATCAGAAACATGCACGCCAAATGAATTAATTGGCCAGACTCACGACGGTGCTGGGGACGACATCGTCGGGGTGGACATGGTGGTAAGAGGTTGACCGAGGGCGCATGTGCAGGGACTACGAGTACAAGGACCCTTTCGACACTTAGTGCGTTGATGAACACGCGGAGAACAGCCCTTTCATTTGGTGAAACATCCTCAATTGGGAGGGAATAGAAGTCTCCAAATTGGGTTGGGCGCTTCTTCCGATTGAGAAAAGGCGTCTCTGCCGCTTTGCTTGCGCCCGTTGTTCGCCGCACACCGTTAGAGTCTGTGCCGAGAGGGCAACGTGCGATAAGTGATTTAACATCGAGCTACGTAGAATGACCAAGAGAGGAGAGGTTGTACTCGTTGAAAGACGGGACGTGATGCGGCAGAAGAGTGGGAAGAAGGTTGGACTGTAAGTGTTCGATCGGGTCGGTATCTGGACAGGCACTGAGAAATGAAATGAATGGGCGACCGCAGGAGTGGAAATGTAAGAGAACAAAGAAGGAAGGCGAGGAAAAAGGAAAGTGCACGATCCAGATAAGGGCAGCAGAAGAGAGATTCCGAGAATTAAAAAGGTTAGAGGAGACATACGGAAGGAAGACAAGTGGGAGACGACGCACACAATTCGATGGCGCCTAATGGATATTCAGTCCATCTGCGAACAGGAGGTAGCGAAGCTCAGCCAAGGCAGTCATACTGACTCTACGTGAGACTTGGAAACGTGGTTCTGGAAGGTTCTGGTTCAACGTCGATGTCCGTATGCACAGAGCATGAAACGAGATTGATCGTGAATGGAGGAAATAGCAAGCGCAGGACGTTCATTCGCTATCAGAAGCAACGAGGGAAAGAGGGGGATCAGTGCCGCACGAACGCGTCAGAGGATGCAGATGGAGTACGCACAGCTTCGTGGAAGTAGACAGACGCGGCATCCGCATCAGCTCGTACCCCGGGACCCCCAAGGCCCATACACATGTACATAAAAACATATGTGTGCACTCATCCGACACTTTTATCGGTGCTGAGGCTTCAGCACGTTGTGAGAATGTGGACGGCTAGGTGGAAGCGAGACGAGGGGTGGCGGCAGATCCCAGGAGTTATATCCTAGCCGTATACCTATCCTACGCGTGCATAACTGTGCGGTTGACGGCAGGGACCTGGTTGGCGAGCATGAAACATGGGGGGAATTAGTATCGAAACGGAGACCCTGGATATGTACCTTCAAATTTGAAATATTCTGCGCGGCAGCGATCAATGCAAAACTCCCCTCGGAGAACAATCGCAGAATCTCGAGCCTTGTGCGAGGATCCCTATGGATGCACCGAGCGTGTTCTTGACATCGGAGAGAGCGAAGGAAACCATGGATACCTTGCGGAGACGAGAGCTGGGTGGAGCGCAAGGTGAAAAGGGAGGGAGCAGACGACAGAGATATCGGATTGATGGCCAATCAGAACGCGTTCCCCCGACGGTGAGTGTCGTGTGCAAGCAGTTGAGGGAGAGCCGACCTGGGAGCGTAGGGAGACGAAGACCGTTGAAGATGTGTGACGGACGCGCACATCTAAGTGAGATGCAGACAATCTTGTACATGCGCTGCCTTCCAGTGTGTTGCGTTGCCCAGCATGACTGCACGAGTGTGTACGATCGCGAGCAACGAGTCTGTCGACGGCGGAGGGCATCATGGGAAACATTCAACCGCTCCTCCGGCCCGCGGCGCTCTCCACTCTACAACAGTCACCCTCATCGCACAGGCCCATCATCTTGTCCGTCTCTTCACCCACCGCTATCCCCAGCATCCTCTCCCCTCTCCAGCAACCTCGAGCAGATCGACGACAATCGTCTTTGACTCACCAATCGCGAGCGCAGGTACCGGACATCCACCGAACATTCCCGTTTGGTTACTCAGCTTCGCTATCGTGTGAGTCCTTCAGCTCGCTCCTTTCTTTCGAGCTCTTACGAGTCGTTCCAGAACTTGTGAGGTAGCATGCTGCCCATCCACTGCGCGCTGCCCCGTCGCTGACACTCGTTCCATCGGCGCATGGCCTTGCACTGCGCAGAAAGCCTACAAGCTTTCAATCTAATGCTGGTGCGTCATCGTTTTTCCTCCCTCCCATTACTCCTTCCTACCTCCTGTTCCATTCATTTTCAACCATTGAACTTTATTTGCCCACTCCACACTGTGATCCCAGACCATTCGAGCCTTCCCTTCTCCGCGCTCTATAACTCATCTGTGTCGACTGCCAGCACGCGCAGAGGCTCATCCGCAACTCCGCTTCACCTACCACTCCGCCGGATGCCACGATAGCATCTCAATTTCATGGCCGCATAGTCGGAGCTCTCTGAGCTCAAGTTCAACTTCCCATATCAGTCGATCTTGGGATCCCGTACGCACTAGACTCAAGGTAAATCCTGCTACTAGAGCCATAGCTTTCTCTCTCACCGCGGGGCGATTGTGTCTTAGTTCAGTGTGAGACACCTCTGTCAGTCGACTCGGAACTCACTGCAGGCTCATTCGCAGTCTGCTTCGTTACGCGCGCAGGTATGCAATGTTGACAACTCTTGAACTCGATACGGCGACACTCTCAGTCGACGGCGGCCTGAAGTCTCAGCGCAGGTCATGAACCAGTGAATCGTTGTATGCCGTTGTAAAGAACTAAACGGCATCATTGACCATGCATGGAACCGGTCCCAAATGTCAGCTCATCGAACTCTAGTGTGGGCTTAAAGGCATTTGTAGCAATGGTGACGTGGAACGTAGATCGTCTACTCTGCCCCGTACATTTCACACTTAGATCTTGTCGTTCAGTGGCTATCGTTCGTCAGCTTGTCTCGAGAATACAAAAGGGGGTACGATTACGAACTTACTCGAATGCAAATTGGGAGTTGTGCATTGCAGCAAGATTCAGTCTGCTCGCGTGCTCCGCGATCAATACCAGACGGACGGCTCCGGAGCCGCAGGTCCACGTCCACGAAACAAATGATGCTCATGTCTGAAATAATGGATATGAGCGGAGTCGGCAAAGCAAACGAGCAAAGACACGACTCGCAAGTTGGGATATGTATCATGGACTACTCCAGCGCAGTAATAAACACCGCGCGGCGCCCTTCACGTCGTCCACAATCTCCAACTGTGCTACTACCTCCAGAACGAGCTCTGCGACAGAATCGACGTGCGCTGTGAGGTAGACCGCACCGCGGCTTGATAACACGATGGCTTGAGGATCAACATGGACACGAGGTTCCGACCAGTCCAACGCGTAGAAAGCAGTGTAGCATCGAAAGGGAAAACAATGACATTGAAGTGGCGATCCATGGTGAGGTCAGTGTCATTAAGAAGGCAAGCACAGGAAACAGCTGGTGCTTATCTATAGAGGCACAGATAATAACGTGAGGAGGGAAAAAGTAGGACACATATAATATCGGACTATGTGTATCATGTTCGGTCGACGTACATATATCGAGACAGACGGACACAAGCGAGCGCGATGAATGAGTGTTGAGCGCGAGCAACGCATGCGGAGCGGAACCTGCAAAGCTGTGAGCGAGCCGAACGGAGAGGGACTCCGAATCCCCGAGTCGCGTAGCAAGGGGCAGCCATGGTAATGAGTCGGTGCGAGCGGTTCCAAGTCAATCCCTGTGTGCACACCGAGAGAGCGCGAACGTGAGCGTACCAACAAGTGGCCGAAGGACGTTCGTCTGTGATACCAAGAACAGCTGACTGGGTGAAGGAATGGGCACGATACGGATGCTCTAGGGTGTGACGTAGTATGGCGTGCCCTGTGTTGCATCCTCGATGCCAGAGTGATACCCCACCCCTCGTTAGCCCTCCTCACCTGCGCGGTGGGTATACGCTTACTGGGGCACGCGTGCACACTTCCCCAAGACTGCACACATAGCGCCTCGTTCTACAATATCCCATAGAGGGCTCGTTTTCCGAGCAGGTCCTCGTCACGGTCACGCCCAGTGGGCTCATGGAGATGCAAGGAGGTGAACGTGGCGAGGTGGTGAGAGTGCCGAACATAAGATCGAGAAATATAGGGCGAGGAGGAAGTGCTGGTACCATGGCCAGGAAGGTGACGTGACAATGAGGGAACGATGCGGTCAAGGTTCTGCAAGCACGAACCATAGGGACCGGTGTCGGGATGAGGACTCACGGAGATGCCCGTGGGCGCTGCTCACTGCCAGTCACCGCTACACCGGCCAGCGCAAACAGCTCCTTGAGGCACGTCCGAGAGCCCAGGGAAATGGTGTCGAAGCTTGCGTGGTCAGCGAGGATCGATGCGCGCGCGCCTACTAGGCCAGGCGTGGGCGGGAGGGGGCGCATGCGTCGTCGGTCGGCGCCGGAGCACTGCCGGAGCTCCTCGACCGCCGCGGCCTCCAAAGTTCGAACCTTGCAAGGAGTGCATCCCATCCCTGCGACCACGAACGCGCCCTCGTTCTCGGGAAGGCTGCCCCCGAGCGAGCTGGTGGAAAGGGATAATCCCAAGACCGCCTTCGATGGCGCCGTGTCGTGTATTCTCGTCGTGAGCGCCGGGCACAGACTTTGTTCTCTTTTGAGGCTGTCCTTCTGTATCGGGAGCGATCTTAGGATCGCGAGTCGTGTTCGTTGGCGCTCGCGTATCTTCCTCTTGTACCATGTCCACTGTCCAGGCCCTAACGATGCGTCCCCCGATATCGTCGTGAGTGTGAACTCTGGCTTCATCAGTCTGCACAGCTCCTGATCCAGGACTCGTCTGCGAAGCGATTCCATCGATCCCCAACCGAAAATTCAGCTGATTGTCAAAGGCATGCATTGATGACTTGTGATTGGCATATCGAACTCTCCTCACGCCTAGCATCTCGACAGTCATCCGCGCCGCCGGTCTACCCAAGGTCAAACGCTTCAAACACATGCCTGAGATTGACGGCAGGTTTCGTGGTGTCCTGACAGTTGGCGATGTACAAAACAAGACGAACATTGTTCGCGGAGGGAACTCCCCGGAGTGGAACGAATCTTTCTCCTTGTAAGAGCATGTTCCTGGATTGATTGTGATTTCCGTCATTGACCCGCCTTGCTGGCCAAAGCCATACCCATCCGTCTTCAATCTTGAAGCTTGACATCTACGCGCACCACAGAATACGCCAGGAACAACACATCGGTTCAATTTCAGAGACCATTGCAACGATCTGCTCTTCAATACTCAACGGCGGCACTGTTGGTAAGCAAACATCTCACGAACTCGATCCCGCTCATGATTGTCTTGCGTCCTAGATGTCACCAGGACTCTTTCGGGAGACTCAGGAGCCCGCGTCGACTTGTGTATGGTCGTTAAAGTCAGAATCCCACGAGAACCGTTCGAACCGCCTATCTCCGATACTTCATCGGCAATACCAAGTAGCCATTGTATACCAGAAACCCCAAAGGAAATGGGCATCGTTACAATTCACGAAGACGTTACAACTGCGCTAGCAACCGCCAAGGCCGTTTCATTGCAGATGCGACCTCTTTCGGATGTCCCTAACACGATTGTGGAAGGTGCAAGCTCCGCTTCTGAGGCTGCCAGCACTCTGGTCGACATTTGGACGCCTGTTTTCCAGAAGATCGACATCTTTTGTAGATTGATGGACACGGTAACAGAGGTATGTGTCGATCGTGCTCATGCGGACGATAAGATACTGACAAGTGACTTGTATCAGGTTCATCCTTATGCCAAAACGGCTTGGATCATGGTTTCAGCGGTTCAGAAGGTTCATATTTCATTGACCGTATAGAGTTGAATGACGGGACTGACGAAAAACTGTTCCTTGTAAAGATCATCAAGACGCAGATGGACCGTGATGAAAAGATCAAAAACCTGTTGAAGGCGATGGACTCTTTCTACGACATCGTGGATGACCTCAAGAGCGGGGAGAAGATCGAGAAGATTGAGTCTAGCAAGGACGTACTGCAACGCATCGCTCAGCAGACAACAGAGTGCTGTTTTTTTATCCGCGACTACGCAAAGCCCCACAGCTTCTGTAAGCCTCGTCTGCCGTTGTTTAAGGGCATTCGCTTACAATCTCCCTTTCCTGGACAGGGAAGCGAACAGGACACAATCTATTCTCCAATGTCGATGACAAGATTGACGGATACTGCACGGTATTACGCGAGCTCAAGGAAGAATTCTATGGACGAGTGACTGTACAGACTAAGATTGTGGTCACGCAGATTCTGGATGAAGTGCAGGCATCTGGTGAGCAAAGTCGACTTATCAACTATTGGCGATTGACTGATTTCTGGTCGTATAGCCATGCAATTTGGTCTGGACGACATCCCGTATGCTGCCGGTGCTGGCTTTCAGATGTCAAAGGGCTGCCAATCAGGAACTCGCACATCCATCCTTGATGAGATTGCGGAGTGGATCACTAGAGACGATGGTTCTCGGGTCTTCCTACTCCTTGGCGCCGCAGGGACAGGTAAATCGGCAATCGCGCATACTGTCGCTGGCCGTTCCAAGGCTTCCAACCGCCTCGGATCCTCGTTCTCCTTTGTGCGTGGTCAGGCCGACCGCGGCCCGGAAAAACTGGTTTCCACCGTGGCGCGCGACTTGTCCGATTTCAGTGAATCCATCCGGCACGCACTAGGCGAGGTGGTTCAATACAACAAGGGACTTCGGACGACTTTGGACATCGCAATGCAGTTTGAGAACCTTATTCTGAAGCCGGTCGAGAAGCTCACATTGACCGGTCCTCTAGTCATAGTCATCGATGCTCTGGATGAATGTTCAGACCCAACATCTCGTGAAGCGCTGCTTCTGCTGCTGGCTAACAGAACCCAAGAACTTCCTCCAAATTTCCGCATCCTCCTCACCTCTCGCTTGGAGAAAGATATCGAAACAACGTTCAGCTCCAATGACAAGATCATCGTAAAGAAGATGGATGACATTCCATCACAATCGACGAGAGACGATATCAGGTTATATATCAACAATAAGCTCGGAGACCTTGATCGTGATGACATCGATGCCGGATGCAAGAGCACGCTCGTGGACCAATCAGAGGGTTTATTCCAGTGGGCGTCCGTCGCCTGCGAATTTATCAAAGGTGTTGGCGTTCCCGGTTCCACCCCGAGGGAACGATACGACCTCCTGATCCAGGGTACGACTAGCGAAACGTGGCACCTGGATGGCCTGTATATGACGGTTTTGTCGCACTTTTTCCAAAATCAAGGCTCTTTCACAGAGAAAGTTATGGATAGGTTCAGGCTGGTTATGGCACTATTATTGAGTGCCTTCGAGCCGCTCTCCATGAAATCATTGGACATGATACTATACGCTGCCAAGGACAGAAAAACCAGATTCGATCCGAAGATCATTTTGGAATATATGGGCTCGTTGCTGAGCGGGGTCACTGGGAAGGAGCCCATCCGTCCTTTGCACACATCATTCCGCGACTTTCTATTGGATTCCTCTCGCAGTCGGAAATTCCATGTCGACACAACTGAGGCGCACAAGGACCTGACACTCGCGTCGTTGAGTATCATGAATAGCGAACTCTCGTTCAATATCTGTCATCTTGAATCCTCGTACACTCTGAACGAGGCTATTGGCGACCTTGCAAATCGGATTCAAGAACATATTCCAGAGCATCTTTCGTACTCGTGTCGATTTTGGGCGAGTCATCTGCAGCGTATACCATCTGATGATCTTGACGTTCGGAGAGCTGTTGCGTTGCTCCTATCCGAAAAACTCCTCTTCTGGATCGAAGTCGCTAGTCTCCTTGGTGCGGTGCATGGTGCGGTCCAAGCACTGTCTTCTCTTATGCAGTGGTGTACTGTAGGTGACCTTCCTATCTGATCCATATTGAGGGGACTCATGATATTTGTCTTGGACTAGGATGCAAATGATGATGCGCGGGAACTATTGAAGCATGCGCGCGACGCTCACGCATTCATAAACACCTTCGGAGTTCCCATCTCCCAATCGACTCCGCATATATATTTGTCTGCCCTACCCTTTTGTCCTCCAACTTCCATCATACACAATTGTTTCAGTAGCATGTTTCATGGGACCCTGAGGGTCTGCAAGGGAGCAGCTACGGGTTGGCCAACTGTGCAGCATATCATATATTGTCAGAGCCAGGTCAGCTCCGTAGCTTTCTCACGGGACGGGACACGGATCGTCTCGGGCTCGCACGACAAGACGATCCGGATGTGGGATTCATCAACAGGGAAAGCGGTTGGTGAGCCTCTCGAGGGACACACAGATCGGGTCTGGTCCGTCGCTTTATCGCGGGACGGGACACGGATCGTCTCGGGCTCGTCCGACAAGACGATCCGGATGTGGGATTCATCAACAGGGAAAGTGGTTGGTGAGCCTCTCGAGGGACACACAGATCGGGTCTGGTCCGTTGCTTTCTCGCGGGACGGGACCCGCATCGTCTCGGGCTCGTCCGACAAGACGATCCGGATGTGGGATTCATCAACAGGGAAAGCAGTTGGTGAGCCTCTCGAGGGACACACAGGTCCGGTCGGGTCCGTTGCTTTCTCGCGGGACGGGACCCGCATCGTCTCGGGCTCGTCCGACAAGACGATCCGGATGTGGGATTCATCAACAGGGAAAGCAGTTGGTGAGCCTCTCGAGGGACACACAGATTGGGTCCGGTCCGTTGCTTTCTCGCGGGACGGGACGCGGATCGTCTCGGGCTCGTCCGACTCGACGATCCGGATGTGGGATTCATCAACAGGGAAAGCGCTTGGTGAGCCTCTCGAGGGACACACAGGTCTGGTCTGGTCCGTTGCTTTCTCGCGGGACGGGACCCGCATCGTCTCGGGCTCGCGGGACTCGACGATCCGGATGTGGGATTCATCAACAGGGAAAGTGGTTGGTGAGCCTCTCGAGGGACACACAGGTCTGGTCTGGTCCGTTGCTTTCTCGCGGGACGGGACCCGCATCGTCTCGGGCTCGTCCGACATGACGATCCGGATGTGGGATTCATCAACGGGGAAAGCGGTTGGTGAGCCTCTCGAGGGACACACAGGTCCGGTCAACTCCGTTGCTTTCTCGCGGGACGGGACCCGCATCGTCTCGGGCTCGGACGACAAGACGATCCGGATGTGGGATTCATCAACAGGGAAAGCAGTTGGTGAGCCTCTCGAGGGACACACAGGTCCGGTCTGGTCCGTTGCTTTCTCGCGGGACGGGACCCGCATCGTCTCGGGCTCGCGGGACTCGACGATCCGGATGTGGGATTCATCAACAGGGAAAGCAGTTGGTGAGCCTCTCGAGGGACACACAGGTCTGTTCTGGTCCGTTGCTTTCTCGCGGGACGGGACCCGCATCGTCTCGGGCTCGCGGGACTCGACGATCCGGATGTGGGATTCATCAACAGGGAAAGCAGTTGGTGAGCCTCTCGAGGGACACACAGATTGGGTCCGGTCCGTTGCTTTCTCGCGGGACGGGACCCGCATCGTCTCGGGCTCGTTCGACAAGACGATCCGGATGTGGGATTCATCAACAGGGAAAGCGGTTGGTGAGCCTCTCGAGGGACACACAGGTCCGGTCTGGTCCGTTGCTTTCTCGCGGGACGGGACCCGCATCGTCTCGGGCTCGTCCGACTCGACGATCCGGATGTGGGATTCATCAACAGGGAAAGCGGTTGGTGAGCCTCTCGAGGGACACACACGTCCGGTCAACTCCGTTGCTTTCTCGCGGGACGGGACCCGCATCGTCTCGGGCTCGTCCGACAAGACGATCCGGATGTGGGATTCATCAACGGGGAAAGCGGTTGGTGAGCCTCTCGAGGGACACACAGATTGGGTCTGGTCCGTTGCTTTCTCGCGGGACGGGACACGGATCGTCTCGGGCTCGGACGACAACAAGGTCCTGATCTGGGATTCATCACCAAAGAAATTGGTCGGTGAACTTCCTCAGGGAAATCCTTACCAGGTCGAATTTCCCCTGCTCTCAGAGCTTGAGCATGCATGCTCTCCAGCCACTATGTGTGACCCGCAGATAGTAACATCTGCAGCGCCCTCGTATCTACGTGAGTTCTTGAAGCTCATTTCTGTTATACATCCTTGTCAGTTGACAATTGCACATCTCAGCTCCCATCACATTTTCGTCACAGGCAGAACATGCACTACGCCATGTGGATGACATATTTCCTTCTGCTCCTGCAGATGGCTCCCGTGCATCCATTACACTGAGAGACGATGGGTGGGTAGTGGGTTTGAGTGATAAATTGTTGTTTTGGCTCCCCTTCGATCTTCGTGCGAAAATAAGGCTTCCAAGGATGTTGCTACGATGTGGTGTAGACATGACAGAGCTTGACCTAAGTCGGTTCATCCATGGGCCCTCTTGGAGCGAGTGCTATCGAGTCTCTGCTGACGAGTTATGACTTTGTTGTTGTGTTTCTCCTGTGCTTATACTGTGTCACCAGTGATTACAATGACTTTCGAACACTCGTTAAGTTTGGATGTATTAGATGGCATCCATTATCCTCTTGAACGGACTACTTCAGAATACAGGCGTCGCGCTCTCAATAAATTTGACTGATCCGCGGAATGCCCTGAGTGGACACATGGATATGTTATCATCCCTTGGAACATTGACTCCCCGTGCACGAGAAGGAAAATTAGCGACGCTATGCTCGCAATGTCCACAGAGCCGGACTAGAGGTGTGTCGTGCATGTGTAAGGTATGCTGGAACGATCTGAGCGCCAGGCTCGATGCGTCGCCCTCGAGAAGACTATTGATTCTTAGGCATCGGCTGCCGACAGACGGAAAGGAATGCAACCTGGGCGGGCATAAGGGGAAAGGCGTCCATTACGCACACTGGGAGTATGTTCGTCACCCCTTACCCGTTGTACTTTTGTTGGAATATCAACTAGATGCGCCCTACTTTCCTGATCATGCACTGTATGCGTCTCCTGGATCTCCCTTCCGGGCTTCTGCCATCGACCGCTCACCAGGCAAATTTGCAGTATTGTTCGCTCACTTCCTTGCCCTCCGCGCCTCGAGCGGCCTGCCCTTGGATACCTCCTTGATGCTTGACTGCACGTCATGGCACAGTGTGGCGGTCTCCTCAAAGAGGGCGGTGGAGACGGAGGTACAGTTGTGGAGGGCGGGACAATGGACGCAGGAAGGTGAGGACATGCAGACACCCTAGCATGGCAAGGGGCCGCACATCCGTATCACGCGGCCAGCCAGCCAAAAGGACGGGGAGAGTGTCGAGGTCAGCAATCATGAAACAGCGGAGAATCAAAGTGAAAACGGGTGCTCACACAGAGACTCGTGTATACCCCGAACAGCTCTTCGAAGACCGCTGTCCCAGTGCTCGGCTTGTGGATGGCCGTGCAATGCGCGAGGATCTGCGTGAGCGCGTCGGTATCGCTCTTGCTGGACTTCGGTCGAAGGGAAGGGGACCATCCATGTTGGCGGAGACGAGGCCTGGCAGGATGTGTGTCGAAAAGGGAGAGCCGGCGCCGGGAGGGCATCACATGGAGGGTTCAGCGACCGATTGGCGTATGCGGGGAGCAAAACACGTCGGCGGGTAACGCACGTTGGGATGGCATCATGGCAGCATCCGCCACTCGAGAAATCAGAGTGCTCGCCGACACGGCGCCAGAGATCAGCTAGACCGTGCGGGCGTCGTGAACGACGACAACGAGCGGTCGAAGAAGCATGATGGCCGTGGGAATCGCTTACGCTCGACCTGACCAACTCCGGCGACCGCTTTGTCTCGCTCTGCTAAGCATGGCATGGCCTCTCTTGTTCTTCCCTGCACAGATCATCAACATTGCAGTATTCCTCTTTTTTCTTTCCTCAGTCTCCTCCACGAACAATGCACACGACGATGCTTGGACGCAAATTGTAGCAGCTATTCAGCAAGCCTGCGCCTCTGTGACCCCTCACTCGCAACAGCATAATCAACAAGTCGTGCCACGCACTAGTAAGCTCCAATCTTTTTCTCACATCTCTTGCAGAAAGTTCATCTTCCCGGAATATTAACCGTCCCCATGTAATCCGCATGGAAGCAAGGCGAGCAATGTGCTTATGAAGAGGGCTGCCGACGACCCGTCGACGGCATGCCACACTGCCAGCACTTCATGCATTACAAGTTCTAACTCACATCAATCGGCTCTGCAGCGCGGGTGGACTCAGGTGCGTGCGATTTGGGAGTGAAAGAAAGTGTTTTTGGAGCACGCATTGGAACGCGTGGGGTACCGCTAAGGGGGTGCTTGCGTGGTGGGGTTAACAGCACATCCAAAATCCCTGAGTGGGGCACAGATGTTGCCCTGACGATAAGCCCTTGCAGGCTCCTACCAGCTGCGCATGGGTGCTGTCTTTCTCCCTGTAGCGCATTTGATGCTGCTCAAGTGTGCTGAGTCGCAGAGGATCGTACTGTCTATCCTATCTTGCAATGCTAATATTCTTGTAAGTTTCTACAGGTGCTCGATTGTAAGTCTACCCGCCTCAATGCTGCTCGCCCGTGCCCTGTCATTTTGTTCCGCCATGCGTGGCAGCAAAGGTAGAACGGGCCTGTCATGAATGGCCGTGACCAATGTGCATGGCATCTCTCCCTTGATAGCCAACACACCACGTTTAAGCCTCTGCACTACTTCTGCATAAAGTCAGCCCAATGTTAATACTGATTACCTGTTTTGAACGACTCCCAACGTAGCTCTGAGCGCTGGGATGCTGAGAGGGTGAAACAGGCCGAAGCACGTCGTGAGCGCCGGCCGTCTGGAGTCGCACTAGTTACCATGGTCTCTTTCAAGGCCTTTGAGACTTGTCGCTATTTCTCAGCAACGATGCCTGCTGTGCCCTCACTGAGAATCCTGTATTGCTTCTAAATCCTGCTCCTCGTCTTCCTCTCGTGCTTTTTTTTCTTCCATAGCTCGTACCCTCATCATTTTTTTCTCACTCAGTGACATTGATCCTGGCGCATTCTGCCACCCGACAGTACCTCTTGACGGCGCGCTCTGAGCGACACGATCAAGGCACCTGGTCAGGACTCGGAACTCCCTTCTTCTGAAGTCAGTGCAGTGCGCATGAATGTGAACTCCCATAGCCCCTGCGTATGCGACTTCTGCCATCGAGGCGCAGTCCACACTCGGAAGCATCCCCGTCGCTGCAGCCTTGTGCTTTCAGCCATCCATTCACGCGCATATGTTCTCAAATTGACAATTCGGGCACCGTTCGTGTCGTCGCATGTGAGGCTAATGTAGGTGATCGCCGAGGACAGACTGGAGGAAGGTGGACAGAGCACACATGTTCATGCTTTGGGGTACGACACAAACTATCCGTATTGATCTTGCGGTGTCCATGGTAGGTTGAAGAACTAGAGCGAGCAGAGAATAAGAAGTGCGACGTAGACAAAAAGCAGCGTGAATGGTATAAGCGAGGAAGGACACTCACGATTTGATTGCGCCGAAGGCACTGCGCATCAGTAAGTCGGCGCAGGAGCGGGGACGTCCAGTAATTAGTCTCCAGATTTACGAGTCAGTGTGAGTAGTCCCAGTCCGCTATCGATGTCTAAATTGAAGCGACGGCAATTGTGAGTGATTCAACGGGTGTGCATAGGAGTCGACGGGTTTGCAAGAGAGGTGACAGGTCGCGGAAGGGAGCAATAAGATTGCTCTTGGAAAGAACGGACAAGATGCAGCATTCGTAATATTATTCTGGATGCCAGATCGATGCCTCACACAGCGAGCATGGAACACTGGGAAAGTAAGAGTGAAAGCGAAGGCCTCCAGAGACCCGCATATCTCCTCGGCGAAAAGTAACCCTGTGCTTAGCTTGCGGAGGGTCGTGCGATGCATCTGTGTGAGCACCTCTATCTCAGTCTGTCTGGACTTCGGCCAAAGGAAAGGGTGCTCTCAATGTTTGCGGAGACGAAGCTAAGCAGGATGTGCACCGGAAAAAGAGGGTTGGAGCAGAGAGGCATCCTATTGGAGGTCGTGGGAGAGACGTGGGGCGCGATGTCAAGTGATGCGCATTGTGTTTGCATCCAGGAGGATTCAACATTCAGCATTCGCGCCATCGAACTGCCTGTCGATGCAGCTCCGGAGGTGGGCCGGACACGATACATTGATGAGGATGAGCGCATAGCGCTCCTGACTTTCACAGCTTGACCCTGCAGAAACTCTCCAGAAGCTTCCACAACCTCTTCGTAGATTAACAACCAACTCTCTTCGGGCAACGCATTACTGGCACTTCACAGCCTCTTTTATAGGAAAAATATGGTGCGTGAGTACTCTGTTTGAATCTGTCTCTTGTCTTTCTTTCTCCAGATACAACAAATTGTCCACGGCGCACACCGAACTCTCCAATATATCCTACTATCTTCCTATCCGTTCTTTTTTTTCCCTTTCTACATTCTGCTTTACTCTTTCATAATCATCGATATTGCTGACTGACTTAGTGCCCTTATTCAGGCTGGTCTGTCGAGTGCCTTTCTTTTTGCTATCCCGCGCAGAAGCTTATCGGCACTTACATCTGAACTGCCAGTCCGTCCTGATCATGTTGACTGCGCTCAGATCGGCACTGAAAACAGCGCACTTATTGCGAAAGCTATACCACATCACTCACGGCATGAGTAGGACAACGGGTTGAGGCTCGCGCATAGACCTCGCGGTGCATGCCCGATGAGGTACGCTAAATTGTATGACCACCTCTTCCAAGCCTTCAATTTTTCTGTCTACTGCTTTCAATGACTATCCTCCAGATGTGGGCTGTTGCACAGGTCAAACATCGTAGCCCATACGTGTAGGTGAGTACGCACCTATTTTCATTTTCGGACTTGCAGCTCTCGACCGCCACACACTGGTCCCCTAGTCGAGCAACGACAAAAGTTGTGTACGCTAGCAGGTCTCTCGCACCGTACTTTCGGGGACCTAAAAGTCCTGACTCTTTGTAGATATTCCTCAGCTCTCCCCATATTACGCATGGTGATAGTGTGTTGACTGAAGATTTGGTGTATACAGCTACCCTCGAGTTATACCATACAAGCTACCGCCTAAAGATTTAGACTGATGCCTGCAATTGATTGACCGTTGTCCGCAATGAATGCATGGAAGAGAACTAGTATAGATGCACAGAGCATGGGAGCTTGTGACTACATTGTACATAGCGGAAAGAGATGAAAGAGTCCAGTCTGAATCATGCTGCTACGAAGGACAATAACACTCGTGCCAAGAAGTACCATGAACAAATTGACCGAGGTCCAGTTTTACGAGCTGCTTTCTAATGACAAATTGAAGCCTTGTATCGGGTCATAACTTGTTACGATACACGGCGGGTACCCAGAATAAGAGTTCTGATGCAGGACCCACTATCCAACCATCACTGTTCATGTGTTTATATGTACGATTATTCCATTCAGGAGGAGTGACAGACTTATTGAGGCCACGTTGACGCATTGCGTGCTGCAGATGACGGGAAATGAGAATTAAGGCTGCGGAAGGTTCAGGTCAGATGCGAACCTCGATGCCTGGAGAATGACAACATCTAAACTCACGAGGATACATTCTGTGAAGTTTAGATTGTGTTGTGGGAGGAGTGTTGCTGGTCACTGAGTACAACGTCACCTGTGCACCATCGACCTCATTGGTCGATGCAAGTTGAACCATTGGCGAATCCCACACCCGGATTGTGTTGTCCATCGAGCCTGACACGATCTGCAACCCGTCTGGCGAGAAAGCAACAGATGTCACCGAATACACGTGTCCCTTGAGAGGGTCGCCCACAGGAGCGTGCCTCTCTGTATCCCATAACCGGGTTGTGGAGTCATACGAGTCTGACACTATCCGCTTCCCATCTGGAGAGAAAGCAACAGAAAATACCCGACCTGTGTGTCCCTCGAGAGGGTCGCCCGGAGCAACACGTGTCACCGCATTCCACAAGCGGATTGTGTTGTCCTGAGATCCGGACACGATCTGCAACCCGTCTGGCGAGAACGCAACAGAAGTGACCCATCTTGTGTGTCCCTAGAGAGGGCCACCCAGAGCAGTATGCGTCGCCGCATCCCACACGCAAACTGTGTTGTCGTCCGATCCGGACACAATCCGCGTCCCATCTAGTGAGAAAGCAACTGAACCAATCCGGTCTGTGTGCCCCTCGAAAGGATCGCCCACGCCAGCATGCGTTGCCGTATTCCACCCGCGGATCGTGTTGTCGGACGAGCCTGACACAATCTACAGCCCATCTGGCGAGAACGCGACAGATCTCACCCAATCTCTGTGTCCCTCCAAAGGGCCACCCACAGGACTGTGCGTCACCGGATTCCACACCCGGAGTGTCATGTCAGACGAGTCTGACACTATCTGCTTCCCATCTGGAGAGAAAGCAACAGAAAATACTCGATCTGTGTGTCCCTCGAGAGGGTCGCCCAGAGCAGCACGTGTTGCCGCATCCCACACGGGGATTGTGTTGTCCTGCGAGCCCGACACGATCCGCTTCCCATCTGGCAAGGAAGTAACAGAAGTTACCCATTTTGTGTGTCCCTCCAAAGGGTCACCCGGAACAGTACGTGTCGCCGCATCCCACACGCGGATTGTGTTGTCGTGCGATCCGGACACGATCTACAACCCGTCTGGAGAGACAGCAACAGAGGTGACCAGACCTGTGTGTCCCTCGAGAGGGCCGCCCACAGCGGCACGCGTCGCTGTATCCCATACCCGGATTGTCAAGTCCCACGAGCCCGAGACGATCCGCGATCCGTCTGCCGACAAGGCAACAGAATAGACTACACTTATGTTTAGCTCGAGAGGGTCGCCTACAGAGACATGCGTTACCATATCCCACACCCGGATTGGGTCGTTGTACGAGCCTGACACGATCCACTTTCCTTCTAGCGAAATAGAAACAGATGTGACCGGACCTGTATGTCCCTCGAGAGGGTTGCCCACAGTAGTACATGTCTCAATATCCCACACCCGGATTGTGGAGTCGGACGAGCCAGACACGATCCACAGTCCATCCGACGAGAAAGTGACAGATTTGACCACTCCTGCGTGTCCTTCGAGAGGGTCTCCCACAGCAGTATGCGTCGCTGCATTCCACACCCGGATTGTGTGGTCGGACGAGCCTGACACGATCCGCAACCCGTCCAACGAGAAAGCGACAGAATTGACCGAATACGTGCGTCCCTTGAGAGGACCACCCACAGCATCGCCCGTGGACACATCCCACGCCCGAATTGTCGAGTTGTCCAACCCTGACACAACCCAAGATCCGTCGGGTGAGATTGCTACACACAAAACTCCAGAGCCTGCATGGATGCTATGCTGGGCTGCTGGCCAATAGTTGTAGGCCCGAGCCGAGACCTTTAGTACCTGCGGAAAGTCCTTCTCAAACCTTTCGAACACAGTAGACCTTCAAGGAGCGAATGCTAGACTGGACAAGTAGACGTGCGGGGTAGACTGTGACATAGGAAACCCAAATGCATTTACAAATGCATGCGCACCGCTCGCCAGTTTGTATGTTCGTCCAGATTCTAGACTTCACGCAATCACAAAGTATTATGAACATCCAGCCCGGTGTTTTTATACTGAGAATATACTCACCGAACTCACCGAACTCCACTTTACAAGAGAAGACATAGCTTGCGCAGCACCATGTACGGCACCGAGCAGACCCATCGCCTCAAGCCAAAATAGCAACTTGTCTGTGAGCACCACTTCCACGTCTTCGAGCAGTTGAGAGTCAAAAGCTGAGCTTGCGGCTACGGCTTGCAAATCGTTGGTCCAGAAGCGACAAGAGTATGACAAATGAGCTGGTATACACTCGTTGATGCGATCAGCGAGGCCAAGTATGTCCCTATTCGCCACATGTGAGGGTTCCAGATAGCATATGTTGAACGTCAGGTCCTTCTTCAGATGTATAACGAGGCGAGTGTCAACTCTGAGTGAGTGTGTGACGTGTCTATGTAGCAGTCGACGCTGCGGTCGCGATCCAACAAAAACTCACGAAATGAGGTATGCAGAGGACGGTCAGTGTCGGTCCCCGTCGCTCCACTTAGCAGGGAGCCCATGTAGTCCAAGATGATGTTCGCCTTGAAGCCTGGGTTTCCTTCCTTCGCGGCATAAGTATTCCGTCCAGTGATTCAACAGAGAGAGGCTCGAATGTAGTCAATACAAGGGCCATGACAAGCTTGGATCTAGCCATGACAAAAGAGTCTCTTGGACGGAAGAAGTGAGATAAAACTGCCCTGTACAGATCATCCAGACGCCAGGCTTCCCTCGTCGTACCCTGGACAAGAAGGTCGTATCGTTCCCTAGGGGCAGATCCTGGCATACCCATACCTTTGATGAATTCACAGGCAACGAATGCCCACTGGAATAACCCTTCGCATCTAGAAACGAGCGTGCACCTGCATTCCTCATTGATGTCATCTACATCAAGACGACCTAGGTGATCATGAATGTATGATCTAATGTCGTCCTCAGTCGATGACGGCAAAAGATCATACATGCTCTTAAATATGGCATGGTCACATGGTTGAAACGCACGCATGATATCTGGTTCTGGGCGGGATGTGATGAGGATGCGGAAATTGGAGGGAAGGGGTTTAGTTTTGCTAGCCAGCTCACGAAGCAGGTCCTCGCAGGCTCGGGCATCCCCGCTCTCATCCAGAGTATCAATGACTATGACAAGGGGGCCGGCCATGGTGAATTTTGCGACCGGTTTGAGAACAAGGTTATTGAACTGCTGCATAACCTTCGACGTGACCCGCAATGATTTATTGTCTTTGACAACCTCATGTAACGCGCGCCGTATTCCCTTGTCGAAATCGGCCAAATCACGAGCCATAGTCGGGAACAGTTTACCTGGGCCGCAATCCATCTAGCCACGCACGAAGCAGAAAGAAGATCCAAGACAGTTCTTGTTCTGGAAGCGATGGGCAATGGTATGCGCAATAGCCGATTTGCCAGTCCCCGTGGCACCAGAGAGCAGGAGAATGCGGGGAGCGTCCTGGTTGTTGACCCAATCAGCGATCTCTTCCAGAATCCCTACGCGAGTTCCCGGTTAGCATCCCTTTGCCTCGTCAAAGTTCGCGTCATTCACATATGACATGTCGTCTAAGTTGATGTCGATGGCTGTGATGAGCTGTCAGTTTCATCCAAAAATAATCCATAGGCGTATTTAACGGACCAGAGTCTTCTACGTCGTCAAGGATGTACGTTACAACAATCTTGGTCTTATTCACGGTGTTCAAGGTCTGAACGGCCACTCTGCCGTAGAACTCCTCCTTGAACTTGACAAACACAGTACAGTATGTGTCGATCATGACATTCTTTGTGGAGAATAACTGCTGTCCTATTCGTTTTACTAGCGAGGAGAGTGTTAAGTAGGAGAATGGCATCTGACGTGAGGCCATACTCACCGAAGCCCTCGGTCTTTGCATAGTCCCGAATGAAGTAAAAGCATTCTATGGTCTGTTGCGCTATTCGTTGCGGAAGGTCTTGCAGAGTGAGCCTCGTCTCAGGCCTGTTCTCTAGGTCGCTGACAATGTCGTAAAAGGAGTTCATGGTCACGAAGAGTTTCTGTATTCGATCGTCGCGGTCCATCTGGTCGTTCATGATCTTCATCACAACAAGACAATGACGTTTGTCAGCATCGCAAGATGTGTTATCAAAGTCGATGAAACATGAACCTTCTGTGGTATAGACACGATTCCCCAGGCGATTTTTGCGTAAGGATGCACCTAGAAAAGTTCTTGTGTGAGTAACCCACCATCCAAATGCATATGGCCACGACATACTTCGGCAATACCATCCATCAGGTCACAAAACATCTTGACCTTGTTCAAGAGAGGCGTCCAATTATCGACGAAATTCTGCATAGGTTTAAGAGCAGATGCTGAGGCTCTGATCGCCAAGCACACAGGTTGTGTGAGGGATTGCATATTGGATAGGGCATCCTCAGCGCTTCTGCGAATATCGGCCATTTCTGTTTGCAGATTATCAACTTTGATTCCAAGATGTAGCTCGACACAGGCATTTGTTCCCTCTGAGATCATCTCGATAATGTCTAATAAATATGTTCATAGTACGATCACGATTAGGATCACGAGCAAGATCAATGAAAGATCTGAGCTGACCGTGGTTCCCACCCTCGAGTACCGACGGCCATAGAGCCGTGATTAGTTTAGAGATGCCGCCAATATGCGTTTCCTTCACTGTACGATCAGCGTGTATGTCGAGCTTTAGAGTGGAAAAATGATGCGCTTCACTGCAATCAGCGACATGTGAACTCAGTGTCAGCGAAGAGCCTGAATGGTAACAAAGAGGCCAAATTCTCACAATAAAAAAAATTCGTTCCACTCTGGAGCATTGCCTGGCTCAGCGATGTTGTTTTTCCTCCTATTTCCGTCAACAGACAATACGGTGTAGAATCTACGTTCCTTCCTCTTGCGATTGGAATGAACGATCGCGGAGATATTGAGGAGATTGAAGGCACGAACAACTGGTAAAACAGGTAAGACGAGGAGAGCAAGATCCAGCGTCGATCAAGCGATGCACACCTGTGGCCGTTAACTTAAAGCTAGACAAGCTAGACTGGGTGCTGCAAGTTGAGTTGTGCTGGATGATGAGACTGCCTATCGACGAAAACGTGCCAGATATTACTCACGGAACTTTCGTAGAGGACATAGCTTGGGGAGGGAGGCGCACTTAGACAGCTGCAATATGGAGTGACGGTGTCTAATGTGAGGAAGTTGATTTTCAGACGTAGGCGATACACTGCGTGGAAAAATAAAACACTTGTGTCTCTGCATCCTCGACGCGTCGATATAGACGGAAATCAGATCTTGGTGCGCGCCCGCACCCATTCATCTAGCCCATCGTGCCAGATATTCTACGTCATGCGAGGCGTTGGTATTGGTGAGGGATGAGGCCAGTGAGCGTAGCGGGCGGGGGTGGTTGTGGTGAGGGTTCAACATGGCGGCGCGACTGAGCACGCGCGTTGGCTCTCGACATCGTCTTTCTCTCCGTACACCATCAGCCTCAGAGCAACTTTTCCAGCGAGCTCCCATTGGCGACTTCCAAGGAGGCCCACCTGTTCACACCAAGCGTTATCCTGCGTTATATATCTAGACGTTCACAATATCCGGCTCCTGCGGCGGCATCCTTCGTCGTCTTCCGACCCGCCCCGCTTGCTTCAGCAAACCAGCTGCCCACTACTGGCCGGGGCCTATCAGCTTTTCTGATGCATACAGTACGATTATTTTGAGAGCCTGGGGCACTGAACAATGCCTTTGCATCGACGTGTGGATTATTTGGTTATTGATGAGTCTCCCTGTGTTCTATCATGCACCAGGTCTGATTGACACTGGTAGTCAGCAGCTTGGCACAATCCCATCAGATCAATACCTGATCAAATTTGGCATTCGAGGAACCTCAAATGCTTTCAGGCTAGGGCAGGTTCGAGGTAGAGGATTGACTGCTTCTGGGATGAAGTCTTGCACGCGCTAGACTCGTCATATATTGGTGCGTAAAGCCTACTATCAGACTATCTCTAAACCACTCTGTCTTTCTCTTCCATCGCGGGTCTAATGTATCATAACGCAGTGCGAGATAGGATAGCACATCGAACGGCCCAGTGGCGCGCTGGATCGATGACTAGCTTAAGTCTACGCCAAGGCTGGCAAGCCAGTCAATTGTTGCATGTCCTAACTATAGGGATTTGCCAGTTCTGATCATCAAATTTAGTTGTGGACACAGATTAACCATGTGTTTCAGACTTCACCATCAGGCTGCCGAGCTCTCCATTGGGCTTGAGGTGTTTGCGTCAATGCGGACACAGTACGTGGATCATTCACTCTGCGCCAGGTATTTCACGCGTCAATCTTGTTCATCGGTTCATCGTGGGTTTTGATATTGATACGTCACAATGGTGTTCAAAAAAGCAGGCGAGACCAACAAGGACAAGGGCAGGGGTGCATTCACACTGCCGCAAAGCCTAAACATGCTCACACACTCTATGTTCAGCTGTATATAGCCTTCATCAGGGACAGAGGGAACGTGCACGCGGGACCAGATGAACTCTTACTTCAATATCGTCACAGGCAGACACCCTACTTGACCAATGATGCAACAGCATCACCAGAGGTTTGCGTCCTACGAATACAGGCAATGGCGCTGCGCATGACGTGTTTGCGGCCACGCCGCTGCACGAGTATGCGTGCTCTGCGAGCTTGTCCAACGGGCACGTCATTCATCGGCAAAATCGCAGAAATCTGACCTGGTCTGGCGTCAGCTGCCGGTAATCGGCCAGCCTGGTGAGACCTTTTCGACAGCGACCGGCATATTTCAAAAGTGACATTGCGAGACCAGCATGACAAGTGTCTCACCCAGTCGCAACACCCAGAAGGGGGTTTGTCGGAGTGTCGCAGTCTGATCAGATTCCACTTGTATCTATCAGATCGGCGGATTCTTTGTTTTTCAGTGAGCTCACTTCGACTTCGTCTATTTCTTCCGCCCAGTCCTGGCACTTGTGTACTGATAGACAACGACACAAAGGAGGGCTACTCACACGTTCCACCGTCGCGAACACCACGTCCCGATCCTCCTCGACCCGCATGCACAGAACAGGGAAAGAATGCCGAAACAAACAAGACAAGATTTGGCGCTCACCGCAGTAGAAGTAGACCTCACCGGGGCCGCCCTTGGTCGTCTCGGTCACGTACGGCTGGCTGTCTGAGCCGGTGAGACCGTTTGAGTTGAAAGCAAACACACGTGTTCATTGTCTTGTCCGGGCGCTGAGTACTTGAGTATTGACGGCATAGCCATTTGCTAGAACGCGAAAATTTTGAATGGTAATGGCATATACAGGAGCGCGGCGCGATCACGGAGATACGTTGGGGTTGGAACGCTGTCGAAAAGTTACGCAGTCTCACACACATCAGATCCGGTGCGTAAACCGTCTCAACCTTGAGTCTACAGCATTTTGTCCAGGATTGCCCCGGAGAGCAGGCAAGATAGTGTCACGCCGTGCATAGATCTTCCAACGTGCCCACGATTCATTCACTTAGTGTATGCGTGGAGACTTTGCCAAATTGACCGGGTCAGGTCTGAGCCAAGTTTGGTGAATTAGTGGATCGCTACATATGCAGGATGTCACGACAGCCTCATTTATATATTGAAGCCCCATTCTGGAGAACGACATGTGGTGCCAGGCATCAACACGTTAACCTTTCATCTGTGCTGGGTGGGATGTTTAAGCTCATGCCGACCCAATGCGTGGTTCGTTTCTCTATTTGCTCCCTGCTTACCGTCAGCCTATTTTTACATTTCTCTCACCAATCGTAGCTCGGTGACTATCCCTCCTTCGAATCAAAAATCTCGGTCTGCGCAGCGATCTGTCGGTATCCGGGTCAATGCATGATCTGAGCTATTGGAAGCAACCGGGAGAGGCGACGCACCTGTGACTACAGTATGTCGTACAGCGAATCTGACCACAAAGTCTAACGGCCAATAATTTCAGGTCATGGATTCTTAGCTGTGAACGCATCGTCGGTACCGAGTCATTATGCATGCATATCCCACTCCACTGCCCTTGAACAGTAGCTTGCAAGTATATGAGACAGGTACGCAGAAAGCTTCAATACCACTGGTTGACAGTGGTTGACGTTGATTGATCTTGGCGGCTAAGGGGATCTCATCTCTTGTCCCACTAATCTATCGTGCCCCTCCAGATTCTTCTCCCTTCACTTTGCGCTTTTCGACCTTGATCACGACAAAGGCCTTTCCATAACCAATCGACGGGGCATCATGTTGTCAATCTACCTCCGACACACAGCGTCGTTATAATTTTCGCAATGTTGCTCTCCATTCCTGGCGCAATTCCTTGGGTATGCAAGTCGACCCTAAACCGTCTGCAGAGGTTCGCTTCCATCATCGTGCATGATTTACTCAAAGCAAGTTTTGGTCTTGGCCATGAAAAAAGCCATGCGCAGTGCTCGTAAACCCTGATTTTGATGTCAGCACAAATAGTGCCGTCATGGACTTGCCGACGTGCGTGCAGGGATTCATCTCTTTGATCCACCAACCTAGACAACTGAGCTTCATGTCCCACTGGCTTCGACAGGCATCGACCCTCTGCGGTACTTCATCGGCTCTCATCGCTCGCCGTTATGCAATCCTCCGCAGACGTCGTCCTCTTGCTGTCAACCGCCCGTCGCACACGTGATGCCCATCTCCCTCGACATCACCCACCTACGGCTCTCGCACCCGCGCATCAGAATGTGAAGCCCCTTCCAGCTCCAAATGGTCAAATTGATTGCGCAGGGTAATCTTCCTAATCTGCTCCGCTCTTTGTAGGCCTTTGCGAGCGCTGGCCAGGGTACATTGCCCCGGTCCGCCGCTGATGTGTCCTGTGAGCTATTTGCGTCTGTGCGTCGCGGTCGGATGATCAAGGGGGCATCGAGGCGCGTGATCGTTCGATGCGTCTGTTTTCATGCTGCTGATAAGTCTTTTGCCCTGGGGAGCGATCAATTTGCAGCGGTTTACGGCCGTCTATGTACAGACGCGCAGAGTGATGCGACCATACCAGCGACTGGCCCAATGGTCACTGATCAAATACGGGATTTCACACATACGATCATGACCAACGCGCCGCGAGACGCTCACCTTTCGAATGACCCATCGTCGCAGGTGTATCCCCTCAACATGGTCCTTTTACTCGTCTTTGGCTTGGCCTGAAGTGCCATCATCGCGTGCACACAATCACGTCGTCCGACCGATGACCCCTGCTCTCCAGAGGGCGCGTCTCTGTCGCCCAGCTCAAACGGCCTATCATCGCGATCATCTGTATTCCCGATGCGAACTTCATCCGCGCTCAAGCGTAACGGCGCGAGCTTCGCGGAGCCGCTCCGGCCCTGCCCCCGTCGTTTTGGCTTTGACAGCGCAAACGCGTCGTGCATCCGAGACAGACGCGCCTGCGGCGCTCGCCGGATCCGTGTGGGAACTGAGCGGGGCCCGCGCCGCGCCGAACGATGCAGGCTCCTTTGTCGGCGGCGAGCGACCCGACGGCGCCTGCGCATTTCATTTTGGCATTTTGGCATTTTGGCATTTTGAAATCGACCCGCGCGTCCACCGCTGACCCGCTTGCACTACTATCGCAGTGCTACTGCCTCCGGTTTGGGAATTGGACTCGGGACGCGGGACTCGGGACTCGAGGGCGTTGAAATGATTCGCCCGCCTGCGCGCGCTGACCACGCATCGGGGGCGCGCTGACTCCTGACGCGTCGGAGGCCCTGCGTGCGCGGCGGCGCGAACAAGGGCGGGGACGGGAGAGCCGCGCGTTGGAGCTTGGAGGCCTGCGAGGGGCTCGATTCCGAGAGTGCGCAGGGCTGGGAGAGACGCGTGCGGGCCCCGTTGGTCTATCGCCGCGGGGCGTGTTCCGGCGGGCGCACGCGCGGATCGGCGGCGGTGTGGGATGCGCGCGCGATGTCGAGGTGAGTCGGCGGGGAGGCGGGCCCCGGCATGCTCAGGCCCTCCGTCGACGAGCGCATACGAGAAACGGACGAGAGAGCGAGAGCGGGCGGGCCGCTCTTTCTAGTGCGCGCCCGTGCGTGTGCGCCGTGCGCGATCCGCACCCGCTTTTTTTTTCCTTCATCGGTCGGGTGCGGACGAGGCCCGATGGCTGGCCGGCTACATCGTTGACGGTAGACGCGCGCGTTCATTCATCGTCTCTTTGCACCAGCGCATGCATGCATACTTGCGCGCGCGTCGGCGTCGGTAGTCGGAGTGTACCGTAGGTCCGAGCGTGCTCGCTTGGTTGATCGCAATCACAGCACAGACGCGTGGTGCGCACGCACGGCTTGTTCGTGAGCACGTCGGGAGGCTCGGTCCATCTGCGTACGTGCGCGCGCGAGCACAGCACAGCACAGCACGGCACGGCACGGCACACGCCTGCGCTGCGGTTCGTCGGTCGAGCGCGCGCGGTCGACCGTGCAGGGCCTCACGTGCGCGACGTGCGCGACGCGCGCATGAGAGTGCAGAGCGCCGAGCGAGAGCGGGAGAGCGCAGAACAGAGCAGAACGGAGCAGAGCGGAGCACACGCCCGCCCGCACGCCCGCCGTGGCCGGTGGGTTGCGTCTATCTAACGAAACACGTGTGATTGCTTTGTATCGATCGGACGGGGCGGGTTCTATACAGATCGGGGGTTACAAACAGACAGAGGGAGAGAGAGACAACGGACAAGCATGAGGGACTTCTTCTTCGACAGCGACACCAGCGACGACAGCAACGACGACAACAACAACACCCGACGACTCTACGAGCGACGCCTCCACGCCTCCGCACAACACACGTACACACGTACACACGCACACACGCACACGCACACGCACACACGTACACACGTCGAGCAACCGCGCTCGCGCTCACTCCACCTTAACCTCCTTGCCCTCAGCAGCGGCGACGGCGGCGTCGGCGGCGTCGGTAGTGGGCCTCTTCTCGCCAGCGAGGAAGCGCTGCGCCTCGCCGTGCTGGTTCTTGTAGAAGACGATGTCGCCGTCGTCCTCGATGAAGCAGCACTCGCGGAAGGAGCGGTAGAGCGCGCGGAACGTGTTCTGGCGCGGGCGGGCGGGATGGAAGCGGGCGTGCGTGGGCGGGATGGAAGCGGGCGTGCGTGGGCGGGATGGAAGCGGGCGTCAGCGTCGGGTGGCAAGAGGTATATATATATATATAGAGAGAGAGAGAGAGAGAGAAAGAGAGAGAGGCTCGGAGGAGCAGGCGCGCCTAGGAAGCCTACCCGCCCGCCCGCCCGTCGGCACGTGCACATACGAACGGGGACGGACACGGACGCAAAAGCGCTCGGGACCGGGACCGAGACCGGGACCGGACCGGAGCCGAACGCGGACACGGACACGGACACAGACACGAACGCGGACACGGACGCGGATGCAAAAAAGAGAAAAAAGAGGGAACTCGCGTGGCGGCGCGGGACTAAAAACCCCAACGGCGGCCCAAGCCCAAAAGAAGAATAGGGTCGGTAGATATGGAGGATGGAGGATGGAGGGGAGAGGAGCGGAGGGACGCGCTCACCGTCGAGTCGTAGTTGTAGTCCTCGCCGAGAACGCCCTTGATCGCCTCGGTCACATACGGCTGATTATCTACCCAACGCACGCACGCCATCATCAGCAAACAGCCCACACACGCACCACACGCCCACGCAGGCCCCCAGAAAGCGCGCACTCACAAAACGGGATCGAGGAGAAAAAGTGGTGCGCGATGTGGTCGTGCGAGACGTTGTGGAGGAAGAAGCGGCCCGCCCAGCCGAGGAGCGGGCGGTCGATGGTCGCGACGGCGCCGCGGAGGAAGGACCACTCCTTGCTGCGGTAGTGCGGGATGGACGGGTCCGAGTGGTGCAGGAAGGTGAGCATCACGATCCAGTGGTTCGCGAGCTGCGCGTGCGTGCGTGCGTGGGTGGGTGGGTTAGTGCACACGTACGTACGGAGGGAGTGGGGGGAAGACGCACGAGGTACGGGATGAGATACATCTTGACGAACATCCCGATCCCGGCCTCGCGTATATAATACGTCAACACGCTCGTCATCACCGACAGCCCGACGTTGCTCGCGATGATGCTCCCGCGCTCCTGGGGCTTGAAAAGCGGCGAGGACGGCCAGAAGTGGTTCGTGCCCTCGGGGTACATCGGGGAGCCGAGCGCGTTGTAGAGCAGGTACGCGTGCCAGCCGAGGAGCTGCATCGCGAGCATGCGCGCGAGGCTGTAGATCGGCGTCTCCTCGAAGAGGTCGTGGTAGTCCGTGACGTGGGCGACCGCGGCGGGCGGGAGGCCGTAGTCCGTGCGCGTGCGCGGGACGTAGTTCTCGTCGCGCTCGATGGAGCCGGTTGCTTTCTGGGGGCGGCGGGGCGGCGGGGCGATGAGCGGGTGTTGGAGGGATGGGTGGGAGGGAGGGAGGCGGGACGTACGTGGTGCGCGTGGTGGGTGGAGCGCCAGGAGTAGTACGGGACCAGAAGGAACTGTGCGGGGCGCGGCGAGCGTGAGCGGCGGCGAGCGTGAGCGTGAGCGTGGGTGTACGTACGGTGTGCAGGCCGTAGCCGAGGACGTGGTTCACGACGCTATAATCCGAGAGCGACCCGTGCCCCGCTTCGTGCCCTGAACCGCCAGAGTCAGCATGCGCGCACGGGCGAGTGGCGACGACTGACCGAGGCACCACCATCCTGCGAGGGCGACGCCCTGCCAGTGCCAATACAGGGCCCAGAGGGCCCACTTGACCGCCTGGGCGGCGGCGTAGGGCACGGCGTAGTCTGCGGCGAGGCGCTGTGCGAGGGGCTCGATCTGGAGGCCGAGGCGGTAGAAGACGTACGCGCAGGCGACGTCGCGGGCGGTGTAGTAGAAGGCCTTGAGGGTGGACTTCTTGTAGAGGTGCTTGGGGACGGCGGCGTGGATCTCTGCGAGGGTCGCCTGTGGGGGGTCGGGTGGGCGGGTGAGTGAGTGAGTGAGTGAGTGAGTGAGGGAAGGAGGGGTGAGGGAGGGAAGGAGGAGGGGGAGGGAGGGATTACCTTTGGGGGGACAAAGTCCTTGGTAAGGCGCTCCTTGTACTCGGGGCCGTCGTAGAAGAGGCTGAGGACGGACATGGTGAGCAGCGTGGGGCGTGGGGCGGGGAGTGCGAAGGGAGGGAGGGAGCAGCAAGTAGAGCGAGCAGGAGCTCTGCAGGCGCAGAAAGGGCGTTGCGGGGCGGAACAGAGAGGTTTTAAGAGACGGGTGGGAGGGAACACGGGACGGGGTTACATGAGCTGATGGGTGCGACGCATGTGATGGGGGGAGTTGGCGGTGGATGGGTGGGCCGCGAGATGCCATAACGGACGCAGGCTCGCTCGCCGAGGAGTGCGTGCGTGCGTGTGTGCGTGCAGCCAGGCCGGATGCAAGGACGGAAGGCAGGGATCGGAGGGAAGCCGGGGGAAGACGCGATACGCGATGGCCTGCGCGATGTGTCACCACCCCCGGCCGCGTCCTCGGCGCACCACGCAGGGACCCCGCAACCGCCAGATCGGGCGAGAGCCGGGGGTGCGGCGGGGCGGGGCCTGGTGCACCGCGAAGGGCGGAGTTTACGCCGACACGCGTCCACCACGACTCGCGCCTGCTCGCACTCGGAGTTGCTCGTGGCGTGCCCTCCTGCGACGGGCACCGCGGCAGTCCCGCTTGCATTGCCTATTTAGCGCACCCCGCCAGCTCTGGCCCGCGCCCGCGCATAGCCGTCCAGACCTCGCCTCGCCCCGCCACCGCAACCACACCTTCCATGTACACCAACCACTCCGCCACAGCCACAGCCGGCCCCGCCGCCCGCCTGCTCGCCCACCGCATCGCGATCCCCACCCTCCCGCTCCTCCTCGCCCTCCTCCTCCTCGCCGCCCCGCTCGCCCTCTACGCCCTCGTCTTCTCCGTGCGCACGATCTGGGACCGCACCATCCCCCTCGAGATATTCGCCTCGGCCCACTCCGCGCGCCTCCCCAGGGCCGCGCGCGGAGATCGCCGTGGCCGCCCGCCCGCAGACCCCCAAGGCCCGAAGCCCGGACCTGCGGACGGGGGCGTCGCGGAGGGGGTGGAGGACGTGGAGGGAGAGCAGGAGGGAGGGGAGGAGGGCGAGGAGACGCTCGTCGGCCTCCTCAGGCGCAAGGTCCCCTCGCTCTTCGGCCCTGGCGCGGGCTTCACCGGCGTCCCCTGGCTCCCAAAGTACGCACCCACACACTCGCGCGCACATACACACACACACGCACTCCTCGTCGCCGCCGTCCGTGGCTCGTGATTCCCGCACTCGCTGACGCCGCCCTCGCCCCCGCCAGTGGACACGCGCACACCATCTACACGTCCCTCGCTGACTTTTCGCAGGTCGACGTGATCGACTACGAGCGGTGCGTGCCTCCTCCCATCTCCTCTATCCTCCCCCGCACCGCCCACGCTCACGCGCCCCCCGCCCCCGCCCCCCCAGCCACTTCATCAACGTCCCCGACGGAGGTAAGCCGCGCTCGCACCGCCCTTCCCTCCACTCCCCCGCGCCCGCGCGCGTCTATGCACGTACGAGCGGACGGACTGACGAACCGGACGATCGCGCACTAGGCACGCTCGCGCTCGACGTCGTACCCTCTTTCGCCTCCAAGCCCCCGCTCTCTGCCGCCGCCGCCGACGCCGACACTGCTAACACGACCGACGCCGCCGCCGACGCGACCGCAGCGCGCCCGGAGCCGATAGTGCTCGTCACGCACGGCCTCACGGGCGGCTCGCACGAGTCCTACGTCCGCGCCGCCCTCGCCGACCTCTGCCCGCGCGGCTTCCGCGGCGTCGTCATGAACTCGCGCGGGTGCAACGGGAGCCCCGTCACCAGTCCGAAGCTGTACCACGTGCGTCCTCCTCCTCCGCGCGTGCGCGCCGTCTTGCTGCTGACCGTGTGGTGGTGGACGGGTTGGCGGTGGCGATGGCGGCGCGCGGTGGCGGGATGTAGGCGGGTACGACGGATGATATTCGGCATACTGTGCTGTGGATCACGCATACCTTCCCCGGCTCGGAGATCTACGCCCTCGGTGCGTGCCCCCGCCCCCGTCCCCGCTCCTCCCTCACTCCCTCACTCCCACCGCGCCCACCGCGCCCGCCCCAGGCTTCTCCCTCGGCGCAAACGCGCTCACCAAATACATCGGCGAGGAATCCGCCGCGTGCCCCCTCGCGGGCGCCGCCGCCGCCGCCAACGTCTGGGACTTCGTCGCGGGCAGCCACCACACCGAGCGGGGGCCGCTCGTCAACCGCTTCGGGTACGACCGCATCCTCGGCGGCGCCCTCCGCGCCCTGCTGCAGACCCACGCGTACGCGTTCGAGCCGCCCGCCGTCGCCGCCGACGCCGCCGCCGACGGAACTACGAACGGGACAGCGAACGGGACAGCGAACGGGACTGCGAACGGAGCCGCGCCCGCGTCGCCGCCGCCGCCGCCGCCGCTCCCCGCGTCCGTCCTCGCAGACATGTTCGCCCGCCCGCACGTCACGCTGCGCGCGTACGACGACGCGATCACGAGCCCGCTCTACGGCTTCCGCGGCGCAGACGACTACTACGCGCGCATCAGCTCCGCGCGGTTCGCGCCGCACGTGCGCATCCCGCTCCTCGCGCTCAACGCGGCGGACGACCCGATCGTCGGGCCCGCGGCGCCGCCGCTGCGGGAGGCGCTCGCGAGTCCGTGGTTGGTCGTTGGGCGGACGGCGGGGGGCGGGCATCTGGGGTGGTTTGAGAGGGCGGACGGTGCGGGTGGGCGCGGGGGCGTGAGGAGGTGGTATGTGAGGCCCGTGGGGGAGTTTTTGGGCGCGTTGAGGGAGGTGCGTGGGCGGTTGATTGGTTTGGTTTGGACGGGGTCGTCGCTGACGGCTTTTGGTTGTGGTTGCGCTTGCGTTTGCGCTTGGCGCGGCAGTATGGCCTCGCGCCGCGTCCGCGCCCGACGGCGCTCGCGCGCGACGCGGAGGGGTTCGTGCGCCAGGCGGGCCGTGCGGACGTTGGCTTTCGGGAGGTTGCGCTTGCGGATGTGCTGGAGCGGCTGCCGCGCGGGGCTGTGGGCGCGTTTGTCGGTGGTGGCGGCGGCGGCGCGGAGGGGGACGCGGAGGGGGAGAAGCGGAAGACGGTGAAGCAGTCGAGGTTGTTTTCGGGGTGGTGAGCGGCTGCGGGTGGGTGGGTGAATGATGAGCGTTGGAGCGTTAGAGTGTTAGAGTGTTAGAGTGTTAGAGTATCTAGAGTCGGGTGTTCGTTCGCGTTGTACTGCTGCTGTCGTCGTCGCTCTCGACTTGTTTGGTTTTTCGTCTTTGTTGGGCGTCGCTCGGCGGCGACTGGGTGTGTGTGGACTGTCTCTCGGATAGCCAGTCGCTTGCGGGTGGTGGGCGGTATCACGGCGCGCGGTCGCGCCTTGAGCTTCACATCTCGGCGTCTCCACGTCTCACGGAGTTCCGAGACACGAGCGCGAAATGTCTGTATTTCTGACGCCAGCAGCGCAGCACGCGCACACAGCATCGACGGCTCGCTCGCTCTTCATCCACAGGAACACCTGGCTGTCGTGCGTTCGCCTGCCCGCGGGGCGACGCAGCGGCGCGGCGATCCACGCGAGCGACAATCACCGTTTAACGAGCCGCGATGCGCGCGTGCTCGTTCGCATCTGCGTCTGCGTCTGCGTCTCAGGGTCAGGCTGGGGTCTGGACGATCGGAATCTCGCGTTGCGTTTCTGCGCAGCGGGGCCTGAAGATCACAGGATATCGCAGGCCGCCTGCGCTTGGCGGCAGGGAGGAGCACCGTGGCTTGTTTCAAGCGCGAGGGACGACGCTCAGCAGAAATGGAATTCAGGCAGTCAAGAAAGTGGCGCGAAAAGTCATGCAACAAGTCATAAACTGCCAAAATTGGACACGACTTTCACGCGACTTCTGCAATGACAAAATACCATTTTTTTTGACTGGGCATGACGTTCACTTGAATTTCTGTTTTTACAGAGGACGACGGTTCGCTGTCGATTCTTTCTGACGCCAGGCGGCGCGCACACAGTTGTCCGACTGCACGATCGACTATACGACCGGCGAGTGATCGCGTCCGCCACCTACCGAAACCTGCCGCGCTTTCGCCTGCCCATGGGGTAAAACACTCCCGCAATCAACATGCTCGTTCGTTTCATTTGCGCGCGCGGCGCGGGGTAAGTAACGAACAGCGAGCCGTAGACGGTCGCGCGATCCTTCGTGATCGAGTGTGGCGTGCGTGAGATGCACCTCATCGGGCTAAGCGGCGCGGGGAAAGAGGAGGGGTCCGTCTGATGCCCAGCTTATTGACCGAAGAGAAGAAACCGGGCCGGCCCCACAGACTGCCCCGCAACGCCAATCAATGCGGGGGAATTTTCCGTAGCCAGTGTCTGATACCTGGTGAGGCGTCGGCGTCGGGGAGGGTCGGGGTCGGCAGATCAGATAGTCAAGCGTGAGGTTCTTACTTGCGAGCACTGAAGCGTCGACGGCTGGGTTCCGGGACGAGGCCCAGCTCTTCGTGGAAGGGAAGAAGCGAAGCGACGCGTGCGGCGACGGTGGCGAAGGAAGGGGGCGGGTTATCAGCTGCGAGGGCGAGGAGATTGGCGTGGCGCGGCTGGTTATGGTAAGCAAGTACGAAGCCTACCACGCTCGGAGGCCTATCACGAGCCTCTGATTGTAGCTGATTGTTTGCGTGTGGGCGGCAGAAGCCCCGCACGCCAGCCCCGAGCAGAAGGGCGACGGTCGTCCCGAGGAGATCGCACTTCCACAAATGTGTCGCTGTGAAAAGCTCAAATCAGACTCGATCGGCCATTTGAGGTTCGACGTGTTCTCGATGGGTGGAGGGGGACGGCGCGCCGGCCTCTCCCTGTCGGAGGTGAAATATTAGGTGAGCAGGCGAGACGAAATTCCGCGAGTCACTTTTGTTGCTAATTCTCCGAGCGCTGCTTCTTCATTAAGATGCGACCTTGCAGCGCATACGTGAACCTGCACGGATTAATACAGCCAAACGTCAGTGCGTGCGACCATCGAGACTTGCCGAGCGGCTTTCCAGAGCACGCACGTACGTGAGCCTCCTGACTTGGACCGTAGCATTATCGTCACGAGCGACTATATTGTATTGTGACCTGCAGGGATCGCAACGAGGACTTGTTTTCCGAGGAAGCAACGAGCACCCCCACTCAGTCCGACATGCCTGGACATTTCGCATCACCGGCGTCTTCGCCGCGACCCTTCTGATTTGCAGCGCAGTCGAGGAGGGTGCGATAGGTGCGATCTGTTGAAGAAATCAACTGCCCCACACACGGCGTCGTCCTGCGGGAGCGCAAATTGTTGCCCAGGGGCCAGCAGCAAAGCGGCTGGGGCCCCGTAGCAACCACGTGGTTGGCGGGGCCGGCACGCCGACAAACTTTCCCGATATAGACGTTCAAGCGCTCATGGCGCCAAGGTGTTTGTCTCTGACCGTCACGGGCGCTCCAGTGCTGGCTGCGTCGCTATCTGATTTCTTGATGCGACCGCGACGATGGGCACCCGCACAAAGTCCGAATCGAACCCTCGGAGCGCATTTCCATTGACGGGTGCCCGCACCGTCGCGACACCCCCCTCGCGGTTCTTGCGGTGGATTATGCACGCATATCTCGGTGTGTCGCAGAGGGCGTAGAGCAAGGGTCGATGCGAGGCGAGGCATGGGCGCCGGACGGGAGGTACGAAATATCGTTTTTCCGTGTCATTGTCTGTTCACGTGAGCGCTCGATAGGTGCTGAGCGCAGCGCCCTTGCGTACTGTTCGTCTCTGCGGGGCAGCATCTGGAGACGAAAGCACCGAGCACAATCAGAAGCGCGCTCCATTGTGCCCCAATTGATGACGCAGGGTCGCATTTGTCCGTGCTTGATCCTTGGGAGATCAGATGGCGCAGAAGCCGTCGGCCGCACATGTACGCAGGTTCTCTGACTTGGTTTGTCGTCCCTTTGCAATCTGTGCGTGTAGGCGCATTGATGCTTGATGCTGCGATGCTTCTACAAAATCGGAGTTCCCTCCAGATTTTGCTTGTTCCTATCACATGGATGCGCAAAATCCGCGAACAGCGGGTCATGAGCGCCATCCCATCTCTCCCCTGACGCGCGATCCAGTCGAGTACGGCAAGCAAAGTCGCACAAAGGGAACCTTTGCTTTCGTGGTACGTCGAAACAATGCAGAATGCGGAGAGATGCGACTTCTAATGTAGAGATTCCATCAAATGCTTGATACTACCCATTGATCCCTCCCACCGCCAATCAGGCAAATGCAGCCTCCAGAGCGTCGACCATGTTCTGGCGCTTGCGGATGCTCATCTTGGCGTTATGTAAGAACTTGTCCGATACGTGGAAGGTGCCCCGGTACGTCTGTTTTGCAAACGCGCAGCGCAAAAGTCAGATCGGCCGTCTATAGACGGCGGGCGCGCAGAATGAGGCTTACGTGAATTTCAGTGGGGATGCCAGCCTGCAGGAGGCGGCTCGCGAATGCGATCGCATCGTCAGTCAGGTCATCCCATTGCGCGCACATCATCATCGTTTGTGGCAGCCCCGTTAGATCTGTCGCGAGCGCGGGCACGACGTAGCTGCGCGTGACGGGGTCGAGCGCGTCCGAGCCGTTCGGGAGGTAAAACTGCCACGCGTAGCGCGTGACGTTCGCGTTCCAGATCTTGTTGATCGGGTTGTGGAACGTAGAGTACGTGTTGGGCTTGTCGGTGAAGCTGGTGTCGTCGAGGAGCAGCAGGCTGATCGCTTTCGTGCTCCCCGTCTCCTCGCGCAGCTTGAGCGCGAGCCCGATTGCCACCGTGCCGCCCACGGACGTCCCGCCGACCGCAAACTTGGTGCTGTCGATCGCGTAGCGACTCGTCTCTGGTGAAGTCGTGATCCAGCGCAGCACCTCGTAGCAGTCGTCGAACGCTGGGGTGTCGCGTAGGCAGCGCGCGCGGGGCCATGATCAGCAGTGGATCATTAGCCAAGGTGCGTGGGGCTCGTGGGGCTCGTGCGAGGACGTACGTGCGGGGAAGGGGTGCTCGGGTGTTTGGCGATACGCGGGTGCGATCATGATGATGTTCGCCTCGGCCGCGATCGCGCTGCAGAAGGGATCCAGGCGTAGTGGTCCCGCGGAGAAAAATCCACCGTGGTGCTGTGGTCTCGCGCACTCAGCGCTGCAGACTGCGTGGAGCAAGGGGGGAGGACGCGTACCATCCATAGCAGCACGGGGAGCGGTCGCGCTGGATCGACGTCCTTTGGACTGTAGACGCGCACGTTGACGGGCGGCTGTGTGGATGGAGCGTTGGGGCTGGAGACTTGGATGTCTTGCTTGATCACACGCGGATCGTTGTGCGGCCGGGGCGGGATGGAGCGCATGAAGTTGACGACGACATCGCCGGTCTCTGCGGTCTCGGTCGTGTCTGGGAAGTTGCCGATGAAGTCGCGAAACTCGGGCTCGAGGATGGAGAGATCCTTGGTTGTGGGCGTGGGCAGGTAGGATGAGGACATGTCGTGGCTGAGGCTGCTGGCGTCCGGCGCAGTTGCCAGTAACAGATAAAGGTTCGTGATGTGTCATCGCTGATATGATCGCGCAAATCAAGCAGCGGATCTATATCAGATTCACGTGAATCGAATCTGGGCGCATCGGATCGCGTGGTGGGGTTCGGAGCCGACCGCGGGGCCAGTCGTCTATCGGGGTCCTGCAGAGAATCCCTTCCTTTGGGAACGGCTGTGGGAAGGCAACGTGAAGATGCATTTACGTGAACTCGGATTCGTTTTGGGACAACACGCAAATTTCCCATCGTGTTCCAACAATTTTGCAACGTGCTTGTCCCTCGGTGCGAACGGACATCAATCAACTTCCACCAGATGACGTTCTGCTATCGCTAACATGATGTCCCGCAGTGCGACACCTGATTATCCCGACTGCATGCTAACGTACCTTCTCCAGATACAGTCTGTATTTAAGCGGCCGGAACGGGACCCAGTCCTGCATCGAGGTCTCCCTCGCTTTAGAGTCTTTGTCCTGCACAGTTCTCTACCACCACCATGTCGACCGCCGTTACTCAGCCCGTCGATGTCAGGTCTCTCTCTCCCGATGAATACGACGAGAGCAAGCTCCCCGAGTATGAGCCCATGCCCTGGTGAGTCTTTCATTCTCTAGTAATTGCCTCTGCTGCTGGACCCTGACTCTCATTGCGCTTTGCAGGACTCTCTCTCAAATCAAAGATGCCATCCCCGCCCGTCTCTTCGTTCGCGACACGCCCAGGAGTTTGATGTACCTGGTTCGCGACTTGATCCTGGCTGCCGCCTGGTGGAAGGCCGCGCTGTACATCGACCCTTACTTCAAGAGCCAAGCCGTCACCGATGTGATCACCCCCGTCGGCGGCGAGGTCGCTCGTTGGGCCTCTTGGTTGGCATAGTAAGCTTTAAACCTTGTGCCGTCTCGAATCGCTACATGTCTGACGCACTTTCTCAGCTGGTGGGTCCAAGGTTTGACCTTCACTGGTATTTGGGTCGTCGGTCACGAGGTACGTCCCTTCCAATAGGCTATATTATGCGCTCTCTTAACCTTTATGTCCATTCTTTCAGTGTGGTCATGGCGCTTTCTCCGCCAACAAGCATATCAACAATGTCATTGGTTTCGTGAGTAGAATTTGACTGCTGGCTTCTGTTCGCGCCGATCTTGATCATCGGATTCTCCAGATCACGCACACCTTCCTTTGGACTCCGTTCTTCAGTTGGAGGATCTCGCACCATCGCCACCACAGCAACCATGCGTCCATGGAGCGTGACGAGGTTTACGTTCCCAAGACCCGCACTGACCTCGGCATCCCTCTCAAGGAGAACAGCAAGATTGACTGGGAAGAGCACTTTGGTGACACTCCGATCTACACGCTCTACATGCTCCTTCGGCAGCAATTCCTCGCGTTCCCGGCCTATCTTTGTACGCCTTTTGTGGCCACGATCACGTAAAAACCTTAAGCACTAACGCCTCTATCGATTTGCAGTGTTCAACGTATCGGGCCAGAAGACCTACCCGAAATGGACCAACCACTTTGATCGTGAGTGCACTGTCGTCATCGACGTGATCTTTTGCTTACGACCTGTTCGTTCCACAGCCAACTCCATTCTCTTCACCAAGGAACAGCGCAACTCGGTCATCCTCTCTAACATCGGCATCATTTCGATGATCCTTGGCGTCCAGTACTCCTGCTTGAAGTGGGGCTCCTCCGAGGTCGTCAAGTACTACGGCCTCCCCTGGCTTCTCGTCAGCCACTGGTTCATCATGATCACTTACCTCCACCACACCGACACCTCCCTCCCTCACTACCGCAACAAAGAGTGGAACTACCAGCGCGGCGCTGCAGCTACCGTCGACCGACCCTTCCTCGGCTGGTGGGGCCGCTTCTTCTTACACGACGTCGCGCACTACCACGTCATCCACCACTTCTTCCCCAAGATGCCCTGGTGTATGTTTTGCTTTTACATCGCGCGCGGGAGCATACTGACGACGTTTTTTTGGGTAGACCACGGTGAGGAGGCGACCAAGTACTTGAAGGAGTTCATCGGCGAGCACTACGCCTGGTCTGACGAGCCCGTCTTCCAATCGCTCTGGAGGAACTACAACGAGTGCCAGTTCGTTGAGGATGAGGGTACGCTGCTCTTCTGCGTTGTCTCGCCTAGTGTTTGCACTCACGCGTGACGTCGACAGGTGATGTCTTGTTCTACCGCAACAAGCAGGGCCGTGCCTACCGCCAGCCCACTGCTCGCTACCGGGTCAACGCCGCCAAGTCCGATTAAATGTTTTGTTTTTCTGTCATGTATCACGCACTCGGAATGCGGATCGCAGATCATGTATCTTTAGAGTGATTCTGTGCTCTGCCGGTTTGGGCATCCCTGTTTGATTGTACACTGTCGTTTAGATATGCATGTTGTTAGTTCTCGCAATACGAAGTCATGAAACCTGTTTGTCTAAAACGGATGTGAGTTGGCGTGCGGGCATCTCGGGCGCTAGGTTGGACCCCATAATGACCTATATCTCAGACGGTATCGAATGAGGCCTATATAGGGAGATGCGATACATTGTCTGCGATAGCGCATGGTCGGATTCTCATTGAGGGCTGAGAGAAGACGGCGACTTGGAGTTGCAGATGCGGTAGATCATCAAAGGATCTAATCTTATCTCCATTCCGACGCGCAAAGCCGGTCCATGCAACTTTCTCTATCATCCGTTCTCAAGCCCATCCGTGACCCGTCTCGACTCTCAAACTTGCAAATCCTCAATGTACCCCACCTCACACACCTTCGGGTACAGCGACTCTGTGGTATCCACTTTGGGGATCGATGCGGCCAAGGAGGAAGAGAACGTCCTTAACCTCACCCAGATGATGGGCGAGCTGGATCCCGAGATCGCTCGGCGTATTCTCCGAAGACATGGCGGGGATGTGCAGAAAGCGGCAACGTCTATTCTTGAAGGCGACAGGGGAGGAGATGAGTCGTGGCCCAGCGAACTTCCCCCGCTCACCTACGATGATGGGAGTCTGACTGTAGGGCCGAGAACCCCGCCCCGTACGTGCACATCCGTTCTCTCAACTCTGATGCTGTTGAGTATGTTTACTTTCAGCCTCAAAGCCGGAGCAGGACACGGCCGTCATAGATCTGACGGATGAGGACAAGGAGTTGAAAATGGCATTGGAGGCGTCTCTGGAACAAACAGGAACAAGATTCGGACCAAGTGACAGACCGCCTGACCCGAACTGGGCCGTCGTGCCCTCCAACGTGTGCAAATGCCTGCATCTCTGCCTTGTGAAAACTGCCACTGACCCGCGCTGCATCAGCAAGAAGTACCTTCGGGAGTCTCCCAAGACGACCAGTCGCTTAGTCTCGCCATCCAAGAAAGTCTGAGCTCGACATACCATGATTTCGACCAAGGCTTTGAGCAGCTACCCTTGGAGCAACGGGTTAGGACAGACTCGCGGTAAGTCTATCGCAATCCCGTACCGGAGTCATGGTCTTACACCTTATCGTTGTTCCAAGTCCCGTCGCCCTTCGGCCGTCTCTTCCGGCATACGCCTACGCAGGATTGTTGTTTCAAGGGTTGTATTTTGTCCCTCAAATTCGCAAGACACTAGCGAGCTGGCGTCCCTCTGCCTACCAGGCTGGTGTCGATCTTCGTCCTCCAAGCGACGGTCCAGGTTCGTCATTTTTGCCATGTCGTGTGCTCCGATGGCCTGCTCACAGGTAATAGAGCACATTGTGTGGTCACTGATCGAAATATTCGCAAATATGGACCTCGCTGTCTTATCTGAGCTGGACGTCGACGCCGTCCTCGCGGCAGTCGATATTGTTGCTCCAAGCCACGCGACTGAGAGTCCAGGCGATCTCACTAGCCGTACGCGTGTTTTCTGGTTCATAGCTTAGCGAAAAACATTTAGCTTGCATTGCAGAGTTGTACACGAAAGTGGCCCGGATCACCGATTCGGTACTTCATCAGGCATCCGCTGGCGATTCGAAGGACCATTCCAGGTGATCGCCCAAGCTACCCTTTTGGTCCGTAGCTCGGCTGAACTTCGATATCGAAGATTGCTTCATTTCCGCTACGGCCCCAGTGATGCCAGAGAGGACGCATATGCGTTCGATCGATGTGTCGACACTGCCGTCGTCAGAGTTGACGTTCAAGACGGCGACCAGAACAAGGATCTGATCTCGTGCCTTTCTGCCCAGCTGTCAAGAACTGAACCCAACACGAAACAGCAAGTCATTTTTGACTCATCAGACGTAGTCGCGTTCCAGCTCGTACGTCATGAGGCGTTGCCATCGTACTCGGGTGGCGTGCCGCCGCTGCGGGAGCGTTTCCGCTATCCAAAACAGTTATATCTCGATCGCTTTATGAAGGAACGTTCTGAGCTTGCCGAAGCCAAAAGGACTCAGCAACAAGAAATCCATGAGGAAATTCAGCGCCTGGTCTCGCGGAAGGCAGCGCTGACACATTTCAACGTGAGTTGTTCTCACACGCCTCGATCAGTGGGATCAAATGCTTTTTCTGCATTAGAATAAGAACACTCTGAAGGATATCAAATCCTCACTTCATTATTATGAGCACATAGCTAACAAGGACGATGCGGAGCGAAAAGAGTCCGTCGAAGCGACCGCCATGAAGCTGCGCAAAATCTTGACACGCATCGAAAACGAACTAGAGAGTGGGCACCCCGAATCTCGATATGTCGTCATCCCATTTAAAAAAAATCTCACCACTTTTCCCCATACACAGCGATCGACAGCCAGGTCGGCAAGCTCAATGCTCAATCGGCCACTCTGTTTGAGGGTCCAGAATTTCGAAAGCACCGCGTACGCCATCCTATTCACACACGCCAATTGGCCTCATGCCTTGCTGATCTTTTATCCTTTCCACGTTGCGACAGTATGACCTCCGTGTCGTCCTCGTGCACGACGGTGTGTTCGGGCGTAGTCATATATACTCTTACGTGCAACAAGATAAGACATGGTGGAAAACTGTTGACTACTCTGTCGCTGAGGTACGCGCGAGAATAATCTGCGATCGACAAAAACACTGTTTGACCATATTTGACAATTAAATCTCAAGGTCTCCGAAGAGACCGTACTCGAGGACTCGACGGGTCTCCACCTCGGCGCAGGACCCTATCTTTTGATATACAGCAGAGCATTGCCAGAGAACGAGGCAGAGAGAGCATTGCCGTGGCCCGAGGCCATAAAGGTTCGTCTTATTGCCGAGGACTTATTCCGGCGCACACATGGTTCATTTGTTTGGTTTTTTCATGCGCCTGTAGCATTCTGTCAAGTACAATAACAAGATATTCCTCGATGCCTTGCCTGCTGAGGTAGCCAGCCAGGCGCGCTTTTCCTCACCTCCGACATCGCCTTACCAATCTGCGTCTGAATGGGACACGCCGCCGAACGCACCATCGAGTCCACGGGGCGAGCCGATGGACGTTAGCAATTGACTATAGTATCCGGACCCTGTGATGTGAGAAGAGCGCCGAAGCTGTTGGACAGCCACGAATGGGCGTTTAGTACATGGCCTGTATCCATTCGGAGATATCTCACGCAGATGAAGTGGTGTAATTTTCTTGTATGGCTAACATTTTATGCACGTGTAGAACATGTACATCAGACGGAGCTACAGGTACGGCCTTACCCGAAGTTGCTGGGCATGTATTATTTAGTGATACATGAGACGGAGATGTAGGGCACACGGCGTGCAAGAGTTTTTACAGTCTGGTAGGACGACGTTCTTCATCCCCAGCTACACCTAGCCTTGGCTTTCTTCGTTTCCGTAGGCGTTGCTCTTGTGCTTGGGTGTGAAAGACCAGGACTCGGGTGCAGGGCCCAAGAACATCTCGGATATCTTGACCCAGTCCCGACTATCGCCACTCGCAAGCAACGTTTCTGCAGAGATGAATGAGTGTTGGTATTTCGAAGACTGGCCATTTCGGGCACGTCGAGCGGAACGCACCGAGGTCATCGCGCCCGCGGAATAGGGGCGCGCGGTCGTTAATTCGTCCTGGAAGATGTTCGAGCAGGCCGATCGGCACGTAACGGTATTGGAACGAGAGCGCCTCGCAGAGGTACCGGCGCGCCGTATTCACACCCGCCGTGTCAGTACCAAAATGGCTGCAAGACGGAGGAATCGTTAGCGTTGATCGGGCCTGATACAAACATAGGCAAGTACGCACTTTAGGCCGAACTCTGCATACTACGGAATTCGAACCAGTGTATTAGGTTCTCCATCATGCTCTAGAACAGGGACTGAGAAGTACCTGACGAATCAACTCCAAACGCTCTTTCGAGCTGATATCCCACTCCCTTCGCTCTTTAATTTCGGTGAAAATCCAAGGCTTGATGAGGGCACCACGGGCCACCATGACCCCGTCCACACTGTAATTTTCGACAGCATGCCAGTAGTCCTGCGAGGAAAAGCAATCGCCTCCACCGAATATGGGAATTCTGGGTACTATATCGATGCTCATCTCTATCAGCACGAGGCATAACCTATGTCTGATTGGAGGCATGGCCATACGCACGATCTTCTTCCTCTTCACGAGCGCGTACGGCCTCGACGCAGCTCTTGATATATTCCCAATCTGCCAATTTAGAATAGCGTTGCTGCCGCGTTCTGCCATGGAGCTGATCAAAGGTGAATCCGTCAGAATGAAGATCGGTAAATATATCTCTGGAGAATGCGTTTCTCTCACAGTCATCGCAGAGACGTTCCATTCGGAACTGATCCTTGGCATCAACTTATGTGAAGTATTTTTTCCCTCCTTGACTCCGGTACGTAGTTTGATGGTTAAGGGGATCTCTCCGAGTGCTTTATTCATCCCAATCAGAATCTTGCCAAGCTTTCCAGGCGTGTCCAGCACTAGTCAAAGAAGAGTGCGTGAACTTGATGCGTGGAAATAGCACAGAAGCGTCAGAAACCACTCACAGGCCGAACCGCTTCCAGTTCTGAACACCAAATCTATCGGGCATCCACAATTGAGATCAACGAAGTCTACGCCGCCTGAGCACTCCTTGGCAATCACTTCGGCCGTAGGGACGAGTAACGAAGGTTTACTCCCCGCAAGTTGCACGCCAAACATCGTCTCAGACGGGTGTCGTCGGACCAATGACCATTCCTCTTTTGACGCGGAGAGGAAGGAGTTCGCCAGGCCCACTGCGCACGTTATCAGCACGGACACGGGCAAAGTGAAGATATGGGAGGCGTGTACTTTCACCGCATGTGATGTCAGCTCCGAGCGTAACACATAGGCGCCGGAACGGCTGCATAATTCCATTGTTAATCGAATGCCTCACGCTTGTATGGTAGGAGTCACAATTCGGACTTACCAAGTTGCCAACTGTAGTCAAGGGCGCAAGGTCTGCGCAGAATGATGTGAGCGTGATAGTCAGGGGAGCACAGGCGGTCAGTGGGATTGCAGCCCTCGGCGAGGGCCCAGATCCGTCGTCGACGTACATGTCTTATCGGACCAGACAAGCCTCTTCTTTTCGGTGAAACGGGTGGGGACATCAGGAGTGTCATTCTGCGTCTCCATTTCCTCCGTCGAAGGCGCCAAAGGAGGGATAGCAGCATTCTCGGGAGGTACAGTGGAAGCAAGGTTTTCGGGAGTAGAGGTGGAGGGGGTTTTTGGAACGACTTCGGGGTCTGCTGTAGGCTCCTCTCGGCTCGGCTCTGGATCAGCTTCTGGGGAACGAGGAGTGTAGGGAGAAGCGTCGACTTCATCTTTGGAGCCTTCTTTGCCGTTGCCCTCTTTCACATTCTGTAACTGGAGTTCACGAAGATAGGCATCCGTGATTGGAAGGGGATACTGGGAGATCAGGTGCATCAGCAAGGTTCTGAGCGAATCGATGATGCCATACCTTCTTCGTTCGGAGTAACTTCATGGTTGACGCGTCCAGGAAGTTGGCCTCTGTTGTTGAGCGCATGAGTCGTGCCTTCCTATCTTCGTCTTGTATCAGCAATAATGTGTTATCTTCAGCTTTATGGACGTGTCCCCCAAGGAAGCGACACTTGAATCCGTGTCGGCATGCCCCTGTCTCCTCGAACACCGGGCATTTCGTAGAAAAGTCGATAGAAGATTCTTCTTTTTCGTCACCTGCCTGTATAGCACCGGCATCGCCCACGGTCTGCACGAACGGGGGAATGTCGCTCAGATCAGAGGGGGTGGGGAAGCGGACGTCTCTTGGTTTTGCAGCCAGGTATGCAGGAACATCGTGACTCCAGCGACACCTGCAGTGGACAGTGAGTTCAGAAACAAAGGCATGAGAACAGCGAATGATATACGCACTCCGCACCGAACTCACAAGATCCGCCCGACGCGACTCTCCAGCAGACATCCTGGTCATCGCGCACCTTTTGCCAACGCCTGCCTTTGTTCGACCCGCGCTGTTTCTTTTTTTCCTCCTTGGCAAGTTTGCGCCGCTCCGAACTGGACAGCTTAGCCTTTTTACTTGGACGTTCATCCTCGTCCGCGTCACCGCGCTCTTCACCGCGCTCTCTGATGTGGCTGGTGCTCCCTTCTGCAGCATCGTCGTCGGCTGAAGGCGCAAGCCTTGTATTCGAGGTGGAGAGCAAATACCTATTTAGACAGAAATTGCAGTTCGGTCAAACAACAGACTTAGAGAGCTATACGTACTCTGATTTCACTGGCGCTGTTCCAACAGGATATGGATTTGTGGATCCAGGCATGGTATGGTTGAAAGGACGATATTGCGGGTGTTTCGCGCTGTAGACCTGCAGTCAATGGTGGTAGACAGTGGAAATATCAGACCTCCGTTACGTCAAAAATGGTCGCCGGGCCGCCACGCGGATGTCCGCCCCGCTGTTCGTGTTCTCCAACTTAGTGGACGCTGGTGGACTCTGTCTGTCCTCGCTATCACAGTGCTATCACTCCGACTCCAATTCCAACTCGTCTTTCAATTGCCTAGACGGATCGCAATAGCTATCGATAGTCATTATGGCTGCACATTGTTAGATGGTATCTAGGGCCTAGGTATCATATGCAGTGGATTCTCCCGCTCAACATTTGATTTGATTTTGGGTCTTTTCTTCACCCAGGGATCTACACACGGTCAATTCAGTCAACAAATGGGTGATGGCGTACCTCACCGACAACTCAATAAAGCGCTCATCGTGTTCTATGTATTGGCCTGGATATCATTTCATTCTGGCCTGTGAACTTGAAGTGTCCTCCTCGTTCACATCATGGCAGTTGGGCAAAACACAAATCTGAGCATCATGTACTGTTCAAGTTGCTCAGGTGATAGCGCTCAACTCCATGATCCACACCTTTTCGCTCTACCGCCAAGGCCCTGCTTGTTTCAAAGCACGAAGTGTTTTCTAGACTCGAGGCTTCCTTCACTAGCACCAAGGTACGATTTGTAAAGATTCTCTTCGAGATGTCGTTGTCCGAGGTAGGCCCCAGTAGTCCGTGGTCTACACCTAATGGACGACTTATTCGAATACGATCCATTACCCAGTCAATTCTTCTCTCTTATAGCAGCCATTCCAGCCAATCGTCTGTCAATTCTACGGTGAGCCCAGTGTCAACAGCGTGATAGCCCTACACATATTCTGACATTCGATTGGTTTATAGCTCGTTGTTCCTTGCTATTCCGGCTGGGGTGACGAAGATGTAGTGAGTCTGCTCCGAATGGTCGTAGCCAACCTCCATGCTGTCGTGTTTCTCGATATACGATGTGACGCCCATATAGTGTTCAAGACACTGTACCGCTTTTTTGTAAGTATACAGTAGCTTCAAGTGCTCCCAGCCCGCCTCATTGTTGTGTTCTAGCACTACCAGCGTAGATTGGAACGTGAAGAAGCTGAGAGAGTGCAGCAGGCAGAGATGCAGCATCAACGCAGACGGCTCCGAGTTCGGCTGGCGATTATGGTCTCGCAGAAGGTTGTCGGGACTCGTCGCCGTTGCTCAAGCACCGAACCTGTCGGCTCTTTGTTCAATCTGTCTAAACGTTCTCCTGCAGTCGCCTTGGGTTGTTGTGTGCCGACCTCCTCCACCCTAAGTTCTCTTTTCTCGTTTTCGAACAGGATCCTTGTGCATAATTCGGATGGCTCAGTTTCTTCTTCGCCTGCTGTACATGACTCGTTCATGTCTCCGTCTTTGTCTTCGATGTCTTCTGGATCTATCTTGCCTGCGCTTGGCGAATCCCTCACTGCTGTTCATGAGCTTTCTGCATCTATCGGGTCTTTCGCGTTCAACGGGTTTCTAAGATCTCTTTCTGCTCCTGGGGATATCTCTGGGTTTTCCTTGCCTCCTGGATACACCTTGCCATTAGCGAATTATTCGTCTTTTGCATCTGCATTCTCCGCTGCAGCAATATCTGCCTTGTCATCGAGCCCCGTATCACCTCTTGTGTGTGATGCATCTCCTGCCTGCGTGTCGTCGATTTCGTCTGTGTACGACTGGTCGTTGGATTTCAATACTCCCGCTGCAAGTCCGTTTAGAGGCAGCGGCCATTTCTTGTGCTTGCCTTCTCCTCAATGGGCTGAGAGTTCTGGTGTCTTGTCTCCTACACCGGCGCCACCCTCGAGTGCCAATTCATCGACTTTCACTTGGTTTTCCGGCGCTACTCTGGTTTCTAAGGACATCACTCTCTCAGAGCCTCACTTGCATCCTGATCTCCAGCCCATATCAATATTGGGCCGCGGAGCCTATGGCACAATCTACCTTGCCACGCACACCGAGTCGGATATGAACTACGCGGTGAAGGTGATATCAAAGTCGAAGTTCGTGGACGACTCAAATGGAGACGCGACGGCGTTCATGTCGGCGATGAAGCAGGTGACAAAAGAGCAAAAGGCGATGCGGATCCTGGACGAGAGTGGACGGAGTGGGTTCCTGCCGCTGTGCGCGAGCTGGCACGATTCCCGGAGTTTTTATCTGGTCACGGTGAGTGCGGGTGGTTGCTGTCTGTTGACCTACTGTCTGATCGTCCGCGCCCGCAGCCGTACTGTTTCAAAGGGGATCTCGAACAGACGATCTTATACTGGGGCCTCGCGAAGATGCCTCGATCTCTAAGTCATTACTACGCGGCCAAACTTGTAAGTCTATCTCCTCTATCTCTTTCCTGTTGCTAACTCCATTCACGTCCTCTTTGTGCAGCTTTCGTCGCTGGAGACACTCCAAAGGCTCGGAATCATTCACCGCGACCTGAAGCCCGCCAACATCCTCCTCGATGCCGAAGGCTGCCCACTTATCGGTGACTTCGGCCTCGCGAAGATATTCGATACCTCTCAACGACAGAATGGGGCGGTGCCGCCCCCAACGACCAGTCTATTCGATTGGAACGATGATGATAAGCCTGCGGAGCATACCAACTCGTGCAGCGGCACGACTGCATACATGTGCCCCGAAGCGCTCAAGCGCGATGTACATTCGTACGACGCTGACCTCTGGTCGTACGGTTGCGTCTTGTACGAAATGCTTACCGGTCGAGTAGGTCGTCTAGGACAATACTGAGATGGAAGCTAATATGGCTTCGCGCGTAGGTCCCTTTTGCCACGGTGAAGGCTACACTGAGTGAAGAGGCGGTATTCTATTCTCGCGATGACGTAGACCCCGTGGCTCAGGACTTCGTCCGTCTGGTGCTCACCAAGGAACGCGGAAAGAGGCCGGGCCTTGCTGCGATGAAGGCGCATGCCTACTTTACATCCATGTGAGCTCATCGTCAGCCTTGCCTTCTTGTTTGAACGACATTCTGAACATAGAATTTCTTGCAAGTGACTGGGAGAAACTCACGCACAATGAGATCAAACCGCCTTGGGTTCCGGCCACCCGGAGCCCTATTCTACGCTCCAGGATGCTTCTCCCTACCGGCCTACCAGTCTCCCGCAGCCAGGACCAGTTTCCTGAATTTACTTTCACATCCTCGGCACTCGCCGTCACCCCTCCCCCTGCTAAGGCTTTGAGATCGCCTACTCTCCTCCGCAGCCTCAACCCTGCTAAACCAGCTGCTCTGCGCAGATTTTTCAGCAGGACGTTCGGGCGAAACGGTGCTATCGGGACGCCCGTTCCAAGAACCTTGTTTGGGACCACTTTGTCGTCCGTTCAAGGAGCGGAGCAAGACGTTCCTACGAAAGCCCCTAAGCCCCCAGTATGCGGTGCGACGTTTGCGTGGTCGAAAGTACCGGCCCTGGCCCATCTCTCTCCGGCCCCAGCCGTCGACATCCGCGTTCATATTGTGGTAGAGAGCACTGCACCAACGAGGAGGGAGAACTATCAGCTATCCAAGCGTACGTCGGCTCATTCGCAGAGTGACTCGCGACTCGAGAAGACGGTATGCAACCGCGAGTGTGACGAGGTGGATGCGATGAAGTTTAAAGAGAAGGTTGGAAGGTTGATGAGGAGGTTACGAAGTAGACAGGGAGCGTAGACAGAAGGTATTCTTTTTCTGAAAGACACGTATAGGCACCTTGCGATACATCCGCAATTACTGTGCAATGGTACATGTTCTGCTAGACCGTCTAGGAAATAGGTGCGATGTTGCGCCAAGCCGTGAGACGCAGTGAGGCGTTCCTGTCTTGCGCGATTGGCGAGACGACCGCACACATCAGCACACATCACTTCCCTCAAGAGTACCTTCAATCGAAGGAACAGCTTCGCTGCAGCAGAGGAAAGTTGAGCTATCAGATGCATGTACGGGAGATTGCTGACAGTTACCAGTGAGTGCATGGGGTAAACAGCACATGCACCTGCGAACATCAAGGGGAATGCTTCGCAAGACAGATCGAAAGCATGATAGGCTGATGGGATAGGTCTGGTGCACTCACGTCTGATTTTGCAGCTTTGTAGCCACGGCTGGTCCTCGTAACTGGAGTGATCCTACCTCTCTAGATGGGGTCATGCAGCGACTTACTCATTCGCCAGACTTGGCGAAGAATCGGGCCAGTTGTCAATCGAACAAGCTTGTCGTGCATACAGAATGTGTATTGCTCAGATGTGGGCCTCGAAGATCTGTCCGCGCAGTAAAACGGAGTTCGGCCTATCTTGCATCGAGCACTCTAGTACTTAACCGAATGAGAGTCGTCCTTTGGCACAAAAGCACAGCTGAGTAATTCAGGTATCTGGTAGGATTTACGCACCGATCTCAGTCTAACATGCGTAATTTCAAGAGCTACTCCTCATTTCTAAAACTCTGCGAGCTCGCAGTACTCGAGAGTCTTCGACTATTCGATTATATCACATATGAATGTAATCACATCGCTAATGGCCGTGTTATCTAGACTTAAGACAAGGGGACTACGTCTCTGACTCACCACGCGTGAGCAGCAGTCAGCTAGCAAAGAGCAGTTTAACGGCTGCATGGGCGAGTGAGTGTAATCGATTCGTTGAAGCCTAGAATAAGGCGATTGGAAAATGGTTGGTGCGGCAGCCAAACACGATGCGATCGTCCTCGAAACGGGGAATTTCTCTGAAGGGTCTTTGATCTAGGCCATATTGACAAGAGGTGTCGACTGGTGTCGACCAAAGCTGCTGATGGTTGAGCGAAGGAGAAATGAGTGCCGCCACCCGGGTGGCTGAACGAGTCCTCAATGGGGCGGCGGCCCTGCCTCACCGCCATGTCAAGTTTTTACCACGGCCGACGACGACTGCGACGCTGTCTTCTCGCCCGTGAATCACGGCATTTTACGCGACACGGCCTGCCTATCACGGTGGGTTGAATTCGGTGGTTCAATCTGGTTATATCAATCAGGGTGAGCAGTACCAAGGCTTGATTTCCATATGTTTCACGCCTACGACAGGCATGAACTCGCTAATTTCTCCCCGAGGTCATGACGAATTCAAAGGCACAAGGTCAATTTTATTTCTACAGAGCGCTCAAACACACCCGCGCTTATTCAAAAGCCTCATGTTACTCCTGATTTGATTTATCAACCCACCACCAACCTGCATGTATTACCCAATGGACTCACCTCCAGCTATGTCCCCTGCGATGGAATCGTGAGTTTGAGGTCGAGATTTTTCGTCGGTTTGCAGGCTCCTGACCACTGCCCATCTGAGCGATTAGCAACCCTCCTAGCTCCTGGTCGAGCATTCTGTTGACAATTACAGGTGCGCATTGCTTGATTGGGCCTTGATCTGTTCATCTCACAATAATCGTCCTACCAGATGTTCGTGCCTTCGATCTCCCCAATATTCCCAAGATCCTCAAGATCGTCAGTTTCAATCGCAGGAGTACAGATGGAAAATTCTATGGCATATTGTCTGTTGATGGAAAACGGGAGAAAACTAAGATCGCTAACTCAGGCAGTACTCCAGTGTGAAATGAATCTTTCTCCTTGTGAGCATCTTTCGTCTCCGTCGCTTTTCCGTTCTTTGTGATACCGGCTTGATTGCGGCAAGGCACATCAATCCTCGGTTATAAGGCTTGACATCTATGCCCGTCGTACAGTGCGTAGGGATAAGCGCATCGGCGGAATCTCTGAATCAATCGCAACTTTGTGTCCATCGATCCTCGACGGCAGGAGCCACAGTTAGTCGATCGTTCGCTGATTCTGACTCTGGTTATATGTACGGACATTCGCTAGGCATAACCAAGACGATCTTAGAGGGAACCTCTGCCCATGTCGGTTTTCGTCTTGCAGTTAAAGTTGACAATCCACCAGAACCAGCCAATCTCCTTAGCAGTGCTAAGGCTGCTTTATCTAACATGAAATCACCCGCAAGCCCTATCGCCTTGGCAATCGGAGCTTCAACATCCGCTCTCGAACCTGTGAAGGACTTTGTCGATAATTGGACGGCCCTCTTAAGCCAAGTCCAAACTTTTTGTGAATTGATGGATGGTATCGCTGAGGTACGTCGTAGCCATGCACATCCGGATGGCGGAATTCTCACATACGTACTTTATCAGGTGCATCCGTACGCAAAAATGGCCTGGAGCGTTATATCTATACCACAGAAGGTTTTTCATCTCGACCTCGACGATGTGTCTCGCGATGCTGACCAAATTTCGTGCTCATGATCACGATGAAGATCTTGAAAACACAGATAGACCGCGATGACAAGATATAAGAACTATTCGCGACCATGAACTCCTTTTACGACATCGTCAGCGACTTACAGAAAGAATCCGAGAAGATCGACTCTCTGCACGACCTGTTGCAACGGATAGCGCGACAGACCACGGAATGCTGTTACTTCATCCATGACTATGCAAAGGCCGAAGATTTCTGTGAGCATTTTCCCGCGTTTGCTATCCTTCTCCTACATAACGCCTTTCTCTATTCAACAGCAAAGCGAATAGGGCATCAATTTTTTTCCTCCACAGATGACAAGATCGAGGCATATTGTACAGTACTTAACAGGCTAAAGGAGGAGTTTCACAGTCGATTGGCCGTTTGGGATCAAGATTGACGCAAGTGAGACCAAAGATCTTGCGATGGAGACTAAAGCGTTGGTGGAGGAGACCAAGCTCGTTGTGACGCACATTTTAGATGATATAGAAGTCATCGGTATGTTGAGGCCCTCGTCAGTCATTTTTGATTGAAGTTGACAGGTCATCAGTCACTGATATTAGCTTGGACGACATCCCGTATGCAAATGACGCAAACTTTGACGAGACAAAGGCGTGCCAATTGGGAACTCGTGTGGAAATTCTGGATGAGATTACGGATTGGATCAATGCAGAGGGCGCCCCCCGGATTCTCTTGCTTTCTGGTGCCGCGGGGACTGGCAAATCGGCTATTGCGCATACGATCGCTCACCGATTCAATACGATGCACCGTCTCGGATCCTCTTTCTTTTTTGTGCGAGGAAGAAAGGATCGTGGTCCCGATAAGCTGTTCCCAACCGTGGCTCGTGACCTGGCCGACCTTGACAAAGGCATACGGCATGCGCTATACGACATTGTTACAGCCAATAAAGTATTGCGAGGCACGTCGAAGATTGCTTAACAGTTCGATAACCTTATTCTCAAATCAGTCGAAAAGCTCACCATTGCTGGACCACTCGTCATAGTCATCGACTCTCTGGATGAATGCGGGGATGCCAAGATCCGTGCAGACCTGCTCCAAGCACTGGCCAACAAAACCAAAGCCCTTCCCACCAATTTCCGCATCCTCCTCACATCCCGCCCCGAGGCAGATGTCAAATCTTTGTTCCAAGCGGATAAACACGTCATTATCAAGAGGATGCAGGAGCTTTCGTCTTCGACCGAGGCTGACGTCAGTTTATACATCCACAATCGTCTGAGCAATCTCGAAGTCTATGGTATTGAGAACAGGTGCAAGGGAGTGCTCGTTGCGAAATGCGAGGGATTATTCCAGTGGGCGTCCGCTGCTTGCGAGTTCATCAAAGGGTGGGGGGCAGGATTGACTCACAAGGAACGATATGAACTCATTGTCCAGGGCAAGACCGATGAATCATGGCCACTAGATCATCTATATCAAACAGTCTTATCATATCTTTTTCCCCCCAAGAACTCTGCCGTCATGGATCGGTTCAGGCTCGTCATGTCGCTGGTACTGACTGCGTTCGAGCCACTCTCTGTCAAGGCATTAAATGAGATACTCTACGCTGCCAAGGATGGAAACCCAGGTTTTGAGGTAAACGTCATCTTGGAATACATGGGTTCTTTACTAAGCGGAGTAACTGGAGACGACGTTGTCTGTCCTCTGCATACTTCATTTCGCGACTTTTTGCTGGCTCCTTCTCACAGCAACGACTTCTACATAGACACCTCAGACACTCACGCAGAGTTCACAGTCGCTTCGTTATCTATCCTCAAGAGGCAGCTGTCATTCAATATATGTCGCCTGGAAAGCTCGTATGTTGCGAACAGAGACATCTATGACCTCGCGGATCGTATCAATAGATACATACCAGCCCACCTGTCGTACTCTTGTCGCTTCTGGGCGGACCACTTGCAAACCACAGCCGCAAACGTAGCCTCTGGTCATAAGGTATTGCAAGACCTGGAAGTCGTGCTCACAGACAAATTTTTGTTCTGGCTTGAGGTGATAAGTTTGCTCGGTGCTTTACCCACAGCCTCGCGCGCAATGTCTTTGCTTATAAGGTGTCCAGTACGTGATTTCTCAGCGTATAAACACCAAGGCAAAGTATGCTTGTACATGAGTAGAGCCTATATACTGGAGGAATGTCCGAACTGATGAGTGGTGCACATGCATTTATGGATGCATTCTAGTTCCCCATGTCGCAGTCTACTCCGCACATCTATCTCTCAGCCCTTCCATTCGCTCCACAAAATTCCACTGCATTCGAAATGTTTGGCAAGAACTTCTCTCAGGTGCTAAGGATCTCGGCCGGGGCCGGCAAGCATTGGCCAATTGTTGAACACATCATGCATGCACGCTCTGTAGTGTTATGCGTAGCATTCTCGCCAGACGGGCTGCGGATCGTGTCAGGCTCGCACGACGGTAAAATCCGGGTATGGAATGCGGCGATGGGTGCTACCGTGGGCGAACCTTTCGAGGGACACACCGGCGGGGTCAATTCTGTCGTTTTCTCACCAGACGGGTTGCGGATTGTGTCAGGCTCAGACGACTCGACCATCCGAGTATGGATTGCGGAAACGGATGCAGCTTTAGGCGATCCTATCGATGGACACACAAGTAAGGTCAATTCTGTCGCATTCTCGCAAGACGGGTTGCAAATCGTGTCATGCTCGAACGACTGCACAGTCCATGTATGGATTGCGGAAACGGGTGATGCTGTGGGCGAACCTCTTGAGGGACACGCCAATTGGGTCCGTTCTGTTGCTTTCTCGCCAGACGGGTCACGGATCATGTCAGGCTCGGACGACTCGACAATCCGGATGTGAGATGCGACAACAGGCGCTGCCATGGGGGATTCTCTCCAGGGACACACAGACTTCGTCAATTCTGTCGCTTTCTCGCCAGACGCGTTGCGGATCGTGTCAGGCTCGTCCGACAAGACGATCCGGGTGTGGGATGTGACCAGTATGATCAGTGACATCGGTGGCTCACAGGTTGTGCTGCGCTCAGACAACAATAGTCATAACGTCCCCACAAGGCTTTTCGGTATGCATTCCAGCGACCTGGGCATTGTCCGAGCATTGACTTGTGACTGACTTGAACATTTCATAGTTCCTCTTCTCATGTCACCTCGTCTGGAACACGCCATGCGCATAGATGTCATCGATAACGCTGCGACACCTCCACGCGACTATCGTCAATCTGAAGATATGAACGATGACGGTTGGATAGTGGGTCCGGCATCAGAATTATTATTCTGGGTGCCACCTGCATACCGTGACAGGCTGTTGCCCGGCGCAAGGCTCAAGATGATCATAGGAAGGAAAGTTGTACAGCTCGATCTCAGTCAATTTATCCATGGCACGTCTTGGCACGAGTGCTATCGTCCCTCGCAGCCGCAGTGATTCGGATGAGTATCTTCTTCTGTGTCTGATATGTATATTGTAGCCGCGAAACACGTACATAGCCTATACCTGCGCCAGATGTTTCTGCGCATATTCATCCGACACGACCATTGGCCTATGTGTAAACACCGGGTGGTCTCGCTCTGCACGACCCTCACGTATGCACTGTAGTACAGAGCGCGTGCGGTTTAAAGAGGGGCACATGCATCGAATATGTGATGTGCGATGTGCACTTACCAGTCCTTCTGCGCGAGCGTCTGTAGGATGGACCTAGCCGGGTGCACATGCGTGCCTTGAGATGAGCGAGTCGCGGCATGTACGCGCTCACGCGAGGAGCTCGGCGCTGGCAGAACCGCGAACGCCAGCGCTCGGCGCACGATGGACGTCGTCAGTTCGTAGAGCAATGATGTGCACGAGCCCTGGCAACATCGCGTCGGCCCTGATCAGTTGTCTGGCGTTGTCCAATTCGCGCTTTTCTCATACGCGACGCAGAGGATAGCGCCGTCGCGCTGTGCGTCGTGCGACATGTGTCGTGGGCGTTGATGGACTTTGCATGAAGCTAGTATGATCTTCGCGCTCGAGCACGCGCGCGCGTGTCCCTTACCTGTATGCGCGTGTGCACCGCCGTACGCGAAGGTAGTCTATCACAAGACTGTGAGGTGAGGACAAGAAGACAGAGATCCCCCGTTTTGACTTATACTGACATGCCGTGCTCTGTTCCTGTCAAGAAACGAACGCATCAGCGTGGTCGGGCCGGCATCCATTCGACAAAGTGCACCTCCGAGCCTCGCACCGCGCCTGAGCCGCATCCCCTTTCATCGACGAACCGCCACCCCGCTGCCTTCCAAACATGTCATAGAGTGCGTGTCTTGACGACGGCCCCCTAGCCCGTCAGCTGCTCTCACTCGATCTGCTCCAGAAACTCACCCCCACTCGCGCGCCCCTTCGTCACGAAGCCCCCGTACCACCACGCGATCAAACCCAGCGGCATTGTGCTCTCCGGGCGCACTGGCCCTGCCCCGGCCCCCGCCCTGACTCCAGGTCCAACGCCCGTATCCATGTCCATCCGTGATGTTGAAAAAGGGAGGGCTGCTTGACACGAAGCCTGAGATTTAGTTCACGAAGAGTCGCGCGACGTGTCGGGGGGTGCGCATGCGGGCGCCGGCGAGCGCGAGCGTGTCTGTCTGTACATAGATCTCGTCGAGGGGTTCAATGGAGAGGCTAAGAATGGCGTTCCTGAGCTCGGGGGTGCCGATGCCCGCGGGTGGAGAGGAGGTGGCGTTGTGGACGGAGGGCAGAGGGCGTGGGTGGAATGTGTGAACGCAGAGGAGGTGGTGGGAGAGGTGAAGGCGCGGCGAAGGCGGAGGATGGCGGAGGGTGTGTTGTTGGAGAGGTAGGTGTGCTGTGAGTGGGCCAGAGACACGCGCCCGCGCGTGTGTGTGTTGGAAAGTGAGCAGTGAGCGCTAGTGAGCAAGCAGCTGGACGCCGCGCCCGGGCCAAATGAAATGTCCAGTCGCGCAGTCCCCTTCCGGGCGTGGCACTACATACTACGCCACTGCGACGCCACCCTCGCCAAATCGCCATCAGAAAAAGAGACAGGTCAGCACCCGATCCACGCCCCTCAAATCGAGTCGAACGGTGAAACGCAGGGAGAGGGGTCCGGGTGAGGGCGACGCACCTGTCCTGAGAACAAAGATGGAGATGTGGTTGACGGAACCCGCGACAGGAAGCTCGAATGTGCGCTGTAGGTGTCGTCGATCCGCTGGAGGAGGATCACATACGTTGCTGCCTTTGGGAGACTAATAGTCACGATGGCCCGTGGGCCGTGCAGCTGCCGCCAACGTTCACCGGTTCACCATCCACATCGCTCCTAGATCATGATGCTTTTGCGTGACACCACCGCCTACCAAGATGGGGTGAATAGACCAGTGTGGGCATGAACCGAGGTATGCTGTCTTGGTCAACACATCCAAGCATGAATTTGCCAATCCTTTGCCTTGGAGGTTGAGACGGATGCAAAAAACAAGGTCAAATTTTTCTCTGTACAGCGCCTAACCTGACGCCCACTTCTGTAATTAGAATGCCTCATGTTGGTTGTGACACTCTTTCTCCGCATTGTGACTATATGAAGATGACCGTTCTCTAACCCACTCACCTGCATGCATATTGCCCTACAGATCTACCTCAAACTATGTCCTCGACGACCGCACCGTGCGTTTCATTCCAGTGTTTCTGATCGCCCTTCAGGCTCCTGATTCTGCGTATCTGAACTATCAGTAACCCTCCTAGATCAAGTTCGAGCTTTCGGTTGACAGTCACAGGTGTGCTTTGCTTGATCGGCGCTTGATCTTGATCTCCTCACGGACACCATCCACTCAGTTTTGCGCGCCTTCGATCTCCCCAAGGGCTCAAACTCTACGAGCAAACACAGCAAATTCTGTTGCGTCGTGACCGTTGATGAGAAACAGAAGAAAACCGAAGTTGTCAAAGGTCTCTCACCGGAGTGGAATGAATCGTTCTCCTTGTGAGTATCTTGCTCTGCTACCTCTTAGGTTCTTTGCTGACGTGGACTTGATATGATCTCGATGCAGCGATGCGCATCCATCTTCCATTCTGAAGCTCGACATATTTGCCTATCACAGAGTGCGCAAGAATCAGCACATCGGCGGCATCTCTGAACCAATTGATAACTTATGTCCATCGATACTCGACGGCGGGAACTGCGGTTAGTCGATCCTTCGTTCATCGTGCGATCATTTTTACCGGCATTCACTAGATGTCACCAAGACGGTTTCGGGGCAAAGAAATGCCCGAGTCGAACTACGTCTTGCGGTCGAAGTTGACCACCTACAAACCGTACCAGCCAATCTCCTGAAAATTACTGAGGCAGCCTTATCCGACATGCATGTGCTCGCAAAACCCGCCGACTTGGCAATTGGAACATCAACATCCGCTTTTGAACCTGTGACGGACTTGGTCGAGATTTGGACGCCCCTCTTGAGCAAAGTCCAAATATTTTGTCAATTGATGGATGGCATCGCTGAAGTACGTCGTTGCCATGTCCATTCAGGTGACGGAAACCTCATACTCTGCCAGGTGCATCCGTACGCAAAAATGGCCTGGAGCGTTATATCTATACCACAGAAGGTTTTTCATCTCGACCTCGATGGCGTGTCTCGCGATGCTGACCAAATTTCGTGCTCATGATCACGATGAAGATCTTGAAAACACAGATAGATCGTGACGACAAGATACATAAGCTATTCGCAACCATGAACTCCTTTTACGACATCGTCAGCGACTTGCAAAAAGAATCCGAGAAGATCGACTCTTTGCACGACCTGTTGCAACGAATAGCACAACAGACTACAGAATGCTGTTACTTCATCCGTGACTATGCAAAGACCAAGGGTTTCGGTATGCCCTGTCCAGTATCATACGGTATTCGTATAATGATTTCCTGTCCTGAGCAGTGAGCAGATTAGGACGGCATCTAGTCTCCGATGCAGACGACAAGATCAATGGATTCTGTGCCGTGTTTGACGATTTCAAAAGTGAATTCTACGGACGAGCAACCGTCAAGACCCAGGTTGTTGTGACGCGTATCCTTAACGAAGTGCAAGGTCTAGGTGTGCAAAATACATCCACCGGCCATATGTCATAAAGCTGACATCTCTCGTCAGCCGCTGATATCAACTTGGACGATATACCGTACGCAAATGACGCCAGTTTCGACGAGACAAAAGCGTGCCAAGTGGGAACTCGCGTGCAAATACTGGACGACATCGCAAAGTGGGTCAACGAGGACGACGCTCCCCGCATTCTCTTCCTCTCTGGTGCCGCGGGGACTGGTAAATCAGCTATTGCGCATACAATCGCTCACCGCTTCAAGAAAATGAACCGGCTAGGATCTTCTTTTTGTTTCGTCCGAGGCCGGACGGACCGCGGCCCAGACAAACTGTTTTCAACCGTGGCTCGTGATCTGGCCGACTTTGACCAGGGCATACGATGCGCCCTACACGAAGTTGTTAAAGACAATAAAGCATTGCGAGTTACGTCGAAGGTTTCCCAGCAGTTCGATAATCTTCTTCTAAAACCGCTCGAGAAACTCACCATTGCTGGTCCCCTCGTCATAGTCATCGATGCTCTGGATGAATGCGGGGATGCCAAGACCCGCAAAGACCTGCTCCGCGACCTGGCCCACAAAACTAAAGCTCTTCCCACCAATTTCCGCATCCTCCTCACATCTCGTCCCGAGGCAGATATTGAAGATGTTTTCCATGCGAGTGATCATGTCCTTGTCAAGAGCATGGAGGACCTTTCGTCCTCGACCGAGGCCGACATCAATTTATACATCAATGCTCATCTGGGCGATCCCGATATCTCTGACATCGACAACGAATGCAAGCGAGTACTTGTTGCGAAATGCGAGGGATTATTCCAGTGGGCGTCCGTTGCATGCGAATTCATCAAGGGTTTAGGAGAGCCAGGATCGACTCATAGGGAACGGTTCGATCTCATCGTCCAAGGCAAGACCGATGAAGCTTGGCCACTAGATTCTTTATATCGAACTGTCTTAGACCATCTTTTCCGAACCGCGAATACTACGGTCATGAATCGGTTCAAGCTCGTCATGTCACTAGTATTGACTGCCTTCGAGCCTCTGTCTGTCCAGTCATTGGAAGAGATCCTCCGGGCCGCCAAGGACGGCATCCCAGGCTTCAAGGACGGCATCCCAGGCTTCAAGGCGAGCATCATCTTAAGATATATGGGCTCTCTGCTAAGTGGAGTGGCTGGGAAGGACGGCGTCCGTCCTCTGCACACTTCATTCCGCGACTTTCTGCTGGATCCTTCTCGCAGCGCCGACTTCTACATAGACACATCGAACACTCACGCAGAATTCACTGTCGCTTCATTGTCCATCATGAAGACGCAGCTGTCATTCAATGTATGCCACCTCAAATCTTCGCATGTGGCGAACAAGGACATCCCTGATCTTGCCGATCGTATTGATCGCTATATACCAGCTCATCTGTCGTACTGTTGTCGCTCCTGGGTAAATCACTTGGACTGCACAGCGGCAAACGTAGCCTCTGAACCTACGATATTGAAAGACGTCGAAGTGGTGCTCACCGACAAGCTCCTGTTCTGGTTGGAGGTGATGAGTTTGCTCCGTGCTATACCTGGGGCCTTGCAAGCAATGTCCTTGCTGACAAAGTGGAGTTTGGTACGTGATTTCTTAGCATGGAAGCACCATGCGAAGTTTGATTATATTCTGTGATTGCCCAGAGCCTATCTCATGGACGACTATCCGAATTAACGAGCGGTGCACGTGCATTTTTGATTGCATTCGGGTCACCCATGTTGCAGTCTACTCCACACGTCTATTTATCTGCCCTACCATTCGCCCCACAAAGTTCCACTGTATTCAAAATGTATGCGAAGGACTTTCCTCAGGTGCTCAGGGTCTCGGCGGGGGCCGACAAGCATTGGTCAATCATCCAAGACATCATACACGCACGCTCTTCAGTTTCATGTATAACATTCTCGCCAGACGGGCTACGAGTCGTGTCAGGCTCGGAAGACTCGACAATCCGGTTGTGGGATGCGGCAACGGGTGCTGCCATGGGCGATCCTCTCGAGGGACACACAGAACGGGTCAAATCTGTCGCATTCTCACCAGACGGGTTGCGGATCGTGTCAGGCTCGGACGACTCGACAATCCGGTTGTGGGATGTGGTAACGGGTGCTGCCATGGGTGATCCTCTCAAGGGACACACCGAAACGGTCAATTCTGTCGCATTCTCACCAGACGGGTTGCGGATCGCGTCAGGCTCGGAAGACTCGACAATCCGGTTGTGGGATGTGGTAACGGGTGCTGCCATGGGCGATCCTCTCGAGGGACACACAGGCTGGGTCAATTCTGTCGCATTCTCACCAGACGGGTTGCGGATCGTGTCAGGCTCGTCCGACAGGACAATCCGGTTGTGGGATGCGGCAACGGGTGCTGCCATGGGCGATCCTCTCGAGGGACACACAGACCGGGTCAAATCTGTCGCATTCTCACCAGACGGGTTGCGGATCGCGTCAGGCTCGGACGACTGGACAATCCGGTTGTGGGATGCGGCAACGGGTGCTGCCATGGGCGATCCTCTCGAGGGACACACAGACTGGGTCAATTCCGTCGCATTCTCACCAGACGGGTTGCGGATCGTGTCAGGCTCGTCCGACTCGACAATCCGGTTGTGGGATGCGGCAACGGGTGCTGCCATGGGCGATCCTCTCGAGGGACACATAGGCTGGGTCAATTCCGTCGCATTCTCACCAGACGGGTTGCGGATCGTGTCAGGCTCGGACGACTCGACAATCCGGTTGTGGGATGTGGTAACGGGTGCTGCCATGGGCGATCCTCTCGAGGGACACACAGACCGGGTCAATTCTGTCGCATTCTCACCAGACGGGTTGCGGATCGTGTCAGGCTCGTCCGACTTGACAATCCGGTTGTGGGATGCGGCAACGGGTGCTGCCATGGGCGATCCTCTCGAGGGACACACAGGCTGGGTCAATTCCGTCGCATTCTCACCAGACGGGTTGCGGATCGTGTCAGGCTCGGACGACTCGACAATCCGGTTGTGGGATGCGGCAACGGGTGCTGCCATGGGCGATCCTCTCAAGGGACACACAAGCTTGGTCACATCTGTCGCATTCTCACCAGACGGGTTGCGGATCGTGTCAGGCTCGTCCGACTTGACAATCCGGTTGTGGGATGCGGCAACGGGTGCTGCCATGGGCGATCCTCTCGAGGGACACACAGACCGGGTCAATTCTGTCGCATTCTCACCAGACGGGTTGCGGATCGTGTCAGGCTCGGACGACTTGACAATCCGGTTGTGGGATGTGGTAACGGGTGCTGCCATGGGCGATCCTCTCGAGGGACACACAAGCTGGGTCACATCTGTCGCATTCTCACCAGACGGGTTGCGGATTGCGTCAGGCTCGCTCGACAGGACAATCTGGTTGTGGGATGTGGTAACGGGTGCTGCCATGGGCGATCCTCTCGAGGGACACACAAGCTGGATCACATCTGTCGCATTCTCACCAGACGGGTTGCGGATCGCGTCAGGCTCGTTCGACAAGACAATCCGGTTGTGGGATGTGGCAACGGGTACTGCCATGGACGATCCTCTCGATGGACACACAGGCTGGGTCGATTCCATCGCTTTCTCGCCAGATGGGTTGCGGATCGTGTCAGGCTCGTTCGACAAGATAATTCGAGTGTGGGATGTGACTAGTATGATCGGTGAGATCGGCGGCTCACAGGTTACGCTGCGCTCAGACACCAATAGTCATAATACCCCCACAAGGCTTTTCGGTATGGACCCAGTAGACTTGGCATTGTCTGAGCATTGAACTATGTCTGACTGGAACATTTCACAGTTTCTCTTCTCATGTCACCTTGTTTGGAACATGCAATGCGTGTAGATGGTCTCGCTAGGTCTGCGACACCGGCTCCACGCGACTATCGTCAATCTGAAGATATGAACGATGACGGTTGGATAGTGGGTCCGGCATCAGAATTATTATTCTGGGTGCCACCTGCATACCGTGACAGGCTGTGGACCGGCGCAAGGCTCAAGATGGTCATAGGAAGGAAAGTTGTACAGCTCGATCTCAGTCAATTTGTCCATGGCACGTCTTGGCACGAGTGCTATCGCCCCTCGCAGCCGCAGTGATTCGGACCAGTACTTTCTTCTATGTTTGATATGTACTTTGTAGTCACGAGGCAGCCGTACATAGCGTATACCTCCACTAGATATTCCTGCGCATATTCATCCGACACGAACGATGGCCCATTTGCGAACACCGGGGTGCACTCGTTCTGTACGACCCTCACGTGTGCGCCATAGTACAGAGCGCGTGCGGTTGAAAGAGAGGGATATGCATCGAATGTGTGGTATGCTCACGCACCTGCCGGTTCTGTTGGGCGAGCGTCTGCAGGATGGACATGGCCGGGTGCACATACGTGCCTTGGGATGAGCGAGTCGCGGCATGTACGCGCTCACGTGAGGAGCTCGACGCTGTCGGAACCGCGAGCGACAACGCTCGGCGCAGGATGAGCGTCGTCGGATCGCCGAGCAATGCTGCACGCGCCCTGGCAATATCGCGTTAGCCCGGATGGGTTGTCTGGTCCCATCCACTCCGCGCTGTTCGCATACACGACGCAGAAGACAGTGTCGTCGTGCTGCGCGTCGTTCGACATGCGTCGTGGGCGTTGATGAGGTTTGCATGAAACCTGCATAGTAATCTCGCTCAAGCGCGCGCGTGCTGTGTCCCATACCTGTATACGCGTGTGCATCGTCATGCGCGTAGGCGGTCTATTACAAGACTTTTGAGAATAAGGACAAAAAAGACAGAGATCCACCACAGTCCCGGTTTGTACATTTGTGACTTATAGATCCGACACGTCGTACTCTGTTCCCGTCCACAAGCAAAAGCATCAGACCAGCCGGATCGTCATTTCGCACAGACGAGAAAGCGCACCTCATCGTGCCGCGGCACTGCAAGCCCGAGAAAACCAACCGAGTTCTCCTCCAATCCTATCATAAGCGCATCAGCATGTCCCTCTCTCTTACAACAGTCATCTCATGTCATATATGCGCATCTCGACACCACCAGAGTCCCCTCCCCTCGCGCCGTCCGCGCTCACTCGACCCGCTCCAGAAACCCGACCCCGCCCGCGCGCACCTTCACCACGAAGCCCTCGTACCAGCGCGCGATCAAGCCCAGCGGCACCGCGCTCTCGGGGCGCACCGGACCCCCCGCGCCCCCCGCCCCACCTCTAGTTCCGGCTCCGGCACCAGCGCTCGTGTCCATGTCCATCCCCGAGGCGGGGGACCCCGAGCTAGACACGAAGCCCGAGACGTAGTTCACGAGGTGCCGCGCGACGCGCTCCGCGAGGAGCGACGCGTCGGGGGGCACCGCTGCGCCTGCGGGCACTAGCGTCGAGGTCGTCGACGACGACGGGGCCGCGCCCGTTTTGGCGAGCGCGCCGGTTCGCGCGTAGATCTGGTCAAGGGGCTCGATGGAGAGGCCGAGGATGGCGGTCACGTCGTCGGACGCGCCGGCGGGCGGGGTGGAGGAGAGGAAGGCGTGTGGGTGGGCGGGCTGGGTGGACGAGGTGGGGGAGGTGAAGGTGCCACGGAGGCGGAAGATGGCGGAGGGCTTGTCGTTGGAGAGCCTGTGGGAGATGAAACGTGTAAGCGAACGCGAGGCGGGTGGGGGTGGGTGGGTGTATGTTGGAGAGAGCACGTACATTCCGAGCAGCTGGAAGCCGCGCCCGGGCCAGAAGAAATGCACGGTCGCACCGTAGCCTTCTGGGAACGGCACTGCGATGCCATCGTTGTCAACGATGAAAAGAAAAAGAAGCGGGTCAGCATCCGGTCCACGGCCCTGGATTCGTCAAGAGGAGAGAAGAAAAGAGGGCGAAGAAAGTAGAACGGGCGCGGAGAGAGAGTGGTATGGACGAGGGCGACGCACCTGTCCCGAGGAGAAAAACGCAGATGTGGTTGATGGAGCCCGCGGCGGGGAGCTCGAACGCAGCGTTGGTGTCGTCGATCTGCTGGAGGTTGGTCTGAAGGAGGCGGCCGGCGACGCAGCAGCCGAACATCGTGCTAGGGGCCTCGACGGCTACTTAGTATGTATGTACTTGGTTTGGATGTGGTTGGCGACGGCGTCGCAAGTGATTAAGTTCGGGTAAAGTCGCGATAGAGTAGTAGGTTGTGGATGGGTGAGGAGCTGTGAGGAGGTGAGTGGAAGGAGTGGAGGACGGAGGACATGACGGGCGGAGGCAATTTTGCTGGCGCGCACGTTCTCGGCTGGCGCTGAACTCGCTAGAACATTCCTCACCCACGCTCCGAGTGAAATCCTGTATGCTACCGCATTTGCATTCACGACTACGTTGCCGTGTAGTACATATGTGCAGCCCTCCAAATATACAGGATACTGCGGAACAAGACGTTGTTACCCGTCCGGGCGCACAGGCTGCTTTCCTCGCCTTTGGCGCGTCACCTGCCAACAAGCGTCGGAAAAATACAAGATATCTACCTGAGTCTCCTATTCCCTGGCGAGCGTGTCCAAGATTCTGCAGTCCGGCGTGCTCTCAAGGCTTTCCATCACGCATGTAGGGGAAGCAGGCCAACGAGCACCTGTGCACCAGGTCGAGCCCGCGGACGCGGCCCAGCTGCAGGATCTCGCCCTCGCCGTGCATCAGAATCAATGTCCTTGCGTACATATGGCCAGACGCGCTGATCTTTTCTCCGAGCCCAGGCCAGCAGAGCTCCCTGCCCGCAAAAGACGATGCGTGCACTCACGACGCGGCGCAGAGGACCTGCTCGCCCCGCTCACCAGCCTGTATGCTCGCTCTTGACCAGGGGACGACGTGCTCTGATCCAGGGATGGCGCTTACCGCCAGGACCGCGATCGCCGAGGTCCCCTGTGCTCGTGCTCCAAACTGGTCGAATGCAGCTACTTACTCGCGAGAAGGAGGAGGCCGGTCACGAAGCTGCGCCAGCCATCTCGCACCCCCATCGACATTGTAAGACCAAAACCAACCGAAAGACTTCGAAAACGGCCACAGCACGTCCGACGATGTCTCTGCGCAATATTTTATCGCGCGCGCGTACGCCGTCGTCGGCAGGCAGACAAACAGACAGGCATAATCAAGGTGCACGAGCGACGCACCCAGTCAGACGCAGACAGTGCGGGTCCCACCAGCGACGCAAAAACTCGCAGCAGCCGGAAGACTCACGCAAAGGAGCGGCCCATCAGTCGTTCGTCTTTGCAGACTGCTGCTGGGAGGGCTCGTGGATTGCGGACGTGCGGCGGGCGGTCGACGCGCGAGGCGGGTATATCGGCGGCGCGCACGAGTCGGGGGCGCTTGTTCCTAGGGGGCACTTTGGACTTTGGCTCGTTGCGTATTTTGAGGACGAATGAGGGGCTGGGAGCCCTGCGGGAGGACACAGAGCCCGTGGTGGGCTCGGGCATGTAGTCAAAACGCGGGTGACGGCGGCTGCGTGAGCGTTCGTCGCAAATCTACAAGGCTTCGATTGGGACGAGACCGGATTCGATGGCTGAAGTTGAGGAACGGGAAGCACGAGCGAGGACGCTACATAGCGATCTCGTCTTGGGGATTGGGAGTCAGTGATGTGTCGGACTAGTGTTGGACTGCTCTGCTTGGAACGTGGTCGGTGGCTGAATCGGACGCACTCGCGTTGCTCTCTTTCTTCTCAACGCCATGGCCCGCCGTCGTCGCCGTCGTCGTCGCTCAGGATGCTTTGCGAAGCAGGGTCAGGCGACGCGTCTGTAGGTCGGGGACGAGCTCGGCCGCTCCGAGGCCATCGTGATTCGACGCTGCTAGCGCGATATGGGCATGTGATAAGTCCGACGTCGTTCCCTCCTCTTCCGGTCTCTCAGCCTCTCCCCACACATCTCCCCACACATCTCCCCACACTTGCCCGTCCGTCCGTCCCTCCACCGCACACATCCCTGGCGATGACCACCCTGTGCTCCGAATCGTACGTGTTCGACGGGCGCCCCGCCTACCCGCTGCTGGTGCCCGCGAAGCGATACTGGCACCCGTCGCTGTCGCAGGAGGACGGGCTGACGCTGATCCTCGCGCACGGGACGGGCTTCCACAAGGAGCACTGGGAGCCCTTCCTCGACGACCTCTTCGGGCTGCTCGGCACCGCCGCGAGCATCGGCGGCCCGCGGCTGCGCGTGCGCGAGGCGTGGGCGATCGACGCGCCGAACCACGGCGCGGGCGCGCTGCTCAACGAGGCGGTGCTGCGCTTCGGCTACGAGCCCGTCTGTGAGTCCCGCCCCCCGCCGTCTCTCCGTCCCTCACGCGCGGTCCGCGGACCAATGATGTGCGGCGGTGGGCTGACAGCCCGCGTCCGCTTCACAGTCGCGTGGGACGAGTACGCGCTCGCGATCCACCGCTTCCTCGCCGGCCACGGCTCCGGCATCCCCGTCGACTTTGCGCGCCGCCGCCTCGTCGCCGTCGGTCACTCCTTCGGCGCCATCGCCCTGTCTGTCCCTCTCCCGCTGCCCCGGCTGACCCCGGCTGACCTCGCCCAGCGTCCTCACCCGCACGTACACCCCCGCCCCGCGTTTTGAGGCCGCCGTCCTCGTCGAGCCCATGCTCATCACGGAGGCCACCGCCGCCGACGCCACCTTTGCGGGCAACTTCCTCGAGCAGAACGCAGCCAAGCGGAGGGACGTCTGGCCCAGCCGCGAGGCCGCGCGCGAGCTCTTCGCCGCGCGCTCGTTCAAGGACTGGGATCCGCGCGTGCTGGATCTGCACGTGGTGAGTTCCCCCGTTCGTGCGAGAACGTGAATGCGCGCGCGAGAGTGCTCATGGATATGCGTGGCGGGTGTAGAAACACGGCCTGCGCGACCTCCCAACGCTGACCTACCCAGACAAGCAGGGTGTCACCCTCACGTGCACAAAAATACAGGAAGCTGTGCGTGCCCCCCGCCCCTCTGAACACCCTCACGCTGACCTTCCGCCCCCGACGTGCTGACATCCTGCGCGCCGTCCGCACCGCAGGCTACCTACCGCGACAGCCACGGGCGCTTCGCCGCCCTGCGCTACCTCGCCACATTCTGCGCTGACGTGCCCACGCACGCCGTCTTTGGCGCCATCGCAGACTACGTGTGCGTCTCACCTTCATCTCCTCTTTTCTCTCGCGCGCGCGCCATCCGCGCCGTGTAGCGTCGACGCAGACTCACTCCATGATCGTTTCCTCGACAGGCCCATGTCGAACCGCACGGCGCTCATCGCCGACGCCGCGCAGGGCCGCTTCAAGTCCGTCACCGCCATCGAGGGCGGCGGCCACCTCGTGAGTGTCCTCCCCCTCCCCTCACTCCTTTTTGTCCTTGCTCTCCCCCCTTCCGTGCTCTCGCGTGTCGCGCCTGTCGTGCGGCACCGCGCCGGGTTCGGTTCGGGCCCGTGGGGGCAGGGCGAGCGCCCTCGGCCGTCGATCTTCGTGCCTCGCTCTTCTGTTGCTGATCCGCGCCTTCCGCCACGCCCCCGTTCTCCGTTCCCTCGCCCCATCCTCCGCTGTGCGCCGTCCGCAGGTGCCGCAGGTGAACCCCGCAGGCGTCGCGGAGCACGTATGGGCCGCGCTCGTCCACCCCGCGTCGCAACCGCCCGGGGACGCCGGCGAGGGCGCGAAGAGCAAGCTGTAGGTTGCGCGCGCGGGCGCGACTGCGGGTCCGGGTGCGAGAAGCGAGGAGCGAGCTTGGATCGACCTGTTTGTTTTCAGAGTGTGTATGTGTATATATGTGTAATGTATGTATGTACGTTGAAGGCACTGCGCGCGATGCGAGGCATGCGCATTAGAGTCATTGCGACAGAGCGAGAGCAGCATCGTATCCTACATGTGTTGTGTATATATATATATATCGATCGTACACCACGCACCGTCCTCCCCGCTCACAACCTCGCCTCGCCCCCCGCCCTCCCGCCCTCCTTCTCCTTCTCCTCCTCGCGCCGCTTCCGCGCGGTCAGCGCTCGCCCGACGAGGCTCGCGTTCTCCCGCCCGAGCACCTCCGAGATCCAGCACCCGGTCTCGACGAGCCGCGCGAGGTCGCCCGCGGCGGTGTACCGCGAGCCGCGCAGCGCATAGAGCACGTCCTCGGTCGCGACGTTGCCCGTCGCGCCAGGGGAGTACGGGCACCCGCCGAGCCCGCCGACGGAGGCGTCGAGCGTGCGCAGGCCGAGGGAGAGCGCCGCGAGCGCGTTGGCGACGCCCATGCCGAAGGTGTCGTGGAACTAGGGCGCCGGTGGCGGCGAGGTGAGAGGACGACACGCAGGAGGGAGACAGACTCACGTGGCCCTGCGGAAGAACGCGCGAGTCGGTCGCGTCAACGGTCAACGCGGGAAGAGCGAGGAAACGGCGCGCGCGCTCACGGCAAGCTTGGACACCGGACACCGGGCGAGGACCGTCTCGAGCATGTGCGAGACGGTCGCGGGCGTGCCCTCCCCCGTCGTGTCCCCGAGACTGACCTCGTAGCACCCCATCTCAAGCAGCTCCCGCGCAACATCGCGCACCCGCTCCGCGTCGACCGCACCGCTGTACGGGCACGCGACCGCGACGCTCACATACCCGCGCACACGCGCGCCCGCATCGAGCGCGGCGCGCGCGACGGGCGCGAGGCGTGCGAGGGACGCGGCGACGGTCGCGTTTGTGTTCGCGAGCGAGAAGGCGTCCGTCGCGGCGGTGAAGATGGAGACCTCGGTCAGGCGCGCGGGGGTGCTGGATCCGGAGCTGGAGGGGAGGAAGGGGAGGGCGGCGGCGAGCCCGTGGGCGTTGGGTACGAGGGCTTGGTAGGTGACGCCCGGGTGGAGGTCCATCTGGCGCACGACGTCCGCCGTGCCTGCCATCTGCCGCGCGGAGGGGACGCGGGCGCGAGCGTCAGCGGCGATCTGGTGCAGCACGAGCAGAGTGGTGCACGGTTGAGTGGGGGTGGTGTGCCGTACATTCACGCACCTGCGGGACCCACTTGGGGCTGACGAAGCTGCCGACCTCGATGGTGCGCATGCCGGCGCGCGCGAGCCTGTTGATCAGCTCGACCTTTGTCGCGGGCGGGATGACCGCCTTTTCGTTCTGCAGCCCATCGCGCGGGCCGACCTCTACGATCTTGACGAAGTCGCTGCTTCTGGGGTTGGCGGGGGTGTTGTCCGCTGCGTACGAGGCGAGGCGAGATCCGTGCCGGCGCAGTGGGCCGCGGTGGTGCGCGACGAGTTGGATGGGGCGTGCGGTGCTAGGCCGGAGTGGTATCATCGTGAATGCGGTTGCGATGATGCGACGCTTGAGGGATGTTTGGATGGGTCGTTGGAGGTGCTGGACGAGCTGCCAAGGTCGGCGCGGTGCCCACAGCGCGTCACGGTCATGTGCTGACGGGCCTCGGCTTTCGTCGGCCGCGCGTGACTTTTCTCCCTCTCGGCGCTCAGCCTCGCAAGTCAGACTACTCGTACTGTATGTACCAAGTCTGCATACGCCCAAAACAGAACTTGCGCAGCGATACCGCTCATAGAGCGCGACAGATTTTGTGATTAATCATTAGAGATCCAAGTGAGAAGACATTTTCTGCTGCAGACCGCTGCAACCTCTCTTCCACTGCGCAGGGGCATGCTGACTTGGTCAATCTGAAGGTCGGCTGCGTCGCTTTCGGTCAACCCTTGCAACATCCTTGACAAACTCTTCTCGACATTTCTGCCATATATTGAAGAGTAAAATTGAAACGCTTTTCAATATGTTTGCCAACAGTGTCCGCAAAGCCAATCATGGAGTGGTTTGAAAGCCGGGCGTCAGTGCCATCCACCAAGTAGTGACAGGAAGTCTGCACGTTCGAAGCCGAGAGTACTAGGAAGGAATAGAGTATAGTACATACAGCGAGCCTCGAGTCCATTCCTCATTTTGAAGCCGACCATTGAAAAAGCTGTGCACTCTCTTGTATCGCTGTGTGAGACATACTGCAGACAGCACACGGTAAGTCTAGAGGTGCTCACCAGTAGATCCAGAGCCGGCTTGCAATCTTGCAAGGTTGTACGCTGAACTTGGATGACCTGCAAGTAGCTACGTCAGACATTCACCGTTTCGGTGTACACATCCGGAAACATCTCGTCGTGGCATAATCAACAGGCATCTTATATTGTATTGTCTGTCCAAAATATATCCTGCGCCGCCACCGCCCGCTGCAGCCCTTGCAAAGTACTGTCAGCAGCTTCAAACGGAGCGCGTCATTGTATGTTGTAGGACGAACGACCGAAGAAACAGATCAACGCACCTGGTTTAACCACTTGATCCATCTGACAATGTGAACGAACCCGTTCCACTTGAGGAGTGAGGTGGTGGATGACAATAAGTTTAGGTGAACGTCAATCATGAACACTTGAGTTTTATGGCCAGCCACAACAACAGGCTGAGAGTGACGCATGTATAGGGAGAGCTGCTTGATTAGCACATACTAATAATCGAGCGCGTGCAGTGTCCTGGGCAATCTATAAGCACACCAGGTTTCACCAATCCACGGCAGCTTGCGCAATAAGATTCGCCATCACCATTTTTTGAAAGAGGATCGCCGTACGATTTCGAAGGAAACCCTAGCCCTATCAGGGCTGCCCGCCGCAAGCACGGAGCTATGGATCTTGAAAGCTCCGTGTGTCGTCGTGATAACACATGATTCCATCTTAGGGCAAAGCAGATGTAAGATGCCGTATCCCCAGTGGCAGTCGCAAATCTAGGAAAATGAACGCTTGATCGCCACCGGATATCAGAATGAGGCAGAGGAGCGATCGGTGTACCGGAAACAGTAGAGATTAGGTCGGTGAAGCATTTATGTTCGAACAGTCGCGTCTGGTCCAAGCTACAGGATAATGAGCAGACAGAGGCTCAGGCCTACGACACCAAAGGACATTGAGTTTACTTGTCCAATCGCACCGCCGTGGATTGCATGACTTAGTAACACAAGAAAAAGAAATGATTCTCTCTGTCATGGCTGGAGGTTTGAAGGGTTTCATGAGCTCGGCAGGAGGAGGCGGCGAATTCACAAATCCACTGCCTTCCCAATTCCTGTCGACTCTTTGAACAACCTCCAAACACCATCATTCTAAGAAAATCACTGCCTTACATCTACGAAGGATATTGTCATGCACAATGTGCATGACCCAGGTCCGGCTCTACTCAACGGAGCGCACACAACTGACGAGGGCGCAGCCATAAACCCAGACAACCTCACGACAGGAGCTGCCGACTACGAGGAAACATTCCGCGTTGCCGGCCTGCCTGTCGATGTACGGCTGGTGGGTCAAGAGCTGTTTCCGCCGCAGTCCTCGTACGTTCTGCCGCCGATCCTGTGCCACGACCAGACACCGTATGTCACCACCAAGTGGAATCGTCAAGCAAGCTGTTTGAGACGAGGATACTTGGCATGAATCGCCGTGCTGACCAGGCATTGCCCACGTCGAGGAGATAAAAAGGCGAACCGTGCGGGACAGAGTTCAGCGTTAAGTTCACATAAGATCAGCTTGTGAAGATGGGCATCGAGAGGGGAGGGCGAGATCGAGGCGACACAGAATTGACGGACAAGGTAGGTGAGCTGATTCCTTCATTCAATCCCTGTTCCCGTGCAATCCTCTCATCGTATTGCACGCATTAGTTATCGATCACAGATGCACCTGCTTGGAGCAAATCGTCGTACACGTTTCAACCTTCCAGCTCATCCGTATGCTTGAACCACAGACGCTACGTGCCGCTTTGTCTTTCTTTTGCGAGGGCATAAACGGCTTGAGGAGCAGAAATGGAATGAACATTAGTAGGATGTGGATTCTTACTCTTGAGCATCCTGTGTAGGATTCCGAGCATGAGGTGTCTTGATCTGCTGCGACAGATTGGAGGACGTATAGGTTCGAGGGATTCGCGGATCTTTTGTAAGGTGAGGTCTAGGTGCGAAGGGCTGAGCCATGCCTCGACGATACATCCCAAGGGCTTTAGGAAGGAAAGAGAGCAAGACGGTAGAACACGATGTGAAGGAAGATAGCGAGAGAGAGGACTGAGAGAGGCTGGGAAAAAGATATTTTCAAATTGGAGACTGGCCCTGTTCAAGCCGCGGCACAACGGCCTCGAGCAGTCCTTGAGCCTAATAATTATCATGAAATCCACGGATTCCGTGTTCCTACAGATCGACTCAAGACCGTCAAAAGGCATTGGCATGGTACAAGCGCGGACGATGAGTCCATTGTCGAGCCCATCTGTCTCGGAGATACCCCGCTTTCACTCTCGGCGCAGATCATTGATGCTTCCCACAAGCAGGACCACTTTCCGACATAAGTAGCAATCGTGAACGCCGCACATGCCATCTTCTCCCTCGACTTACCTTCACGATGGATCTCAGTATCAGCTCGATATTGGTTGCCGTCCTCACGCTTTGTGTTGCCGTCGTCGTGCACTATGGCCTCAAGCTCGTTCGCGGTGTGGTGCATCCGTATTTCTCCCCTCTCCGGGACGTCCGAGGTCCAAAGGCAAAGAGCTTCTTCATGGGGAATATAAAGGATATATTTGACGCAGAGGATGGCCATGTGCATGAGCAGTGGAGAAAGGAGTACGGCGACGTGTTCAAGTACAAGGGAATATTCAACGTGCGGAGGATGCCTTTGATTCATCTCGCGTGCAGACTGAAATATGCATGGGTCACTGGGGCATACAGGTCGATAGGCTTGTGATGATCGATTGCAAGGCTGCGGGACATATCCTGTCGCATTCTCAAATATATGAGAAGCCCGAGCAAATTCGGTATTCTCTGGGTCAGGTATTGGGCCCGGGTGAGTTGTATTAACATTCCAATTGTTCATCAGCATTGATTTTTGGGTTAGGTCTATTGTTCGTGGAAGGTACGACCTAGCGCTGTCGCCCGCTCTCCATCTCATACTACCCCACACCCAGGCGAGACTCATAAACGTCAGGTCAGTTTGTCTTAGTACGTCTCACAAATAATGCTCCTCATTCACGGCTACATGTAGCGGAGAATCATGGCAAGCGACGACCTTTTTCGCGTTCATTCTGCTGCAATCTGATGCATAGCAGAGTCCAGCGTTCGGGCCCCCTCACCTCCGCGAACTGACGGAGGTACTTCTCGAGAAATCTTCACAGGCAAGTCATTTCTCTTAGATTTCGGTGGACAACTGGCGACGACGGCCATCTCCCATTAGTTACAGGATATCTGGACCGCAGAGATTATGAAAGCACACGACGACGACGGTAAGGAGGGCAAGGCGAAAGTCGATGTGAACGCCTGGTTGAACAAGGTCACGCTGGATATCATCGGTCTTGCGGGTGCGTGTGCCATTCGTGGGCGTGGTTTAACCACTCACACATGTACATAGGATTCAACTATGCATTCCACGCCCTGAACCCCGAAGACACGCCGAATGAACTACACACGTCGATCCGGAAGATGCTGCAAAACCCACAGGGTTTCCGCTCTCCGCTACCGATTCTGAAGGCCCTATTCCCGCCTTTGCGCCTCATCGTGGGTATTCTCTTCGCGGTGTCTTCGGATCTCCTCGCCCTGATGATGATGAGACCTCGTTGCAGCCCTCCGAACGTGATCGCACCGTGAGAGCAGCGAGGCAGACCATGGAGCGCGTGGGACAACAGCTGTTAGCAGAGAAAAAGGCGGCCGTGCTTGCGCCGCTCCGAGAAGCTGGCGTGGACACGGGTGCGGAGAAAGGAGCGACATCGGCAGCAGTAGAGAAGAAGAACATACAGGGCAGGGACTTGATGAGTTTGCTCGTTAAGGCTAATATGGCGACAGACCTACCAGAGGGGTATCGGATGGATGATGAGGAAGTCTTGGCCCGTAAGCTCTAGAGCGCACGGATTCAATGAAAGGTAGACTGACCATATATCCCTTGTAGAGGTTCCAACTTTCCTCGTCGCGGGACATGAGACCACAAGGTTTGTTTGCCCTTACATCTATGAGCGCTCGAAGCCGTCCCTTATACGTTCACGACGCCTCTATAGTACGGCCGTCACATGGATCCTGTTTTTTCTCAGCACGAACCCCGGCGTACAAGCCAAACTACGTAGAGAACTTGTCTCGGTGTCGACGGCACTACCTGGGATGGACGAACTCCAGGTATTACCCTATCTCGATGCAGTGGTTCGGGAAACCCTCAGAGTGTATTCACCGGTGCCGAGTGTCATACGGGTAGCGAGTCGGGACGATGTCATCCCGATGGATAGGACATGGGTAGATCGACGAGGGGCAAAAAGAAGTGAGATGCGGTGAGTCTGCCTGTTCAATGTCTTTGAAGGAGGTCTTCTGATGCAGTGCGCCCGGTATGTCAGGGTGAGCAAAGGCGATATGGTGGACGTGCCGATACTCGCGATCAATCGTTCAGAAGAGATCTGGGGCAAAGATGCGCATGAATTCAGGCCTGAGCGCTGGGATAGTCCGCCAGAAGCCGCCAACGCTATCCCTGGTATCTGGGGAAGCAACCTTGCGTTCTCTGGAGGCAGCAGGGCTTGCATCGGCTACCGCTTTTCTGTCATCGAGTGCGCAGCTGTTTTATTATGATCATCTTGCACACACCTAATCAGAAACCGGGCGATCCTTTTCATTTCGCGTTCGCGCAGAATGAAAGCCCTCGTGTTTGTCCTCGTTCGCGCTTTCCAGTTCGAGATGGCGGTGCCTGTCGAGGACGTGAAAGTCAAAGCCGCGGCTATACGTAGACCGTTCTTGGCAAGCGAGCGAGAAAAAGGGTCCCAGTTGCCTTTGTGGATTTCGGCGATCAAAGAGTGAATGCGGAGAATGCGGGGTACGGTGCCAATCTGGTTGCAAGTCATTGCTCGCCAATTTATTTATTTTTCGCTTGGCTTGGTGTTTGTACTGTTCGGAGATATAGGGTGCCAATAGGCCCTTTTTGTTGCAGGAATCGTACTCATACAGTATGTGTGACCTCGAACCGGGTCCAGATGACGCGGGCGGACGGCACGCGCGACCGAGATGACCGGTGGACGCATTACGCCCATTCCATCTGTTCCTTTATCTAGCAGCATGTCCTCTCCTCGTCTTCCTCCGTGTTCCCTCGTCGCCTTGGTCCCACCATGGTTACTGCCAGCACCCTGCTTAAACTCGGGCTTGCGTTCAGCACCGTGGTAATCGTGCACTACGCCGCTAAGCTCTTGCACCGCGTCTTTCATTCCTATTTCTCTCCTCTACGCGATTTGAAGGGGCCAAAGTCGACGAGCTTGTTTTATGGGAACCTCAAAGAGATATTCACGGCAGAGGCGATGGATCTGCATGAGCGTTGGAGAGAAGAATATGGGCCTGTGTACAAGTACAAGGGATTCTTTAACGTGCGTCGGCCTCCGCTCTCATTAATCTTGTTTTCACGTACACCTCGATGCAGAGCGACCGTCTCGTAATGATGGACAACAAAGCTACGAGCCATATCCTGTCTCATCCCCAGATTTATGAGAAACCAGAGCAAGTTCGATATAATTTGGGTCAGATTTTAGGTCAAGGTTTGTCTAGTTCACGCTTGAGGTCTCCCACCGTATGTGTTTCGCATTGCGCGATATTGTGCTTTACGATTGCCGCAGCCTATTGTTTCAGCGTCACGTCTTTGTGTAGAGTCATGTGGGCCTCAAGAAGCTCCATACACTTCGTAAAGGCGGAATAGAGACTTGAATAGTTAGGTTTTCATTTTGGATTGAAAGGAATTAAGCACTCGATTCTGCACTTGCAGTTATCAAGCCACTCATTCTCCAGACATCGATTTCCTGTTGTTTCCTTGGCTTACTAACTTGCCTTACCCTTGCTTTCAGGACTGTTGTTCGTAGAAGGTAGTGCATCATTCGCCGTGAGGGGGCATTTTCTGACGTGGTCTGATTGCAGGTGAAAAACATAGGCAACAGGTAAAACATGTTCCTCATTCTGTGTAGGAACTTCTATCGCTAACAATCTATGTGACACGATGACACAGCGCAGAATCATGGTACATTTCGTATAGTAACTTCCCAGAACTAGCTGATTGAATGATGTGAATCGCAGAGTCCCGCGTTTGGGTCACCTCAGATCCGTGAGCTCACAAGTATCTTTCTTGAGAAGTCTATTCAGGTGAGAAATGCGCTCATTGTCACTTTGGACCATTTACATTGTCGGTTCATCTTCGATCGTCTCTGGCAGCTGCGCGACCTCTGGTCTGCCGAAATCCACAAGGCTTCTACCGTGAACGGCAATGAAAGCGGGGAGAGGGTCATCATCGATGTATGCGACTGGCTGAGCAAGATGACATTAGATGTGATCGGACTTGCAGGTCAAATTGTCTTTCTAATGAACCACTCTGGATCCGTCGAACTAACATGACAGTGGGTGAGTATAGGCTTCAACTACAGCTTCAACGCGCTCAACTCACACGGTAAGCCAAACGAGCTCAATGAGGCCGTTCGGACGATGTTCCATAGCCCTGGCGGTTTCGGTGCGGTGCTGCCTGTGTTGCAGGCAGTCTTCCCTCCCTTGAGAATTTTTGTGAATAGTTTCTCGAGCGTCACACTGTGATCACAATTAATCAACTTGCGTCGTTGTTTGACAGCCCTCAGAACGGGGTCGCATTGTCGCAGCAGCACAGAATACCATGTTTCGCATTGGGAGCCAGCTCCTCGCAGAGCGCAAAGCGTTTGTCTTTGCCGCCGCCAACGGACGAGCAGGAGGAAACGCCGGAGTAGAAAAGAAGAGCGTACAAGGGAGGGACTTGCTGAGCCTGCTCGTCAAGGCGAACATGGCGACCGACTTGCCAGCTGAGGCACGCTTGGACGATGCAGACGTGCTGGCGCGTGAGTGGTCCGCGTCTTGTTCATTCAAGGGGCTAGACGATTGACAACGAACTGCAGAGGTACCCACGTTTCTTGTCGCTGGCCACGAAACAACTAGGTCAGTGAGAACCCTGTGTAGCCGCTTCGCTTTATTCTGACACACGCGACCCTACTTCGACGATTTAGCACTGCTGTGACATGGGCCCTATTTGCCCTTTCGACACATCCTGAAGCTCAAGCAAAACTTCGCGCTGAGCTGTTATCCGTGCCGTCCGAGCCCATGCCAACAATGGAAGAACTCGACCGCCTACCTTACCTTGATGCCGTGGTGCGGGAGACGATGCGCTCCTTCTCCCCTGTGCCGAGCACGGTACGGGTGGCGAACCAAGACGATATCATACCGACAGAGGCGCAGTGGGAAGATAAAAAGGGCGTCTGGCGGCGGGAAGTGAGGTAAGCCTAGGGCAGTCTCACTCGCACCGATTCACCCCGCTTGATGTCCCTCTGTGACGCTGAACTGAATATCGTTCTTGTTTGATCTAGAGTGACCAAGGGTGACTCGATATTCGTTCCTATCCTCGCTACGAACCGATCTAAAGAGTTGTGGGGTGAAGACGCACGCGAATTCAAGTGAGATACCCTCCAACGTTTGCTCCCACTCAAAGAGACTAAGAAACCTTCAGGCCTGAGCGCTGGGACAACCCGCCAGAGGCTATTCAGTCTATACCCGGAATCTGGGGAAACAGCCTAGCATTTTCAGGGGGCAGCCGAGCCTGCATAGGATACCGCTTCTCGGTGATCGAGTGCGTCGCCTCCTTCCACCCGCTCGCGATACCCAACCCTACTAAACGGTCCGAAATTTTAAGGATGAAAGCAATGATCTTCGTCTTGATTCGTGCTTTCCAGTTCGACATGTCTGTCCCTCTCGAAGACATCAAGTCCAAATCAGCCGTTGTTCGTCGCCCTTATCTAGCGAGTGACCCGGAGAAGGGTTCTCAAATGCCGTTGTGGATTTCTCCAGTCAGAACAGTCTGAAGTTCAATATGGATATCTTTGATACGAACTTCCTCCAAAATACAAAAATGGTATTATATCCTATCATGACAATGAAGCAAACAAGGTGACCGTCCAATGTCGTCTATGTACGAACTTCTAGGGCCGTCAAAATCTGCGTAAGAGGCAACATATATGACTCGCAGATGGATGAAAAGTAGAACTCGTGCTCAGAGTTATGCTGTTGTACGAGATTATGCGCAATCTCGTGTGCAAGTGTAAAGTACCTGACAACGGTTGAGGCAGGTTAAGAAAAAGTCTATGTCGTCAAATAACCACATACCAAGATATATATGCTTTCGTCAGGTCACCTCGTTGCACTTCATTGTCGTCTGGATAACGTTCTCAACGGTCAATGATATTGTTCACGGCCGATGAGACACTCACGCCACGCTTCGTAGTATCTCAGATTGACGAAAAGACTACCGTTGCGATTGAATGCGATCAATTGTCCAGAAACGTCGCAAAATATATGCAGACTTGACAACGGTAGTTTATACACTGCACGGAGTTGGTCGAGAATAGGAGTGAATCTCGTGAGAGAGTCGTGACGCCGGTCGACAAGACTCTCTCGGTTGGCAATATCTAGGAATATTTGCATGAGGGATCGTAAGAGAGGTGCAAGAATGTCGTCTTACCGTGCGATGCATAGATTTTGAATCCCCCTGAAACACCTGTATTGGTTCATCAGGACCTGAGCAAATATCTTCCGATTGAACGACGTACCGACGAGGTCCAAATCCCCTGCTCGCCCAGAAACATCACAGTATCCTTCGTCCAGGGACTCCCTGACCATTTGCATATGTTCTCGGTTTCGGAGAAAACTACTTGTCTCCTCCTGACATGCTCTAATGGCCATATTTATGTTCGATGCTTTTAAAGAAAATTAATAGCGATAGGCGAAGCAATAGAAAATAACCCACCGATGTTGCTCAAAGGGGTGACATGAGCTTGAGGAGCGGGGGTTGGTGTTCGAGACTTCTGCAGCAAACTTAACTCAGACCCGGGCTTCCCTGGTAGATCAGCGCCTAAAGAGGAAGAAGGTCGAGGACGTGGTTCTTCAATGGGTATAGGCGTAGGGGGCAAAGGTTGGTCGCTCTTCTTCACGAGTCGGCGTTTGAAGGCATCTAGAGACTTCATCATTTGTGATCCTGGACCTTTACTGAGGTCCCCCTCGTTTCCTGCTGAGGGTGGTATAGGGTGAAGATTCTCAGGCGGTATTGACTTTGAAGCGTGTGGAAGAGGAGGCGATTGAAGGGCCGACGCCGGCGCAGGCTTCGTAGATGTCGTATTTGACGGGATGAGTTGGGAATTCACATTAAACTCAGTCTTTTCCATTGTTTCACGAGCGACCTGGGCGGCCTTCGCTTCTGCTTCCCGCCTTTCTTGGGCAGCCTTTTCAGCTGCTTCTCGTTCAGCTTTTTGCTGCCGTAAAATTCTGTCGACTGTCCTCCAGCTCAGTAAAAGACATACAACAGCATGCACAATACACCGACCATTGTATCCCCTTGCCTTAAGGGCCTTCAACGGCGTGTCCAGAATAGTCATAAGAAGTAACGCGTCGTGCGGCTTGGGTGACTCGAAAAGAAAACGGCACAGAGATGTGGACACCCTGTGTAATATATGTGAATGTGATAACGCTGCAGTCTTATGTGATATACTCACTCGTACATATCAACCTGCGTGTGACCCGCGAGCCAAAGTTGAATGGGACCGCCACCTTCCCGTACGGCAACAGCAGACGCGTCCTGAGTTCTTGCCAGGTGAGTTCCATCGTAGATAAGAGCCTTGGTAACTCGAAGCTTGCCAAAAGTTTTCACTATGAAGTTATTCCCTGTTCTAAACCAGTTGAATGAGACGCGTGTCCTGGCATGGGTGTGCTCATGAAGAAATAGCGGAAGCCGTTCCAAGATCAATTGTTTTGTTTTTGATGCTTCCTTCGAAGATGGAATTTCTCCAGATTTCTCGTATTTTTCCTGGATCAATGCACTTAATCTGCGTGAGCCCAAAGAAGCGTAGAATTCTAAATCACTGATAAGCCTTCGAATTCAGGCCGTGTCACAAATGCATACCTTCCAATAAGTCTTCTTGTGGAGCGCAAAACATAGAATCACCGAATAGCTGATATCCTGTCATATCGTCCGCGATAAGAACTCGGCCAGGAATCATCAACTGATCTTGAGGCTCCCAATCGTCTTCGTCCACATCGAGATCAGTTTGATCTTTCTGTGGGGCCTTCGCCTTCTTGACACGTCGGATCCCTAATAACACGGGTGCTCTTTTCATGAGGGCGATGATATTTGATGAGAGTAACCTCCTATTGACGGCGATGTTCCGTAATTCTAACAGATAGCTGATTCAGGAAGAATCCAAGTCAGAAAATTTTCGCAGGCACTTCCATTGCAACGTACTTCTCCGACCCTTGGGCCAATTTATAAAATTCTTGCGGGTCTCGAAGTAAGATCCGGACAATTTCTTCCACCGATGGTTCACGCTTGGTCCCGCAAGCACTTAGAAACGTATTGGCTCGCGAGCCAAAATCCACGAAGACAAACAGCTTTGAATGAAAATCTGCTCCCGAGGAACCAGTGAAGTAGCATTGGTTAGGACAAAGGCGGCGAGCCTGGTTCTGTGGAGGTGTCCCCTTGACTGGGATAAATGGCAGTGCGGCCAATTTCCTCAATTCATCCGACGAAAACTCTGTGCAGACAAGTCAGGGTACGTGCTGTAGCTGCTTATATGTAGTAAGCTTACCAGGGATGTGAGTTGCCAGAATCTCAAACCAGTTCCGTGCCTCATTCTCGTCCTTAGGTGGAGTGCGTTCAAGAAGAGATACTAGCTTGAATGTTGGTGGGTCGTTGGGGATCTTCAACTTCGTCGAGGAATCCCCGCGTAAATCGGAATGGACAACCGTGAAGCCTAAACTCATCCAGTCAGGATTAGAAAAAACCTGCCCGTTCATGTTTAGTGCAGCATCTGAATATATCGATTTTTGGCTTACCTCAGATGGCTTTGCCATGCACAGTTGAGCTGCCTTGATTGCGGGTATGAATGCACGATCGCCATAATCATGGGGGCTGTACTCGGCGGCGTATTTCAAGACGAAGTTGTCCAGAAGGTATCTCAGAGCTTTCGGTCGTAACGCCGGTTCAACGCCAGCCGCAATGTCGATGAGAACACGAAGGGGTGGGGAGCGTTTGAGACCAAGATTATGCAAGAATTTGGCTACGTAGACAGTGTCAGAGGACCTCGAGAAGACGCGATTTCAATGGGACGAACCCTCCTCGGATGATTGCCTCCACTTATTTTCAATTCCCCAGTCAATGACAGGCAGCTTCAGTTCACGGAATACGTCCAGAGGTTCATATAAATCGCTCGCTTTGTGCCGAGGAACCTTCATGACCCCATTCTTTGTCGCGATTGGTTTCTCATCCTCTCTTGTGAAAGCGGCGGTGTGCTGCAGCCGTTCTATCTCCAATTGCGTCAGAGTACTCTGCACGGACACCAGATACTTGACCAGGTCAATGATCGTCCAGTCGCCAGTTTTGATCATCCTGTGGAAGGCGTTATTTCATCAACGAAAATCTAGGAGCAGCACTTCTGACCTGTCAAAAACAATTTGCAGCTCGACATGCTTGCGCACTCCGAGCGCTTGTAGAAACTTTTCCACAGGGCCTTTGACAGGCGCGCCAGATGGCAGAGTGACGATAGGCAGATCGCGGAAGAGATTGACGCTCGAGAAGTATGCGTGCTCGGGCAGTTTCAGTCCAGCGGATGTGGGTACGAACGATTTAGTTCTCAACATTGCGATGACATCTTCTTGCGCTGCCTTGGGTAAGGTTGGCCAAGCACGAGCGAGTACCATCAAGACGCGTTCAGACCATGGCGCCGATTGTGTCGCGTCGTATTCAACGGCGGATGCGGCGACAGAGGGGCTCATGACATGAGATAGCCAGTCAATGATTGTCAATTGCTTCCACGGAAAAACGAGTGATAAAACTTCCGGATCAAAAGACCTGCTGATATTGATGGGCAATAAGTTTCCGGGCAGCGGTCCATCGGTAGGGATATAAGAGCCCATGTGCCTCGTATTCAAAAACGTCTGTACTGTTGACAATGGAATGATCTTCTCGTCCTTAGTTCCCGGAGTGCCTATTGTGACCACAGCAGCCTCGAGTAGCTGTGTTCGTATCTGCAGGAGGTTCGTGTTGTGGCTTTGCTTTTGCATCCCAATCCACCATTTGAGACAGGCAATCATTTCGGGTTCAGAAAGTGGCCGATGTCGGAGTTCTTCAAGTACGTCGATAAAGGAGATCTCCTTGATCATGCCTCGTCGCTGAAGAGATTCAATCATCGGCCTGGCCCCGATAGATATGTCGTCCGGAATGATGGGGAGCTTCTTCAAGAAGCCCTGAAATGAAGCATCAGGAACTCGAATGTCAGCCGCATTGCGTATGCCTTCTGAGGACATGATGGGGAACGAGCGGTTGGTTGCACAAGTGAAGAAACTGCCTTCCAAAGAGCTGGAGACAATTGGCGACGGCGTGGAAGAATGAAAGGTGAAGAATTTCAATGCATGCAATGCCCTGGCATGCAGCCTATCTCGATATGTTTGGTCGGGGTGAGAGCCCGGGTCACCAGAAGCGATTGCACTGTCCCATAATTTCTTGATGTCGAGAAGCTCTACCTCGTATGCCGATCGCGCCAGGAATCCTCCGACGTGGAGGAGCTCCTTATTCCAAACTATTTCCTAAATTAGAACGGCAGCCTCAATATGAGATTGCACTACTTACTTGCCACGTTACGATCTCTGTTTGTGGCGAGAGTCAGCAACTGAGGATCTGTGCGGCAAGGCTAGGTCACCTACACGAGATCTATGGATTCACGTTCGACTGTGGGAATGAAACGCGCAGCCATATGACCTCCTATTCCCGTGGTTTGGCCTGTTGAGTGACCCTTTCAAACAAGTGAATCATATAGTTCCAAACGAATGGAAAGCAATCCGCACGCACAATAAAAATACGAGCCGACCCTAATCTATATGTGAAAACATACTTAGATTAGCAGACAACCGACCATTGAATGATTGACGAACCCATCTAAATCTGCCCGAAGGCCTTGAAAGACACTACCGGCAGAAAACTTCAACTTCTGCTCTTCTCGAACGCTGTCATCGTATTCGGTTTTGCCAGTCTGTGTTCGGATGAGAAAGTAAGAACATGTTTACCTGGGGGGGAACACGACACAACTGACGTAGATCAACTCGTACCGCATCTTGCTCGGCATCTGCTTCTTTGTTGATCTGAAAAGCTCAGCGCCCAACTTCTTGTCTAGCTTGACTTCGATGTTTGCAGAGAATATGGACAATATGACACCTGATTTGGTTATTTCAAGTAGGTTGACAGGGTCTGGGAGAGGTATTGGATTGGGTGTCGGCGTGCGCGCCGGAGTGGTGCTGCCTGCGAAGCCAGAAAAGAGAGATGAAAAGAAACCAGTCGCACTCTTTACCGCTTTCGGAGCGGCTGGGCTGGGCTTGTCCGTTCCGACAGAGTACACCCAGCGAACAACCTCAGCTTTTATGGTCAACGCTACCAAGAGCAAGTGAACATCTTATGAATTGGGAGTTCATTCAGATCATATGACATACGCGTGGTTTGGATACTTCGTACGTTCATGATCCCCGTTGGACTAGAGCTCTTGAGCCCTCGAAGCAAAGGGACATCACTAGGAAGACCACTGTCCTTTGAGAGTCTGACCAGTCGATGGTTATCGAAGAAGACGCTGACTTCAGAGAGATGAGACATGAATGTGATCGATGACACTAGAAATCGAGTGAAGTCAAAGGCTGCCGGAATTGAGGTTGGTTCGCGAAGCATCATTTCGAACGTCGTCCAGGAGTCTGATTCAGGTTCAACAGAGGGAGGCAGATCTCCCCTACGAGCGTACAACTATAAACAGGTGTTAATTTCGCGATGAAAAGATCATATGCGTTTTGCTACCTGGTCTTTCTTGTCTTTCCAATAGAAACCCATCCATCGACCTATGTACGATACATTAGAAACACCGAACAAAACACCGACTTGGCACTCACCTCCAGACGACACGAATGGTTCTTCAGTCACAGAGAATAAACTATAAAATCCTATTCAAGCGTTACTACTAAGCTCGTAATTCGTCAGGACGGACTGACTCACCCACTCCGAAAGCACCGATCTTCTCTTCGTCCGGATTCCCCTCCGCTAAACTGAGGTTTCAATCATCTGATATCACATAGGATATTCATAGGAAGTGCGTACCGATCTTCTTCAAGCGATTCCAATCATCATCTTTGAACACCATGCCATTGTTCCTAAACGTCCACTGGTGCACAAGAGCGGTCTTGAGATCTGGCAACTTGCCCTCTGCGCCACTCAGTTCATGCACGACATCGTCAGCCTGTTCTTGCTCGTTTCCAGGAGCATCCTTTTCTTTTTTCATTCGATCCAGATATTCCTTTGTCTCGAATCGTATCTCCACCGCGCGTGAGGCAGCATCATCCGAATTCTGCAAGAGTTCGCGGAAGACTAGGAGTGTATAAGAGATGTGGTCGCCGACACGCACAATGTCAGTTGTTTGCGTACCTGTGAACTCGCCAGAGTACCGTGCAAGGACTTTGTCAATGAGAGCGCGCTGATTGACCTCGACGGTCTCGTCATGACCACTGGCCCACTTGGAAGGTATGAGCAGTCGTAGAAGGAAGATGGAGGGTAATCGCTGGTGAACATACCAAAGCATCACGAGCTGCCGACATTCCCTCTTCGTGCACGCTATCAGAGGCGGAGTGTTCAATAGTAGAGTCTGGCCTGTCGTTGAGATGAAGAGAAATGGACTTGATAAGTGGCAATGTGATCGAGCAGACATATCATACCTCGTTCTCTGGTGCTTCCCACTTGTATAGGCAACAAAGGAGGTCAAGGAGAAGGCTGGTGCACACCTTGCTCACCGATCCATGACGTTTAGGCGCGCGAGCGGTCGCGAACGGTTCGTCCTGGTTCGTCGTCCTCGCTTCGGCTCGCTTCGGCAATCGCGGCCGGATCGGGTTCAGCTGTCTATTATTGTTCACAACCATCATCATTCGCGCAAAGCTTTCCTGCAAAATATCATCATTCAATATTCAAGGTCTCAGCGCCGCCATCAACGTTACATATAAAATGTCTGAATTGTTTCGCCGTGCTCAGCGAGACGTCTACGAGTCGTCCATGCGAGTCACTGACCGTTGATTACAGACTTCGGATCGCCCCCACTAGGGTTCCGTGAGTAATCCCTGAATTGCTAACATGTTAATAACTTATGTTATTAACAGGCCCCCTCCAGGGGGCACAATGTCGATGTTAATAATGTTAATAATGTTCGAAATTATATATAATGATCAGCATTTGAATTTACATTGAAATGTACATATTTGGGCAAGGACCAGGTGGAAATATTGAAGGTTGTGGCTGTACAATTATGTCTTCCCTGCAAAATAATAATTTGTCCGGGAGTGCAGAGTCGGACGACGACGCGGATGGCCAACAGAGAGGACCCGTGCCGGGCTTCTGCGCTCAATATCGTGCAGGAGTTCGCAATCCGTGAGGAGGCCTTCGCGGATCTGCTATCTGATACTCCTAGGTACACTGCCACGAGCCCCCCACCCCCCTGAAGCTCCCCCTTCCATTCCCAGCTCCGAGATTGACTGGAGCTGGTGACTTCTTGTTATTAACACCGCTTTCTTTATTAACATGTAAATAAATCGGCTTTTAATATGTTAATAACGCTTTATATACAATTTTTATCTGTTATTAACTCATGTTAGAAATTCCTCGGAGAGGCAAATGTTATTAACATTTGTTAACAACTGTCCGTGAATTACTCACGGAACCCTAGCCCCCACACCTTCAAGATAGCTCAAAGGGGATAGACTTTAAAGTTCCTGCTTAGCCATTGGATATGTTTCCCATTCTGCGCTGTACCTCGATGCTCATCAAAGTCATCTCCTAACTTGCCGCTGGTGTGCCTGTCTCCATTTTGCTGGCTCAATTTGCCACTCAAAGCTGTACATAGCACGCCGCAATGAGTAGTTCCTTCAGCCTCCGGACGTTACATACCACGAACCGACAGATATGACTACTCCCTTGGCTACGAGATCACCCAACGTACAGCCTTAGCCAGCTGCAGCCCTGCCTGGCGCACTCTCCGTAGTGGATTCCATGGATCAGACAAACAACTCAAACTCATTGACAGACGTTGACAGACTCATCAACATATCTCATTCTCCCGTAATGATCGGTCGGAAGCTTGTTGCAGAGGGAACCAGGAGCGAGGGGCGGCCTTTCACTCTTCCGAGACACCGACGAAAGCAGTGACCAGTCCAGATGCATTGCAGCAAGTACTTGCATTACGAACTAATTACGAGCGATTTGCCACTGCAAGAGCGGTAGGGATCATACTGCATCGGTTGACGCGGATGACGCTCATCAGGTCGCACATACCGATGCGAACAGTCGCTCCTCAAGGATCGGGTGGTATCATAAATTCCTCAGACCTCAAAACGAATGCGGAGGTATATAGGCAATATGTATGGGACCGACGATTTGTCTTCACGCCGAAGAGGATGGCGCTTTTAGAATCACCATCGACGCTGATCATCTTTTTGTCCAAATGGGTGTACATCGGTTGGAGATTGGCTTCTATCTTGCGGTTCCGATAGGAACACAGCCTGCAACCGGTCGTTGCTCGTCTGATAGAGATACGTGTAATGCATTTCGCATGATGCATTGAGGCTGCATCAGCGGCATAATATGGATATTCTCGCAGACTGATAGAAAGTCCGAGCAAATGCAGGATGAATTGATAGTGTGATGACCCCGTGAAACTCTAGTCCATTATGTATGCGAGTAAGACGATAAATTATAGGTTATCTTCCAAGAGAATAAAGAAAGAATCTGAACGTCTGTGTGGTCGGTGTTAATAATGCAAGGATGAATCCAAATAGATAGTATGAGGATAAACCAAAGAGGGAGGGAGGTGCTGAACTAGCGCACTGGAAATAAGCAAATGATTACATAGAGAATCGCGCACCGCGCGTGAGTTTGGCGTTTCTACTGGCAGACAAGATGTTTCGAGTTTATGGGCGGTGTTTCCGGTCCTTGTTGGCAGCTTTGATGAGGTCGGCGGTCCGTTCGGCTATAATGTAGATTGCAGCCTGGGGAGCAGCAGCTGGAATGTATGTCTACGGGAAAAAATGTTAGTATCTCTCAGAGCAATCATAGAGTTAGATGTACCAGGACGCTCGCATCGACAACCCGCAGACCCTTGACGCCTTTGACGGTCAAATCTGGACCAACAACACCCTTGCCCTTCGCCGGTGCACCAGGGGGACCCATGGCGGCTGTACCGAGGGGATGATTGAAGCTGGCGGTGTTTTTAGCCGCATATGCCTCAATCTCTTCATCGGTGGTTGCGTTCGCGAGGTCTCCGTGAGGGCCGATGACATATCCATCCCAAGCAGGGGCCGCCAGCATACGCTTTGTTGCCTTGATAGACTCACGCATGACATAGATATCGAGAGGCGAGGTGAGGATAGCAGGATTGATGAGTGGGAAGTCCCATGGCGAGGTGGATGTGAGAGTCAGGTTGCCCCCTAGTGACGAAAGTTAATGCCAAATTTCCAGCAGAGGATGTCACTGAGAACCTACGAGACGATGGTGATGTTACTGCGGTAATCATAGAGAGGTAATGTCCAGACGACACACTCTCGCCGAAGGGGTTAACGAAGCCGTTCTGTCAAAGGAACGAATTGTAGGCGTGTGTCGTAACTATAGATGACCAAACTCACGAAAATCAAGAACTCGTAGTGGCTAGAAGTTGGGCCAGCAGCGAAGTCTATCTCAGTCTTGAGAATAGACGAGTTGTCTGGCAGCCGGAACCAACCGATGTGGTTGGAGATAGCCATCGTGTAGAAACCCTGCTTCTCGTTGGTCCACAGATCGAGTTCAACATTTGCGAAACTGGAGTTCTGCGACAGATCGTCGGTGGTGACGGTTCCAGTTGCGTTGACTTCGTAGACGTTGGAAAGCAGAGGATGGTCGTGGAGGTTGTTTCCTATAGATAAATAAGCATCAATAGTTCCGATTGTACGTGCACTGCCTTGAAACACATACCGACATCGGGGCTGTCCACAACAGTCTTGATACCCAAGCGTGAGAGCTCATCGGTGGGACCAATGCCAGACAGCATGAGCAATTGCGGAGTTGAAAAGGCGCCGGCAGCGAGAATGACCTCCTTCGTGGCATTCAGGGCGTAAAGGGGAGCTGGAGAGGTATCAGCGTTTATCCAAGGATGAGACAACGAGGTTGCTCACCGTCTTTCGAAGTGGCAAACTGAACCCCACGGAAAGCGGGTACACCTTTCTCAGTACCAGTTTGGATAAGCTTTGTAGCTTGCGTGTTGATCAGAACGTCGAAATTTGATCGGGACAAGTACGGCTGGATGTAAGCGGTTGCGGAGCTGACGCGCTCTCCCCCTTGGACTGTATTCTGGGTCCAACCTGCCAATATAACTTGTTATTGGGATGGCAAGTACGACAGCAATGTTTGCTTACCGATACCAAGGGTGTTACCGGCATTCATGTCCTCCTGAAACGGAAACTCGTTGGGAAGTTGTTGTGTCGTTGCTATGACCCTCGAGTCGATTCCCAAAGGGAAATTCGGCAACGTGACGCCCACAGGCCCAGAGGTTCCATGCGCAGAGGGAATATACTGCCCAGTTGTATTGTGACCATCTGCCGGACGAGAGAAGGCCTCGTGCTATCCCTAGATGTTAACAGATTGGGCCACAGCAGGAAGTGCATCCTCTTACCTTATGAATGTATGGCTGAAGGGCGTTCCAACTTAGACCATTGTCCCCAGTGATGTTGGCATAACGGTCAAAGTCATCGGAAGATCCACGGCTGTAAATCATGTAGTCTTGAGTGGTTTGCGTTAGATCATAGAACATATAGATCAAAAGCTGAACTCACTGATAGACGTGGAGCCTCCAAGGATCTTTCCTCGTGGGTACTGTATAACGTGACCAGCTAGTCCATCCTGCGAAGTCGTAGTGTAGTTCCAGTCGATAGCCTTTAATGGGGAGAGCTGAACATCGAAAAATGGAATTTCAACGTTGGTCAATCCCGCATTGCTGAAGCCAAGCATTCAATATATCGAGCAGAACATTTGTTGGGATGATACGTACTTGACACCGGCCTCAATGAGCAAAACCTCCACATCAGAGTCCTCGCTGAGTCGGTTGGCGATGACGGGACCACCAGCGCCCGCTGGAAGAATCGGTACACTGAGCACGGACCAGAACAGAGAAGTGGTAGCACATACCACCAATAACGATGTAGTCATATGACTTCTTCGGAAGGGACGAGGGATCAGTGTATAGCGTGGCCAACGCTGGGAGGATAGTACGTGAGAGGACGGTGGCTGACGCCGCAATGCTCGATAATTTAAATAGCATAGCGAAAGAAGAAAAGAAAAGAAAAGAAAGAAATAGCCCTAGCAGCGAAAGTGAGGAATATGGCCTGGTGATCAAGGCCTTTTAAATGACCTCCCAAGTGCAGTGCCCTGTAAATCGACACATCTGCGATCATCGCATAGCATGGAATCAAACCACAAGTTTGAATGAAACTAGTCCTAGAGCGACACCTTGTGTAATCGTCCGAGAGCGAACCCGGGAGCGGAATGCGATGGCTAGGCACATCTGTTGGTATTGAGTAGATAGCGATGCCAGCAGGAGCCAGATGTGTCGGGTATGTAGTTTCGGGGCGCACTAGCGAAGCGCCCATAGCCATTTGATGGCGGGCTCGCAAAATCAGGAACGCGATGTCACTGCGTCTATGTATAAGTATGATGTTGGCATTTAGTGCGACCCGAAAGCCGAGCTGCATCAAATTGCTACAAAAATGATCGGATGATGGAGATGGAGATGCCAGATTTATGAGTTGAGGGTATACTTAACATCCATTATGTACCGATCAGTGGAGATGTGACGGCCTTGGAAAGTCCTTGGAATCGGTTTGTGGCAAAGAATACATATCTAGGTCGAGCGACACAGAAATGCATAAAGCGCATATACCCGGAGACCTAACGTGCAACGTGTTTCGGCATAACCTGGCTGTACTACTGATATACTGTCACAGCTTCCCGGTCAATGACGTCCCTTTTTGGTGTCAGCGAAAGGTTTGTAACACAGGCACAGGAGGCTTATGAAAGCAAAGATCTGACATTGCTCAGACACAACCCGGGGGCGAGGAGCTGTTACATCCCTTTGATCCTTGAGCGAGCTCAGACTGACAACGCTTATACGTACGGTTCACATCTCCTGTGAGCATGCATCACAGCAAGTTACAAGGCTTTCTGACGGCACAATAGTCAATGAGTCATAGAACCTACATGTGGAAAGAAATTTGGAACTTATTTGCAGTTAACGACTATTTTTGGAGAGCCTCCGAGTCCTTAGGAACGGGACTCACGATAAACTCAAACGATGAGAATTGGAAAAGCAACAGATCTAGAAAGCTTACATCTCCCAGCCGGCTTGAACGGAGGCGACTGATCATCATTTGCCTGTATCATGATCTATCCTTCTACAATCAATGGTACTTTGAGAATCCGAGCCCAACGATCTAACGGCTACGTACACTCTACTCCGTTATACAATCGACGAAGACGCAATGCTAGTATAAGATAGTCTACACACACACGAAGAATATAGGCCGTCGCTCCGTCATGTACTCGTGTCCTAAATTATTAGATATCCAGTCAATGATGACCAATCCCTTTGAAATGATGTCAACTCACGTTGTCCCTTTCCACCCTCACTGATCTAGGTACTGGACTTGACCTTCTGGATGGTCCACCTGTCGGTGTAATACGCCCCCCTCGGCCTCTTGTCGATCCGGGTCTGGCAGGACTCAATCCACGCTGTGACGTCGTGGGAGTAGCTGTGCCCGGAGTGGAAATGGGCGTAGAGGAAGATGATGTACTACCTCTATATCTGTATGCGTATGCAGCATAAACATCGCCGAGCCAGTTCTGTGGGAGATAAGCGTGCCATGTAAACGCTGCGGCTGCACGCTCTCGTTCTACACGTTTTCGTTCGAACGCAGAACGATAACGCTCATATGATTCGCGGAAGGAGCGGTCAACTTTTGAGGAGAATATGAGTTCGCCGCGAGGGTTGTTGGAAGGGGGAATGGAGGGGATGGGGATAGCGGACGAGGAGCGCTTCCCCAGACGAGTGGGTGACGGCGTACGAGGAGACGACGGTGTCACCGAGAAAGGTGCGGGGCGCGCAAGGAGAAAGGACAGTGGGCTGAGCATGGAAGCACGTGGGGCTGCGCGCATGTTGAGGTACATGTTGAAGTTACGCAGTGCTCGATTCGCATGTGGAACGTAGCTGGGGAAGAGTGAGGCAATGGAGAGCAAGGCCCACGTCACAGACGCACCGATTTGCGTAGCCAATTTTCTCTGAATACATCCCGCTCGCGAAAAATAGTACCAAGGTGGTGACTGCTACGAAGAGCAGGCCAGAGACGAAATACGGGTGGACCCTGAAGTCATCATCCGGGCCATAGTGCTCGGGCAATGCATGTCGTAGCAAAAACCTCGACAGGATAGACAGAAAAGAAGTCTGCAGAAGCACCTCAGAAAGCAAGAAGACGATGGTTCCGATCAGCTGGAACAAGAATACTGAAGAGAGATGAGCAAGAAAAACATACATCCAACGACTAATGGGGCACGACGCACACTGGTAGCGCGACTTGCGGCGATTGAGAAGCAAGGCGTTAGTTTTGAGGCGCTCTTCGAAGAGGAGAAGATCTCGGTGTGTGGCGTGGTCGTTGGCAGGAAAGAATGCGTCTTTGGTTGGTGATAGAGGTGACCTTCTGGGCATTGCACGGTGGTGTGTTAAATTAAGCTGTCCGGACAAGACGGTCACTGCAGGTTTAAGTCGCAGTCAGCCACGCCACGATGTAGCCTCGTGGCTGGAAGCATCGGCTCAGAGTCGCCGCACTGCAGCCACTGCTATTTCCTGTCTATGTCCTCTCTACTGCTTTAAGCCGCTCTTTGCTTTTTGCTCGCAGTCGCAGAGGCTTCGTGAGATGACACTCACAGTCTTGGTGTCCTTCTCTTTCCTGGCGCTGGTCGTTACCGCGCGCCCTATCGTTCCTAACGATGACAGTTTCGATTCGTATGTTCCATCTCTGCTCGGGCGCTGGCTCTGGGTGATGTTAGTTCGACTGATCGCCTCGACATTGTTTCATTTCTATTTCTCAGTGCGTATGTCCGCCCTGCCGAGGTGCAGAACGCAGTCCAGGCCATCTTCGTGTCGCGCTTTAAGTAAGTCAGCTTGCCACGTAGGTTACATGGAAATGCTGTGACGCGACTGCCCTTTGAGCATGTCCTGACAATCATTTGCAGCGTGAAGAAGATGTAACGCTTCTGTCTATTCCGTCTGCTGACCTCTTGACTTCGTTCGCAGAGACTCTGTACCAGACTGTTTAAATTGCGACGAGGATGACTTCCACATTCGTCTGACTTCCGCTCAAGAACAAGACGCCTATCTCTCACAACTTGACGTCGGCGCCGTGAAGGCTCTCGTCCCTCTTGGTGACAATGGTGTGTTAAGCGAAGACGAGAAACGGTTATACGAGATGTTGGGCGGGTCGGAGACTTTGGAGGATGTAGAGGGCGACGGATGGCCTTTGGCAGTGTCCGAACACGCAACTTCTGATGTATCGGCATCGCCTGAAGTCGTAGATGGAAGGGGATCCGAGTTAAGTGCAGCAGAAGAAATCGTCGACAGCGAAACACCACCAGAATCTGTTATGATTCCAAATCTCCCTGCCACGACCACCTCTCGCCCCTTGCTAGTTCTAGCTTTCTCCTGCACCGTCGCGCTCCTCGCTGTCTTTTGTGTCGGTGCCTTTCTCTACATTCTTCAAACAACTCGACGTCAGATTCTTGCTTGTCGTACAGCCTGGGATCTCCTTCCCCATTTGGAGAAGCAGCAGGCCGGGCGTTTTCTGCCCTCTTTTACCGATGAGAAGCAAGAAATTGTCACCATCACGTCTGTTTCCAGTGACACTCTTCTCGATTCCATCAACGAGAAAGTAGGCGATTTGATCGACTTCGGGGACCCTGCGACGGTCCCGGATGGTCAAGTAAACGATTCATCCCATGATACCCACTCTCCTTCCTTCAACGAGCTGTCGACACTGACGGCGAATCCCCTCCTTGTACCTCTTCCTGCTTCACCCTCCTCATCTCCACATCGCTCAGTCGTCGAGATCACCACCGACGTCGACCCTCACACCGGAACCCGTGTAGACCTCGTGCACCGCCCGGCTGCCGCGCCCCGTATGCTCGACTTCGCGCTTGCGATGCAGCTGAGACCCGGGTTGGGCATAGGCGCAGATCCAGCGTGGCTCGTAAGATTCCTGATGGCATTCTTCGGTTGGGTTGCGGTATTGGTGGGTGGTGTGGGTGGTGTCAGACAGCGGCCTGCGATCCGAGTTTGACTGTAATGGCAAGCTTTCTCTCCAAGTCCCCTGTAGACTTATGATTTCAATTCAAATTTTGTGTGCCTTTGCCTGCTACCCTGGGTAGGGTTCTGTGAATTATGGCTGAATGCCTGGTCTCGTCGTATCCTGTATCCGCGCGCTCTGTGAACAGTACACGATGGATCCACCAGTCATTGGTAGATTCACGCGACTCTTGCGCTCTAGAGGCACTGCTTCGCTGGAACGCATCCGTCCAGACACATCCGGATCGTAGCGGCACTTACACGGCAGGCGGGAAATTACAGTGCCTTGCATAAAATAAAAAAAGTCTCCGTTGCTGACCCAATCACAGAAAACAGTCGTTCTATGTACTCGTGCCCGCAAAAAGTGTTTGAACACTGTCACATGAAGCTTCTGTATGAGTTGCTGGGCCTTGGTAGTCTTAAGAAATTCATGCCTCCTGCTGGAACCACTGAGTTTACACCCTCAAAAAGAGGTCAAATCCTTGCTTTGCATGATCTTGGATACTTATATCAAAAATTTGCTTCCTTGACTGGTGCTTCTATCAGAGCATGCCATCATACTGTCACTTATGAGAACCAATTCCATACCTGACACAGTCTCCCTTGATCTAGCCAGCCACATATCATTAATGGCTGCACATAGTGTAGGGTTCTTTGTGAGATCTATACACACCATCTGAACCCTTATCCCATCATTTCTAAGCATGTTGAACATGTAACATTCCAACAAGTTCATACCATAGCAACTTCTGCTGGCTATCACCACCAAGTTGCATATCACAAGCCCTTCCTATTACTAGCAGCTATCTAGAAACATCTCATTTGGGCAAAGGAAAATATAGCAAGGGATTGGAATGAGGTTATCTGGACTAATGAGGCAAAGCTGGAGTTAGAAGAGAGGCCAGGACACAGGAGAGTGACAAGATTACTAGGTAAAGAATCTCTTTCTGAGAACATACAGCCAACCTTTAAGAGTGGCCATAGATCCATCATAGTATGGGGGTATATTGCACATAGTATGAAAGGTCCACTGATCAAGCTGGAATTCCTACCTGTAACTATGAGTGAGAAGGGCCAAAGACAAGGTAGCGGCCTGGTGCAAAAGAGTATATTGCACAGGTTCTTGAAGGGCCTCTGAAGGATTTTTTGGACAGAATGGAGCAGTCGTAAGGCTCCAACCTTTTATTTTACTTACTGTTTATAAACTTTTTTTCTTGTTTACTTTCACTTTTTACTTACTTAGTGTCTGGTACAAGATAAGTAGTTAGTATGTAAAAGGTTTTATACTGTTTATATCTCAAATAGAAAAGATAAATATATGCTTTTGTAGAACTGCCCATATTTGGAAGATTGAGTAAGATTGAGCTCACATCCTTATATATTAACCATATATGGTGATTAGTTTCATACCCAATTTCTATTTAGGTAGGGCTAGTCTCTATTGACAAAAAAGCTCAAACTCCATCATTCTAACCTATACACAATATTCCTCAGCATATCCTAGCAACTTTCTATACCCCCTTGCTATGTTTGACACCCTTGCACAAGTTAAAGGTCTTGTATTGAGGATATCTAATTTTACAAAGTGCCTACCATCTTTGATACCTAAGCCAACAAAAGAAGACCAAATATATACTATAATGATGACTGTAGAGAGTGATTCTATATGGGAAACCTTTAATTGTCACTTTGATATTCTCTTTAGTAAGCATTGCCATGATGAAACTAGCCAACTATATTATGCTCAGAGAAGAAAATTGGGAATAAAAAATATCTGTGCTTACCTGAATATAATCATGGGAGAAAGTTGACTTTCCACTTTTTGTGTGTGTATGATTGTAAAGTTGGAGTAACTATGCAAAGAGCTAGAAATTATATGGTCAGTAATCTTTTACTGCCCATTAATAGGAATATTTTATCCACTTACATATTTCTGTAGTGGATCTTCTTTAACCATACAGAGCAACCTGACACTGCTGATAGTGCATAAAGCAAACAAGCTATTGGCACTGCAGCAGGGCCCAAAGGGAAAAATAAGGCCTAGTAAGAGTTGTGATGTCATCATAGAGATAGATGTTATTACTGCATTATCCAAATGACCTCACTACTCAAATAATGTCAGCAGACTACCTAGGCACTCTTTTGGAGCAAGGGCACCTTTATATATACCTACATTATCAGGATGCAATCCTAATATGTGCTTCATATATGGATGGAGAGGAAGGTCAGGTGTTTTACATTGGACTTAGACATTGATGACTAAGACTATAACTTAATATATGTCTAGGCATGTAACTCAAGGCATGGTTATGAGCTATGCACATAACTCAGACTCAAACTGCTGACTTGGAAAGATTATTATTCATATGCTGACACATGAACACTTATATACATATGACTCATTAACAAGTTTCAGCTCAAACACTTAAACTATCACAACTGGTTCCTAAACACTTACTAATGCAGACAGACATTTGATATGGTTACTATATATAGTTAAAGTACTAATTGTGGATGCTGTATTTTGATCATTTAGCTTACTTAGCATTTAGAAGCATAGACTAGATTTCTATCCTGCCCTAAATAGCTTGTATGTATAAATAGCCAAGCTAAGCTTTTTAAAAGATCAGCTCATTCACTTCATATACATCTTGATCTCTGCATTGCACCTGGTGTCTGGCTCCCTTCAGCCCATGCATTGTAAACTCTGCCAGATCAATTGAAACATACCTAGTCTGATAAAGCACTGGATCCATCTCAAAGCTCTTATTATTTTCCAGTCTCTACAACCTATCAAGGACTCACTTCCTATCATATTATCCATTGGAATCTATCTGAAGTTATCTGTTCAATTGGTAAAGACCTTCCAGTCAGTAATAAATATTACCTTATCGTCAATCAACACCTTCTCTATCTCTTTGAAGACAAGATTGATAATAACCAAGGCTTTCTTACACAAGCCTAAAGATGTGCAATAGTCTTTATTCATTAGGCTGTCACAATTAGCCCAGGGACCCTCTTTTAGTGCATCTGTTAAGCTACTAGGCTTATCATATGCACTTAATGTACTAAGAGGGGTTCCCTAGGCTAATTGTGATAGCCCAATGAATAAAGACTATTGCATATCTTTGGGCTTGTGTAAGAAAGTCTTGGTTACTGTTGATCCTATTTTTAAAGAGATAGAGAAGTTGCTAGTTAATAATAGGATGATGTTCATCACTGACCAGAATGTCTTCTCCAATGCAACAAATAAATTCTGATGGATTCCAACAGATGACTTGATGAGCAGCAAGTCCTTGATAAGTTGTAGAGATGAAAGAATGATAAGAGCTTTGAGATGGATCTAGTGCTTTGTCAGACTAGGTAGGTTTTAATTAATCTGGCAGAGTTTACAATGTGTGGGCTGAAGGGAGCTAGATACTAGGTGCAGTGCAGAGATCAAGATATATATGAAGTGAATGAGCTGATCTTCTAAGAAGCTCAGCTTGGCTATTTATATATACAAGCTATTTAGAGTAGGACAAAGATCTGGCCTGTGCTTCTAAACACTAAGTAAGCTAAATAATCAAGATATGTTATTTGCAGCTAGTACTTGATCTATGTATAGTAACCATATCAAATGTCTGTCTGCATCAGTAAGTAATCAGGGACCAATCATAATAATTGTAAGTGTTTAAGCTGAAACTTATTAATAAGATATATATATATAAGCATTTATGCTTCAGCATATAAATGATAATTAAATGATTCAACAGTTCAAGTTTAAGACATGAGCATACCACATGACCATGCTCCTAGATTATGTGTGAAGCATGTGTTAGGATATAGTTCTAACAGCATCTTAGTGCACATGATAAGCTGAGTGGCTTAACATAAATAGACAGCAAGGTGAGCTAGTATCTCCAATTTATCTTAGTAGCTCTAACATTATTGATCCTCTTGATTAGCAGCTCAACTTCCCAGAGATAAGAGGCAGGACAAAACTTACAGGCCTCCTACTTACCCATAACAGGGATCTATCTCAACTATTGGTTTCATCCAGCTTGATGATGACAGAATAGAAATTATGCCTGATGAAGACAGTATAATGTCACAAAAGGTCAGCACTATCCTTATAGTCTAAATTATATGATACTTACCTTACAGATGCTATCTAAAGGCCCCATATACTGTTGAAAACTTTACAGAAACTAACATTGATATTAGACATAGTGACTCAGGCTTGTCAAGTAGCCAGAATTTGTAGGGGAAATGAAAGTAGAGCATTGCAGGACAAAAAAGGTTTAAAAGCTGAAGGTGAGAATACAATACTAAGCTTACTCATCTTGAGTCTTACACTGATCTTCTGCCTTGGCCCTTGATATATGCAGAAGGTCTCCTAGTTGCATCACATTGAATCTTTGAGGAGGAAATAGTTAAGGAGGGATAACTAGACTATTAACAATACCAATAATAGCAAGGATGTGCTATTGGATGGCTGTTCTGCACTATGAGCTATTGAAGAGGAGAAGAGCATGTATCATGGCAGAGGAAAGTGCAGACCACAGAATTTGATGCTCAAGCATTGGCACCTAGCCAAACTGACCCTTGATAGAAAAAAAAAGTGTTGGCTCTTTGAATGCTAGTATCATGAACAGTAAGTGATATTGTTGTGTATTGCTAGAGAGAACTTACATATTTCTTAGGCAATGAACCTTTGAGCACACCATTGACAGCAGTGACTTTGAGGATGAATATGCTTACCCCAGCCTTAGCAATCTGGTGACATACTCAAAAAAACATGCTAACCATATCACTGAGGAAGATTCATAGGAGTCTGATACTAATGAGGTATTACCTATGACAAATATGATGCACCATAGTTATATACTAGCTAGTGCCAAAGTGATGCAAGGCTTCCTGGAGGCAGGGAAGCTAAATCCCAAGAAACAAGTAACCTAGTGGGGGTTTATGAGGCTTTTAGCCACTTGGTTAATAGAGGATAACTTACTATTTACAATAGGGGAGTGTAAAGCCCTCAAGAGGCTCTATGAGTATATAGAGAGCCACTACTTGCTACTGAGTGACATCACTATATGCAATACTGTTACCCTAGTTATTAGTCAAGAAATTTCTATAGGAACTATTACCACCTCCAAATACTCAGTAATTAGAAAAATATATGCAGGAGTAGCTGTATCTTGGCTACAAGTACATAATGACTATTTCTTCAATCTTAACAACAGACTTGGATTCCCCTTTCCCAAGCTTAAAGCATATTAACAATCCAAAAACCCTAGTCTCCACAGTTGGACATCTAGAATTTAACATTATTCACACAAGAAATGCCACTGACATCAATAACAAAAGACCAAGTTACTTCCTACCTATGCACATTACTAATCTCAGAAGAAGCATTACTAGAAATATTGATTCAGAAGGAATCAGAAGGAAACTTACTGAGAAAAGTGAACAAAGGAACCAATATGCAATCTTTATTTTCTGGACCTATACCACTCCAAACTAGGACATACTAGAGGCTATTAGATACTTACCTTATTGAATTGAAATTGATGGAACTAAATCAGTTATCCAATGAGAAGAGTTCACCCATAAAACTTATTATTTTAGGAGTTTTATTATAGGATTAACCTTTAATGAAATTATTGGACTTCTCAACAAAGTCAACCAAGCAATTAATAAAAAAATTAGAAGGGATCCCACCATTCAAGAAAGAATACAAGTAGAAAGGGCTCATGATATTCCCTTCCATTTTGCAGAATAAATCATTACGCCAACTATCTGAAAAGGATACCTGCCCCCATACCACAATGATTATATCTATATCCTCAAACACTTATCCAAAGATGTTAACAAGGACAATATTTATTGTGATAAGAAGAACAAACACTTCTACCACAACAGGGATTCTATATACAAGACCGAAAGGATCAATTCTACAACAAACTGTTCTATAACTAGGAAATCCATGCCATACCTGACTTACCAATAGCTAAACTCATCAACATTATTAGAAGGCTCAAGCTCATTAAGCCTAAATTACTGACAAATCAGAATTGTAACTTACTAAAACCACATATACATAACCTACCTAGGGAAACCACTAGTAAAAGTACACTCTCTTAAAAAAAACACTCTTATTTTATCACCAGTATAAAAGACCTCTTTCCAAGTAGGCTTCAGAACTCTCTCACTGATTAAAATCGCTAGGGAAGAGTCTACTCAAGAACAAAATACAAATTGAGAGTCTCTTAATGATTCATAGCCCCCAACTAGTATGATATTGGCACTTCTGGAAATACTGAATCCAAGGGACTAGCTATGGCCAAACCCACCCCCTTTAATAGAAGCAGAAAGTAAACTGAGCAATTCCTTCATGAAAATAACCTAATGATCCTCGCTCACAAAAAAGACCTTTTAGATGAATTTGCAAACATTACCCATGCTCTATTATATATGAAAGGAGGGTTGGCAGGTATATAGTTAGGAAACTTTACTAAAGCTAGGAATATGAATAACAACTAGGACAATTATGCCTAAAAAGAAGCAATAAGCATGATCTTGGTCTATAAGAAAATCTCTACAGATTTCAAAGAATTTAACAAACAAGCAAAGAAAATAATCCTTTAATGCATTCCTCCAGCTCTTTGAAAAAATGGCTGAACTAGCTAGAGTAGACCTTGGAACCAAGAAGACATACTTTTTATAAGGCCTTAAATAGGAATTAGCAAGAGGGATTTACCAGAACCCTGTGGAAAGTGAAATATAGGACAAATTAGTAGCCAAGGCTAAATGACATAAGGCCATGTGTATTGAAGAAGCTTAAGCATATGACCTTTAACAAGGGAAATATCAAATCTTCACTCTGAGTAACTACCACTTGTACCTTCTTACTAAGAAAGGAAATCCCAGTATGTCCCTATGGACATAAATGCAGCAGAAATGGAAGCTAATGCCATCTGCACTTTCTTTAAGAAACTTACACTTGAGAAAAGAAGCCAACTTGCTAAAGAAGGAAAGTACTTCTATTCATCTAAAAAACCACCCCTTTGTATTAGCTCTGGATTATATCTAATAGTGTTTAAAAGTATCTAAAAGTGTTAATAGCTTCTAAAAGTGTCTAATTTCCTAATTGAGAGCAACACATTGTGAGCATTGGATTGGTTTCTAATTTTATGATATTAGCACTAATTCTATACTAAGAAGTCTTTAATTATCAGTAGGAAATAGTAAGTACTACTGCCCCATCAGTGAGAAGATAAAAATGTGGCACATTCTATACTATTTTAGCACATTACCTCTCCTTCATATATGCCTATACCATTATCTTGTAGCTCTTTTGCTGACTTTCCAGCTGCCTTTCCAAGGGATATAGAAAGAGAGAAATGTGCATTGATGCCCCTAGCCACTTTGTTGGCAGCTTGGCAGCTGCCAGAAGAGGCTATAAAGACCTAGGTACCTTGTTCTTGCACACAAGATCATTAAAGTTGTCATTGTTAGCCAATGCCTGCTACTAGTCATTATAGGACACAACATGTGGGTTGGACTTAGGGATATGCTATATGCAGCCTTGTAGACCCTTGTCTATTAGTACAGTGGTTAATACTATGATATGCAGCACACAATCATCATTACTATTAATATTACAATTTTTAGCACTATTTATATTGTTTATTGCCTTGTTATACAGAAGATGCTCAAACTTGGTGTTTTCCTCTAGCTATTAGGCTGTGGAAAAGACAGTCATATTGGTATGTGGTGCTAGAATGATATATTTGCCTACCATATAGGAAATATATGCATTAAGCATATTAAGATCACCTCCAATAATCTTGTGCTTATTTATATATAGGCATGCCATACATATACTCTTGTCCCCACCCTCTACCTCACTAGTGGCTATTTAGAAAACCCCTCTCTCTTATTGGATCTTGATTATTCATAATTATGTTTTTAATCAAATTTGCAAATTAAGGTAGCATTGTCTATACTAGTAGAGTCCCATTGGATATTACACTCAATCATAGTTTTACACATTCTTAGTCTAAATTGTGTAGTGCCATAATTTATTTTTATCCTATATAAAGTGTATTATTGATTTTCCATTGGTTTATTATCTTCTTAGCTGGTGTTTGAACTAAATTCTGAAAGACCTGACTTTTTAGGTATTTATTAACCTATTTATTTATTAGATAAAGGAAAGATAAATGTTAAATAAAATCAGAGATGTTGAGGTTGCCTATATTATGTCTACTGATTTTGATTACCAAGTCTATATATTAGACCTTGTGGCTTAGTGGCTAGAGCATCTGTTCTGGGTGCTTGCATATATGAGGTTGTTGGTTCAATTCTGGCAGAAGGCAAGTTTGTTATAAGGTGTATTCTGTGTTTAGGTATTGAACTAGTGCTCTAATAGACATGACTCTATAAGAAGTCTATGAGAACTGTGATGCTTGATTTATTATGATTTTTCCGAAATTTCAAGTTATAATCAATCCTAATAACTCCTGATTTAGGTTAATTATGTCTAATTAGAACAAGTTTAGAGGGGGGGTAAGCTAAAAATGTCTAATCCTAATCATTCTTAATTATGCATAAATAGAACTAATTAGAGCTTAATACAAGGGAGTGGTTTTCCAGATGTTATAAGAAGCTTAGGCACATGGTGTGTATATATCCCTCTTGGCCTAAACAAAGATTCTTTTTCCCATCCTAAGAAAAATTCCAACCAAGACACCACATAATATATGCTATGAAAGAAGAGGAAGGAGTTAATGAAGAATATCAAGAAGAAGGCAAATAAAGAGTAGCCCATATCTAACAAATGATGATAGGGCTTAGTATTGAAAAAATTAAAGAAGTTTACACCTTTAGTAAATTAAAGAATTTTCAAAGACTATCCTTTTAGTAGTGGATGAGGAGAGGAGGATTTTTGTAGGAAATAGGTACACTCTTCTAGCTAGCAAAGTTGCTGACCAAGAGCATGGACATCCAGATATATTGTATCTCTTGGAAATGAAATCACATAGTGCACCATCACTCCAGATTAAGACAATACTCATTGGCAAGAATTGAAAAGCTGTTACTCAGGCTCTGGTCAACAGCAGAGCCACAAGAATATTCATACATCCCCGTTTTGTGCAAATACATCAGATTAGAACCCAAAAGACCCTGGCACCTATATTAGTCAATATGGTAATAAGCATGCACTCACTCTAGGGTCTAAAAGAGGTATTTATGAAGCTTTGAGAGAGACCAAACAGTTCTAGACAAGTACCAAAGACACCAACTTGTACTGGATATGGTCAGTCCCTATATAAATGACTCAAAGCCACCAAACAACATTTGGCAGCACTTGGGTCAGTTTGTACACATGTTACATACTTATCATAACCACACAAGAGTCATCAAAGGAGCCTTTTGATATTCTATTATGGGATTGGGATTAGACAGCCCATTTGGCTGATGTTATCTGTACCTGGTCAGTCTTTATTACTTATTGTCCCAACTTCCATATATTTAGTCAAACACAATCTTGCACTATTACTTGGCTATCCAAGTTATATGTTTACTATTTCTTTCTTTTCATTGGTGCTCCAGCACCTGTTTCTGATACCTATGCTCAGATGATAGATCCCAAACATTTGGGATTTTGTCATCACTAATAGACTTTTACCTTATTATCTTTGGAACCCATATGGACATTTTTCCTACCTTTTTATCTTCACTATTTGCTGTGACTTGGTGCCTGTTCAGGACTTACTCTCATTTCTCACTTGATATTTTACTTAGAGGCTCAGTTTACTATAAAAACCTATATATAACTCTGGAATAAACCAGCTTTTGTATCTAATAGTTTAGAACTTATTTGCACTCATCTCAACCATTAAAATCATCATCGACTTTTGAAAACTTGCTATCCTCATCATTTGGCCTCATCTGCATTTGTACTTGCCTCTTTGCTTGTACCTCTCATCTTTCCTTATATATTGTCAGAGTCACATGTGGCTCTTGAAGCACATAGTTGTCAGTTGCAACACTACCTTATCATTACTGACCAAATCCCTAATATGACTGACTGAATATTTAGCCAGTGTTTGGCACAGTCCCAAAACTATTTGGACACTATAATCTTACACTCTCTATTGCTTCTCAGTGTGCCTTTGATTTCTAAAGTCATTACTAACAATTCCTTGTATATTAGATACTAGCTCCAGCATCCCTGCTCTAAAGGCTGTTTTGGTATTATGCTCAGCACTTAGAAATGCCTCTAGAATATCAATGGTCCAAAACACAGAGTTTAAAGGAGGGCCTATTACAAAATTTACAGAACTAAACCTACAAGTTCTAGGCAAAAAAAAGGGATACACACCAAATCAGCTAAATTCTACATAGCCAAATAGGAAAAGAAAACATCATTTTAGAAACCAACTAGTTATTGGAACATAACCTTGAAGTCAATTGGTATGCCTATGGCCTACACTTCACTTGATGCCCACCCTCCTACCAAATAAAAGAAGGACAGGTAAAATCTCAAAGAGCTATGAAGAAACTAGGATGTCAATACCCAGAAATATGGCACATGGTGATAGTACTACAAAAGAGTGACTACTCAATCCTATGTTGAGCGCAGTGACAACGAAGCGACTGGCACAGAGGAAGTGCCCAAAAGAAGCTCTATAACAACAGGACTGTGGTCCAGAGGGTAAGAGTCTAAGTAGATACAAAGAACAGAGGGGAGCACACCTGTGGTCCAGAGGGTAAGACTCTGAGAAAAGAATCACCCTCGGACCACGGGTATTTAAGCTACACAGAACAATAAGAAATGAAATAGGAAGGTATGACATCAACGGGTCATTACATGTGAAACATCTTACAAAGCGGTCAAAAGCTCCACCTGGAGCTTGGTCCGGAGTGTCAATGACATCACACCGGACCGCCTCAACTGGCTAACCCGGTGAAACAACTGAGACAAGGTGAAAACAAAGTAAGATAGTCCAAATGGAGAAAGAAAGCAATATACCCGCTCTGGGAACGGCTATAGGGCCGCTCCCAGCTGTAGAGGCGAGTAATCAATGAGTCCCAAAGGTGGCACCCATGTGGCATGGATGCTACACCAACCAGAACGGCCACAAACAACACACCCTCCTGATTGCACGCCTTTACAGCATCCAAAACACCCTCCTAATGCAGCAGATCCTCTAGTCCCATCAAACTGCAGCAAATCTTCACCTTCTCAGGTGGAACAGCCTTCGTCAGGATGTCTGCAGCGTTGTCCGCAGTACAAACGTAGGCTGGCGCAATTACACCAGCCTCTACCTGGTCCCTCAGCCAAAAGAAACGAAGATTGAGATGCTTCATGCGCCCATGGTGCTCTGGATTCTTGCTAACTGCAACAGCCGACTGGTTATCGACACGGAGAATTGATGGCTCAGACAGGGAGTAGCCAAGCTCAGTCAGCAAATTGCGCATCCAGATGATCTCCCGGCCCGCATCGACAGCAGCAATGAATTCTGCCTCTGTGGTCGACTGTGCAACGAGTTCCTGAAGCTTGGAGCTCCAGCTGATTGCTCCAGAGCCAATGCGCAACACATATCCACTGGTCGACCGTCCGTTGTCCGGGTTGCCTACATGATCAGCATCACAGAACAAGGTAAAGAGCTCCTTGGAGTCGGTGGGACCATAGACGAGTCGATAATCCAGGGTGCCTCTCAGATAGCGAAACAGATGCTTCACAGCCTTCCAGTGTGCAATCCCAGGATTCGAGTTGAAACGGCATAGGACAGAGACCGTGTGGGCGATGTCAGGACGAGTGGCGAGTGCAAGGAACAGCAGGGAACCGACAGCAGAGATGTAGGGAACCTTCTTCATGTACTCCTTGTCCTCAGTTGATACAGGAGCCATGGAGACAGAGAGATTGGTGCCAGGGACCATGGGAGTGTTCACAGGGGTCGAGTCAGCCTGTCCGTAACGCTCCAGCATGTCTAGGATGTATTGGTGCTGGGAGAGCATCAGGCGACGATTGGGGCGATCCCTGGCAATCTCTATACCAAGAAGAGTGGTGGTGGGCCCCAAATCGTGAAGCTTAAACGACCTAGAGAGCTCAATGACAAGATCATCGAGCAGGGACAAGGAATTTGACGCAAAAGTGCAGTCATCCACAAAGACAGGCAGAATGACCTTGACCTGATCCTTGGCATAGACATAGATGCTATTGTCAGAGTAGATTGCCTTAAATCCCATGCGCTCCAGTACCGCCTTGAGCTTCTGTGTACCACAGCTGACTCGCCTGCTTCAACCCATATAAGCCCTTCATCAAGCGGCACACCATCTCAGGTCCTCCCTGCTCAAATCCTTCAGGCTGCTCCATGTACACCACAGTGTCCAGATCGCCATTGATGAACGCATGGGAGATGTCCACAGAGCACAAGTGAAAGTCCTCGAGGGCAGAGAGAGCAAGGATGGTGCAAATGGCTGCAAACTTGGCTGTGGGGGCGAATGTCTTGAAGTAATCAAACCCAGGGCACTGACTGAAGCCCTTGGCGACAAGACGAGCCTTGTAGCGCTCGACAGAGCCATCCGTGTTGTGCTTCACCTTGAAAACCTAACGAGAACCGATTGCCTTGCAGCCCTCAGGGAGTGGAACAATGTCCCAGGTGCGATTCCGAGCATGAGCCTTCATCTCTTCCTCTGCCGCCTTCTGCTACTCATCTGCATCAGGGCGCTTCATTGCCTGACAATACGTCGAGGGCTCAGCCTTTTCAGCACCAGAGGTGAACAGGGCATGCTCGACTTCAGCCAGAAATGTGTCCTCAACAATGGGTTCCATTTCTGCCTCTCCAGAAGCATCAGGGACGTCCTCAGCAGTGTCCGAATGAGCATCATTGTCTGCAGACAGTGTCCTAACCTTCTACCATTCCCCAGGAGCACGACGAGTGCAAGTGGAGCGTCGAGTAACAGATGGGCCTGGTTCAGGGGTAGCAGAGCGATTCCTGGAGCGCGTTCTAAGAGCAGGAGGTGGCACTGGAATGACAGGAGGGGGAGCATCAGGAGGGACAACGACAGGAGCAAGAGGTGGAGGAGGTGCTGGGTCTGCCACAGGATGATCCTGATCGATGGGAGCATCTTCCTGGTAACCAGCAGGAGGAGGAGCATCTGCTTCCCCCCCCAGAACCAGCACCGGATCAACATCTGCATCCCAAAGACTGAACAGAGACAAAGGAGGAGGGGTGGCAGACTGGGTGTTAGCATCAAAGTTGCGAGTGCCAGGAAAGAATCGCTCATCAAAGTCTGCCCTTTCCGAAATGATGACCTTCCGAGTCCCAGGATTGTAAAACTTCCACGTCTTGTAGCCATCAGGATACCCAATAAACACGCACTTCTCTATATGCGATCCAAATCCATCTCTTTTGTCTCTCTGCACATGCACATAAGCCAAGCAGCCCCAGACCCGCAAGTGCAAAACATCCGGCTTCTTCCCATGGACCATCTCAAATGGCGTCTTGCCCTTCAGGGTAGACGTCCAGAGTCGATTCCAGATGTGCACATAAGCAGCCAGAGCCTCACCCCAGAAAACAAGCGGCAAATGCGATTCAGAGAGCATGGCAATGAGGGCCTCCATGATAGTGCGATTGGCATGCTCTGCCACGCCGTTCTGCTGTGGCCAATTGCGCGCCGTGTGCCTCCTAGTGATCCCATGCTCCAAACAAAACGAGTCCCAGGCATTGGACATGTACTCTCCTCCCTTGTCATCCTGCAAAGCCAAAATGCGCTCTCCAGTCAAGTTCTCCACATAGGCCTTGTAGCGCTTGAAAGCCTCAAACACGTCGCTCTTCAAGCGCAGGACATAGACCACCTTGAGCTTGGTGAACTCATCAATGAAGGTGATCCAGTAGCGCATTCCAGAGTGAGTGGCAACAGGGAGAGGACCATGGAGATTAGAGTGGACGAGTTCAAGCGGTTTGGAGGTCACAGAGCCAGTGGAGGGGAAGGGGTGAGCGTGCATCTTGCCAGAGAGACAGGGCTCGCACACAGGGTCAGGCTGCACATCTGAATCAAGCTGTAGACCAGTAACGAGACGTTCCTTCACCATCTTCTGCACTCCAGCATGGTGGTGATAGCAGAGACGACGATGCCACAGGGACAAGTCAAGAGGGAGAGTAGAAGTGGCACCAGCAGACTGCAAAACAACGGTGGATGTGGTCCCTTGAAGATATGCGTTATTGGAACCATCAGGAACAATCGCCATGAACCACACTGCACCGTCCCGGGAGAAATGCATTGAAGATCCTTCTATTAGCACAGAGACGTGCTTGTGCTGAGTCAAATACAGCACAGACAGGAGATTACAACCGAGATCAGGGACATGCAGGACGTTTGAGAACTCCACAGACTACGCCCTCTTGCCTCCAACAACCGGATTGAACACCACAGTCCCAACACCAGCAGAATAGATGACAGACGAGTCTGCAAGACGAATGGGGACAACAAAGGGACGATAGTGGCAAAGCCAGTGGCGATGGGGCGTCATATAAGAGGTCGCACCTGTGTCCGCATTCCAATCAAGGTCAGTGACGAGTGAGGGGGCTGTGGATGAAGGGGATGGAGCAGGGGAACGAAAACTTGCATTGCCTGCAAACTGCATGGGACCAGAGGCTTCAGGGGCCTGAACCGAGTGGGCCTGCTGTGGCTTGGACTTCTTCAGCTCCTCATTGATCCTCTTGAAGCACCTGTCATCAGTATGGCCAGTGGCACCACAGAAGTCGCACTTGTACTGCTTTCTGGGTGGCCTAGAACGTCTGTAGGAGGTGGAGGAAGAGGTGGAGGACGAAGGAAAGGATGCCACAAGGGCCTGTGCAGAGTCTGTGGGATCTGAACGACGCGCACGGTTCAAATCCTTGCGCCTGAACGCGTCCTTGAGCTTGGAACGAGACAAGACGTCCATGAAACTGAGGGAGGAGCAGAAGGTGTCAAACTCAGAGGGGAGAGACCACAAGAGGGCCATGCAAGTGAGCTCCTCATCCTGCTTCTTGAGATCGAAGCCAGAGTCGTGGAGGTTCTTCAGGACGCGCATAGACTCGTCCACACGATGAATGAGGGACTGGAGGGACTCATTGTTGCGCTTCTTGATCGAAAAGAGGTCCTCCATCGCATTGAAACACGATCCAGCAGACTTCTTATTGAACTGCTCCTCTAGTTTGGTCCAAATGGCAATGGGGTCGTCCTCAATGCCATCCAAGATGCCTCTGAACTGCTCCTTAACTGAAAGTAAGAGCGCACTAGTAGCCTTCTGAGCATTCCTCTTCCACTCTGCCACCTCTCTTGGGTCAGCAGGCTTCTCCTTCGTGCCAACAGGGGCTGTCTCATCACCAGAGACCAGAATCCACAGGCCTTTGAGACGAAGCCAGGCCTTGATCTCCTTAGACCAGGAAGGATAGTTGCGATTATTGAGAGGGGAGACAGAAGGGAGAGCGAATGAGGGGTCAGACATAGTGTGGCACGAGTGGCACAAGGAGGGAATGGTATTGGAAGCGATGTGGGACGATGGGAAAGGCAGGGAAAGCAATAGGGAAGATGTGGCAGCAATGGGGTGTGGCCAGAAAGGAGTGGCACAGCAGAGAAGAGACCAGAAAGTGTCGATAAAGCAATGTAGAGCAAAGTCGCTAGAGCGCAGGGCCCATAACCTGTTGAGCGCAGTGACAACGAAGCAACTGGCACAGAGGGAGTGCCCAAAAGAAGCTCTATAACAACAGGACTGTGGTCCAGAGGGTAAGAGTCTAAGTAGATACAAAGAACAGAGGGGAGCGCACCTGTGGTCCAGAGGGTAAGAGTCTGAGAAAAGAATCACCCTCGGACCACGGGTATTTAAGCTACACAGAACAATAAGAAATGAAATAGGAAGGTATGACATCAACGGGTCATTACATGTGAAACATCTTACAAAGCGGTCAAAAGCTCCACCTAGAGCTTGGTCCGGAGTGTCAATGACATCACACCGGACCGCCTCAACTGGCTAACCCGGTGAAACAACTGAAACAAGGTGAGACAAGGTGAAAACAAAGTGAGACAGTCCAAATGGAGAAAGAAAGCAATATACCCGCTCTGGGAATGGCTGTAGGGCCGCTCCCAGCTGTAGAGGCGAGTAATCAATGAGTCCCAAAGGTGGCACCCATGTGGCATGGATGCTACACCAACCAGAACGGCCACAAACAATATCCTATTGCAGAAACCAGAAAAAGGACAGCTTGGCCAGAAAGTGGGAAACACTATAGTATCACATCCACAGATAATACCTAAAATCCAGGGTTCACAATCCAAAGGTGAAACTCAGGATACCTTAGAACCCAAGCCAAACTTTATATAGTACTGATATGGGCTAAAAAGGATACTTAAGAGAATGGTATTTGACTATTGGCACTTTCCTCCGTGAATCTAGACAAGGATGGAGTTTATCTTGTTGAATGTCTTAACACAGGAATACTTGAAGCCCTCAAATTATACAATGATAACAAAGAAGAATTTGACATCTATCATACCAAAACTATGGAATCCTTTATGGCCAATATACCAGCTTAGAAGAAGGAACCTATTAAAGCAGTGATAGGCAAACAAATAAAACACACCAACTCTCAACAACTAGTGGAGGAAGCCATGAAAGGCAAACCCAAATTATTCTTTGAAAAATTAGTTCCAAAGGAATACTAGGTTTTTAAAGGACAAAAGCCAGGAAAATTACTACTGAAAAGGCCTTGGAATCACAAAATTAAACTCAAGGATAGAATGGACCACTTGCTCAGACCAAAAATCCATAGTCTCAGCCTAATAGAACAAATGGAACTCAAGAAATTTATTGATGAAAACTTAAAGAAAGGATTTATATAGGAATCCAAATCATATCTAGCATCTTTCTTCTTTATAAAAAAAGGAGAATGAAAGTATGACTGGTAATAGACTATTGTAAGCTCAACAAGATAACCATCAAGAACAAGTACCCACTGCCAATTATTCAAGAACTACTAGACATCTTAACAGAGGCAATAATATTCTCACTTGTAGATATCAACACAGGATACAACAATATGCTTATGGACAAAGCAAGCATATACAAGACAGCTTTCATCACAAATCTAGGAATATACAAACCCTTAGTCATGTACTTTGGCCTAACCAACTCTTCAGTGACATTCCAAACAATGATGAATATCCTATTCAAAGACCTTATCTATATAGAAAAAGTAGCCATCTATATGGACAATATTCTGGTGTTCTCCAAGACCATGAATAAACATGTCAAGACAATGTGACAGGTATTCCAGATCCTACAAGACAATGATCTATACTTGCAACCATCAAAATGCCACTTCCACAAAAAAAAAATCAATTTTCTCAGATATATCATATCTTATGGACATCTAGAAATAGACCCTGTCAAAGTGGTTGGTATCATAGACTGGCCAACACCTACTAAAGTCAAGGAGGTCCAATTAGTTTTAGGATTCTGTAACTTTTATTGCAGATTTATCAAGGATTACTCAAAAATAGCTAGGCCACTATGTGAGTTGACACAAAAGGAACACAGTTGGGATTGGACAACCATATATGAAGAAGCATTCCAAATCCTCAAAAAGACATTCATAGAATCTCTAGTATTTGTCATGCTGGACACCAAAGAACCCTTCCATATTGAATACAATGCCTCTGATTCCACTACTGGAGCAGTATTATCACAAGTCACCTCTAACAGAAGATGGCACCCTTGTACCTATATTTCCAAATCACTCTCTATAATAGAATGCAACTATTCTATCTATAACAAAGAGTTGCTAGCAGTTATTTAAGCATTTGAAGCTTAGTAATACTATCTAGAAGGCTTGGTGGCCTCTCTTCCTCTTATATTTTGAATACAAATTGATGCACAAGGTGGGAACCATAAATAAATCTAACAGTCTGTCATAGTGTCTAGACTATGAAAAAGGAGTGGAATTTGACAATTTAGGTAAAACACTCTTGGAACCCAAACTTTTTAATCAAACAGAAGGAATAGATTAGAAGCCTTTTATGGAAATCAATGCAATTGTCATAAAAGACAGTCTAGACCCTTACTTGCTACTTTATGTCAGAGCAACTAGATGAGGAGACATTACTATTATTGATAAAGACCTTGAGAAATATATTATTGAAGCAAACTAGAAAGACAAATGGTTAATCAAAACCTTAAACAAAGTCAAGACACTAGGTCCTTACAGCATAAAGAAAGGACTATAAGAATGGTATAACAAAGAATAACTTATTCTATACAAAGGAAAAATCTATGTCCCTCAAAATAAACAACTTTGTTGAGAAATAATTAAAATAAACTATGACAATTTAGTTATAGGACAACCTTGACAAAGAAGAATACTAGCTGTAGTAGGACAAGAATCCACTTGGGCTGGAATATCAAACATAGTTTACTAATATATAAAAGAATGTGCAATATGCCAATTTACAAAAAATAACACATATCTTACTATGGTACTACTTCAACTAATAGAAATTCTGGAAAGACCATTTGGAACAATCACTATGGATTTTATTACTAACCTCCCTGAATCCAATGGATTTGACTCACTATATATAGTAACTGACAGATTTGCCAAGATAGTGGTTATTATACCTTATCTGAAGGCTATTGACTTAGACAGAACAGCCAAGATCCTACTGGAAAACACCTGGAGGTGATATGGATTATCCAATAAAATCATATTGGACAGAGAAACTCAATTTGCTTTAAAAGTAGTGCAAGCCCTGCTTAAAGAATTTGGGATTCAATCTGTATTAAGCACAGCTTATCATCCACAAACCAATGGCACCACTAAATGGATAAATCAAGAATTGGAACAATATCTAAGAGCCTTTTGCAGCTTCTTACAAGATGACTAGGCAACAATGATTCCCTATATGGAGTATGCCCACAATGTGTACTAGCATTTAGCCACAAAGAAATCTCCATTCAAACTTTTATATGAATATCAACCTAGGGTATATCCAGTGATTATAGGAAACATGAATATTCCCATAGCTAATGCCCAACTTGAAGCTCTATAACATGCTAGAAAGGAAGCACAAGCCAACCTTGAAATTGCAGCTGAAGCTATGAGGATACAACATGACCATTTTGGAACAGAACTACTACCTTTCAAGAAAGGAAACCAAGTATGGCTAGATGGAAAGAACATCCACACTAACCATCACTTAAAGAAACTGAGACCTAAGCAATTTGGGCCATTTGAAATTATTAACACCACTAAAACTATTAATTTCAAGCTAAAACTGCCCAATAGCTAGAAGCACATTCATGATGTTTTACATTCTAGTCAACTCATGTTCTACAATAGAACAAAGTCTATGGCCCCAACTATCCCAAACCAGCCTCTAACCTAATTAAAGAGCAAGAAGAATTTGAAGTTAAAACAATTATTAGAGCTTAATGCTTTGGATAATGGAAGATACTATAATACCTGATCAAATGGAAGGACTATCCTGAATCAGACAACTTATAGGAAGCAGCAGCAAATATCACCAATGCCATCATAGATTTTTATCACAAACATTCTTATATGGTAAAAGAAATGGTAGCATTAATCTTAGCCTTAATAATCAAACTAGAATACAATAGGGCTGTTGAAGAAGATCAGATCGAAAAGAAGCTTTGGAAGCATCCAATTAAAAAAATGCTTCTATCCACTAGATTAGAAATTCTCCAGATTATAGAAGCAATTGACAAAAGAATAATACAGTTAAAGAGACAATCATTAACTCTATAGCCAACCATATCAGGATCAATAATTGATGATCAAGGAACATAATTGGAAAATTCTAATATAGGCTTATCTTGATTGATACTGATAAGCAGGCACCTACTCTAGGGTCCAAGAAGGGTATTGAAGCTTTAGAAAGAGATTAAATAGCTATAGACAGGTACTGAAGATGCCAACTCATACTGATCATGGTTAGTCTCTACCTGAATGACTGCTACCAAACAATGTTTAGCAGCACTTGGATTAGTTCACACACACATCATGTACTTAATATGACTATATAGGAGTTATTGAAGGATCCTTATGATGTGCTATTATGAGATTGAGATTAGACAGCCTTTTTGGCTAATGTTATCTGTACCCAGACAGTTTTTATCACTTATTGTTCTGACTTCCATATGTTTGGTCAAATGCAATCATGCACCATTGCTTGGCCATCCAAGTTATATATTTAATTTTTTTCCTTTTTATTGGCCCTTCAGTACCTATTCCTGCTACCTATGCTCAGATAATGGATCTCAAATATTTGGGATTTTGTCATTGCTGATAGACTTCTACTTTATCACCTTTGAAACCTATATAGACATTTCTCTTATTTTCTTATCTTTGCTATTTGCTAGGTCTTGGTGTCTGTTCAGTACTTACTCTTATTTCCTATTGAATATTTACTTAGAGGCTCTATTTACTATATACACTTACATATACCCTCCAGTCTTCTTGATGACCCTGAACAAGTTATCCAGGATTATAAGGCTGGTTGACCACTTTCAACACCACCCCTAGCACTCCCTTCTATATCCACATTTATAACCCTTGTTAGTAATGGCCCCACCTTTCCTATCATTATTGACATACCCACCCTCTAATCTTTGATAATATCTATTGTGGAGGACTGGTGTGATAAAGCTCATGCTTCTAAAGCTGTCTGGCCCCCACTCCCTATATTCACTCCTTTTCCCCCCACAATCCCTTTTCCTGAAACATGATACTGTTGGGAGTATAGTCACACCAGCCATCTCCTTATCGAATGCCCTATCACATGTATCAGACAAAGAATGGACATCACAGTGCATAACTTCTTGTGTGACTATGACATGCATTAGGAAGCAGTTATTTACCTTAACAGTAGAAGTGACTAAGCAAAGGTAAGAAGACCTTGACTAAGTGGCTAATACATGCTAATAGTAATAAACCCTCTAGATATCTTACCAATCTAACATATGTCTTGCAAGCATAAATGGTAGTAGAATACTAAGCATAGCACTTATAGATGGGTATTTGCAAGCTGGCATTGTTCAGTGGTCTGGATACAAGACACTGACTATATATACCTGCTCTGTTTCTAGCCAATCTGATGTTCCTAGCTGCTTTGAATCTGGCAGACCTTATAATGGGCTTATTTCATGGAACACTCAATTGCAGTCCTTCCAATAATTGAGATACCTAGAGCTTTTCTATATTTCAGGACCCCATAATCTGGCAGACCCATGGTAAAGCTATTGCCATTGTCATGTCATATTTACCTAGTATCTTTGGTTAGCCACCCTATAACCCTGCCAAGAAGATTAACAGTGGGTATAAAGCAGTAAAATATTTGACTTGAATTTATAGGCTTGAGCCAACTCTTTTCTATAGGATACTTCCAGCAATCTTTTGGCAGCACTTTTGTAAGTTAGTAGTAGGGATTCATATTGTGCACTAGTATCACATCTCATACATAGAACTCAAATAAGTATTCCATCTTCTCATAAAATTCTTGGAGGACTTTGAGCTCCTTTACTATCAGTGTTATACCAGCCAACTTTATTTCTGCCACCAGAGCATCTATGCTTTGTGTTATTTTGCTTGACATGTTATACATTGTGGACCTTTAGAATATATCACATAATTTACAATAGAATGGATAATAGGTAATATTAGTAGTAAGATCAAACAATATTCAAATCCTTATATAAACCTCTCTTAGCATGACATACATCAAGCTCAAGTTAATGTTTCAAAGACCATAGTACTAGACCTTGACAGTGACTAGAAGCATCTACCATATCAGACATATAAGGTTGGGGATGTGTTTGTACTTTTTTGGGCTAGGGATTCATGTGGTATCAGGAAAAACATAAATGGTTAATTAGATCTAAGATACCTATTATTATATATAATCTTTATAATTCATTAATTTCTTCTAAAAACTTTACCTCTATTATCTAGCTAAAACTAATTTAGAATCAATTTAGCATGCTCATAATCTGCAATTAATGCATTGTCAGAAAGCAAAGCTAGGACTTCTAATTTTAAGTTAATATAAGCTAATCTTTAGTTAAAAAGCTGGAATAGCTTTATTTGATGGTCCCAAAAAGAAAAAGCACAAAATTATGATAATATCTGATATTACAAAGGTAAACTAGACTAGACAATGGTGGAATAAAGAATGGTAAGACAAGACAGAACTATATTTATTGTGTATGAGCATGGATGCAGAAAATAAGTGGCAGCAAGAGAAGATAAGCCCATGCTCATCTTATGCAAGTGTGAGTAGAGATATTCAGCAGTAGGAAAACAAAATAAGCCTGCACTTGTCTTATACAAGTGTGGATAGAGGTAGAAGGTAGTGGTGAGAGAAGTCAAGTGGGAACTTGTTTTATAAGAGTGTGGGCAAAGATAGGTAATAGTGGTGAAAGAATATAAGCCTAGCTTGTCTTATGCAAATATGAGTGGAAGTAGATGGCAGCAGCAGGAGAATACAATATTTCACTTGTCTTGTATTAGTGTGGTCAGAGCTAAGTGTTGGCAGTGAGAAAAAATCAGCCTACACTTGTCTTATATAAGCATAGGCAGAGGTTGGAGATAGTGAGGGCATAAGCATGGGCAGAGCTGGGTAATGGCAGCAAAAGATAAGCATAGGCAAAGCTGGGCAGTAGCAGCAAGAAATGAGTGTAGATAGGGATTAAAGGCAGCAGTAAGAGAATATGAGCCTGCACTTGTATTGTGTGAGTGTAGGTGAAGCTAGGCAGTGGCAGTAAGAGAAGATTGGCCCACAC